TGTGATCCGGTAACTCCCCTTCTGGAACACCTGAGAAGTGTAAAATCACTGATTCAAAGAGGTCTCCGTGTTCCTGTGTTCACGGCAGCACTAGTCACGACAGCCACGTCATGGAAACAACCTAAGTGCCAAAGACAGAGCAGTGGATTAGGAAGATGTGGGCCACACCCTGTGGAATACTGCTCGGCCCTGAAAAAGACAGTACCCTGCCATTTGCAGCAATATGGCTGGAACTGGAGGGGATGGTGCTGGGTGAGATAAGTGACGAGGAGGAAGATAAGGCTCACATGATTTCACTCATTTTTGGAATATAAAGTAAACGAAAGCAGACCCCGGCTCTGACAACAGCATGTTGGGAGGAGGAAGGGACTGAGCAGAGGGGCAGACGTGGTGGGCGGTGGGCGTGCCGAGAAGGTGTGCCCTTGCAACCCATCCGATGTAAACTAATGTTCCCTCCATTTCACAGCAACGATCTCTTACGTTGGTGTCTAATGGCAGCCGAGAACCTCACCGCCCACCAGGGCAGGTCTGCGGCTCTGCACACCCTGGAGGCAGCGTTGTCTGCGTTGGGGTTGCCCCAAGACCCTAGCTGATGGGGCGCAGCGGGCGGGGCTGGTGGCGGGCACGCTGACCCCTGGCCAAGTTCGCTGTTCCCAGGCAGGGCTCGGGCCGTCCAGCCACAGAGTAAGTCACTCTCCCACTGTCTCCAGACAGGATAAACTCACAGATCCGTGTCACTGCTCCTTACTGAGGCCCTTTTTATCATGGGCCGTGCCAGGTGCTGAGCCCTCAGAAAGGAGGAGTGAGCCTCAGCGCTTCCGACCGTGGGCGCTCGGCTCCCAGGGCAAGGAGGCCGCAGGCAGCCCCGGCCTCCAGGGAGAAGCGCCCCACTGGCCCTGGGGTGGTGCCGAGAGGCGGCCATGGCTGGCAGCCCAAGGAGGCCCTGGAGGGGCGGAGCGGAGCCTGTGCAAGCTCAGGGTGTTCCCCCACCCAGTCGCAGACGCTGCTACACACATGCAGGGAGTGGAGATGCTCAGGCTTTGCACTGTTGGCATTCTAAGTGGCTCTGAGAGCAGGAGGCTCCGGGGGCAGGGGCAGGGCCTTGGGCCTGCTGGTGGACACCTGGGGTGCGGTGTGGGCCTGCGTGGGTGGGCGCCCCTGGGCCTGGAAGGGAGGATATAAGGGCGGGGTCACAGGGGCAGGGGCGGCGGGTGAGGAAGGAATGCGAGGAGACCACAGGGGCCCGCCAGCCTGCGTCCCCTGCGTGGGAGCAACGCCGGGGCTCCAAGCTTCTCTTTTAAGCTGCCTGAAACTGCGGTGACCCCGCCAGCCTGGGACGGCTGCAGAACAACGCAGGAGCCCCGGTCCATGGCCGGCCTCGGGCGTCTGGACGGCGTCACCCGTGGTGGGAGCCCAGGCCGGAGCCCTCGCCCGCCCACCCACCTGCGCGCCCACCACTCAGGCCCGAGGACTGAGGCGCTGCCACGACACAGCTGTTCGGGGGGTTATGGTCCCATCCAGCAGCTGTTTTCATTCTATCACAGATGCGGACTATTTCAAGCCAATTATGCAAATTGCTAAGCAGGACTCGTTTAGGAAATAATTTTATTCCCGCATTATTCCCACGAAGCGTGCCCCTGCGAGGGCGGCTCTGACGAAGCAGGGCGGAAAGCACAGGCCCGGCCGCTGCGACCCTGCCCGGGCGGCGCGAGGGAGCCCGTCCCCACTGAGCTTCCAGGGGAGGCCTCTCCGCCACCTGCTCCAAGGCCTGGACGCAGGGCCGGGCTGCTGGGAGAGGCCGGGCCCGGGCTCCTGCCGCTGGCCCCAGCGCCCGTCGAGCCTGGCCGCCCCGTCCCTTCCCGCAGGGGCTGTGCCGCCGGCTCTGTCCAGGGACGGGACGAAAGTGTCTGTCTGTCTGGGCCTTTACGCTGAATACTTTAGTTCTTAACATTTTCTCTTTCCACATTCCGTGGGCGCTTTCTGGAAACCTACCAGGTGCAGGTGCATCGCGCAATCCTGCTCCGGCAAACCCCGCGCAACAGCAGAACTGAGGCCCAGCTGGCTTTGCCTTTCCGTCTCCACTGGACTTTGGATAAGTTTCTGGTTTTACTGATGGGTTCTGTTCTTTTTGGGTGGCTAGCACGCTGGAGATTGGTTGACATCTTTTGAGATACTTTCTATCAGTAAGAGATGTTTCTCAAAAAAAAAAAAAAAAAAGAGATGTTTCTCTTGCAACAAAGCTAAGTTTTTCTTTTAAACAACGAGTTGGGTAGCGTTAAAATGGCTCCTATGCCTTTGTTTCCTTCTGGGGAGGTTTTCTCTTTGTCACATTCGGTGGGCTCCTTCTGGAAACCTACCGGTTGCAGAAAGCTGACCCCCATCCCTAGCCCACCGATAAGTTGCTGGAGGTTTTTCCAGTTGCACACCCTCGCTGCCTCACACCCGCAGGCTGGTGAGTAACAGAAAGCAGGGCCCACGTCTGTGCTCCACCCGGGATCGCTGCGCTTCGCCCAAAGCGTTCTGAGCACAGCCCGGGACCGTCGAAAATGTGGCTGAAATTCTGCGGCTCGACAACTCCTGAGCAAAGTAAAAGCTTCTTTTTAATATTTATTCCAAAGTCAGGTCAGGACCTTGAGGCTGCACAAGCAGCGTAAGCAAGCATGGCTGCTTTACGCCTTTCCTTAGCTCGTATTTGCAAATGTGTCGCTCAAAGGAGAAAACGTTATCACAAAATAGACAGCGAGACTCTGAAACTTGCCCAAACACTGCAGTCTGAAGCGATCTTCCCTCAGAAGGCGCCACGGCCTCTCCTCAGCAGGAGAGGAGCGTCATCGCCAGTGTCGTCTTCCCGGCCTCCATGCTGGCCTGCAGGTCACGACCAGCCCTTGCTCTTGCTGTACACCCATGCGCCTCCCAGGGAGGTGAAACCCGTCCGTCGCAGCGCCCCATGGGTCACCTGTGGGTCCGCGTCTGGCGCCGAGCCCTGGAGTCACCTGTGCCTTTTGGGGCAATAGGGGCGGATCTGGAGGGGGTGTCGCTCCATGAGACAGACAGAACCCCGACAAGACACAGCCACGGCAGCCCTAGATGCTGAGAAAAGCGTTGGATGGCTGGGGGGCAGGGGACGGCTGGCCAGGAGGGGGTGAGAAGAGGGGTGCGGGGCGGGGCCAGCGGAGCACTGGCTGGCTGGGGGGGGCTTGCACTGGCCCTGGGGGCGGTCACCGGTATCAAGGGAGGATTTAACCCGAGGAAGTCACCTTGGCAATGGCCCCTCATTTTTGCTCGCAGAAACGGCCTCATCCTGCCAGTATTGACTGAGGTCCTGCTCTGCGCCGAGCACTGCCATGGGCACCGGACCCAGTGGCGGGAAGCCCTGCCCCTCGCCATGCAGAACAAAGCGCAGCCTGCTGGCCTCGTCCTCCTCCGTCACCCCGGCCTCTGTCCCAGCGGGGTCTCCCCCGTCACCCCAGGTCTCGGTCAGCTCAGGTTCAACCAGTTTCACACTCCTGTTCTGGCCCCATTTCCATCCAAAACACATGCCGTGCAGGACTGAATTGGAAGCCCCTGTCACTCTGGTCAGCGCCCGATGGCCCCACCTCTCCCCCCTCAGTGGGTGGCCGCTGGTGGCAGGACTGGCAGCACGGGGACCCCGCCCAGGGGCTGCCCAGCATGGGCTGTGAGGCCAGCAGGTCTGTCGTATGTGGGTGCCTGGGGTGGCCCCAGCAGGCCCAGTGCATGGGCTCTGGCCTCCTGCAGGCACAGCCGCCACTCGTGAGTCCAGCAATGGCAGAGGGTTGCCCGCAGTGGGCAGCGCCGCCCTCGAGCCACTCTCCCCCAGCAGGCCCGCCGCAACCCCATCGTGGCACCCGCCCCATTGCCAGCCACGAGCATGGCCCAGGGCCCCAGTCTCCGGTGCCCAGTGTGACCTGCCTCAAAGCCCCATGACGTCCCGGGCCTGTGCTGCCCACAGACGGACCCGGCTACTCCCGCCACAATGGCCGAGGACAGGGTGGTTCTCCTCCGCAGGCTTATGCTGTGGTCACACCCACAGTGCCAGGGATGTTACCGTTCATCCCCAGGGACCAGGTGCTTCAGGGTTGGTGACACTGCTGCGCGACCAGCCCCACTCCCGACGTCAGCCGTTTTCATCTTCCCACACGGAAACCCCATCCCCAGTGCACGCTGGCCCGTTTGCCTCTCCTGCCATCCCCTGGTGAGCGCCTCTATGAGCAGGTCATGACCGTGACCACTCTAGGCACGTCCTGACATGGAACATGCCACAGCTGTCCTGTGGCGTCTCGCTTGTTTGAGCACAATAGCTTCAAGGTCATCCAGTTTGTACCCTGCGTCAGAAAGCCTTTCTCTTCGGGGTCGTATAATATTCCACTGCACCTGTCTGCCACGTTTCGTTTATCCTTTCATCCTCCATCACACAGGTTGTGGGCCTTTGGGTGGCTCCCACCTTGTGGGTCCTGTGAATGACGCTGCTGAGAGTGCGTGTGCATCAGTGTCAAGTCCTGGCTTTCCATTCTTTTGGGTCTATGCCCAGAGGGGAATTGCTGCCTCATACGGAAAGTCTATTTTAAAATTCTGAGAAACTACCATATTGCTTTTCATAGATGTTGAACAAATTCAGCATTCCTGCCAGTAATGCATGAGGATTCCAACCACTACATCCTCACCAGCTCCAGCGAGTGGGCCGTGCTGGCTGCCAGAGACCCGAAGGAAGGAGGGAGGCTCCTGGCAGTGACCCCAGTCATGTCCCTGGTGACCACAGGTGGTGATGGCCGGAGCCTGGAGCAGAGAAGCTCTCGAAAGTGAGACAAGGGCCCTGGGCAGTGTCTACACCTCATCTCACCCCACCCCCCACCTTCCCGGGGTCCAATCTCTACCTCCTGTCCCCCGGTGGGGACACTTGGGGTTTTAGACAGAGCTGACCTATGTTTTGCCATGTACTAGGGCAGGGCCTGGCACACAGTAGGTCCTCAGCAGGTGAGGAGATGGATGACCATGAGTGCATGAACCAACTGGCCGACCTCCCGGGCTCCGCCGCCCCGCCCCCCTCTCCCGTGCTGCTGGTGGACCCGCCGTCAGTGAGTCCGAAGCATCTTGCCCAGGGCTGGCATATGCGGCTGCCCTGCCTGCTGCTGTGCAGATGCCCCAGGCCCAGTGCAGCACAGCCGCCCAGACGCACACAGCACCCAGCCTCCACAACCCGGCGCCTCATCCACGCCCAATCCCCGGCGCCGCAGGGTCCAAATCACAGAACCGTCTCTCTGTTTTCACCCCGTCCCCCCGACGACCAAGCCCTGGGCCAAGCCGCCGTGCCGTGCCCCACAACCGTCCTCTGGCCGCCGGGCCCCGCCCCGCCCAGGTGAGCCCTGCACAGTCCAGCTCCCCAGACCCAGCCCTGGAGACACCCAGACAATCCTGAACGACACGCATGGGTGTGGGTGGGAGAGCGAGCAGGGCCGAGACTGGTGGGCAGTCGGGGGGCGGGGGTGCCGGCTGCCCCGTCCTTGCATCTTCTGAGGTTGGGAACTGTCTCCAAATAAAAACCTTCCTCGAGTAAGAGATCCCTGCGCGGTAATAAAATTCACTATTCTAGCCTAGGCCTAGGGGTTCAGTCCCAGCTCTGCCACTGTGACAGCCTGCGTTCCACCCACAGGACGCCCCAGACCTCTCCTGCCTCCCCGCTGCTCCCTCAGCGGTGGATCTCAGGGGATCTGCCTGTTCTGCCCCCCACTCTGTCCTGGGGAGTCCTCTCACCCCCCCACCTCGGGCCCATATCCCAGGTTTTCCACGTAAAAAAAAAATGTAGACATGACTGGGTTTGGGTCTGTTTTCCATTTCGGTGACCCAGAAAACCGCGGAGACTAAACTTCCAACGGACACGTGGAGAATCCAGCGCCTGTTCTCCAGGGAACATTCACCTTCACACGGGGATAAGGGCTGTGCCGAAGGTCCGGCTCCTGCCAACGCGTCAGGACGGGCCACCGGTCAGCAGCCTGCAGGAGGCGCCTGGCTCCTGGGCCCCCTGCAGAGGGCTCCCAGGACTGCTGGGGGAAGAGGCCAGCACACCCGGTTGGAGAGTCTGCTGGGGCTCTTGGCTGAGAGCCAGGCCCGCTGAGAGAGGGCAAGAGGTCAGAGCAGGCTGCGCTGTGCCCCAGGCCCCTCCTCCCCAGGGGCTGGGGCACGTGGGTCCTAATCTTGTGTCCTCAGAGGAGCTTCAAAGGGAAGGGGAGGGGAGTTGGCAGCTGGGGGCGGGAGCCTGGCGGAGGGTGACACGCCTTGCAGGGGTGGCAGGGAGGGACCCGGTCACCTGATCACTGGGACAAGGGGCAGGGCCGGGACATGAGTGCAAACCCACAAGCCCATTAGGTCCCAACTCCAGCCCAGCCTGCTCAGGGAGACAGCTCGAGGCCTGGGGCAGGGCCGGCCGCACCCGGGCAGGTTAGGGTCAAGCTCTCCACAGGCCTGGCCGGCCAGCGCCTCCCTGGGCACAGCTGGACTAGGCAGAGCCCAGGACGCGTGAGGAGGCTCCGCAGCCGCAGGGCATCATCCGCTCAGACCAGCCCCATGCAGTCTGCACAGGCGGGGAGGGGGTGTGGGGTGTGTGTGTCTGTGCGTGTGTGAGTGTGTGGGGTGTGTGTGGGGGTTGTGGCGTGCATGGTGTGCAGAGATGGGATGGGGAGGAAACAGCGGGCTGCCGGGTGGGCGTCAGACGGCCCCTTGGCCTTATCAGAGCATCACAGGCCCGAGGGGCGGCGGCCTTGCTTGCTCTCGGAAGCTTCCTCACTTGTCCTCACAAAACACAGAAATTGGGAGGCGCCTGAGTGTGCCCCGAGCGTGCCCCGAGCACCGCAGCCGCGGACGGTGGATGTTTCCTCTCAAGGCCTGGGCCACGGTCTCTGATTTCATACAGCAAAATGATGACAATATACAGGCGACAATCACGAACACTTTGGGGGCTTTTTTACTTGACAGCAGCCCCTGCTGCCCTCCCTCTCTCCCCCTCACTCACACTCACACATGCACACACACCCTCCGCCTGCCCGCCTGCCCGCCTGCCTTCCTCCGCCTTCTGCCCTCCTCCGCCTTCTGCTCCTGCGAGCAAGGCTGCTCCACCCACCGGCATGTCCCCTGCGCACTGGAGACCCTCAGGCATACCTGACACCCTGCCCCTCCTCCCTGCACCCACGGGACACACATCCCTCCCACCTCCGCACCCCCTCCACACAGCACAGCCCCGGCCGTGGGCCCAGGCCACAGGGGTGCCCCCGCAGAGGTAGAGGGGGCAGCAAAGAGCACAGCGGGGCAGCCCCCCAGGTCGGGGAAGCTCTCCGCAGGCCACGGCCCCAGGGCCTCCCCCCAGCCCTGAAGTGAGTTCCCAGGAGCGCCAGCACCGAGCAGCCACGCAGCCGCCTCCTGGGCTGGGCCTGGGCAGGCGACAGCCGGGCCCTCCCCACTTTCTCCTCCAGGACCCCGTGAATAAAAGTTGGGACACATTCCAAGACACCTTGAAATCTGCCCAAATGCAGCAGCCTCTTCTCCCCGGGGCCCCGCACCTCAGACTCGGCCTCCTGGCCCCGGCCGTCACCCAGGGTTTTTGCAAAATGGTCTCCACTTTCATTCCCACTGGATTATCTGCTGAACAGAGGGATGAACACACCCCGTGGTCACTGCAGCCCACCCCCAGCAGCCCGGGTCACAGCCCGGCGCCCAGAGACACCAGCGTGGGCGAGGGGCGCCGCAGGGCCGCAGCGGGGCACCGCGCGGCCGTGGGAGAAACAGACCACGGGCTCTTGCCCTTCGAGACAACATGGTGCAGGGGACACTGAGAGGAATAGGTCAGAAGGAGAAAGACCGAGTCGGGATGATTCCACTGGCGCGTGGACCGCAGAGCAGCAGAACAGGAGCAGAGAAAACGAAACCCACATAAACCTAGAACCTGGCACAGAATTGAGGCTCCGGGAGCGGAGGGTGGACAGCAAAGTAGGAGGGGCCCCGTGGACCGTGGTGGGGACTGTGCTTCGGGAGTGGGCTGGAGGCGTGACCCCACCCCCTCAATCACACCCCTAAATAACACACGTCCTTAAACCAACATTACTGCAAAATAAAACCAATAAACGCTTCTCTCCAGCTTCATGACACGGGCAGCCCGCGCGAGGCCGGGGCAAAGAAGCCCAGCGTGGAGAGCAGCGAGCCTCGCCCGGCCCCAGGGGCTGACGGCCAGCGGAAGGTTGTGCCGCCGGAAGGAACAGCGAGGTGCTCTGTGAAGACTTGGCCTCGTCAGGAGGGTCCTGACGTGTGGCTGAAAGGGAAGAAATGCCTAAACGAATGGTGAGCGGCCGTGGGTGCTGCCAGCCGTGCCCGCACCCCTTCCTGGACGGCTCCCTCGGGGCTGCGGCCAAGGCAGAGGCGGCCAGAGCGCCCCCTCCCGTTCTCATCGCCCTCCCACCCGGGCTTGGGCCCAGGACGCAGCTTCCCTCTAAAGTGCCTCTAAAAGCTTCAGAAATCAGAGGCTGGTGCTGGCCCCAAACTCCAAACAAGAAGCAGCAGCCCCCAGAGTGGCGGGCGCCGAAGAGCAGGACACACAGACGACCCGCGCACGGGATGGGGGAGAGCAGGGCGCGCTGTGCTCCGCGACCCGCCACTGCAGGCCGGGAGCGGGCCCGTGAGTGCAGCTGCAGATCCCAGAAAAGGGGGTCCCCTGGGGGAGAGCGGAGCCTCAGAGGCGAGAGAACCCGAGAGGAAAGTTCTCCAGCCCCCCAGGCAGCCTCGGGGGCCCCACCCGTCACACAGAGCTGGAGGACCAAAGTGTCCTCTCCCCAGGAAGGCAAATCCACAGTTGACCACGTGGAATCTAGTGATTCTACAAGGCCCTGGAAGCCTTAAAAGCCTGAAAAGACGGGGCCTCCCTGGTGGCGCAAGGGGTTAATACACTGCACTAGAAGCTGTCCACAGCCACCGCAGCACGCAGCACAAGTTCGATCCCCAGCCAGGGAGATACCCACATGGCGCAGCAGACCTCTCCTGACTCACCCACTGCTCCCCTCAGCAGTGGATTTCAGTCAGTCTGCTCCCCCACTCGGTCTCTGGTGAGTCCTCTTACCTCCCACATCTCTGGCCTGCACCCCAGCTCTTGTATGCATAAATAAAAATCTTAAAAAAAAATCTCAAAAGGCAAATGAGCAGGAAACAGGAGGACACCCCTGAGCGCACGTCAGAGAACTGTGCCCCCCGACAACACCAGAGCAGACACCAGCGAAGACGCAGGCCTGAGGTGGTGCAGAGCAGCACACGCCCCTCATGGCCCGGCAGCTTCAGCTGTGCAGGGGGGCTGCCCCGCCCCATGGCGCCCAGGGGAGCGCCAGGCCTGGCCCGGCAGGGGTTCAGGCGGGCCATGGTCCTGGAAGGCTCCCGAGCGTGACAGATGGGGCGAGACACCCCACTAGCTGGGCAGGGGCCGGCCAGCACACTCGGGGCCTCCAGGGGACGCTGCAAGCCGAGGGGCGCACTCGGGGAGCAGGGTCACTTCTGCTGCCCACTGGGGGCACCGCTCTGGCCTCCAGCCCGGCGTGGGGAGCGGGGGCTGCATCTGCAGGCAGGGGGGGATGGAGCTGCGTTCCGGGTTCCGATGGGGGGCGCGGAGGGACAGCCGTCAGATCGGGCTGCACAGCTCTCTCCAAGCTAAAAATACAGCCACTTTCGAGCTCACTGTCGGGTGTGCGGGGGGCACAGGATGGGAGAAATTCTGACTTTTCCTTTCCACGCCTCTGCGCGGGGCTTGCTGCCGAGACCGCGCGCCGGGAGGAGGGTCCAGGAGCTCCTGGAGGACGCGGGGAGGGCACAGGCATCCTGAGATGGGGAGGCGTCTGGAGACAGGCGTCTGGGGCGTCGGGCGCCCGGTGGGTGACGGGGTCCGCGGGGCCAGCCGGGCAGTGAGCAGAGGCCACGTGCGGGAGCCGGCGGGGACTTTGTCCGGCGGTGCTGGGAATGCCCTTTGGAAGAAAGGAGCGGCGCCCGCTGTTCTCTGGCCGGCCTCAAGGCCTCCGTGGTTCCTTCGCTCTTACAGGGTAAAGTCCGCACCCCGGCCCCGGCGACCGTCGGCCTCTCTCCCCCCGGCCCAGGCCGCCCGCTCCCCGGCATCCGCCCCGCCGGGGCCCCGCAGACGCCCAGCTCGCGGCAGCTCTCGGACCTTTGCTCGGCCCCTGGTTCTCCCAGCAGCTCCGCCGAGCTCGCCCCAGACACCCCATCCCGGGAGCGGCATCCGGAGTCCCCAGAAAGGAGGCGGCTCAGGCCCCTCCTACGTCCCTCCAGGTCCGCCTGGACACCGGCAGCGAGCGCGGGCCACGCTGGTTCGCACGACCAGCCTCTTCTCCGCCGAGCCCAGAAGCGGGGCCTGACGCTGCGCCCTGCCCATGTCAGACCCGGCAGGGGACGGGCTCACATGCCCGCGCCCTCCAGTCACCCCTCCCGCCTGCCGTGTTCCCCGCGGCTCTCTGACTTACTTCTGTTCCATGCGTGTCGCCCAAGGCAGGAGAACACCATCCGCCCAGAGGGCCGGGCTCCCGGGCAGCCATCTTACGTTCGGGCCAGCGGCCTGCTCCTGCCGACCGGCCGGGGACTCGGGCCTGGGGCTCCAGGTTGCCCCAGCAGCTCGCGCAGGGAGGACGGGCGCCCATGAGGCCAGGAGAGCCTCCGGACCCTGCAGGGACCCCCGCTCCCGCCGGCCTGCACCCCTCCAGCGGGCCTCAGCCGGCTCAGCCCTCGAGAAGGCAGACGAGGGTCTCGGGACCAGTGGTCCAGCTCTCACTCGCGCCTGCCTGAAACCAAGCTGCCCGAAGATGGCGCAGGCGGAAGCGTCGGCAGGACTCTGGTCTCCCTGGAAGGGTCACTCTCCCCACTGCAGAGACAGACTTCCTCTCGCCGGCCGAGGTCGTGGGCAAAGGGCTCCTGTGCGCCAGGGCCTCTCAGCCGCCATCGCAAGGGACACCCGCGACTCTGGCGGGCCCAGCGGCCACAGAGGGCCTCCCGGCGCCCTTCTAGCCCGCGTCCCCCAGCAGAGCTGAGCACACGCGGGCGGGGCGGCGCTGAGTTCCGGTGTGCAGTGAGGATTGGGGCCTGGCCTTGCACCCACCCAGGATGGAGCCAGGGAGCCTTCGGGCGTACCCCCAGCAACAAGGCTGGCCTGCGCCACAGAGGCCTGCAGAAGCCTCACTCCACGGCTCAGCCTCCTTCAGGCCATTTCCAGGAAAGGGCCAGAAAGTGCTGCCTTCTGCTCAGTCAGGTCAGGTCACGTGTACAAGGAGCAGGTGTCAGGCGTGGCTGACGGTTTGTATTTTCTTCAACAATTTTCAGACGCATTGGGGGAAGACGCTTTCACTGATTTTCGAGATCAGTGAATGTAACAAATCTATCTTCATCTTCTTCCAGCAGAGAGCACCTGACGGCTGGGCCCGTGAGGACACTCACACCCTCTCGCCCTGCCCCGCAGCGGGCGCGTTCCCGGCAGGCCAGGGCCCGCTCCCAAGGACGCAGTGGTTCTCCCCAGGGTCTGCAGAGACCTGCCGGCAGGATGGAGGATGGGCCTGAGAGCTCGACCCAACAGGAATCCTGACACTCAGAAGCTGCAGTCACAGGAAATGCGAAAACCTACCAATAAAATTTATTTCGGAAACGAATACATAAGCAACCAAGTACAGTTGAGCATAATTTTTTTTTTAAGTCTTTGGTGAAATGGAATGAAAATACAAATTTAAAGAGAAAAAGAATAATGTAAAATTTCTAAAAAATGGATCGAAGTATTTGAGTTCTGTGGGATTTAGAGTCATTGAATGCACGTGAAGGTCACAAACTTTTTTATACTAAAATGCTAATATTTATATTATGCCTAAAAGTACATCTTTTGCAACCAAGTACAAAAAGTGTACCTATCAACTTAATAATTATCTGGGGTGTATGTTGGCAAAAATATACGAAAACCTTTGCCCTGACCCTTTCGGCTTATCCACTGCGACTGACTTGGGGTGTGCAAATCCCCCTTGAGGGGAGAACATGTCCTGCTCCATATCCACCAGCTCACTTCTCCGGTGACTCCACCTCTTCGTGGATCCCTAGGGTCCCCGGAGCGCCCTGAGTAGGTCAGCGCCAAGGCAGTCAATCCCCCCTTCTCCCGCCATCTCAGAGCGCCTTCCATGGCCACGCCAGTATCACCAGAAGTTCTATAGGACGGTCCAGAGACCTCATCAAGACACCCAGCCACCGAGAGCCCAAAAGACGTTCTCCACCTGGCCAGGACGCCTCCCAATATGGATTGTCTAGGAAGAAGTGAAACATGCAGATTAAATTATCTTCTTCTAAATCATAGCCCCAAGGTATCTGATCCACTCTGGGTAGAATCCAGAATCATTCACGTCCAACGGCAAACTCCCGCTCTCGTGAATGAAACTTCACTCTCAGGTCCTATCACTGAGCTTAGCTCCCTGCCTGCCCCCACCCAGGCACCCGCAGGGAGCGCTGTGCAGGTGCCAGCTCCGCAGACGGGGCGAGGGCCACGTGTGCTGACGCCGAGAGCCAGCAGGATGCCAGCGGCACCCCCTCCGGCTCCGAGGAGCATCTGATGTGGGAAAGAAGTGTTTTTCCCAAAAATGGAGAAATAGGACAGGATTGCAAGAAACAGTCTCTCTTATTTAAGAAATATTTATTGAGTTCAAATGTCTGGCTAGGTCTGCTGGGAGATTCCTAAGTGAGTCACAGCTCGACCAACTGCTCGGAACCGCCAGTGTGCAGGCCGCACACCCAGGGTGGCACCGCGGTGGCTGCTTCTGGGCCAGGGGCCCTTCCAGTGTACAGACTAGGCAGCGCCGCCTGCTGCCAAGGCCCAGACAGCTCAGTGGCCCAGAACAGGGCCGGGGCTCTGCCCACACAGGCGGGGCCGGCCCGCGCTGCTGCGTGGGATGCCACGAACGCCGTCTCTCTCCCCTGACCCCAGCAGGAGCCAGAGCGCTGGCCGGGGCTGCTCGCACCCCAAGATGTTCCTGCCAGAGCTTAGCTTCTGCACATAGCAGAGCCTGCGCCATCGGGTCAGAGGTCGCTGGGGAAGCGGCCGCGTGAGGAGCCCCGTGGAAGCCCCGGCCATCTGGCAGGGCGTGGAACCTCCAACAACTTCAGCCCGGACAGGGGCGGCGAACTCCTGGGTGACTGGGCCCACAGGACAGGGAGCATGGGAAGGGACAGGTCCTTAGAGCCGCTGCCTCCAGCCCGCGTCTCTGGCAGATGGAACCCAACGCCTCAGGCGCCTGAGACACGGAACCCCTGGTGCCAGACCCTGCCATGTTGTGGGGGAGGGGGGCTGGTGGTCTCCATGAGGAGGGCAGGGAGAGTCTGCAGGTGAAATGTCACGGCCTCGCAGGTGCAGCGGATGCCCAAGCCGGCCTCGGGCCTCAGGGGGCCGGTGGGGAGAGAGTGGAGAGGAGGCAGAAACGCCGCTGCAGAGGCAGGAGAAGCGGAGGACCCTAGGGAGAGCTTCAGGAACGTAATGTCAGGAAGAGCAGAAGAGGCCGGGCTGGCGGTCACAGCAAGGGAGGCACAGAATTCAAGGAAGGAGAGCAGCGAGCCCAGAGTGTGGGGACTGCGTGGCCCTGGGGAGCAGCGTGCAGGTCTTGGAGGGGGATGGACTGAGTGGGCAGGGTCGGGGCATCCCTGGGGCGGAGGCTGGTGTCAGGCGGGCAAGGGAGTTGGCCGCGGGCGCGCTGCAAGGCAGAGAAGCTGCTCATGATGGTGGAGGCCCTGAGCGCCGATGCCCCGTGGCCCCGAATACCTGTACACCACTGGACACCGGGACTCGGCGGCCACTGACGGGTCTGGGCAGCAGAGGTGACAGCAGCAGGCAGGCCCTGGGCGACCCTTGCAGACCAGCTCGGGGCTTGGAAGGGCAGTGAGCTGCTCACGGGACTCATGAAAGAGGAAGGGCTTCCGGCGCAGTGGCCGCGATGGAGGGGACACTCCGAAGCCTCTCACCTCCTAGACAGCCCAAGGCCGGTCCCGGGGTGTGATCAGGGGCCCCAGCCAGCACTGTGCGCATTGGTGGAGGGAAGGCAGGTGGGCCTGGGTGTGCCGCTGGCCCTGACAGAAGGGGCAAGACGTCAGTGTCCAGCCTGCCAGGGCCTGCCGGAGGCCGATAAACACCAGCAGGCCCCAGGCCCCGCTTCTAGCTGTGTCCCTGGGAAGCGCCCGGCCGGCAAGCCACCTGCCGCTGTGCGCCCCCTTCCTGCCAGGCCCTCCAGGCTGGGCAGAGGCAGCTGGGTCCTTGCTGCCCCCCAGACCCCGCTCCTCGGAGAGCAGGTGTTTCATACCTCCGGAGAGCAAAACATGGCTGTGATTTTAGATCCACAGGATGCCGCTTTCTGACACTGAAAAGTGTGTTAATTACATTTCTAGCTCCCATAAATAAAGTTTTACTGGGAACTCAGCGCGGCTTATGCCCTGGGGCGTGTGGCTGCTCTCCCGGGAGGGGCGGGGGTCCTGACACCCCGGGCTTCGCCCAGGCCCACGGTGGGGGTGCAGGGGTGCAGAGCCTGCGGCCGGAGCCAGCCCCGCCCTCGCCCTCCCCGCACAGACGCGCGGCCCGCGCCGGGATCCCGGGGCTCTGCGCCCCGCTCTGCGCCCCGCTCCTCCGCGCCCCGCTCTGCGCACTCTGGGCTCCGACGCCACTTGGTCCGCGCCGTCCCCGGGCGCCTCTTGTTCCCAGACGCGGCTCCCCCCTCCGCCCAGGCGGAGCCCCAGTTCCCCAGCGGCCGCGGCTCACCCGCCCCTGCGCCCCCGACACTGGCCACCCACTGGCCACCCGCTGCCCCCCGCAGGACACCCGCCGCACCCGCCCGCGCGCCCCGCCACACCTGCGTCCGGGCCCGCCCCCGCGCGGAGGCCGGGGCTGGGGGCGCAGGCGGGGTCCCCGGGCCGGGGCGGGGGGGGCGCGGGCGGGGTTCCCGGGCCGGGGCGTGGGGGCGAGGGCGGGGTCCCCGGGCCGGGGCGGGGGGGGCGCGGGCGGGGTCCCCGGGCCGGGGCGGGGGGGCGCGGGCGGGGTCCCCGGGCCGGGGCGGGGGGTGGGCAGTGGCGGGGCGCGAGGCCGGGTGGGGCGATGGACCCCAAAAGCCGCGCTGCACAGCGGACAGCGCCGCGGCCCCGCGTCGGCGACGCGCCCCGGAGCCCCACCCCGGGGGCAGCCCCTGCCCGGAGCGGTGCCGCCGCCGCGCCCCCAGAGCCGGCCCGCGCACGCGCACAGGGGCCGAGGAGCCGAGGGGCGGGGCGGGCGCCGGGGGCGGGGCCGGCGAGGAGGGCGCGTGGCGCGCGGGCCCGCGCACGCGCCGCGGCCGCGCCCCGCCCCGCGTCGCGGCGCCGGCGCAGCGTCGGCTCCCAGGCCCGCCCCGCCCGCGGAGCAGGGAAGTGTGGGCCGCGCGGGACGTCACCCGCGCGCGCCGCCCGGCCACGGCCGGCGGGGCGGGCGGGGCGGGCGCGGACCACGCGACCTCGCCGGCCGCCAATCCCGAGCCGCCGGGCCCCGCCCCGCCGCGCGCCATTGGCCGAGCGGCCGGGGGGCGGGCCGGCGGCGCGGCGGGGCGGCGGCAGCGATGGCGGCGGGCGACGGGGCCGAGGAGCCCGGCGCCCCGGGGAGCGGCGGCGGCGGCGGGGGCCCGGGCGGCGGCGCGGGCGCGTGGGCGGCGCTGCCGGCGGCGGGGGAGATGCTGCTGCACGCGGCGCTGGCCGCGCTGCTGCTGCTGGGCGCGCTGCGCCTGTGGCGGCGCTGGGGGCGGCGCGGCCGGGGCGCGGGGCCGGGCGCGGCCGAGGACGGGCCGGCCGCCGCGCTGCCGCGCATGAAGAAGCGGGACTTCAGCCTGGAGCAGCTGCGCCAGTACGACGGCGCGCGCACCCCGCGCATCCTGCTCGCCGTCAATGGCAAGGTCTTCGACGTGACCAAAGGCAGCAAGTTCTACGGCCCGGGTGAGCGCGGGGGCGGGGGCCGGCGGGGGCCGCGGGGGCGGGGGCGGGGCGGGCGCTCCGACGCGCGATAACGACTTATCGGGTGCGGGCCCGGGGGGCGGCGGGGCGGCCGGGCGGGCGGGCGGGCGGCCGGGCGCGCCCCTGCGGCTCGCGGGGCTGGGCTCCGGGCGCGGCCCGGGGGGCGGCGGGGCCGGCCGGGGCCTCCGTCCCCGCGCGCGCGGGCCACGCGGTCGGGCCGCGCCGTGGGCCGGTGCCGGCCCCGGCCTGCTGGAGCCGCGGCCGGTTGAGCAACGGCGTGCGTGTGGGGCGAGGGTTCGTCGGGCCGGGCGCCCGAAGGTGCGGGCGAGGAGAACAACAAAGGGGAGACCTGGGCCGACCTGCCCCTTGAAAGAGGCCGTCAGGCCCTCCAGGCCGGGGTGGGCGGGTGCAGACGCGGCTGCTTCCCTTCGGGGTGTAATTGCCGTTTACTGACACTTGCAGATGCGCCCCTTGGATTCAGAGCCCTGCCCGGAGCCTGCTCAGAAGGCGCTGCGGCCTGTTGCCAGCTGAGTGGGGCGAGAACCCGGGGGTTGCGGCTTAGCCTGCCCGGGGTGTGTCCACGCGCGCGGGTGCCCCGTCGGGGCCTCTCCCGGTCAGCCCAGCCAAGGCTTGCTTCGGGGTGTCTAAAGGTGGAGCCAGACGTGCCCCCCACAGCGCGGAGACGGCTGGTCCTCTGCTGACTCCCGTGCACACGGGACAAGGGGTGGGACCGAAATACTGTATTTAAGCAGGTGGAGCAGATGAAATCGTTTATTTTTCTTAGTCTCGGGTTTATGTAGTATTTTGTGCCTCGTTAGAGTTTGTTTCTGGCTGACATTAAGACACGGGGTGCAGGTCTCCTGCGTTCCAGCCTTGCCCTGCGTGGGGTCCGCCTCTGGCCCCCTCTGAGCTGCTGCTGGGCCCAGGCAGCCCCCTCACACGTGCCTCCCCACGCTCTGAAAATAGCTGGGAGAGACAGTCTCAGGCAGCTTGGCAGCCTCCAGCGGCAAGTGTTCTGCAGCGGAAATTAAAAATTCAGATAAGAGAGGTGTCGTGTTGGCCGCCTGAGCGCGGCCCCCCAGGTCACCCCACGCCAGACTCCCGCCCACACAGCCAGGCCCGCATTCCGCCACATGGTCCCAGGTGCTCGCTGGCCAGAGGCCTGGTGGGGAGCTTGGGATGTTTTAAGGCTGAAAGGACCCCTGACGCCGGCCAGTCGTCAGGTGCGCCTGGCGGGGTTGAGATTTCACATTAACAGACCGCAGAGCACTTTCCCGCAGTCTCAAAGCCAAGGTTCTGGCTATGGAGCAACACACGTTCAGTTGGGTTTTGATTTTTACTGTGAGTCTCAAATTGGGTGCTTTTGCAGGATAATTCAGAAGCAGTAACCCTTATCTGAGCTCTCGGCAGTTGGGAAGAACAAGCTGGCGGTTTCTGTGCCGCCAGTAGCTGCCCCATGCCAGGGTAAGGGGCATGATGCCAGAGCTTGTGAGCTTCGGTTTTTTCAGATTGAGATCCTTTTCTTTTCAGTCATGCAGCATTAAAGTCCAGGTCCTTAAAAAGCAGCATATTGACTGCTTAGTGGGGTAAACACACGCCGGCAGACGGCCGGCACCAGCCACATGCGTCGCTGTCACGTCGGTGACAGTCCAGGTGCTCAGCCCGTAGGTGAGCAGAGTGGAGGAGCGAGGAGAGCAGGTTCCGCAGCACCCACTGAGCAGGCCGCCTGCCTTGGCGGGGCTGGCGGGTCTCATTGGCTGGGCCTTCCGGCCCAGGTGTAGCTGAGCGCCCAGCCTCGCTGCTGTCTGGGAGAAGCTTGCGGGGATCCTGCTGGGGCATCGAGAGCGCCAAAGTCACACGCCCTTAGCTTTATGTCCTGCTGCCTGGTGTGGTGGCACCGGCCACAAAATGCCACTTTGACCTTAAATAAAGTGACATGAAGGGCGACTGATATGGAGTGGCTCCCCGAGGGCCTGGCGCGGAGGTGGGGCTGAAAGTGGATTTAACGCCCCTGGAGGGCCCACCAGAAGCGGGTCTGTGCTGGCAGAGGCGAGGCCCTTGCTGGCCTTTCGGCCTGTTCCTGACATCTGGGCCTGTGCCCCCCGCCCCGGGGCCGTGCTTGCTTCGGCTCCCTGTGACTCCCCAGGAAGGAGAGTACGGAGCAACGCCTGACTCCCCGGTGTTCAGGAGTGGGGAGAGTCACAAGCCTGCCAAGTGGCTTCCTCCTCCTGCAGCTCCATCTGCGGTCGGGCTTATTCCGAGTCCGCAGAATCGCAGGTGCGGCCTGCCCGGCCCGGCCTGGCCCTGGTGCTGTCTGGCCAGACCCACGCGCGCCCTCCTGCCCTGAGGTGGGGGCAGCTCCGCTTCCTGGCCAACTGTGACCCTGCTCACACACATCCTGGTTGTCTCTGCGAGACCCCCCGGGGCTCGTCCTGTGCGTCACGGGGCAGCTGGGCACTGTCGAGGCCAGCCCTGAGTGGCCTAAGAGCGGCAGCGGGCGTTTTTGGGTGAGAGTGAACCGCCTCTTGAGGATACTTTGCTGCCCGCCTGCTGGCGGCTCCGTGTCTGGCCCTTGGGGTGTCCAGCCCCACTGCCCGCCCTGGGGGCGCAGCTGCCCCTGCACGCTGTCCCTTCGCTTCCTCCTGCGGGTGACGACAGGGGTGCTATGGTTTCCCGCGTGGTGCCCCAGTGTCTGAGGACACCCCTCCGCCCCCAAGCTGGGCCTGCCCCACCCCCCACCTTTCCTGGCGTCTCCTTCCTTACTGGATTTTAGCCGCTTGCTCGAGCTCCTCACCAGCTCTGGGGTGCCTGGCCCCCCGGGCATCTGCAGCTCTCGCTGAGTTTTGTTCCAGGTTGTTCCACAAGCCGCAGTGGTGGTGGTTGTGCGGTGTTCCCTGTCTGGCCTCTCGGAGATGAGGCTCGGTGCCCACCCGAAGCCCTTCGGGGTCTGGGGGTGCCGCCTCAGTGCAGGAGGGCAGGGGCTCACTCGGGGTTCGTGGCTTGCCCCTGGAGATGCTGTGCCTCCTGGCCCTCCTTGGTGCCTGGGCCTCGCCTCCCTCTGGGGTACCCTCTCCTGGGTGACCTTGGGGCCCATGGATTCCGCCCCTGCAATACCCGCCGTGTCCTCTCCTGGGGTGTGACAGGCGTGACATTGGTCTTCTAGATGGCGGGTGTTCTTTAGAAAGAGAATCAGCATTTGCTGCAAATATTTTTCCTAGTGTTTTCCTTTTGCCTTTCTGGTGGTGTTTTCTAAACCAAGGGGAAGTTTTGGTGTTTTTTGTAGTCAAATGTATCTTTTTTTTTGAGGCTGAGTTTCCTATGGCTGGGAGACTTTGCACTTAAAGATGATTGTTTAATCTGCGGATTAATACTCCCATGGTTGGGTTGCCTTTGGGATTTATCATGCTCTGAGCTGTGGAAGGGGGGCCCAGCGTGGGCTTGGTTCTTACGGAAGCTGGTCGTCCGCAGCCGCCTGTAGAACGACCCGCTGCTGCTCAAGCCGGCACCGCTGTGCAGCTGCTGCAGCCACGCCCTCTCTGCCCGGCCGGTGCCGGTGCCCGGGTGGCCCAGGCCTGGGCTTTCTGTCCTCAGAGTCCCGCGCCCCACCCCGCCGGAGGCCTGCAGGCTGGACCCAGGCGCGGGAAGCGCCCGCTCCCTCTAGGCGAGTCCAGCGTTCCAGACCTTACCTAGGGTGGCCCTGGCTGGAGTCCAGAAAGTGCTTTCCCCCTTTGCTCCGGGCTTCCGGGGTCCTGGGCGTGGACCCTTGCCCGGGTCACGGGTGGGGCATCAGTGCCGCCCCTCCCCGGGGCAGGACCCCGGCGTGGAGGTCACTTCCTCAGCCCGCCGCCGTCTTCTGGGCAGACGCACACCGGCCGCGGGGGTCTCGAAACTGCCAGCCACGGCCTCTTACCCCGGCGCTGCCTTGTCTCTGGGAGTCATTTTTCACACCCGGGGAGTAAGCAGCATCCTCACTCGGGTTTTCCCGTTCTCCTGAGCCCCGCTGGCGCCTCCCGAGCGTCCCGGCAGTCACAGCTCGGTCAGCTGCGTGGTTGAGGTGTTTGCTCTCCTCCTTCCTGGCGTCTCCGCGCGGGAGCCAGTCTGCAGGACGCCGCTTCCCATGCCCTCTGCCGGGTGCTGCTCCCGAGCTTCGAGCTTCCGCGCGCGCCTTTGCTCTCCAAAGAGCCGCCCCGAGCTGTGTCAGCCCCGAAGATCGCTGGCGCCGCCCGGTCCTGACGAGTGCGGCGTGGTTTTGGGCCGCCTGCTCTCTCGGAAGCAGATGAACCTCTGAAGTCCCGGCCTGCGCCGCGCGGCGGGAGCGTGTGGGGAGCGTCGTTTCCCAGAGCAGGAGTGTCCGTGGCGTCGCGGGCCCTGAGCACAGCACCCGAACGCGCGCGGCTGGGGTCAGGGGCGGCCAGGCGGGGGCCGCGTCGTGGGGGAGGCGCCCCGGGTTCCGCCGCACCCTCCCCGTGTCCGGGCCACTCGTCCAGCCCCGGCTCTGGTCCGCGGCGCTCTGGTCTTCGGGGGCTTCCTGGAGACGGGCTGGTGCCCCCGGGCCCGCAGGAGCTGGGGCTGGGTGGGAGACTCCCGCCGGCGGCAGTGGCGCCAGGTCGGTTCGGAGGGACGGCACACCCCTCGCCCCCCGGGCAAGGCCACCGGGCAGCGCGGCCTCGGGAGCAGGTCGGCCTCCTGGCACCGGGAGGCTCGGGTGGCGTCGCGCGCACCCTCACCCTGGCTCGGGAGCCTCTGGCCCGAGGGGGTCGCCGGCCGCCCCCTGCCGCCATGGCGGGCCCCGACGTGTCCCCGCGGGGTCGAGCCTCGCCTCCCAGGCCAGGGCGGGGCGCGGTAGGCCGAGCGCCGTGTTCCACCTGCAGCGTCTCACTGGTCTTTTCCAGCTTGACTTAACAGGTCCCTAAAATGCCGGTGCCCGCAGAGGCGGTGCTGGTGGCGCCCGCTCTCCCCTGTCGGCGCTTCTCCAGGGGTGCTGCTGCGGGGTGGGGGCTGTGGGCTGGTGCCTGCCTCCGCTGTCGGTGACTCACCGGGCCTGGCCGCGGGGAGGCCAGGGGACGCTCCAGAAAATTCTTTAGGGCCTCCCCGGTGGCGCAGCGGTTGAGCGCTGGGTTGCGAAGCTGCCCGCAGCCTCTGCAGCGCCGGTTCGATCCCCGGCTGCTCCCCGGCCACCAGAGGAGGGTCCCACATGGCGCGCAGACCTCTCCTGCCGCCCGCTGCTCCCCTCAGCAGTGTCCTTCGGTCCTTCTGCCTGCTCTGCTCCCCGCTCTGGCTCTTGTGAATTCTCTTACCTTCCCGCGCTTCTGACTGTACCCAGTGCTTGTATAAATAAATAAATAAATAAATCTTTTTTTTTTTTAAAAAAAAAGGTTCTTTAACGAGCTGGAGCTGTCAGTACCTTTGTGGTTGTCATAGCCTGATCGGGTTTATTTCCCCTTCTGTGTTGGGCTTGCTGCTGTCAGACGTCGGGAAGCAGGGCCGGGTCAGCACTGAGCTGCCCCTGGGCAGCCCTTTCTCCGGGAAGCCGCCGCGGTGTGCGCCTCCACGAGCCCTGTGGCCGCTGCCCCCCCCCTCGGGAAAATGAACATTTCTCTAGAATAACGAGCACCCGTATAGCGAACTCGAGGTTTTCTCTGTGGAGAGCAGCAACGTCGGATTTCCAGCTGCGACGCTGGCGGGGCCGGCTGCGGGAGCCGCCCTGCTGTCTGCACGACCCTGCGCGCCGGTTCCTGCGTCGGGAGGGCGGTCACGGCCCAGGCCGAGGAGGGAAACGGCGCCGGGCCCAGCTGCACGCGGCAGGGAGATGGCCGGGGCGGCAGGAGGGCGCAGCAGGGCTGCGGGGCGCCCCCTCCTGCTCAGGCCCAGCTCATGGCGCTTAGCGCTTGTCTTTCTGAGGGAGCTGCTGGGCCCCGCTGGCGAGGGTGCAGGCGCTTCCCCGACACAGAACGTCCCTTGTCCTAGACGAGCCCGGGGCACTCCGCTGGCTCCAGACCCGACAAACGCCCCGCTGACCGGCGCGTCTGCTCGGGGGAGATGCTGCATCCTGACCCGCGCCCCGCGGGCTCCCCGGTCACGGCTGCTCGCGATCCTTACACCGATGGTTGTGACTTTAAAGTGATTTTCCCTAAATTCCTGTGGCCTTGTATCGCCAGCTTTCAGATTTGGCAAAGAAATTTTTTGTTTGTAAGATTCTATATTTTGGAAACCTTGTTTACTACCATGTATTCTTTTTTTTTTTTTTTTTTAATACTTATTTTTTTTTTTTTTTAATAGAGGCATGTTTTATTTATTTATTTATTTGTTTGTTTGTTTGTTTTGTTTATACATGCACTGGGTACAGTCAGAAGCGTGGGAGGGTGAGAGAATTCACCAGAGCCAGAGCAGGGAGCAGAGCAGGCAGAAGGACCGAAGTACACTGCTGAGGGGAGCAGCGGGCGGCAGGAGAGGTCTGCGCGCCATGTGGGACCCTCCTCCGGTGGCCGGGGAGCAGCAGGGGATCGAACCGGCGCCCCAGAGGCCGCGGGCAGCTTCGCAACCCAGCGCTCAACCGCTGCGCCACCGGGGAGGCCCCACTACCATGTATTCTTAAAAGAACATTTTTAACAGAAATTTACGAGATTAGACGGAAACAAATAACTCTAGAAAGGTTATCATGAAAATCATTTTTTAAACAACTAGACTTTCCCAGTTACATGAGGTTAAGATTTTCCCTTCTGCCCCCAGACACGTTGCCACTGCTGAGCGGGCCGTGTGCTTCCTGGCGCGGCCCGCAGCGCACACGTGCTCACACACGCGCATCCCCCTCACAATTCAAAGTGAATTACACCGTACGCTCCTCCGGGTGGCTTTTCGTCGTTACAGCATGGGCTGCCGTGTGTCTACACGTAGAGCTACCGATTCTTTCTGGTGGCGTGTAGTGTTCTGCTGGCTCACGTGCTGTGCTCAGCCGGCTTCCTAGACGTGTGACACGTCAGCCGCCTCATCCCGTTAGTGTGTTTTAAATGACCAAAGCGTCTTTCGTCACTTGCCCGGGTGGAGACTTTGCCGGCTGCAGGCGGGAGGGTCGGCAGCGAGAGTCTCTGCTGCTCAGAACCGTGATGAGCTCGCAGAAGCCGTTGACGGTGCTCGGCCCAGGGCTCGGGGCCGTCGGGCGCTGCTCCCTGGAAAGGCTCGTCTCGTGTCTCCTGTTCCTCACGGCCATGTCTGTCCCCCCGACCCACGAGAAGTGAGACCTTTCGTCTCTTTGCTGGCGTCTCGTGTATACAGCCGTCGTGAGTCTGTGGCGGTTGCGTGAAGCGTCTCGGAAAGCGGGTCTCGTGTCTGTCAGACGCCTCCTTCAGCAGAGCCTCGGGGGGCTGCACGTGCCGGGCTCTGGCCTCCCACCCGCCGGGGCAGCATCGCGTCTCCCTGTGGACGGCAGGAGGAAGGACGTGTCGCAGGCGCGTCTCCACGGTGCATGCCCAGGGCTGCTGTGGGGGTCTGGCCAGAGGCCAGAGTGTCGGTTCCCCTCAAGAAGACTGGCCTCCAGACCCACCTGCTTCAGCGCCCCTTCTCCCAGCGCCTCCAGGGCTTCCTCTTTGGATACAGATTTGCGGGTAGCTAAAGAAACTGAAATTCTATGTTTAAATTTTCATTGAAAAGCCATACTTTGGCCAATAGGCAGGTTTTGAAGAAACTCTTTGCCACGTCCCGCCTAGCGAGACTCGTTCTGGAATCAAGACGGCGCCGCGCCCAAGCTTGCCCTGCCTTTCCTCTGAGGCAGCCTGAGACACCCTTAGGAAAGCTAAATCATTTCTTCTCTCTCCCCAGCGGGGCCTTACGGGATATTTGCGGGCAGGGATGCGTCCCGAGGCCTGGCGACCTTCTGCCTGGACAAGGAGGCGCTGCGGGAGGAGTACGACGACCTCTCAGACCTGAACGCCGTGCAGATGGAGAGTGTCCGGGAGTGGGAGATGCAGTTTAAAGGTACATCCTCCGGGGACCTGGACGTGCCCGTGTCTGGCCAGGCCCGGCGCCCCCGTTGCTCGGAGAGCAGATGGCTGCAGGCCCGCATGGCGTGGTGGCCGGGAAGGGCTAGCGGAGGCGGAGGTTGGCTGGGGCCGCGCAGGACCATGGCCTTCCGCTGCCGGTGTGGTCATGTTCTTGGAGACCATTCGCCCCCAAACTCTCCCCCATTGGAGCTGCTTGCACGAGACTGCACCGTGCCCGCGCCCTTCCCCTTCCCCCACCTCCGCCCCGCGCGCGCCACCGTTCTCCCTCCCTGGCCTTCTGTAGCCCCGAAAAGCACCCCGACCTTTCGTTTCCCCTCAGTTCTGTGCCAAATCCCGTCTCTTTATAGGGTTGAAATAACCGGACCGTCCCTACCAGCGCGGTTCTCAATCTGCTTTAGCCAAGTGTCAAAGTCAGGAGCTGCTGGGACTCACAGGTCACCGCTGTGTCCCAGGCCTGACCCGAGAGTCGGGCCGAGCAGCTCGGGGCGGACCAGGCCCGCCACCTGTTGAGCGCTCTCCTGGCGTGCCCGTGGGGGCCAGACCCGCCGCCTGTTGAGCGCTCTCCCAGGGTGCCCGTGCTGTGCCCAGCGGAGTTGCGAGCCCCCTCTGTCTTTGTTCCCGCCTTGGGTGCTGCAGAGCCGGCCAGGCGTGCAAAGAGGCAGACGCTTTCCTTGCATAGTCGAGCGGTGAGATGCACCGACCACTCCTGACTTTGTCTTGATGTGTCTTTCAGAAAAATACGACTACGTCGGCAGACTCCTAAAGCCGGGAGAAGAGCCGTCAGAATACACAGACGAAGAAGACACCAAGGATCACAATAAACAGGACTGAACTTTGTACACAACTAAAGTCAGGGGCCTTCAGAACTGCAGTTCTCACTTCCTCTTGCAGAACGTCCCGGGCCCGGCTCACCTGCACCAGAAGCGCCACCGGCCGCCTCGCCGGACACCAGGCGCCCCGGGCCGTGCGCTGCTGTGCTCTGCCGGGCGCCCCACCCAGCACGGGCACGGGACTTCCCAGCAGCAGGAAAGTCACGAGGTTGCTTTTTCCTTTTCTCCCCCGTTTTTTTTTGTTTTTTGTTTTTTAACCATAGACAACCAGATGTGCATTTGTTACACACGTGTGCAGCCCTCCTCACGGGACGGCGGGGCCGCCTCACCCGCAGCGCCTCGTGTCTCTCGTTGGCTTCGAGGAAGGCGGCGCCGTGGGGTCACAGCACTGGCGTCATTTAGGCCGCCCAGACAGCGGAGTGGATTCCAGGCTCTTCTTTTTGGGTTTTGTTAGCCTTTATTTCTTTAAAAACAAAAAACTTTGGAAATTAGGTGAAGGGATTTCCAAAGGATTTAAGCCCAGGCTAATTCTCCAGGGTAAGGCCAGCTGAAATAGTGTCCACCTGCCGCCCTCGACCAGACCCATGTTAATTGTGCCTTATTTCACTTACATAGACTTGGTTACTTTTAGGGACAGCCCCTGTGTGAGGTCAGAAGTCACTACAGCAGCGCTGAGACTGAAGCTGGGATGTGCTGTTGCCAGCAAGCCTTGAGTCGTTCTGTGTATAGGATGTCAGGAACCATCAGTGTTACCGCCGTGGATGCCACTGCACACGGTTTAGTTAGCATCGCCATGGCCAGCTGCGTCCCCGTGCTTTTCTCTTGTCAAAAACATCGAAAACCAAGTCGACTCTACCCCCCAACAGCTGCCTGATTGGAGGCGTCGGGCCCCTCGTGGTGAGGCGCTCGGCCGCGGTGTGGGTGTTGCGTTGCGGACCTGAGCGCGCGAGGCCGGGGAGGCTCTGCGACTGTAAATACCAGTGCGTTTTAATAAAGCATGTGCAACCCCGCAGCCGCGCGTGGGACTCTGTGTGCGCGGGGGGCGAGGGCACGAGGCCGCGCCCGAGGAGAAGGAAGTGGGGTGGCCCGGCCCCAAGCCAAGGACAAGGCCCCTCTGCAGGCGGGTCTCGGGGCGCCAGCCCACGGGGCGGTGTCAGCTTGCAGGTGCCGCCTCCCTTGAGCCTGGCACCACCCTCGTGGCGGGTCGTGACTCCAGCAGGAGGGTCTGGGTTCTTGGGGACGGGGCGGCTGACACCAAGAGACCACGTCAACCGCCAGGAGAAGCCGTCCCGGGGGCCTTCGACCGACTGAGCCGCGCCGTGCACGCCGCGCCCCTTCACCCCGCCAGCGGGGCGGCTCTGTGGGAACCACGGGCCTCAGCCAAGCCTTCCGGGAGCCCGGCAGTGGGATGGAGGCGACGGCAAATGCCCTGTGTGTGTGACCCATTGTCTGAACAGTTGGTGTGAATTCCTGCCTCTGAAGTAAATGGACACGTACGTGTGGGTCGTCGGGGCCTGGGTGGGGAAGCCACGCGTGTTCACGCAACGAAGGTCTCGTGTCTGTGAGAGCGTGAGCAGCGCTGTCTTCTGGGCTGGAAATAAACGGTGTTCCGCAGACACGCCTGGTGGTTCTCGCTCCTGGGTGGCGTGGGCAGCGTCAGCTGGGCCTGGCGGTGCTGGCCCTGGGCCGTGGTCCCAGAAGGGGCCCCCAGCGCCCCGGTTCCACCCGTGTGGGCTTGCTCTGGGACCGCTGCGTCTGGCGCCCTGTGTCTGGTTGGCATCACCCCTGCTTCCTCAGCATCTGAGTTAAAAATCAGGCCACTTCACATGAACCCTAACACGGAACGCAGAGGTGTCCAGTGCGATGTCCAGCGCGGTGTCCGCGTGACTGAGGAGACCGGCAGTGTCTGAGGAGGGCCGCTTGCCCGCAGTGACCCGGCGCACGGTCTGGGGCCGCCTGGGGTGGAGGTCACCTTGAGCGAGCATCCTGGGGGCCCACGGGTGGACACCACAAGCCGTGACCCTGGCCTGTGGCGAGAACCTCGAAATAAAGGCCCAGCCTCACCATTGGAGGTGAGCGTCCCCCGCTCCTGGGCTCGGCCCCACACAGGCCGCTCGCCATCTCACCGCGGCAGCTGCCTGCACCCCCGTACCCGTCACGTGGCTGGCCCTGGAGCTGGCCTCTGGCAACCAGCTCTTCAGCTTCCAGAGCTGAAAAGCGGGGCTGAAGACAGTCTCAGCTCCCAGGCTCCCCAGGCCAAGTGCGCCCCAGGTGGTGCCGGGACACCGCCCGCGGCGTCTGCCCCTCATCCTTGACGACCACACAGCCTCCCGCGCTGACCCAGGCTTTCTCGCTTGGCCAGTCAGGTGCTTTGGAAATCTTTCCGCAGCGTGGTCTGCCTCTCACTCCCGCAGGCCCAGCGGGGTGCGGGGCGGGGGCAGTCCCAGCCTCCCACGAGGGCCCCATCCTGGCCGCCTGGTACCCTTGGGGCGGGGGCACATGCCCATCTGCCTCTGGCTGCCGTCTCAGGAGAGGCTGCCTGCCCCGGAGCGCGGCGGCAGGGGTGTTCCAAGGAGGCTGCTGGCTGCGGGGGCCTGGACGGTGAGGCTGGCGCTGCCTTGGCTTCCTTCTGAGGTCCCGTCGGGGCTCTGCTTGGAGCCCAGAAGGGACCAGGGCCCGCAGCCGGGCCGAGGAGAGCGGAGAGGCAGGGAGGAGGGGAGAGCCCGGGTCCCACCACGCTGCCCACAGGCTGCCCTTGGGGCCTCCCTGGTGCCTGGGCCCCGGCCAGACCAGGCGGTCCTCCGCACACGCCTGCTGGCCCGGTGAGGGAACCCATTAAATCTGGGCCTGTGGTCCGCGGGACAAAGCATCTTTCACATGGAGAAAGGCGGGAAGAGCGGGCCTTCCCCGACGCCGGACAGCGTGCGAGCCAGCGGCGGCGCAAGAGACGCAGCCGAACACGGTGGGGAAGGGAGCGGCGGCGCAGCAACGGTCTCTGTGTCTTCCTTCCCTCTCGGTTCCCGCCCCAGCGTGGGCACAGAAACCCACTCTCCTACCCAGGCGTCTCCCGCCCTCCAATAGCGTCTGCTCAGAAAGTTGGGGGGCGAGGCCGGGTGGGGGAGGGATGGATGGAGGATTCGTGCCTAGACCCACGTCTCCTCCCCCGGGGGTGTCCGAAGGCCGCGCCTGTGTGGGCTCGTGCACCTCCTCCAGGCCAGTCCCCCCAGTCCCAACTAGTCAGCCTGTGTCTCCAGGTACTGGGGTGAGGTCGCTGCACCCCACACACTGGCACACGTGGGGAGCCCTCAGCCAGCGGTCTTTGAGCTCCCTGCTTCCCAGTCACGTGTCTGAGCTGATGCAACCGTGTCCAGAGGTTATAGGAGAAAAGTTGCTGGCAAGTTCGAAGGGCCTGGGCCGTTTGCTTCTGGGGCAAAGGTTTACACAAGTCAGCGCGGGAGAGGACACGTGGCGGAGAGCCAGCGGGGCCCAGGCGCGTGGCCGGCAGGAGCTCGGACCCAGCAAGCCACGCGCCTGTCTCGCGGGAGGGAGGCCGGTCCCCGGCGCAGAGGTTTCCAAGGCCTGGAGGCCAGAGGAAACGCGGGCGTCTTCACCCAGTGCCTAAAAGAAACGGCGGACACTGCAGACCCCAGGCGGGCAGCGGGCCTGTCCTCTTACGGGGGGCGCGGGCACCTCAAGCAGGTCCGTGCTGGCCCCTCAGCCTCACTCTCTGGCCAAGGGGGACGACGGGCCACCTCCCCAGAGGGCGGGGCACGACTGGCATCCAGGGGCACAGCTCCCGGCATGGCCCGGCCCACCCTGCCCCGTCGGGGCAAGTCCTCATCCCCAGCCTCCTTCCATCCTGACCCGGGACCTAATGAGGGCGTCACCCCGCACCCCTGTCTGGAGGTAACATGAGGGCAGCCTGGTCTTGCCGGAACGTGTGAGCCCTCACCCTCAAACGAAGGGGTAATTCACCAGGGGCTTGCCCACATAGGTCTCCTCACCTTCTGCGGTGGAGCCGGCCCTGGCCAGGAAGGCAGGCACCTCTGGCTTCACCCGGGGCTGACGGGGCCAGAGGGTCTGGGGGAGGCCAGCAGCCCTCGCCCGGGACACAGGTGGGCAGCGACCTGCGGTCACCCCAGGGCCCCAGGACGGCACACGCCTGCTGCCCCTTATCTCCGATGTCTGCAAGTCCAGCCCGGTGGTCACCTCAGCCCACGGGCGTTGGTCACCCCTGAGTGGGGGCCCGCGCCATGTTTCCTGGACGAGAGGCCCCGGGTGACGCTGTTTGGTGGAGTCTCAACACAGCCGCCGGCCCAGCAGAACCCACTGCAGAGATGGCCATGGCCCTTTCCACTCTGACCAGGGCCACACCCACGTCAGGCCAGCGAGGGACGCCACGCGAGAAGCCCCTTTCCGAGGAGGCAGGACGGGCGGCTCCTCTGCCTGGACCAGGGGCCTCCCAGCCCCTCCCCACCCCAGCACCGGCCTTGCTGAGGGCCCAGCGGGCCGGGCCAAAAATTGGCGTCAGGCACACCTGATGCATCTGACGGTGGCGGAGCACACAGTCCAGCCCTGGGCCCGGCTACCGGGCCACCTGTGGGGCCACCAGCCCTGCTCTCCCGGCCTGGGCCGCGTCCCTCCCGAGTCTGCACGGCAGAAACCCTGCCGGTCCGTGCAGCAGAGCCTCCTGCCTCCCCCACAGGTGCAGGGACAGGTGAGCGGCAGGTGCAGGCTCCCCCCCTGCCCCCCTCCCCGGCCCTGCCCATCCCGGCTCCGCTCCTCAGAGGAGCCTGCACCTGCGGGTCTGCAGCTCTGAGCCGGGCAGAGCTGAGTTCAAGGGAGGGGCCCGGCTCCCTCTGACGGCGCCTGGAGGGAAAGCAAAGGAGCGCCATCTGCACCGGCTGCTTCCAGGCCCCGCGCCGCTGTCTAGGAGACACTCTGAGGGGCTGGGGTGTTTGTCTTTAGAGCAAAACCAAAAAGACTGAGGAGGAGCCCATGGTAATTCCCTCAGCTTTCTCGCCTGGTGAAGTTTAGGAACTTGAACAAAACGAAGCGCATCGACCCGGAGGAAAGGGATAAGATTTCGCCCCCCGCCAGCCCCTGCTCTCCTCCCAGGCTTGTTCTGTCCACACGGCCAACCGACCGCAGGCAGGACGCACGCCTCCCCGTCCTCACTCACCGGAGACCGGTGCAGGCACGCGGCCGGCCAAGGGGAGTCCCAGCCCCCGGCGGCTTTTCCGGGCTCACCACGGCCTTCCTGCGCCGGCGGGCTGGGCGCCCGCGAGCCTCCCTCCCTGGGCTCTCTGGCCTCTCGTGCCCTCTCGTAGTCTCTCCACTGCTCCCGCCGCCCCTGACCCTGTGACGCCGCCCTTATAGTCGCGCCTCCAGGCCCAGGTGCGCCCACTCACGCAGGCCCACACCGCACCTCAGGTGCCACCGCTAGGCCCGCTGCCCCGCGCCCACGCCCCCAGCGCCTCCTGCTTTCAAGGCCGCAGGTGATGGCCGTAGAGGCCGCGGCGCAGAAGCCTGAGCGTCTCCATTTCCCCTACGTGGCCACACCCTAAGGAGGACCCCACACTCCTTACCCGTGGCCTTACCCGTGGGGCCCCTCATGGCCACAGGATAGGGACTGGCCAGGGTCTCGCAGGTGGACATGCGGCTGTGTCTGATCTCTTGCTATTAAAGGCTGCTTTCCCGACCACGTGGTGGCCATCCGCCATGCCTGTGCAGGCCTGTGTTCGCAGTGGACAGCCCTGTGAGGGGCGGGGCCAGGCCCAGCGATACACCCCGGAAGCTTGAACGCCGTCGGGAAACGTTGGGCCCCAGAGCTTCTGGACCATTTGTGCGAGGTGTCGGCGGCGCTCTTCCGACCACGGCTCTCTCCCGGGCCCATTGCAAAGGCAGGAACTCGTGGCCGGGCTCACTGGGCAGGTGGCCAGTGAAGTAATAGGAAGGCCAGGGGCCAGGTGTGTCCTGACCGCGTGCCGGGCACCGGGGCCAGCCTGCCAGCTCTGCTCCGGCCCGGCTGCTGCCCCGAGGCGCGCGCCGGGGTCAGCGGGCAGTGAAGCAACGAGCCGCGCGCTGAATCCTGAGACGCGGATGGACAGTGAGGGTGCGGGCTCGGCGGCAGCCGGCCTCGCTGCTCTTTGGTGTCCCTTTGGGGCCACGTGCGTGGGGACGAGCCCGCGGGAGCGTCAGCGGGTGTGCAGCCTTGTCCGCGTTTCAGCAGTTGTTGAACACGTGTGTTACTAGCTAAGCGACACTCGCTTCCGACACAGGCAAGCCCAGACCCGCCGACTGCGCACCAGACCGGCTCCTGGTCACACGCGGCGAGAGTGAGGGTGGTGGTCAGGGCGCAGGTGCCCCGGGCAGGGGCTTTGCCTTCTTCCACGTGTGGTTCTTGGGACCGAAAGGGCCGGGATGTGCTCCCAGGCGGGGGCAGGTCCCCCTGCCCAGGGTGGGCGCCTTCCCTCGGCTGATGGGCAGGCCCACACCGGGGAGGCTGGCCGGGGTGCAGGGGAGAGGAGATGGGGGTCTAAGAGCCCACGCCTCCGCCGCGAAGTGGAGGCCTGGGCGGCCCCTGGGGGAGGCAGCCCTGCCGGGCCCTCGGCCTGCAGGACTTTCCTTGGCCCCAAGCTTGCAGGGGGCACCGGAATCACCGCCCTTGGCCGTCGGGTCAGAGCCAGAGCCCAGACCTGGCGGCTGCTGAGGCCCAGCCCAGTCCGGCCCGGCCCGCACAAGCCAATGGGGCGGGCAGGTGGGGCAGCCGTGCTGGTGTCTGCTCTTTTTTAAAAATGTACTTTGTTTCTTTTTTGTGCTTCTCCGGGCTTCCCGGTGCACTGTGTTTGGTACCACAAGCAGTGTTTGGTAAAAATAAAAATAACAATAACAGAGTTAAGGTTACCAATTAATTACACATCACAAAACTCTTGATACTGTAGTTTCCTATAAAATATATAATTTGGGGCCTCCCTGGTGGCACAAGGAGTTAGGACACAACCTCTGAAGCTGTCCGCAGCCTCTGCAGCGGCCATCCCCGGCCAGGGAGCTGACCCATATGATGCAGCAGACCCCTCCTGTCTGCCCGCTGCTCCCCTCAGCAGTGTACTTCGGTCAATCTGCCTGTTCCCCGCTCTGTCTCTGGCGGATCCTCTCACCCCCTTCCCTGCACCTCTGGCCTGCACCCCAGTTCTTGTATGTGTAAATAAATAAATCTTAAATATATATATATATATATAGTTTGCCAATCAAATTTACACTTGCACACTCAGCTGAGCGGCTAGTGCTAGGGTAAATGCAGGGTTCAGGTGTACGTGTTCAGACAGAAAGGATGCTGAGAAAAAACTCTCGGACCATCGCAGGAGACCACACGATAATCAGCATGCGCGGAAATTTTTCACTGAAAAGCCAGAGCTGCTCCATGCCCGGTTCAGAAAACATTTAAAAGTGTTTTTCTAATCCAGTGGCAGTTTTGCTTTCCAGACTCTGTCAATAAATTTTCTGAATATGCAAATGTGAGTATTTCTTAAAGCGTCCAAATGACCCCCCGAATATTACATTATGAACTTGCCGATTATCACTTGTGCATGGGAAACAACCCAACAAAACCTCTCTACCTACTAATAAATAATAATCCATTAACCAAAGAAGATTACATGCATTTCAGTGTTGTCATTCTACAAGAACAAGACATCGAAAAGCAAATGCCAGCTAATCTGGTGTATTGAACCAGCTACTGCTGCCAGTTCATGTCCCGAATGAAAACGATTGGACTTTATAACCAAAACTTCATTGCAAATATAACGGGGCTCTGTGAGCAGAACCTGACTATTCCGGCTTTTCAACTGTATGCTGAGCACAAATAAAAATAATTTGGGGGCCTCCCCTGGTGGCGCAGCGGTTGAGCGCTGGGCTGCCCGCAGCCTCTGCAGCGCCGGTTCGTTCCACGGCCGCCAGCGAGGGTCCCCCCCCAAAAAATAATAATAAATTGGAATAAGGGCTTGATGTTTTACACTCCCACAAAAACCGAAACGATCATTTGCGTCCACCGCACTAGAAGTGAGAAATCAACTTGCTCCAACTGCTGAAAGCGTGAGCAGGAAAACAGAACCGAAAGAAGAAAAAGGGAAAACTCTGCCTTTGCAATGAGCGGCGGCCTCCCTGCCGGGGACCCACCCGCCCGCAGGCCCGTGGTCGGTTGGCGGCCAGCGTCCCAGGAGGACGGGCACCCGCGGTGAGCACGGCCAGCAGCAGAGCCCGCACCGAGGGCGGAGACTGGGCCGCCGCGGCAGCTGCCACGCTCGCCGGGGGAAGACCAGTGTCCCTGGGGCCGCTCCGGGGCGGGGAGCGGGCAGCGAGCCCAGGGCGGCCCAGCGCGGCTCCGGGCGGACAGGTAGCCGCGGCATCTGCCCAGGGCGGCGGCACCGCAGGCGGCTCCGTGGGCCTCTCCAGAGCCCGCCGTCAGCAACGGCTTTGGGGGAGACGCGCCGAGACCAGACGCGTGACGAGAGGGTTTCTAGAAAAGCCACCAGAGCTGTCCTGTTTATGAAATTGGGAAAACATTTCTAGACGTTATCTTGCTTGAAAAAATGCCAGCACTTGTCTTCCTCTCTCCTCTGTCTGATTTATCCTTTATCCCTTATCCCGAGGGCACGTCGGAGGCGCCTGCTGGGGGCTGGGCTCCCCGGGCCCGGCCTCCCCGGGCTCCTCCCGGCGGTCACCGCTGGCTGAGCCCGAGGCAGCACCAGGCGGGCGGGCAGAGGGCCGCTGCGTTCCCGGACGGGGCAGGTGAGGGCAAGGCAGGGGAGCTCGAGGCAGGTGAGGACGAGGCAGGTGAGGGCCGGGCAGGGGCGGGTGGCATCGCAGAGGCATCTGACGGGGGTCGCTGGGGACGCTCCTCACCCGAAGTGGTTAAATGTCTTTTTCGTCCCAACCCCTCGCTTACAGGGGGCTGCGGGCACAAGAGACAGTGTGAGGACACACTCCCCCCCCAAGAGCGAAGTGCAGGTTCCCAGGCGGGGGAGCAGGACTGTCCCCTGCCAGGCTGCCCCTCCGGTTGCCCCACCTGTGTGCTCGGCTCCCCCTGGGTATTAGGGCTGCGGAGGCGTGACAGGGCACGGCAGGAGGCTGGGGTCCCCGCCCCCAGAATGCCTTTCTGAGCTTCCCCCTCTTCACTCCCCTCCGCCAGCTGCCGTGCCCCGAGCCGGCCCGCTCTCTTGAAGGGGGCGCCAGACACCCAGGAAGCCAGACACTCCGCGGCGGGAGCCCTGGATCTTGGGGGGCAGGGGGTGTGACCTTAAATACATTCAACAGAAAGGCCCTGGGACCCTTGGACGCCGCAGGCCCGCACCCCACCGTCCACCACTGGCCTTCCCAGTCGTGAGGGCCGAGGCCGGAGCTGCTCCCCACCAGACCGGGGCTTGGGTTTGGAGAGCAGGGACGAACATGACGTCCCCTCCGACCCCCGCTGCATCTGGAAGCCGAGGCCCGACTCTCAGCCTCTCGGCTGCGCCCGCGCAGGGCAGGGAGGGCAGGACAGGTCCATGGCCGGCTCAGCCGCTTGCCAGGGCCCCTCTGCCACGCGGTCCTGGGCATCAAGCCGCTGACCCGAGGCTGGGTGTCTGGGCAGAGCCAGCCACCTCCTGCTGCTTTTCTGTTAGGATCCCGTTCCCTGGCGCTGCCTCTCCCTGGAAATCTGACCGTCCAACCGGGTCTCCTGCCGCTGAAGACCACAGACGCCCTGCCCGCGCCACTCCAGGCCCCGGCTCCCGCTGCACGCGGTGTCGCCAGAGCTGCCGACTGAAGGCCGCAGAGAGGAAACAAACTCAGACGGGGGCTGAGAAAGGAGTGAGCGGTGGGGAGGTCGCTGCCCCTGCTGGGGACAGGGCTGGGGGTCTCTGCACTGCTCTGCGCTGCCTTTAGTCTGGTTTCAAACTGGAAAGTTGGGGCCTCCCTCGTGGCGCAAGGGGTTCAGCACCGCACTAGGAAGCTGTCAGCAGCCTCTGCAGCACGAGTTCCATCCCCAGCCAGGGAGGTGACCCACATGGCGCGCAGACCTCTCCTGACTCGCCCGCTGCTCCCCTCAGCAGTGGATTTCAGTCATTCTGCCTGTTCTGCTCCCCGCTCTGTCTCTGGTGGGTCCTCTCCTCTGCCCCCCGCCCCCCACCCCGCATCTCTGGCCTGTGCTCCGGCTCTTGCACGCATAAATAAATAAATCTTTAAAAAAAAAAAAACAAACCTGGAAAGTGACATTTTCAAAATGGAAAGCTAAAAAATAAAATTGGCACATTCCAAGTTAGTCACGGCGGCTGAGAGCGCCGCGGGGCGGGGCTGGGACTCACATGGCCGCGGAAGTCCTCCAGCCTCTGGAAGCCGCCCAGGTAGCGCTGCAGCTCGGGGTCCACGCCGTGCGCCCCAGACCGGGAGTACTTCAGGTAAGCCCAGAACTTCTCCAGCCCGTACAGCCGCCCTGGAAGACGCGGCACTTCCCAAACAGGTTCGCGGCCCCGCGGCCCTGCGTGTCCAGGGGACGCTCCTGGCCCTCGGCTGGGCTGGGTCGTGGGCGCCGCAGCCGCTCAGCGCCCAGGCGGCCCCGGGCTCGGGTCAGGGGCGCTGAGCTCGCGGAGCCCCTGCGACCCCGGGCGAGTGCCCTCCCGGCCGGCAAGGTCAGGTCGTCACCCAGGTCACGCGGGCCCCGGCTGCAGCTCCCGGACACGGCCGGAGCCCGCGGGTGCCGGCTCAGGGGCGCGGGAATCCCGCGGCCGCCGCCGCCCCCGCCCCAGCGCCGCAGCCCGGCTCGCTCCAAGCAGAGCAGGCCCGTCGCGGGGGGCTTTGTTTCTCTCTTACCCGATTCATAGTCCTTCTTGGTCTCTTCTTGGAAATCCTTGAAAATGTCTTGTCTGAATTTTTTTTCCAGCCCGTAGCTATAAAACCTGAACAGACACTCCAGGCCGTACCTGGGGGCAGAAGCAGCGCTGGGTCTCTGCCGGCCGGGGAGCCGCCCGGTGCCGTCCGAGGACCCCGAGGTGCGAGCGGGCCGGGCCTGGCCCCTGCTGCGGGCTGGGGCGGGGGTTTGGGGGGCTGCAGGGGGTGCGGGGCGGGGGTTGCGGGGCGGGGGCAGGAGCGCTGAGCCGACAAAGGCCTGGCTCCCGCCCCGGCCCGCAGGAGGCAGGACGCCCGCTCCGCCGCGCCTGAGCGCTTGAAATCTCCCTCCAGACACGCGACCGCGCGAGGGACCGACCTGTAATTTTCTTTCGCGTCTTCGCAGGCGAGTTGTCTAAACTCCTGGTACATCTTCTTGTTGAAGTGGTCTCTGAGGAAGAAGGACCAGAACCGGAAGAGGGTGTTCATCTCCGGGGACTGGCCGACCCCGAGGCGTCTTCTCTCTGGAAAACGCGGACATCACAGGACGTGGGCGCAGGCCAGGCGCTCTCTAGAGCCGCGGACATTCCCGGCAGCCTAAGGCTGGAACCCCGTGACCCCTGGGGGCGGCCTCCCCAGGACGGCCCCTGGTGGGCGCGAGGCTGAGTGTCGTGCCGGGCGGGGCGGGCTGGGGCGCTCCGCGGGGGCTCTGTGGGCCGGTGTCTCTGGGTGCCTCGCAGTCCAGGGGCCCCGAGGGGTCACCCCTGCCCTCGCAGACATTCCTTCCGGAGCCCCTGGAGGGCTCGGTAAAGCCACCTGCACTGTCCCTGGCAACCTACAGGCTAAGCCAGGAGTGAATAAACAGGCGCATGGGGGCAGGGCGAGGAGGGGACAGGAGGGGAGGGGAGGGGGCGGAGGGGGAGCCCCTGGAGGGAAGCACCGTTGGAGGCCCCCGCCCGGGGCTGGGCCTTACCGCTCAGGCACCTGCGGCGGTACTTGTGGTAGACCTGCTGGGTGAAGCCGTTCTCCTTGAGGAGCTCGTGGGAGGGGTGCTGGGGCCTGGGGAGTGGGTGCGGGGTGCGCCCAGCACCGCCCGGAGGAGGGGCGCCCTCGGTGGGGGAGGTGCTGCTGCTGCAGAGGAGGAAAGGTGGCAAGTTTGGCGGGGGGGGCCCCCCTAGGCCCTGGGCTCCCCGAGTCGCTGCGCCCCTGGTGTCTGATACTGCATCCCCCTCGCTTGGGTTGGCGGGGAGGCGCATCACCGGGAAAAACCACCAAGTCGTTTTATCTTTGATGACCAAAGACGTGCCGGGAGGAGACGTGAGCCTTACGACACACACATCCGCCAGACATCTCCCCGCGCCCTGCCGTCTGCGGGTGCACCGCCCAGGCAGACGCTAACACTCAGGGAAAGGGGCTGCAAGTCCCTGAGAGCCTCAAGCGCGACAGGTGTGCGAGACGAGTGTGCAAGACAGGTGCAAGAACACACTCACTGCTCTGCCCCTGACGGCCTGGCTGGGCGCAGCGGCCACGTCTCCGGGTCTCCCCCATAGACCCCCTTCCTTCCCAGCCCGCGTGAAGCCTGGGGTGGGGGGAGAGATCCTCTGAACACGTCTGCTCCACCGCAGCTCCCGGCGGCGCGGCGCCCACCGTACCTCACAGAGGGTGCTGGTGGCCCCCGGCCTCTGGCGTCCATGGCCCGACCCACATGACACTCTGGAGGGGGTGCTGTGCCGGGGCCTGCTCTCCTCTCTCCTGGGCGCTGCAGAAGGGGCAGGCGGGCATTGCGGTGGCCGCTAGCAGCAGGCCCTCCCTGCCAGGGGCCTGGCCGTCGCGCCTGCCCTGCGCTGACACATTGTGAAATCACGCGAAGTCACAGAGCCCAGGTGTGCTGTGCACGGCACAGGCATCACAAGCAAGGCCTCCGCGGGCCTGACGCCTGGACGACAGCCCCAGCACCGCGTCCTGCTGCCGCACCGGACGCTGACACCCACCCAGCCGGAGGAGGCCGGTTCTGGCCCGGAGGCCGTGGCCATGCCCCGCAGCAGCCCCGTTGGGGCCCACGGCCCGGCCCTCGCTCCCTGGGGCAGCGGCAGGAGCCAGCCATGGGACGTCAGGGCTCATCGCAGGCGCCTGCTGTCCTCCCTGCTGCGGCCACTGGCCTTCCGGGACACGTCTGGGGTTTGCTCAGGTGGTGTCACCTGCTGTGCTCCCCTCCACCCTGGAGCCCCAAACCGCGGCCAGCGCGCACTTCTGCTTCTGTGCCACCCCCACTCCACCGCGCCCACCTTCCGCCACAGCCCTGCTCACGCTGCTCACCCCACGCGGCTCACCCGCGCCTGCCCTGGGGAAGAGCACCCTTGCCACACCTCGGCCAGAGCAGCTCCCGGTGAGCCCCACGACAGCCCTCCGGGGTGGGCTTCCCACGATGGGGCGCTCCGGGTGAGCCCCATGAGGCTGGTCCAGACCCGAGCGCCCACAGCCGTGCGCGCAGCCTCTGGGCTGGGGACACAGGTGCCCGCGGTGACGACACCCCGGGATTGCCAGTCAGGCCCGTCGAGCACGTTTCCCCAGCTCCCCGGCTGCACCTCAAGTTCAGTCACCCCCACGCCGGCTTGGGGCCCCGCCGTGTTTGACGGGTGAGTTACCTAAACTAGATCTTTGCTTTCAAATGTTCAGAACTTTCTTTCTCTATCACACATCAACTTACTCCGCTAGTGGCGTTCCCCGACGGTCACTGCTTTGCCGCCTGCTGTGACCCACGGGGGTGAGAGACTGCACGAGGGCCGCGTCCTGCACGGCTGGTCTGAGCGAGCCCCTTGCCGTCGTGTGTGATGCTCCTCGTGTATTTGGGGGGTAAATAAAGCTGCTTCCTCTGACTGGTTTGCTCTGGAGATTTTTGCTCCGTGCATTTGAACACTTGATATGTAAAATCTTTTTTTTTTTTTTTTAGAGGCATGCTTTATTTATTTATTTATTTAGTTTGTTTGTTTATACATGCACTGGGTACAGTCAGAAGCGCGGGAGGGTGAGAGAATTCGCCAGAGCAGGGAGCAGAGCAGGCAGAAGGACCGAAGGACACTGCTGAGGGGAGCAGCGGGCGGCAGGAGAGGTCTGCGCGCCATGTGGGACCCTCCTCCGGTGGCCGGGGAGCAGCCGGGGATCGAACCGGCGCCGCAGAGGCCGCGGGCAGCTTCGCAACCCAGCGCTCAACCACTGCGCCACCGGGGAGGCCCTTGATATGTAAAATCTTAAGGCGGGCTTTTCTGTGGATTTCCTCACTCTTTAGCGATTGCAAAGCTTTTTGTCTCCACGTCTACTTTTTAGGTCTATTCCGTCTGGATATACGCACAAGTTTTTGGGTTACATTTTTATATTTGGTGAATAGCTGGTTTTTCTTGTATCATCTTTATTTTTAATTGAGGTAAAAAAAATACCCGGTAAACTTCATCTTAACCATCTTGAAAGGTGAAGCTTTGCAATGTTGAGGGTATTTACATTATTGTGCAAAAGATACTGAACATGGCAAGGAAAGTGGCAGGGGCGAGGGGGAGGGAGGGTGCGATTTTAACCTGCCCGTGTTTGCACTGATAACTCTGTTCCAAAAAGGACTCAAGTTCGGCAGCACTTCCAGAACCCGAGTCACCCAACAACCCCGCGCTTTCAATGCCAGGAATAGACGCTCGGCCGTGGGACTTGCTGGCCGCAGCTGACCCCAGGCAGCACCGACCCCAGGAGGCAGCTGCAGGCCCATGGGAGAGGGCGTGGGGCAGCCGAGGGCTGCTTGGACACCCGGTCCCCACACCCCGCGGACCTGAGGCCCAGGCGGGCATGGGCTCACCTCTTTGTCGCCTCCCTCCGGGATCCTGTGTCCACGTGGCCGGGCAGCCGGCTGGGGGGGCAGCAGGTCTCGGTGTCCTTTGGCTCAGGGGGCTGCCCGTTCTTGGAGCATTTGGAGCAGGCTCTAAAAGTTTTAGTCAGTTGCACAGCCAGTCACGGCCTTCCTCACGAAGCACACTCCTTCTTTACTTTCTCACGACGGCTTGATGGCCCCCCTTCCTCGTTTCCCAAACCTGAAGTTGTAAGACGTTCTCGGGTGAAGCCCACAAAAAAAAACATCACAGGCGTCACCGACCCACAGGGCGACGGCCGACAAGGCCAGGACGCCCGCCGCCCCTGGGAGCCCAGTCTGCAGGTCAGCGCCCGCCCGCTGGCCTGGCAGGACCCGGGCCCACCGGCCACCCGGACTCCCGACCTCATCAGGCTGCACGCGCTGTCCGGGGCCGGCGCAGCCGACGGTGAGGCTATGCTGAGGGGGCCGCCCGCGCTGCCCTGGCTCTCGCCTGGGGGTCACCGGACACGGCGGGGCCCCCAAGGCGGCGCTCCCAAGGCGGCGCGAGCAGGACAGGAGCCCCTGAACACAGGCCCTGGGTGACGCGTCCGACAGACCCGCTTCTCTGCGCGCTTCAGCCCGCGGGCGCCGCGCTGCTCACAACCCAGGCCGCCTCCGTGACATTTTTCCAAAAGTCAAGAGGGTTTCAGTTACAGCCGGTGTGGGCTGCCTGGGGAAGGGCTTCGGAAACTACACCGTGGAGCTGGACAGGCGCTGTTCCCTCCGGCCCCGGCCCCGCGCGGCCCCGCCGAGGCGGCCCTCGAGCACCACCTTCTGCCCGCCCGGGGCAGGCGCAGCGTCCCCGCGGGTCAGGGCCCTGCACGTCCGGCGCCTGCAGGCGGCCGATGGCTTCTCACGGGCAGGGAGGCCGCAGGGCCCAGCGCCTTGGCTCTCCGGGACGCAGTCTCCTGGGGGGGCTACACCTCACGGGGCCGGCCAGAGGCTCCCGGCACTGGGGCGTGCTAAATGGCCGCTCTTTGGGATATATCAAAACATCCCTGTTCCCTAAGTATTGACATGATTCCGCTCGCACAGCCTCCTGCGTCCGCTCACCCACCGCAGGGCGGGAAGCACAGGCCGGGCCGATGCCCCAGCTGCAGGGCCCGGCTCCGGGCGCCGCCGGCACCTACGCTGCTGAGCAAGGCAGGCAGCTCCCAGCAGCCGGTGGCGCAGCCGGGACTCAGCACCCGCCCTTTCAGCATGGAAATTGAATGTTTAGACACGAAGTTTATTCTATACAAGCCTCAGGCTGTATTCACACGAGAAATCAAATGCCTTTAAATCACTGAAAAATTGGGGTGAAAAAGAAAATCTAGGCTAGTCCTTGAATCTAAGATTTTTAAAGGGTGCTCGCCTTGGTGTTAAACCCGACGTAGGCTTTGTGAGAGTTTCCGTGTCTGCGTTCTCTTCCAGTGAAAAGACTTTGGACTAAACTTGAAGGTCTCCCATGTTCAAATGAGTTTGAATAGAACTTGGCTTCACACTAAACTTACAGAAAAAAAGAAGTAGGTATGTTCTGAGGTTCTAATTTGTGAGACCATAAAAAGACCTATCTCCACTGCTTTTATTGATTGAAAATTGTCCTTTCTAGAGAGAAAGCATCACACACACACACCACACACACATACCCCACAATTCTACTCTGTCCAGGTGACCTCTTTACCCTGAGCCACAGCTCTGGAAACTTGCAGGTGCTTTAGGAGCATGATATGGTCTGTGCGTGGCACATTTGAGAACTTTTCTGCAGACCAGGTGTCCCCAGGACGCCCGAGCTTCCCCTACGCAGCCCTGAGGAGCCATAACCAAGAAGCCACGATGGCCGGCACCTCCACGCCCTACTGGTGACACAGCCCCAGGCCCACAGGACTGGGAGGGCCTGTTGCCAAGACAAGCGTCCTGTCTCCTGCACCCCCTCTCTCCTGCTGCCTCATGCCCTCTGCTCAGACATCAGCCCCACAGGGAGAGGGAAGCTGGGACGCCCTTAAGGAAAGCACCTCGGGTCATGTTTCAGAAAGGGAAGGTCGTCTAGTCTGAGTCCCACGTTCTCCACCCCGACTCGCACGTGCAGCTGCTCCCCGTCCTGCTCCCCTGTACTTCCTGGCACAGGCTGCCCCTCGGCGCAGGTGGCTGGGCTTGCTCACCAGAGGGTCGGACCACGGGTGTGCCTGGGGCGGCTGTGCAGGCAGTGCCCAGAGTGCCCCCTGGGGTGGCCTCTGACGAGGACATGTACTGGAAAGAAGCTGAAACCTTGGATGATAATAGAAATACATGGTCTGTCTCAGATGCTGTGCTGTGCGTGTCAAAACACAAGAATGCACAAGACACTGTGATTTCGCTCTTGTAATTTTATTAATAATGCATAAAGGGCAACTGGACGCGCCGCCAACGTGGCTGGCCGCCTGAGCTCCCTGGGGCAGCGTGGCGTGCCTGGTGCCAGGTCTCAACTCTCAACCTAGACCCCAAGGTTGCATAATAAATTAATCTAACTTAAATAAACAGATTACATTTCCTTAAAAAACTGAAAAGTGTTGCTTCAACGTTTAAGGCGCCTGCCCGGTGTGGAGGCGAGGGCCGGCCGGGGGCGGGCCTCTTCCACGGGTGTATCAAAAATACATCTTCAAGAGTGAAGGAAAAAATGCTCTTGTCCTGCCTAAGACGCCTTGTCCCGTGGTGTCCACATTAACCAGCCCCAGGGCCCCGGCGCTGCAGTGTGGGGCTGAGGCCTGGTGTCCAGAGCCCGACCCTCGCGTGGGCAGTATTGCCCTGGACAGCCCATGAGTCTGAAAGGGACAGACAGAATCTTGCGGCTTTTCCAGAACGATTAACACTCCCACGTGAAGAAGGGCCGCATCCCCGTGGCGGGCGGCTCTGGGGACGCACGGACGCTGTCTCGGCGGCACCTCGGTGGTCTCCGCGGCCTCCTCCGGGGAGCCGGGCGGATGCCCGGGCAGGGCAGGGCCGTCACGTCCCTCTGCGCGGCTCCGGCCGTCCCTCTGTGGTCATGACATGTCAGAGTCACTACTCCTCCGCTTGTCCCGTCCAAGAGCATCAGCAGATCATCACCCTGACTGAAGAGAGTGTAAGCACACGGGTTTCCCAAGAGGGAATGCCTCAAAAATGCTCCGGGAAAAAAATCTCAACATTGAAAGCAATTCTCAGAAATTCTAAGTACCACCGAGTTTTGACAAAATCTTCCCGAGAGAGCCCTGGCTCCAGGGCAGGCGGGAGCGCCTCTTCTCCAGCCAGGGAGGCCCCGGCTCGCGCTCCGGCCTCTGCGCAGCTCCGCCCGCCGACTCTCTCCGCGGCCGGGGCCAGGTCGGGAGGAGGCCGGGCCGCCACAGCCCTTGCTCCGGCTCTGCGGGACGCCCGGCCGCTGTGCGCGGGCAGGGCCGTCCTCCAGCCCCTCTCGGGCCTCGCCAGGGGCAGGCGTGGGGCTCGGGCCGCGGGAGGGCGTTACCTGGGGCGCAGGCCTGGCCCGGGACGAACTCCGGGCAGTCGATCAGCTGCGAGAGGTCGGTCTGGGGCGCGCGCCGCGCAGGGGGGCCGGGGATGGGCCACTTTTCTGGGTCGATCTTTTTTCTCATCTTCTCGTCCACGATCTCCACCTCCGTGCTGTCTTTCAGCGCCTGGCCCGGGGTTCTAACTTAATGGCGGTCATGGAAAAGCCCGGGGGAGGGTGCGCGGGCCCGGAGGGAGCGACCCCACGAGCTGCAGGCCCGGACGCGGGCCTTGGGCCGGCTCACCTCGGAGATGAGGCCCAGGTTGGTGGTGAGCGCCTGCACGCGGTGGAAGCCGGCGATCAGGGAGATGGGCAGGAAGCCCTGCGCGTCCATCTTGCGGCGCAGGAAGAAGTCCCGCTCCAGGTTCTCCACGCTGAAGTAGTACTCGCTGCCGGGAGACGGGCGTTAGGCCGCCGGGGCGCGCCGCCGCCCACTGCCGCGCACCAGCCCTGGCCGTGCGGACCCGCTGCAGGGCCTCGCTCGCAGCGCAGTGCTGGGCGCCCTCCCGGGCCCTCGGGGGCTCGGCCGGGGGACACACCCGCGAGGAGCCCCGCCCTTGGCCTCGGGGCCCTGCCGCGGCTGGACAGAGCCGGCGGCTCCGGGAGCCCCGTGTCCCCCCAGGAAAGCAGGGAGAGGGCACGAGCCAACCGGCCAGCGCCTCCCTCGGGGAAACAGGCAAGAGGGACACCGGGGCCAGAAGAGTCGGCACCCAGCCAGCTCCTCCGCGCCCCTTGTGCCGCGCCCTCGAGGCGCCCGCTTCAGAGGCGCCCCTGCGCTCCCGGACAGGCCCCCGCCCCCCGCTCACATCTGGCGCCGGATGTAGTCCTTGAGCAGCGCCTCGCCCACGGGGTACACCTGCGCGCCCGAGCCGTCGTCGTAGTAGTAGGTCAGGCCGGGGGGCGGCTCGGCGGGGAAGGGCTGGCCGGCGCGCTCGCCGGGGAAGTCCGCGGGGCCTGCGGGCGGGAAGGAGCCTGGGTGCCCGGCGCCCTGGGGCGGGGGGGCGGGGGGCGGCCGCCCCCGGGCCGGGCCGTGCGTACCTCGCGGGGCGCCTCGGCCCCGGCCTCTACCCCGGCCCCGGCCGCGGCCTCGGAAGGAGCCCCGGACGGCGCCGCCCTCGCTCCGCACGCTGGACACTTCGTCCCGGTCGTCTCTCTTTTCCCGGTCGCGCCTCCAACCTTTCAAAAACCAAGATCTCCTCACGCACCCGGCGCGCGACTGCGGACAACCCGCGCGCCCGCCCGCCCGCCAGGGGCGCCCCACCTCAGGCGCGCACGACCCCGCGGGCGCCGGGCCGAGGCGGGCGCCGGGGAGCAGGCGGGGCCCCGAGAGCGCGTTCCCGCCGCAGCCGGGAGGACACGGGCCCCCACGGCCCACGCGCAAGGACGCGGACACGCCCGGCCTGCACCCCCTTGCACCCCCACCGTGCGCGCGCGCGGGGGCCGCCCCGGAGACCAGCCCCGTGGGGCCCCCACCCCCGACACCCCATGAGCGTCTTCCCTGTCCAGGCGGCACGAGCCTCCTCGGGTGTCACCCCAGACCCGCCGCTTAGTCACGAATGCCACGAGACTCGGCCGTGGGGGTCCCCGCCTCAGCCCCGCCACCCGCTCGGCCCGGGCCCTGCTGGGCCAAGGACGCCCGGGGCCGCAGGCGCACCCGGGGCCGCGGCGGCGGGACTGGCAGGGCCTGAACCCCGCAGGGAGGGCGCCGCGCCAGGCCGTGCCGGGCCGAGCCGGCCGGGGGCTGCGGCGCGAGGGGCTGCGGGCCAGGCGCGTCCACGGGCCGAGCCCCGATGGCGATGCCCACCCGCGTGGCCCCGGGAGCCCCCAGGCGCAGGCGCGCGCCCGCGGGTGGACGCGGCCTCCGGGTGGGTCAGCGCCGGAAAGGGAGGCCTGGGCTGCGGGCAGATCCCACAGCGCTAACGTCGCGCCGCGGACGACTGAGGAAACGCAGCGCTTGCCTGGACTTCAGCTGGTGAGCGGCCCCTCAGGGGACCCGCGCTCGGGTCGGGGCGCCCACGTCACTCCCCACCCCCGCAGGTGGCCCCCCGCACCCAGACAAAGCGCCTGGGGGAGGCGGGCAGCTGGCCGCACAGCTCTTCCCCTCACACCACACACATCCTCATACCACACACACCCCCTCACACCCTGCACATACCCTCACATATCCCCTTACACCCCCACACCCCCCACACACCCCCCTCACACACTCCCTCACACCCCACACCACCACACACCCCTCACACCCCCACACACACCCCCACCCCCTCACACCCCCTCATACACCACACCCCCTTATACCCCACACACTCCCTCATACCTCAAACACCCCTACACCCCCTCACACCCTCCCACACCCCACACCACCACACCCCACCCCACAGCTCCTCACACCCACACACCCCCCCACCCCCTACACCCTCTCACACCCCACACAGCCCCTCACACCCCCACATACCCCCTCACACCCCTATACACCCCATGCCCCGCACATACCCCACATAGCCCTGGAGGAGGCAGCCCCAGAAAGGGGGAGTGAGGGAGGCCACCCCTAGGGGGGCTACAGGGACAACCCAGCAGGAACCCAGGGGACCCAGTGGGACCACGTGGAGCAACTGGAGCCGAGGACTTGTGGGGACCCCTGCTCTCGGCACAGACTGGTGGTCGGGGTGGAGGGGCAGCTTACTCCGTGGGTCCGCACGGCGGCTGCTGGCGGGGGCCTGCTGGCGTCGGGCTGGCAGCGGGAGCTGGCGCGGGGGCCTGGCCGGTCCTGGCTGTCGGGGCGCACGTCATCCAGGTGCAGCGGGACCCAGCGGTGCTTGGTGGCTGCGGAGACAGATGGTCACTGAGCGCGTGGGCCCAGCCCGGCCAGGCAGGACACGCTCACCTGCCCCGAGGGGCGGCTGCCGAGGGCCCCGAATGGTTTTCCTCTTCAGACACAGCCTCATTTTGCTGGACAGAGACCGCTTCCAACACCAAAGGAAAAGGGGGGACCCTGCCATCCTCGGGTCAGTACCCAGGGAGACGTACCAGCCTGGGGCACTGGCCAGAAGGAGCGACATTCCCCCAGTCAGGACAGTCCTGTCTACCTGCGTCTCACAGAGCTTGCCAAAGTGACTACGCCCCCAAAGGGCCTGACTACGCCCCCAAAGGGCCTGACTACACCCCCAAAGGGCCTGACTACACCCCCCCAAAGGGTCTGACTAGGCCCTCAAAGGGCCTGACTACGCCCCCCCCAAAGGGCCTGACTACACCCCAAAAGGGTCTGACTTTCACAGACTGAAGCTGGGGCCTTGGGCCGACCCACAGCTGCTCTCAGGCCCCCAGGGGACACGCCAGCCTTCGACCCAATACGCATGTGTAACGAAAACAAAAACGGAGTCGTAGGCGAAGGACAGCCAGCCTGCGGGGACGGCCAGCGCCCGAGGACATCGGGTCCCCTGCGGCCCCGCGGGGTGACGTGTGCGTGAAACGTGTTGCTCCTCGAACGTCGGCGCCGATGCCTGGCCTGGGTGGGCTTTTGGAGGCCCGGAGGTGCGAGGGAGCGCGGAGCCCGCGGGCAGCGGTGCTGGGTGCGGGGTGACGGGACTCCGTAAGGGTGGCCCTGTCGTCTCACGCGCCAGCTCCCTGGTCACGCCGTGTCCACTGTTTCCAGATGAGGCGGGGGGTGGGCACTGACCCCGCTTCCGCTGCGCGCTGGCCTGCGCCTCGTCCTCGCTGCCGTCCTCGCCGGCCTTGGCCCCCCGGCTCTCCTTGCTCTCACCGCTGCCTCTCTTCTCGGGCTTGTCTTCTCGCTCCTTCCGGCCCTGGGGCTTCCTGTGTCCTTGGCTGCCAACGCTCTGACTCTGCAAAGGGGTATCCGAGTGAAGTGGTTTGCACGGCCATTTCACCACCAGACCCACTGAGCGGGGGTGATACACCCCACCCGGCCCGAATCCCCCAAAACAAACCACTACTGAAGTTGAAAAGTGGCTGTTCAAAAGACACGCTGAGGAGAGCTGGTCACAGACCGGGAGACGCCCGCAGGCAGCCGAGGACTCGCCGCGCGGGCAGAGTGTGGATGCTCCACACGTGGTGACACGGAAACAAATTCAATTTTTAAAAAATGGACTTGTAGTGGGGCCGCCCTGGCAGGGGTGAAGTCTCAGCACTGTGAAGCTGTGCACAGCTTCTGCAGCACGAGTCCATCCCCGCCCAGGGCGCTGACCACATGGCGCGGCAGACCTCTCCTGTCTCCCCGCTGCTCCCCTCAGCAGTGTGTTTCAGTCAGTCTGCCTGTTCTGCGCCCCCGCTCTGTCTCTGGTGAATCCTCTCACCTCCCACCTCTGACCTGCACTCCAGCTCTTGGATGCATAAATGAATAAACCTTTAAAAAAAAAAGGGTTTGTAGTAAACACACATTGCGAAGGGTGGACCGACAGCACATGCATTTGAAAAGACACCTGATGTCATTAGTCAGAGAAGCATAAATTAAACTCGCAGTTACTGCACCCCACACCGCACATACCACACCCCACCAGGCCGCCACAGCCCGGAGAGCACAGGCCGGGGCAGGGAGGTGTGGACGGGACGCTGGTAGCTCCCTAATGGCCCAAAGGAGCAGCTGCAACGTGCTGCGCAGCCCGGGTGCCCGAGCAGGGAGGAGCACGGCCGCTGCAGCCTGAGCGCAGAGCCAGACACCCGGCCTGCTTTCCAACTGCCCACATCTGCAACCCACACCAGGGTGCCCAGGGCAGGGGGTGGGCAGCGCTGCAGACGCAAGGTGGAGCCTCCCGGCAGCTGGGGGGTGCGCTGCGTGACCACTCACCCCAGGCTCCCGGCAGGCGCAAGTCGGCCCTAAGTGGCCTTGGGCTCACCTGACAGTAAACTGGATGCAGCGGCTGCCTGGACAATGGGGCAACCAGGTGGGGAGAACCCAGCTGGGGCGAGGAAACTTGGGGGAGTGGGCAGAGTCAAGTCTTGACTGTGGGTGTCTAGGTCAAAATATCTAATTGTGCGAACCGGGTAGTTTACTATGTCGTTTTTACATCAACTCAGCGGATAAGCAGATGCCACCTGCAGTCGCTCACTGCAGGCGCCACGCAGGCCACAGAGCCTGGCACAGTCCGTGGGCTGGGCCCAGAGCAACCCCACCCCCGGTCCCCAGCCCACCAGAGCCCCTCTGGCGCTTCCTCTGCCCCTTTGACAGCTAAGTCAAAACCCCACCCATGGGCGTGCATGTGTAACACAGGACACACCTGAGCCCACCGAGAGGGCGTGAATGAAAGGTACACATGGACCCTGAACATAAGCTGGGCCTCGGTCAGCAGCCACCCTCCCTGGCCGCCTCCCGCCCACCTGTGACCATGCAGATGCCTCCTTTCCCTTGTCCCTCCCTAAACGCCTGTCCTTTAGCGTGCAAAGGGAAAGAGAAGAAGTCAGCCACCTTGGCTGCAGGGGCCGGGCAGGGGCCGGGCAGGGGCACCCAGCCAACTGGCCTCCCACCAGCCGGGGCACTGTGACGGGCGAGGGCGGGCTCCCAGGGGTGGCTCAGCTATCTAGGGTCTGTCCTCACTAACACAGCTTGGAGGAGAATAAATGCTGCGTGTTGAAAGGGAACATTTTCCTTCCATTGAAAAAAAGCCTTGAAACAATACTCACTCCAGTGCTTGCTAATTCCCCCGGCGTGGGCCAGCTCGCCATGTCGCTGAAGTCGCTGGCCTACGAAGCAATGAGTGAGTGTTAGGTCTGCGAATCAGAAATTTTAAATAGAAACAATATTTTCTAAAGGGAAAGCAATTTTTAAAAATACCTACATCTAATTACATGCAGGTATTTGCCAAATTAATGCAGTTTCTACTAACAGAACACCGACATGGGAATGATCTGGGCTGATGACCGAACTTCTAGGGTCTCTAACGACTCCGTGGATAAGCACAGGGTCACGGGCACACATGAGGGCCTGGGCAAAGCTCGCGGTGTGACAGCTTAGGCTGACATCAATGGCATGGCTGGGGGAAAATACACAATCATCGAGGAGGAGATGGTAAAAATATGCAAAGACATGGGCCTCCCCGGTGGCGCAGCGGTTGAGCGCTGGGCTGCGAAGCTGCCCGCAGCCTCTGCAGCGCCAGTTTGATCCCTGGCTGCCTGCGAGGGTCCCACATGGCGCGCAGACCTCTCCTGCCGCCCGCTGCTCCCCTCAGCAGTGTCCTTCGGTCCTTCTGCCTGCTCTGCTCCCCGCTCTGGCTCTGGTGAATTCTCTCACCCTCCCGCGCTTCTGACTGTCCCCAGTGCTTGTATAAATAAATAAATAAATAAATCTTTAAAAGAAAAAAATATGTGAAGACATACCTTGTTGGATTTCTTTGTCTTGAGTTTTCCTGCTTTTATAATTTTGGGGGAACTGAGTTCTAAAAAAAACACAGAGAACAGTTTTTACAACCACTGCATCCAATGCCTTTAACAAAAGAGCGATCCCACCAGATTCACCAGTCCGGCATCTTCACTCCCAACAAAACCTGAACTCAGGGCCCCCAGTTCCTCACCAGAGAGCAGCTCCAGTCCAGCTGCACTGCTCTCCAGAGGCCGCATCACCGTGTGGGAGAGCCACGCTCGGGACAGGCACCGAGACACCAGCCCTTCCCCGAGCGGGGGTGTGAAGGAGCCAGGCGGCAGCCTGCTTCGGTGTGAGGGGGCGCTGCCTTGTGGGGGCCCCGGCCCGCACAGCTACACGCTCACCAGCGAGCGTCCAGAAAATGACCAGCGGGCCTCGAGCCACGTGTCCTTGAAAACAAACACGTCTGGCAGCCGGCCGTGCTAGTCTGCCCCTGAGCCAGGCCACGAGACGCCCCGGGGCCTGTGGGAGGCACGGACTGTCAGTGGCCCGAGTCCCCGCGTGCCTGGAGGCCCAGGAGGACATGGGCAGGTCTCAGCCTCGGTGAGAAGACCAAGTGGGCATTGCCAGCCAAACATGACCGGGCGGCGGTCACAAAGCAGAGGGAACTCGGTGGGGGTCTGAGTCTGCAGAGACACCATGAGCAGCGAGGCCTGACCCCGAGAAGCAGGCCTGCGCGGCACCCCAAAGCAGGGCTGAGCAAGGCAACGCACTTGCCAAGGAGGAGGGGGCGGCACCCCCTGAGAAAAGGGAGATGCCACAGAGAAAAATACGGGCCAGTAGGTCCCACAAAACTAGAGCAGGAATGACAGAGCCTGCCTGCCAGGAAGGCCCGCGGCCTGCCCGAGTGCCGCAAACACCAGGGTGTCACACCGCTGTGCAGCACCCGGGGCTTGCCCCCGACAAGGTGGACCATGCCCCAACAATGCCGAGTTGGGGGACCACCGCCTGCCGCCCTGAAACACAGCCTCTGGCACCGTGTGGCCCGGGAAGCCGAAAGGGGCAGACCCCACGGACAAGGGCCGCGTGGCTTCATCACAGACCAAGCAGACACTGACACCAGCGAAATGAAGGCGAAATCTATAGATAAAAACAGACCTAACTTCCGTCCCCAGTGACGCAAGTAAGTCAGTTACAGGCTAGGAAAAATAGTTGAACAGACAGAGCGAATAACCGGCTGATTCCAGTCGACATGGCCCCGCACCCTTCCCAGACAGGGGTCACCCAGACAGGGGTCACCCAGACAGGGGTCACCGCCTCCCACTGAAGGCGGGTTAAGAAGCTGGAGGGAGAATGGGCCTGGGCGCCCTCGCGGCTAGACAAGGAGAGGACTTGCATTTCAGTCAGTTCTTCTGGACTCCAAAATTTTGGATTGTGGTCTCAGTTTCAGTCTCTCCTCCCGTTCCTCCTCGGGAAAGGCCCTGGGGGCTGACGTCTGGCCTCTGGCCTCTGCAGGCCGGCGCTGGCTGCAGTGGCGCCTGCTGGCGTGTGCCCTGTGCAGCACGGACAGCGGCCTGCGCCGGTCACGGTCCAGGGACGGGCTTCCGGGAACGGCTGCTTCCCGGCGAAAGCCCTCGTAGAGCGCCCGACAGCGAAACACTTGCCACCCGCCCGGCTGGCAGAGAAGACGCGTGGCAGCCCAGACGGCCGCGCGCCTCCAGGCGGGAAGGGGGCGAAGCGACAGTCTCCGGGGCGTCTGGACCCAACAGGCGACGCCGGGCGGTGCGCTAACCCCGCTCTGGGAAGTCACGTGGGGCCAAGACGCGGCAAGACGGTGTCCCGATAAAGATGTTCCCGCAGCTCTGCTCACGCCGCATTTAAACAGACGCCTGGACGCACGAGCGGGCGCGGCCTGGCACAGCCGCCCGGGGCACGGGGCCGGTGGGGGGGCCGCACGCAGGACTCAGGCCGGCAAGCGAAGGAGGGAGACGGTCGCGTTCCCATCCCTCCCTGACATGGCGGGAGGCGACCCTGCCCGCCGTCAGCCGAGCCTGGGGGCGGGGAGAGGCTGGACGGGAACGCCGGTGTATTCCAGCAGACGGGCCCTAAGAAGCGGCCACCGGCGCCCCGCAGCTCTGAGAGCCACCACGGCCCCTCTGGGCATCTAGAAAAGGCAACTCTCGACGGGGAGAGATGGGGAGACCACCCACCGCTGCACTTGGAGCGCGGGGTCCCGAGATGGAGCCTGCTGGGGCGCACCTTCGCCCCCGCTCCACGCCAGGGAGAGAAATGCTGCCTGCGCGCCCGCCCTCCGGACAAGGCCCGGCCGCGGAAAGCACAGCTGCAAGGGAAGAAGGCGACGTTGCTCACTTTCATTTCAAGGCCACAATTTTTAGCAAACTTTAAATGAAGGAAATGCACTGACAGTGTCTATAGTCACATGGCCCGCCGCGCGAGGGAGAGGGCGCGCCGGCGGGCGTGCGAGGAGCCCGCTTCACCCCGCACCCCAGAGCCGTCGTCTGTGCTGCGGGCCAGGAGGGTCAGGAGGGCCAAGGAACAGACGCCGAACTAGCAGCCCCACCGCTCACATCTACCTGAGAAAGACGGGCCGGGGGCAGGAGGGTCGGGGGGCAGGAGGGGGGAGAAGGGGGGAAGGGGGGGGCGCGCACCAGGCAGGAGTAAACACCCACGACCGCCCAGGGCCGTGCAGCGGCAGCCTGTGGGCCACTTCGCAACGGATTTTAAAAGGACTTTCAACTAAAAGGGCTCAGGAGACACTTCACGTGAGCAGCAGAGGACGGCGGGGACTGTGCCCGAAACTCTTGTCCCGGAAGCTCGCGAGTACGTCTGAGGGGCGCTGTGGTTCCTGGCGACCCTCCCGGCTCCTCTCTCGGGGGACACCCAGAGCTGGGCTTCTACAGGGAGAGCCCACTGAGCTCTCGTGTCTGTAACTCACTTAAACATGAAGGTGGCCATGTCGCCCGCTGGAGGTTTCTGGAGGGTCAGGGAACACCCAGGAGGCGGTGGCGCGGCTTCCCAGCCACGGCAAAGCGGAGGTTAAGGTGGCTCTGAGGAAGGCGTAAATCAGCCCCAGGCTGTGCTTTTAGTAATGGTGCCAAAATAAATAAGGCTGGGCCATGGGGAGATCCCCCTGGGCCCCTGCCTGAATTCAGACCGCAGCCCCCTGCGGGCAGCCCCTGCCGGGCAGAGCAGTCCTGGCGGCTCAGCCCGCAGCCCGCGGGATTTCCGTCCCTAGTGAGCAGCGTCCGGCCAGGCTGGGGCTGGCGTCCCTGTACCTCCCAGGGCCAGGGGCCAGGGCGGGCAGGACCCAGGTGTGAGCCTGTCGCTCCAGGTAGCAGCGTCCACTTCCCCTCACGAGAGTTCTCGGTCTGCAGGAGGAATCCCCGGGCCCCCGCGGGAAGGGAGCTCTGCGCCCCTCCTCTGAGCCCGTGCGGGCCCCCGGGGGCTCTGGCCTGGTGTGCTGCTCTGGGAGGAAGGAGGAAGCCGGGCCCTGGGCGAGGGGCGCAGGTGCTGGGAGCTGACGTGTGGACACACTCAATCCCGCCCCGTGAGCCTCAGAGCCTGGGCAGATTCCAAGGGGCGCTGGCCGGTCCTCAGCCCGGGGCCTTCCTGCGCCCTCATCTACGTTACCAGGTAAAGCGACTGTGGCAGAAGCTGGGGGGCAGCTCCCCAGGGACAGAGGGAGCAGCCGCAGAGATGTCAGGAAAACTGCGGTTCCCGGGAACCACCCCAGCCTCAGGACCGCGTCGCTGTACCCGGCCGGCAGGGAGGACGCCCGGCCACACCAGCCGGCTCCACACGGTGTTTCCCATGAAAACGCTGAGTCTCACCGGGAAAGCCGTGAGGCCCCCACGCCCACAGGCTCGCTGCGAGCTGGCCTGGCGCGTCCCCTGGCTGTGTCCGTCCCCTGGCTGTGTCCGTCCCCTGGCTGTGTCTGCGGCCGGGAGGCGACAGCCGTTCGGGAGACCCCCGGGGCGGCTTTAGGTTTGCTAAATTTACGGAGCTTTTCCTTTGCTGTGCAATGGCAGAAAACCAAGAGCTCTCTGCAGCGGGCAGGGCGCGGGGCAGATCCGGCAGTTCTAAGGCGTTTTCCTCCAAGTGTCAAAACCCTCAAGAACAGCGGGAGGAAGGCGCAGCGCGCCCGGCTCCTCTGAGGAGAGGCCGAGGCCGGCAGCAGACACGGCCGGGCCGGGCGCGCCTCCGTCGGGGCCTCCCGCCCAGCCGCCCAGCCCTCTCCGCTCCCGTCGGGACAGCGTCGGGGCGGGAAGCCCGTGGACTCCCCGCGGCCTCGGCCGGCGACGCGAGGCTGGGAGGCTGGGGCGCCCCCGCCGCTTCCCTGAACTTGACCAGAAACTTGAAGGCGGCGGCTCCACACCCGGGCGCCCCTCGTCGCGGGGCCCAGCGCCGCCGCCGTGCGCGCGGGGGGCGCGGGGGGCGCGGGGCGGGCGCGGGGGGCGCGGGGCGCCGGCACCCACCTGCCTCCGGGGCGTCCGGCGCGGGCGGCGGCCCCGGCCCGGCGGCGGACGGGGCCCGGGCGGCCCCCTGGTCCAGGGGTTCTCCTGGGCGGCGGCGGCGGCTCGGGGCCCCCCGCGCGGGCTCGGGCCCCGGGGCGTCGGGGGGCGGCTCGCCGCGCGCCCGGGGCAGCGCCAGGGGCCGGACGGGCACCGCGGCCTGGGGCACGCTGCGGCCCCGCACCGGCGCCGGCGACGGCTCCCCCCGCGCCCCGCGCTCGAGGCGGCCGCCGCCGGGCCCCCCCGCTCGGCCGGCCGCGGCCCGCGGCCGCCGGCGCCCCCCGCCCGGCCGGCGCCCCGTCCCGGGCGCGAGCGGCGCGGCCGCCCCCCCCGCCGCCGCCGCGGGGGCCCCGGGCCCAGGGAGCGCGGCCGCCCGTGTCTGCGCCGGGGCCGCGCCGCGCCCCGGCCCGGGCCAGCGCGCCGACAGCCCGGCCGCCGCCAGCCCGCTCGCCGCCGCCGCCGCGCGTCGGCCCAACGCCCGCCGCCGCGAGCCTCACCTGGCGGCCGCCGCCCGCCGCGGGAGCGCGCGCCGGGCCGGAGCCGCGCGGGCCGAGCCGGGCCCCGGCGGCCGCGGGCGCCGCGGGCGGGACCCACGTCACGCTCGGCGCCCGCCCGCCCGCCGCCCGCCCCGCCGGTGCGCCCGCCGCCCCCCGCGCCGCCCCCGCGCCGCCCCCCCGCGCCGCCCGGCCAGCCGCGGGCCAGGGCCGGGGGCCGGGCGAGGGCGGGGCGGGGCCGGGGCGGGGCGAGGGCGGGGCCAGCCGCGGACCGGGAGAGGCGGGGCGGGGCCGGGGCGGGGCGAGGGCCGGGAGAGGGCGGGGCGGGGCCGGGCGGGGCGAGGGCCGGGAGAGGGCGGGGCCTGCGGAGGGGGCGGGGCTTCCGGGCCGGGGTCCGCGGGCGGGGCGGGGCTCCGGGGCTGGGGGCGGGGCGGCGCGCGGGGCGCACGTGGCCGGGCAGGGACGCGGGGCCGAGGGGGCGGCGCTCACCCGCGGCTCCGGGCGCAGGGCCAGAGCCCCGACCCCCGCCCCGCGGCGGGGCAGCCAGGTCGCGAGGCTGACCCCGGCGAGCGGACCGCCCCCGCCCGGCCCCGCGCCCGGCGGACGTGGAGCGGCGTCCCGCGTCCCCGAGAGGCGCCCCGGGGACCCGGCCGCCCGGGGCGCGCCCCTGGCCGGTGACTGCGCCGGGCCCTCGGGCGGGGCCCTGCGTGATCGGGGCGCGGCGCCGGCGACCGCGGGCGGACCCCGGCCCTCCCGGTGGCCCCGGCCCAGCCCCGCGGCCCCCAGTGCGCCCCGGTACCGACCTGCGCCTTGTGCCGCTCTGCGTCTGCGAAGAAGCCCCGGCGCCGGGGCGGCGCGGTCACCGGTCACCGGCGCGCGATCGGAGCCGCCGGAACCTTTGCCCCGCTGTGGGCGCCGCCCGCCCGGCCCTCCCGGCCCGCCCGGCCCGCCCCGCCCGCCCCGCGCGCCCCGCCCGCCCCGCGCGCCCCGCCCGGCCCGCCCTTCCCGCGCGCCCCGCCCGGCCCGCCCGGCCCGCCCCGCCCGCCCCGCGCGCGCGCCCCGGAGCCGGCCCGCAGTGGACACTCGGCGCGCGGGGAGCACCTGTCCCTGACCCGAGACGGCACCTGCTGGAGGGCCGCGCGCCCGAGGCAGACACGCGGGGCCCCGAGCCGCGAGGGCGCCTGTCCGGGGCCGCGCCGGGGATGGCGTTTGTGTCCGAGCCCGGCCGCGGCCGCGGAGCCGCCCGCTCGGTGTCCGCGCACCAAGGGCAGTGGCGCCCCCAAGGTGCCACTTCGGCATAAGGGTTAATTCTAGGCTCATTTAAAAACGAAAACCCGGGGACTGAGGGAAGGTTCTGAGGGTGAAAAGCAGGCACCCCCACACACCTTCACGCCCGCGGGGCGCGCCCCGGAGGGTGTCGCCCTGCGGCTCCGCGGACGGGATGGCCGGGCCTCTGCCTTGGCCGGGCCTGCTGGGCCAGCCTGACCCCCTCGCCCGAGCAAAGTCCTCGCCCGGCCTCCCCAGGGCTTGGCAAGGCCTGTGCGCCCGGCCTTTGCTCCCCCGCCCCCGCCCCAATTCAGCAGGGCCTGTGAGCCCCAAGAGCCTGACTCTCCCGGAGCCCCGCGCTGCCCACACGTGCGGAACTGGTCTTGCCCCTACTGACCGCCTCACGGCACTCTGGCTATCAGGCCTCCCGAGGGCCGCCACAGGGCCGACAGGCCGTGGCAGTTTGTTCGATGCTCCCAGGCTCCAGGCTGGTGTGGGGTCCCAGGGAGCCTTGACAGCGCTCAGTGCAAGCCAAGTGGACTTGAGTCTCTGGGGGGCTGTGAACTGCTTGGGGAGCCCCACTGTCTGCGTCCCGAGGGCCAGTGGGTCTCATGCTGGGGTTCCCCCAACCCTCGGCTGGCGCTGACTACTGGTTCAGGACGGTGCTTCCCAGGCTGGCGTGCCCCTGGGCATCAGGGAGTGGCCTCCCACACTGGCCCTGGCCGCACGGCTGGGTGGTGTGAGTCTGGATTCCTACCCGGCTCCTGGAGGGGCAGAGTGAGGCCGACACTGCCGGAGGCAGACGCTGAGGCTGGCAGGGGCGCTGTCTGACTCCTGACCGCAGCTTGGGCTGGACTCTGGACTCTTCACCCCCGAGGGCGAGCTTTCTGGGTTTAGGTCCAACACTTTTCCAGGAAGCAGCTTTCAAAGTCCTGTGGAGTCGCTGGTTCCCTGGGATTCTGCCAGGGAGGGCCTCCCCAGGGCAGCCCCCGCCGCCCGCGCCCTCACTGGGCTGCTGCACCCACAGCGCCTGCGACCCTGGACGGCACAAGTCACCAACTTTTAGATGGACTTTTATTGTGAAGTACAAAAAATTTGGAAATTAAATTTCAGTTTCAGTGTTAACAACTCAACAATCCTGACCAGAGAAGGCACCACATTCAAATATTATACTCGTGAGAAACTACCTCAAATGCCCGCACAGCGACTACACCACCGGGAAATGGTGAAATTCAGAGGCTTCCCCAAACCACGTCCCAGTCAGAAGCGCGGCTGAAGCGAGGCGAGCCCTGGAGGAGCGGCCGGGGAGGGGCCGTGGCTGTGGCTCCCGCAAACATCCTGAGGCCGCTGCCCTGTGTGCGGCCGGCGCGGGCTCGGGAGGGTCCCCGGCGGGGGGCCGAGCTGTGTGCGGTGCGGGCGCTCGGACAGCCGGGGCCGTGACGCGGCGGCGAACCAACTTCACGGCGTCTGGTCGAGACGAAATTTGAAAAACACCTTCTTTCACATTCATTGGGGCAAAAGCAGGGACGTCTGCGAGTTCATTACAACCAAGAGGGGCTCGGCCCTTCGTGGTCGTCCCGCGGGGCGGGGGCTGCAGCGCGCGCCTCGGCGCCTTGAACTCCACCTGGAAGGTATTTCCCGACGGAGGCGCGGCCCTGGCACCTGAGCTCCACCGACACTCCAGGGCGACGTGTGAGCGGCTGCAGCTCCCGGGCTGCGACGTGGGGGCTGGCGGCCGACGCAGCTTCAGAAGCCAGGACTTCATCTGCAAGCCATGATTTCAGGAGTCGTTTTAAACCAGTTTCACCAAATGAAGCTGGTGCGACGTCTGAGGGACGCGGCCGCCTTCCAAAAGGCCGCGAAGGCACATTGTCACTCGGGACCCTACCGGACTAAGAACCTCAGTGGCAAAGATTTCAAAGAAATGAAACTCGAACACACTCATCCAAGCATTCACCCGCCACCCAAAGTATTTCCTACTGAAGTCAGCATTTTTTGCTCCCCCTTGAGAAGCCGCACCCCAAAGTGCGAACAAATCTCCCACGTGCCTCCCGTGCTAACGCGCGGCCCTTGTCACATCAAACCACGTGGGACCCAGCATGACTGAATGTGCTGTTCGCAATTTCATCTGTGGCGCAGATTCTGAAACCGAAACCCCAAAGCTGTCCGTGCTCGGCCTGGAGCTGGGAGTCTGCACCCCAGGGCGGGCGCGGCGCCCAGCTGCACCTTTCTTGTGAACTGAAACCTCCAGAGGATGATGTGAAACACATCTGGCATTTTTTTCCTCCCCTAACATTTGGCAAAGCTGTAAAGGGCTGCGCCTCTAACCCGCCTTCCTGCCTGCACTGCAATCATCAGAAGCGCCTACTCGGGGCGCTATCAGGTGTCAGTGGAAGGCAGAGCTAACACTGATTCACATCTTATTTGCAAGGTAGAAAATTAAAGTGGAAAACAAAATTATATTTAAAAATTATTAACGAAAAAACTTTTTAAAAGAAAATTAAAAGGTAAAATGAAAAAAACACACCAAAGAGAGAGAAGGGAAGCAACAGAAAGAATAACCCAAGATTACAAAATTCCCCTGGATCGGTGAAAAGAAGGAAACGTGCTCTGAAACCCAGGCAGTGGGAGAAATGCCAGCTGAGGACACGATATGGCCTCACGGGTCACACTCAGTTTGACTTAACAGTTCTATTAAGAACCTATTGGATTCCTATGAATAAATTTATTTTAAATTAATAAATTATTCATAATTAACAATGTCTTCATAAATAGCACAACAGACTAGACATTGGATATGAGATTCCCACAAATGGTAACAAAATACTTCATTATTTCATCCAAATATTGGTTTAAAATTATCCAGATGGATTTAAAACCCCAGTGGGTGGCGGCGTGACCTGGACGCGGCTCCAGCCCTGCGGGGCGGCGGCTCCAGCGGGACGGGGCCCCTCGGCGGCGGGGTCCCCTGGGTCACTTGGCGTACTTCCGGAGGAAGCGGTCGAAGGCGTCGTAGATGGCGCGTCTGGGTGGAGGGAAAGCAGGGCAGTTAGAGACAGAGGCGCAGGCCGCCTCACGCCACCCCAAGCTACCTGCGGTTTGCGATCTGCAGGGCGTGGCTAGGAGAGTGGGGGGAGTTCTGTCGGGGGTCTGTCCCCCGAGCCCTCAAACCTGCCTCAAGGTGGCTGAAGGGGGTCCAGGGTGACGTCACACATGTGACACGTATGAAGGACATAAAGTGACAGGAGGAGAAACTGGAGACGCAGCTTCTCGGGGGGTGACACAGGCTATGGCGGAGGCGCCTTCAGCCAGCTTTAGGCCCCTTCAAGGCCGCGCGCTGCGGTGCGGATCGGACCCGGCACTGTAAAATATTGTTTCTAAATCTTCTGTGATTTCTTCTCGCTGTAAAATACATTTTCATCGTACAATATTCAGATAATCTAAAAATGCAGAAAGAGGAAAACGTTGCGAGCTCGGCATTCTGAAGTACACGCTCGTCACCTTTTCATGTCCTTCCTCTGCATTTAGAACACACATTTATCTCTATTTTCACCCAGTCTGGATATAACCATGAGTCTGTCCGTTCTGTAGCCTCCAGTCTGCACCCTGAACAGACCCGGAGGCGGTCTCTGAGGTCTCTGAAGCTCGTGGGGCAGCGAGGCCGGGGCCTGCGGTGCCCAGGACACCCGCGGGCATCGGTCACCATCAAATCTGATTAGAAGTGAACAACGCAGCTCAGAGAGCTGGGAAAGACGGCACCAGCTGTAACAAGCAACGGAGCCGCGCCGGCTGCTAACACTCAGGCCCCACTCTGCGGGCCGCGAGCGCGGCGGTGGGTGTGGGCGGAGGGGGGAGAAGTGGGCGGCGCCCACAGGAGAGCTGAGGCTCATGGGGACGGCAGGCCGGCGCCTCACCTGAAGAGGCCCTGCTTGAAGAGGTAGGCGCTGATGTGGCCGCCCTCCAGGTAGCGGATCTCGCAGCCGGGCCAGATTTCCTGCAGGCTGAGCACGCCCGTGCGGGGGATGTAGGCGTCTTCTTTGGCCTGAACGGCTATGATGAGGCTGGGATCAACGGGCACTGGGGAGAGGATTTAAAAATGCGACGCATGAACACATCTTTAGAAAAATAATAATAGCTAAGCTTTAAAAAAATACAAAAGAAAAAAGGAAATAAAACTGCGATGCATACATGTTAAGAAAGCAGTAAGATTCTTACAGCTACTGTAGCTTGTAGCAGAAAATAAAATACATCATGCAATATGGGAAGTAAAATATTTGTCAGTGAAAACTTTACATGTTAAAAGGGCAGGTGCTCTGGGAGGAGAAAGACTCTGCAGTCACAGGCGGGCAGGGAGCTGCTCAAGCTGCAGCTTCCCGTCAGGTTACTACCCAGCCACATCCACCCTGGCATGATGCCCCTCAGTCAGTGAGATGAGCGCTAGAGAAAATACGAAATCCGGCATATTTTTAACAAACTAATAAGATGGTCTGAGATTTTCGTGGTTACGCTAGGACACATCCAAATAACCAACCCATCTTGGGAACCCCTCTGGGGCCAGGCGTGAACGCGCTTGAAAACCCGAGAGGGTCGTATCAAGGGGCCTGGAAACACCTCGCCAATGCCCTCACACGGCACAGCTGGCTACCTGCAGCCCCGCGCACCTGAGAAGTTGGCCACGTGCGTGCACTCGTCCATCACGCCCTTCATGAAGGCCAGGGGCCCCCCCTGCGGGCCGGGCAGCGGGCGGGGCTGCGGACTGGGGTCCCGGGGCGGGCTCTTGCCGGCGCCAGGCGCTGGGCCGAGGCGCTCCCCCTCGGGCACCCCCCGCCGCCAGAGCCCTCCTGCCGGGGCGCCCACAGAGGCCGCGGCAGGCTCGGGGCGCTCAGCAGGCTTCTGGGACTCAGCCTGATCCCTCCCATCCAAGCTGAAAGCGCTCGGGGCCAGGCTAAGGCCGGCGAGCTTGTCTGCACCGCCAGGGAGGCGCGTCACGGGCTCCTGTCCCACTTTGAAAGAATCTGCCTGAAACAGGAAAGTGAAAAGTCTCTAATGTGAAGCTGGATTTATTTGACAACCTTGTCGAGACAACACCAATGTCCACCGACACAGAGACGGGCCAACGGAATGTGCGAAGGGCAGGGCAGGGCAGGCCAGGGCAGGCCAGGCCACACGAGGACGCTGCTGACCAGGTGGCTGCGACTCAGAGACAGCGGGCAGAGCGCTGGTCGCCAGGGCTGGGGGCCGGAGGGGGGTCCCCCGCAGCGGGCAGAGGCGGACATCCAGGGGGACGGATGAGCTCTGCGGGTGGGGGTGCTCGGGGTGTTAGCAGTGTCTCGTCCCCCATGGTCTGTGCCCACCTTGGCGCCTCCACACGCTCGTGGGCTGTCCTGGCAGTGGAGAAAGGGGACACCGCCCCCCGGCCTCGGGGTAAACCGAAGAATTTAAAATTATTGAGGAAAAAGCATGGACTGAAATCACAGAAGCACGGCCTGGGCGTAAGCACCTGCAAACGCCACATGGTTTAAGCACACGGCTGAACAGCGAAAGCAGCATCAAAAGGGAGAAAGGAGCCACCGGTGACGGCGCGTGTGCCCAAGGCCTGGCCGGGAGCTGCCGGCCGCCGGGCATCACGAGCTGGAAGCGGCCACAAAGGCCACGGACGCGTGGGGCGCCCAGCCCTGCTCCTCCCCTCGGCGGCTCGGCTGCTGCCGGCTCTCACGGCCCCGCAGAAATCTCAATTATTTGTTTTATTTTTGTGAAAAACGCCACTGGGGTGGTGACAGGGATCACACTGAGTGATCGCTCGGGGTAAATGAGGAGCTTTAAAAGAAAAAGGCAACACGACTGTTTCTTAAAGACCGCAATGCTTACAAAAAGTGAATCACGCCACATGGCACCTCCCGGCCCCCGACGGCACGCGAGCAGGGGCCACTCACCCCGCAGTACTCAAGCATGTGGGTGATCTCCTCCCCGTAAACCGCCTGCGTGTAGTACTGCTTCTCCAGCTCCCGCCAGTTGATGGACTTGCTGAGCACGCCCTGCAAGAGCAGGGAGGCCTGAGACCACCACACCAGGGAGCACTTGCTCCAGCACTGCCACTGTCACCATGGAGCGGGGGCAGGAGACCGAAGCTGAGGCGTCTGTCTTCAGCCGGCCGAGTGGCCCAGCCAGGCACGCCTGCCCCAGCGCAAAGCTGGGCCTGGGGACCGAGGCCGCAGGGCCCGCGCCAGCCAGGCAGGTTCTGCTCAGCACCCAGCATGCCCAGGGTGCGGCCGGGCGAGGCTCCAGCGCCATGCTGAGGCTGGCACGCGGCACACGCGGCAGGGGCCCGCGCCACACCCCAAGGGCTCCGGCCAGTCGGCAGCCTGCCCGGGGCTGGGGCCTGCACCCTCCCTGCTGACTGTCCCAGCATCTGGGAGGAATCAGCACAGGCACAGCTCTAAGCTGAGCCTGTGACCCCCCCCAGGCAGCCCTGGTTCGGGCCCGTCCACCACCTCCACCCCCGACAGCTCCCGGCAGCAGCACCCGCCATTACCGTGGTGAAGACACCGGACGCTGTGGACCAAGACAGGCACGGGACCAGCGGCACGGGCTTGGGCCAGTTGGACACGGCCAGGGACGCCATCTGCGAGTGGGCATGCGGCGTCAGGCCTCTGCCGGGGATGGGGCGCGGCCCCCACGCGCTCATGCACCTGTCTAGCGAGTCTTAAATCCCCAGATCGCAGACTCAGCAACGACCCCCCTCAGAGAGCGAGAGCATTTAGGGACTTCGGGATGCCCTCCGGGCTCTGGGAGAGCCGCCAAGACTGGAGGCTGTGTGGGGCCAGCGCCACAGACCTTGGTTCCACCCAAGGGAGAGAAGGACCCTGAGCTCAAGTGGGATCAGAACCGAGGTGGTGCAGGAGTGTGTGGGGGGCAGAAGTCACCCCTGGCTTGCGGACTCAGAGACGGCGTCGGGAAATGGCTGAGGCTTTTAGGGCTGGAAGAAGGGCCCGTGTGCAGGGGACAGTGTGGGCAGAGTGCCCAGAGGCCCGGCCGCTTCCGCTGTGGCAGAGACAGGGGGCGGGGCTCGAGGGAGGGGATGGGGCCCGGCATGGAGGCCCCTGTGTCCTGTGAATAAGATGAGGCCTGAGCAGAGGACGTGTCAGAGAAGGGGTCAGGAAGCCTGAGTGCTGGGCCCCGGGCTGGCCAGATGGGCCTGAGACAGGGGCGCCGCAGAGGCCAGAGGCACCTGCGGGTGGGAGAGGCCTTTCCCTGGTCGCTGACTCCGGTGGGGTGGAGGGGGGCGCGCGCAGAGCCGGGAGCTGGCAACAGCAGGCTCCGCCTGACCGTCGGGAGAGCGCGGAGAGCAGACTTAGAACGTTCACCCGGTTAAGGTGTGGGAAGGCTGCCGAGTAAAGGCTGGCCCCTGTTTTGGTACATCCCAGAGACAGAGGTCAGGGGGCAGGCACGGGCAGGACGTGGCAGCCGCAACGCATGTACGCACGCGACCTGGAAGCTGAGCTCCGTGACGGCGCGACACGCGCAGGCCTGGGCGCAGGCGACGGCTCGGCCACCGCAGGTCTGTGCTCTCCCAGGCCAGGGCCGGACAGGAACTCAGGCAGAGCCCCCACCAGAGTGCAGAGCACCCGTGTCCCCCGTCCGACAGCGGCCCGGCCACCCCCGCTGGACTCACGTGTCCACCCATGGAGATGCCGGTCATGCCCAGCGGCCCGTAGCCCTCCCGCTCCAGCCAGTGCAGCAGGGCTGCCGACTCCAGCACCAGGGCGCCGCCCATCACGAACAGGTCCGACACGTTCCTCAGGCTGGACCTTCTGGCTCAGAGATAAGCGAAAGTCACCCCAGGCCCCCGGCCCCTCCCCGCAGGCCCGGCCCCCCTGGCCTCCCAGCGCAGGCCCAGCCCTGAAGCCGCAGGCCAAGCCCTGAAGGCGACTTGGGAGTGGGGCGTCTCCAGAGCGCCGGGAGTTTCACTGTCTCGCTGCTCTGGCCCAGGAAGGCTGTGTATTCAGTGACATTTTTATGTTAAAATATTTATGGGAAAATAATGTGTCTGCAGAGCCAACTTTTAGTGCAATGACCACTTTGCTACAAGGAAAATCAAATTTACAACAGCTCAGTATGAGAAATCGTCACAATAGCTCTCAGAGCATAAAATTCTTTTTAAAAGGAGCAGGCTCAGGTGCTGCTGAGTCTTGTTACGACGCGTGTTCCCACAAGACACTGGGTGGGACACAAGGGAGCCCTGGGGACGCTTCACCTCCCGGCTGAGGTGGCCGTGCTGGGCTCTGGCCCTGCTCCTGAGCTGTGGCCACAGCGGAGAGCAGGGCCAGCCCGAGGCCGCCGCGGGCACCTGACTATCGCCTCCAGGCACGGCTCCTGGGGGTGGGGCGGGCTGCCCCCGAGTTGCAGCCCCCCCTCACGATGACTCAGAGAGAGACATGCTCACGAATCGCTCGCTGGATGCTGCCTGGCGGGGTGGAAACGATTCACTCCAGCACAGTCATCTCATGCGCAGGCAGGAGGCCAGGAGCGCGGCCAGGGCAAGCGGAGGTAGGGCCGGGGGAGACGGAGGCTCGCCCTCCCCCCGCAGGCTCTCGGCCAAACCACACTGCCCCCGCCCCGCACGGGCACGCCCGGGCCTGGACGCAACTGCCCCGTCCTCTCCCGCCCTCCTTCGCCCCCGGCTCAACCCCAGCTCCACGCCAGGTCGGGCTGTGGCTGCTTCTCAGGAGGCACCTGTCTCCTCAAACCGCTCAGCCATTTTTAATGAAAACAGGCTGAAGTGGGCTTTTAAAAATGGAAGTATTACTTAAACGGCAAGTCATTTCTTATTTATGATGCCTTACTAGAGAAAATCAAACAAATACATTCAAACATGGTTATAGCTCTTGGCTAAGTAACATTTGCTGGGGCCTCCCTGGTGGCGCAGGGGTCAAGTCCCAGCACTAGGAAGCTGTCTGCAGCCTCCGCTGCACGAGTTTAATCCCCGGCCAGGGAGCTGCCCACAGGGCGCAGCAGACCCCTCCTGTCACCCCGCTGCTCCCCTCAGCAGTGGGTTTCAGTGGATCCACCTGTTCTGCTCCCCACTCTGTCTCTGGGGAATCCTCTCACCCCCACACCTCTGGCCTGTACCCCAGATCTTGTATGCAAACATAAATAAATCTTTAAAAAATAAATAACACATGCTATTTTAAAAGCATAATTCTTGTAGTTCTGGGGAGGAAATCACCCCAGATTCCTTCTTTATAAATGAGGTTGCCCGCCGGAGGGTGGTGGCCTCAGCACCACTCCTGCACCTTCCTGGTGTCTGACGCCTCTGGACGGGGCAAAAGTGACCCCGAGTTCTAACTTCAAGACTTAGCTTCAGGGCGAGAAATGCTGACAGCTGAGCTGCGCCTGAACTTTGCTCAAGGTCTCACAGGCTCATTCCAGAGGGACGGCGGGGCCGGCCAACACGCCCCGCACCCGCCACGGCAGCGGTCACCCACAGAGGCCGCGCCTTCTCAGTCAAGGTGCCGGCGGGGGGCAGTGTGCCCGACATCACCCTTTCTCTAAGACCCTCGGCGCTCCGCCCCGCATCCAGTCACCTCCGGCACGCCCGCCGGCCCTCCGCTCTGCCCCTGCCTGCTTCGCTCTCCTCCCGGAGGGTCTGGCCATTGTCCGTCTCCCCAGAATGTGCCAGATGTGAGTCCGTGAACGTGAGGACGGGCTCCCGGGGTCTGCGGCAAGACACGGAAGGAGCCAAAGCCGGACACAACACAGGCCGTGGAAATGCAGGAACTGCCTGCAAAACCCCTCATTTTAAAGGGCGGGAAGGGCTTGTCCTCAGCTCGCCGGCGCTGTGCTCTGCCTGAACAAGGGCTGGGGCTGACTTCACGAAGCAAATGGACTTAAAAATGGAAAATGTTTCACTTCCTCAGTATCACCTTACAAGTGAGGTGCCTACTCAAAGGAGCCTATTCAAAGTTCTTGTCTCTTTCTCAGATATTAAAATGTAAACATCTTAAAAGAAAAATTTTAGTCAAATCTTAGTTTTTGTTTTTTAAAGATTTATTTATGCACACAAGAACCAGGGTACAGGCCAGAAGTGCGGGGGGGCGGGGGGGGGTGGTGAGAGGACTTACCAGAGACAGAGCAGGGAGCAGATCAGGCAGACTGACGAAATACACTGCCGAGGGGAGCAGCGGTCACGACAGGAGGGGTCTGCTGCGCCGTGTGGGTAGCTCCCTGGCTGGGATGGAACTCGTGCTGCAGAGGCTGCTGACAGCTTCGCAGTGCTGGGTGCAACCCCTTGCGCCCCCAGGGAGGCCCTAAATCTTAGTTTTATAACCGTTCCCCTCCAATGCCATTCGATATTAAACTTAGAAACGATTATCAAAAGACTGAGGGAAATGTGGCAGAACGAGAGCAACGACTCATACTCACACTTGGTCCTTGGGTTTCCTGCAGCCGTCTAGGAAAGTGGGTCAAAGAGAAAGTGTCAGTGAGGACAGATGCCCCGTCTGGCGTCGGGAGCAGGTGCTGACCTGAAGATGCCGGACACTGACAGTGAGGTGTCCTCCTCATCTCAGAGAGGTTGTGGAGAAGGCCCAGGTTCTGGGCTGTTTGCTACAGGCCTGCTGAGGTGCAGCTCACCCTCTTAACACTCCCGTCAGCGTTGCCAGCACCTTTACAGGGGTGCAGTCTTCAACTTAATGCTTAGTTTGTTTTCATTTATGTGCTAATTATAGAAAAATCTAGAAAACTCAGAAAAGAACTCCTTCCCAGACGGGGGCTCAGCGGCCACTGAGCTCACAGGACGGCAGGACTCGCCTAGGGGGCTCTGCGGCCAAAGCGCCAGGCCCGCGGGGTCCCCCCACCCTGGGGCGTGGCTGGTGGGGCGCAGGTGCGTGGGCGGGAGGGGCCGCCGCCCCCCACGGTGATCCCCCCTTTCCCCTCAGGGAAAGGGAGCAGCTGCTGGGGTCGGGGCTCGGCCTGGGCGGGGTGGGGTGGGGGGCGGGCGGGCCTGCACGGCCTCTCAGTGGGTGCTCAGGTGCGGGCCGGGGCAGCTCACTCACAGCGGGCCTGGGTGGCCGGGGGTTCCTGGGGGGCCTGGGAGGTCTGGGGGCGCCTGGGGGGCCGGGCGGGAAGACTCTCGCTGCCTTCGAAGCGCAGCCGCACGCCGTCCCTGTCTGTGCCTCGTGGGGTGCCGCTGCCCACAAAGGATATAGTAGGGGTTCTCCAGCAGCAGCGACGCCATCCGCGCCTCCTTGATCATGGGCCGCGCCATGAGCGTCCGCCGCCTCCAGTAGTGCTGCGGGGAGAGGGCGGGTGAGGTGGGGGGGACCGCGGGGGGGCACAGAGGGGGGCCGCGGGGCAGGGGCACTCACGTGGTCGCCGGTGCCTGCCAGGTGGATGCACACCGGCCGGTGCCGCCCCTGCCACTCCTTGGGCACGATCAGCTGGAACCTGTTGGAGAAGACGCCGGGACACTCCGTTTGGAGGAACTCGGAGGCGAACTCCCCTTTCCTGAGCTCATGGCTCCCCACTCTCCAGGGCAGCACCCCGCAGCTGGCCCCGGGCCCCTCCAGCAGCTCCTCTCCACTGGCCACACCTGCCTGCAGCCACCCGCCAGGTGCGCGGCTGCCACCCCGTGTTTCATGTTCTTGCCGTGCGGCCCCAGAAGTATTTCTCTTTAAGTCAGTGCCCCCCACGCCCCCCAGCCGCCCCGCCAGCTGGGCTGTCCGGGTCTCTGCAGCGGCTGCCCTGGTGTGTCTGATGCCCACAGGGGAGCAGGGCTCCCTGCGGGAGACACCCCTGTCGCCGGCGGGCCCAGGGCCCATCCGGCAGCTTCCACTTGGCCGCCTGCTAGGGGCCACGCGCCGCACCCCCATCTCGGGCATCACAAGAACCATCGCGGCGCCCAGCTCTCGCAGAGATGACCGTTTCCCTCAGATGAACACTCAGCAGTGAGCTGCGGGGTCACAGGGCGGCTCTCCGCAGGTCCTCAGCCGCCCCACGACCCACCACGGCCGCGCTCCCACCCGTCTGGCCGCCAGGGCCCGCCCCGCCTCCGCCAGCACTTGCTCCCGCGGCCTTTTGGCGACAGCTCCCCGGCGGGTGCGGGCCCTCGCCGCCCGCTCATCCTCCCGCGCGCTGGTGACCTCGCCCTTGCGCGCTCTTCCTTGGCAAAATGTCCGTTGCGTTCTCCCGCCCAGCTTTCAACCCCAGCTTGTCCGTCCCACTGGCTGCCGACCCGCATGAGGCCCGGGTCCGCGGGGCGCCAAGCCCTTCCCGGGAGAGGCCTGCAGGCGTCCTTGCTGCTCCGCGGGCGCCTCCTGTGCCGCCAAGATTCTTAATTACATGAAGTCCCAGGTATTTTGTTTTTGCATTTGGGGTCAGATTCAAAACATCACGTCCAACACTGATGTCAAAAAGCTTGTCCATAGTTTTCTCCTAGGAGTTTAATGGTGTCAGGTCTTCTATTCCAGTCTTGACTCCATCTTGAGTGGTCTGTGTGTGTGAGAGACGGAGTCCAGTTTTCAGCACCAATTGTTTCAGAGATTACTGTTTCTCCACTGTACGTTCTTGGTTCCTTCTTTGTACATCATTTGGTCAGATGTGTGGGTTCATTTCCGGGCCCCCCACTCTGTTCTGTGATCTGGGTGCTTGTTTTTATGCTCAGACCATGCCACTTTGATGACTACAGCTTTGCACGGAAGTGCAACTGGGAAGTGGAGCGCCTTCAGTTTCCTTTTTCTTTCTCAAGGTTGGGTTGGCTGTTTGGGGTCATTTGTGATTCCATGCAAATTTCAGGTGGCAGGAGGCACAGCGTTGTGAGGCGCCGGCACGCCCGGCCCACATGTCTCTGATGGCTGAGGCAATCTTGTTTCCAGCACTTGGACTAGTCAGATCTTCTATTTGGTCCTGATGCAGACTCAGCAGGCTGTGTGTTTCCAGAGATTTCTTTCCTCCAGGCGGGGAGACCGGGTGGTGTGTACGTGTTCGCAGGAGCCTTGCAGGAGCCTGTGCCTCTGGGTGTGGTGATGGCTCCTCTTCACGAGCTTTCAGCGCTTTCTCTTTCTGCCTGGTGTGCCGCTCTACAGGCTGTCTCCGCGTCCTTTCACAAAGCAGGCTGTCAGTTTTACTGACTTTCTTATATAATCTTTTCGGTCGTGTTCATATTTTCATTCTTATCTTTATTTCCTGCCTTCTATTAACTTTGGACTTTGTTCTTTTCTTGGTTCCTTGAAGTGTAAAGTCTGGCTGTTTATTTGCCTTTTTTCTTTCTTCTAATGCAGGCGTTTTCCGCTGTGGATTATTTGGATTCACTATTATCACTTTGTTGGTTGCTTTTGGCCTGCTTGGCAGCTTCTTTGTTCCCCACTTTTTCTTTTTATCTCTTCTTTGTGAGTGGATGGTTTGCTGCAGGGGTATGCTTAGACTTGCTTCTACCTCTGGTGCACCTGTTACAGGTTTTAGGTTTGTAAGGCCTATATAAAACATATTTGTAACAGTCTATTTCAAGCTGATGACCACATAAGTTAACACACATAAGGGAGCTCTATGTTTTTACTCTCCTCCATCCATTTGAAAGGAATCATGTTAAATAATTATTATAATTAATGCTAAGTAATTTGAAATAACGTCACATTTATTTTCAGTGATCATAAATAATTTAACTTTCTGAATAAAAATGCTTACCTTGCAATAACAGATTCGATTGGCATGATGTCCGGCACACAGTGGGCCATGGGGGAGACAAAGTGCCCATCCAGGATCTTACAGTCAGACTGCTCTTCAATCTGGAAGGAAAGAGAAGCCACATGTGCATGAGCACACGGGCTCGCCTGTGGATCCCGGCGCTTTGCTCTAACACACTTGTGTTCAATGAGAAACTTCTCAGGGCGCTCCACACTTCCTCCCTCTTTGCTCACGCTGTGAGCGTGCTTTGCCACACACGCTTTCTAGAGATGTGACTCTTTCTCAGTTTTCCTTCTACTTCCTTTAATAAAGTGCAGCTGGGACTATAAACCTCATTAGTACAGTGATAAGCAGCAAATCGAAGCAAAATGCTAATAGAAAAATTCAGGAATATGAAAGTATACATAAGGACAATTTACAAATCAAAAAAACCCCAATTTGCCACAATCAAGGAAGGTTTGACCAGATACGTTAGTGGCTCATTTTCAGGCCACCCACTGATATAGTGAGTCACGTCAACACATTAAATAAAGGAAAATATGACACACACACCGCAAAGATAGCTGCTAACATTTAGCACCAAACTTTTCCCCTCTCAAATAAGTATTTCTTTAAAATACAAATCTTTATGAGGTCAGTGGTTCACTAGTAATAAAGCACCACGTATTTTCATTACAATCAAGAAAAAAAATGTGCATATTGTCTACATCTAGTTTAAGCACAAATTCTAGCTTTTGTGTTACCATTATTTATTATGCAATCACATTTTTTGTAAACGACTTACAATGCTACTTTCTCATGAATTAATTTCCTTGTGTTTCTGCCAGTAACTTTCCATCCTTACCAGGTCTGCCCAGGTGTGCGGGAGCCCGGCCATCAGCGCGTGGCTGGGAAGCTGCCCAACAAAGCCCACTCAGGTGCTATTCCTGTCGCTATGCGGCGAGTGACGGTGAACCCAACAGGCCTGAACCATCTGGAAAACGCCTGAACGTGAAGGTTCACAGCAGAGCTGCTTCTAACAGTCCAAAGAAAATTAACCCAAATGTCCACCACTGTATAAATGGGGGAACAAATTATGGTGGATTCACATGGCAGAATATTACTCAGCCATAAAGCAGCGCTACTGTCTCTACCCTGGATTAGATGGACAAGCTTTGAAAATACAGTAAGTGAAGACACGAAATACTACATATTGTATGATTCCACGCATGTGAAATGTCTAGAATAGGTGAACCAGAGACAGCAGGTTAGTGACACCAGGGGGTGGAGGTAGGGGAAGTGGGGGGTGTTGATAATGGATACACGGACTGTAGCGCGGTCTCCTACCCCTTCAGGCTGTAACACTTCCCAGATGCTGCGTAGGAGTATCTTGCGAATAACTTCTCAGGGCTGGCTCTCCAGTAGGTGAGCCCCTAGCTTACAATTCTTCTGAAATGCTGAGTAACTTACTTTAACCCTCTGTCCCTTCTGTGCCTACAAATTCAAAATGAGGCTCAAAAGGATCCAGCTCTGAATACTTCCCACCCTTAGGCGAGGTTCAAGCATAAGGTCCCAGACACCCCCGAATCCTTCCCACAAGTGTCCGGGTTGCACACACTCGTGTTGCCAAGTTCATTGTACTTAGACTGATCTTGCTACAGCTCTGTGTTAGACCAGAATTTCTATGCCTGATTTTCTGTCATTTGAATACCTTATCGATGTAGACTGGATAATCGCTTGAAACCAGATTCTGGCCACTTTCTCGATTTCCAATCATCTTCCTGAATTCAAAGAGCCTGTTACCGGGAAGGAAGAAGAAAAGGAAAAATTGTATCTTTTATCCCACCCCTGGCATCCACTACACAGGAGCAATGAACAGTGATTAAAAATCAGCAAGGCGTGTACATCAGTCATACTAAATTTTAGTTTTAACCAATGGAAGAGAAGATCAGGCTGTTGTCCCCCCCCACCCAGTGGACACTTTGTCTCAGAAAATACATGAGATATAACATTGTTCAGAAAGTAACTAATATGTATAACCCTCAAAATTAAAGGTGTAAGTCCTAAATAGTCATTAAATCCAGATTTTTCCATGAGCTACATGCATATCCCAGATCTGTGGCCATTATCAGGTTACCCAGGGAAACTCGTCCCAAGAAACCACTGCCCTCAGCTTGATAATTTTTTAAAGATTTATTTATTTATACAAGAACTGGGGTACAGGTCAAAGGCATGGGAAGGTGAGAGACTTCACCAGAGAGAGTGGGGAGCAGAACAGGCCGACTACCAAAGACATTGCCTAGAGGAGCAGTGGGCGAGGCAGGAGAGGTCTGCCGCGCCATGTGGGTTTCTCCCTGGCCGGCCGGGAATCGAACCCGCACTGCAGAGGCTGCGGACAGCTTCACAGTGCTGTGCTCAACCTGCTGCGCCAGCGGGGAGGCCCTCAGCTTGATAATTGTTAATGCCAAGCTCCAGTTTGTTTCTGAGAGTTCTTTATTTTAAAATCTGAATTCAACAGTTCAATAAATGATCACATGAGCTAAAATATGGGGGAAATAATTAAAAAGATAAGCAGTATTCATTTCAATTTTTTGCATAGTTTAATGTTCGAAAATCATCTCACATTCAGAGAGGAAGAGTTTATAACTGAAACAGATTTTTAAGCATTTACTGAAGCAACAAATGCAGAACCACGCCCGGGGAACACTGACCTTTTGAGGTCCTCCGGCCGCCCCCATCCTCGGATGAAGAGCTTGGTGAGGAGGAGTCTCCGGTAGAGCACGTCCAGCTTGCTCACGCCCATGAGGGGCAACCCGCATCTGCGGGACAAGGTCTCCTTCAGTCTGGCCCGTGCCTCAGCGGTGTCCCGACACAGCACCTGCGGACAGACTTGACGTCCACACCTAGAAGCTTCCATCAGGCAAGGGAGCACGTCTGCGAGGGAGGCGGCGGCTCCGGGAGACACGGTAGGGGTCTTGGCCGGCGCTAGCCCCAAATACAAAGTCCTGTGTCCACCCTCATCCCCGACACCCGAGGGGCAGCCTGGAATCCCACCATGAGCTTACCCCCCAAAATGAGCCGGACACAAGGAAGGCAATGACTGGGCCGAAGGGCAGTGCCGGAGGCGCCCCGGCAGGCCCCCAGCACGGAGCCCGGGCGCCATGGACACCTGCCGGGCAAGGGCTGCTACCAGGCTCCGTCCTGGACCCTGCGGCCGCGCTCCCGTCCGCATAGCGCTGGAGGAACAGATCAGGCTGAGGATTCACCAGAGACAGAGTGGGGAGCAGAACAGGCAGACGGCCCTGCCCAGGGCGCCAGGGCACAGCGAGGTTGTGCGGGCAGCTGCGGCCGCACAGGGGGCAGGCAGGGCAGGGCAGGGCAGGCACACAGCCTGACCACCTCGCCGCACCCGGCCCCATACGCCGGGCGGGCCCCTCGCAGCCCCCGGGAAGTTCTAAAGGGCTTATTTCAACCTTCTCTGTCGTCTAAAGGCCAGGGTGTCGCTGGCTGGCTCAGGGCTTGCCCCTGAGGCACGGAACAGTAGCAAGCAGTAGCCTGTCCCAGAGCTTCAGGGTGCCCAGCCCTCCGGTCTCGGTGCTCCTGCTGCACAGTGGGCACAGCCGCTCTACACGGCCTGCGGCTCGCAGGGCCACGCCCACCCCGGGAAGGCTGGTGGCCAGCGCAGGCCCAAGTGCCCCCACTGCCCGCGCGTCTCCCCAACCTCCGTGGACATGGCTCAGCCCCTCTGGTAAAAACCTGGCCCGCGTGAGGACGCTGGGGGACCCTGCTGTCCACCATACTCTTGGCCCACCTGCATACGACGCAGCGCCTCGTCACGGGACGGCATGGCACAGGTCGCAGCGTCCACCATGTGCCTACGGGCGCAAGTGCACACAGACCCGAGGGGCCTCTCCAAAGCCAGAGCCCAGCCCACTGCCGGCGCCCTCCCAGGCTCTCTCCCCTCTGCTCCGGGCTGTCCGCTGGACCAGTGTCAGATCTACGGGCCCATCTCGTTTTCTCTAGATGGAGGGGAAGCTGGCACACTTATCTTTATCATTATCATAATTTCTTGGTTTAGTTCGCTTATTTTTATTGATTATTTACTTTTCTTTCTTTTTTTTTTTACACAAGAGCTGGGGTACAGGCCACAAGTGTGGGGTGTGAGAGGATTCACCAGAGACAGAGCTGGGAAGAGAACAGTCAGACGGACCGAAATACACTGCTGAGGGGAGCAGCGGGGAGACAGGAGAGGTCCACCATGCCATGTGGGTAGCTGCCTGGCCGGCCGGGATCGAACCCGCGCTGCAGAGGCTGCGGGCAGCTTCAGAGTGCTGCGCTCAACTGCCTGCGCCACCAGGGAGGCCCTGATTCTTTAGTTTTAATTGTTCATATAATTTGTGTTGTGTCTGAGTGGGAGTTTGAGAGTGATGTCTTCAGTGCACCCCACACTGCGCGGGAGGAGGGACGGCAGGCATGGCTTTGCTCTGGGCTCCCCAGCGCCATTTTAGTTTTTTTTCATTATCTTTACACCTTTAAGTGTACGCCTAGCGCTAATCTTTGATTTATCAACTTTAGGCGATATCTGACACTGAAAGTTGAGAAAGCCTGTTATGTCCCTACACCCTCTTATTTTTTGATACTTGTAAGTTATGTCGATCTTATGTCGTCATAGTCAGTCTTAGTCTTAGTTGTATTCCATGATCAGTGCCAACCATTTTCTAGTAATTAATAAAATGGAAAATAAAATCAATGAGAAGTCAAAAGAATTCTTTGAGAACATGTAGGGTAAATGATGTCAAGCTTTTCTGCCATTAGGAGGGATGAGGGATCCCTGCGGTCCTGTACGCCTGCCTGGTGGCGGCACCTGGAGAGGGCGTGGGTGCGCGCAGGTGGGTTCACCTGGGCTTAGGCGGCAGCGGCGCGGAACAGAATGACCGAGGGAGCCCAGGCAAGAGCAGCACCAGCAGAGAAGCGGAGGCCGCGAGAACGCTGGAGCCCAGGAAGAGCGAAGATTCGCCAGGGGCTGGGGGACCTGCCAGCCTCCCGGCCCCCACCCCCTGCCTGCCTAGACCTGGTAAAATGGCATTAAAACCCTGAAAAGCCACCGAGGGCTCGAGGACTCCTCCTTTACCCGGCCGCCCGGATCTCAGAGAAGCAGCTCCGTGCCTGCTGTGGCGACAGATCACAGACACCCCCGAGCTGGGCCTGAGGTAAGAGACAGGACTATTTTAGGGCTACAGACCAAAATCACCTCAATAGAATAAGAACTATTTTACAGTCACTAGCCTTACTGGCTAAACATGAAAAAAAAAGCCCAGCCCAGAGACGTAAATAAAACCAACAAAATCCCCAGCACTTAATAAAACTGAGCACTGAGGAGCGGCGATGGAGAGAGCAAGCGTCGCGGGACACAGCCAGCCACGCCACCCGCACGACGGCACTGCGCAAGCTCCCCTCCGGGAGCACCCCGCTGCGGCGAGAACAGGCACCCCCGGGGACCACGGCCCTCCCGGCACAGCACAGGCCCCCCGATGTCCAGACAAAGCGAGGAAAAAAGTGTGAAGACGACACGGGGGAGAAGGCGCCTCACCCTGAGGGGGAGACTCGAGCTGGGCACCGTCAGGGCCGCCAGGGGCCGGGCCCGGTGTCCATTGGGGGAAACGGAAGGAGAGGCCGGCGCTCACTCCAAGTGCCCACGCAGAATCCCACGTCTCCCTCAGAGCCACAGACTGGCCGACACGCCACACCTGCGGCCGCCTTAATAGCGAGTGGCTGGGCGGGTGGACGAGGCCGCCGCGGTGCTGGCGGGCCCTCCAGGTGCTTGCACACGGCTGCACTCTCGTGCGCCTTAACTGTCCCGGCACTTCTAAGTCTAAGCCCTGCACCGCAAAGGTTTCCTGAGTCACCTGAAGGCCCTGTCACAGGCCCTGAGAGCCAGCACTGCCTCTCCAGAGCCAGACCCCCTGGCCTGGCTCCCGCCCGTGAGCGGCCAAGACAAGCACACGCCTGCTGCCTCGCCTCGCGCCTGGAGCCGGGGCTGGGGTGCTCTTAAATCCCATTGTAGTCCCCAAACTCGGTTTTTGGGGACACTGTAGGCACGTGGGTCTTCCACGTAGGGCGAGTGGCTACCCAGTGCCAGAGTGTGCAGACAATACGAGACTGGGCTAAAAATAACTCCAGTTCGCCAAGGGTGCCGTGACATGGACCACACCGCGCCCCGAGGCCCAGCGTGCTGGCACCAGCGAGCGTCCCAGCTCCAGGCCCGCTTTCCAGTACGGACTAGACGAGCAGGCACAGCTGCCGCCCCGCGCGCCCCGGCCAGCGGGCGAGGGCACGGCAGGGCCGCACAGAAATAGAAGCTCCAGCGCAGAGCGGGGGTGAGTCTTTCCTAGAAGGGAGCCGCGCGGGGCCACGCCGCCACCAGCACCGCCACCAGCACCGCTGCCCTGCGGGAGAGGCGGGTGCTCCCGAGCTGTCACCAGGCGCGGGATTTCTGGACCTTCATCCTCAGAGTCGCGGGCGTCTCAGGGGCGGCTGGAAACGCACGCGAGTCCGAAGCCGCTGCGCGCAGACCTGCGTTATCTTACAAGTGCGTTTTTCCATCACTTCTCTCCAGCGCCAGCTCAGGCGGCAGGGCCTCAGCCGGCACCGAGGGCCCCCGCCGCCTCCGTGCCCCCCGCCGGCCCCGGCGGCTCCCAGCCCGGGCGCTGCAGGCCCGCGGGCAAGGGGGGCGCCTGCCGGGCAGCCGCGAGGAGCAGCAGCCACGCGGGAGCCGCCGGGCCGCGCGCCCGCCCCTCTCCCCAGGCCGACGCGCCTCTCCGCGGGCTTCTTGTCAGGTTTTTGAAAAACACTCAAAAAAATTTAAAGGGCTGAGCGCGGGCCTGGAGCCGACCCGGCCCTGCGTCCCCGGCGGCCACGGACGGCGACTCGCTGCGCTTCCGGGAGAACCGGCCGCCCGCGGGCGCCTCCACGCCGCGAGGACAGACGCTGCGGCCGCTCTTGGGGGGGGGGCAGCGCTGTCCCCCGCTCGCGGCAGCCGGCCAGCTGCTCCCGGGGGCCGCCCCCCCAGCTGCCCGACCCCCCGGGTGCTGGGGCCGCGGCCGAGCGGGAACGGGCGAGCGGGAACGGGCCGAGTGGGAACGGGCGAGCGGGAATGGGCCAGCGGGAACGGGCGAGCGGGAACGGGCCGAGCGGGAACGGGCGAGCGGGAACGGGCCGAGCGGGAACGGGCCGAGCGGGAACGGGCGAGCGGGAACGGGCCGAGCGGGAACGGGCCGAGTGGGAACGGGCGAGCGGGAAGCGGGAACGGGCGAGCGGGAACGGGCCGAGCGGGAACGGGCGAGCGGGAACGGGCGAGCGGGAACGGGCGAGCGGGAACGGGCCAGCGGGAACGGGCCGCGACACCTGCGCAGCGCGGCGGTCACGGGCGGACGCGCAAGGTCACGAAACCCGACCCGGGGCGCGCGGGGCTGACCTGGGCGGCCCCGAGAACCGAACCCGCGCCCCGCGCGCCCGCCCGCCCGCGCCCCCCGCGGACAGCCCGGCCGGGCCACAGCACCACCCGCGGGCCGGCCGGGCGCGGGGCTCCGGCCCCAACAGGCCCCTCCCGCGCGGGCGCAGCCCCCGGCCCGGTGAGCCGCGCGGGCCCAAGAGGGCGCCGGGGAGGGGCCCGGGGCGGCCCGGCCCGCCGCCCGCACCCCCACCGCGGCGCGGCGCTGCCCCCCGGACCCGCGAGGCCCGCGCCCCGGATCCCGCACGTAGGCGGCGCGGCCCGCCCCGCACCCCGCCCGCGCCCGCGCCCCGCGCCCCCGCCCCCCCGCGCCCCGCCCCGCGCCCGCCCGCTGCTCGCTCACCCGCCGCCGGCGGCCCCTGGCCCTGCGGCCCCCCCAGCGCCGCCGCTCCGGGACGCCGGGGCTCCGGGACTCGCCCCCGCCGGACCCGCCGCGCTCGCCGCTTCCCGGGAGCGCCGCCGCGAGGCCAGACCCGAGGCGGGCGGGCGGCCGTTGGACCCGCCCCGGGCCCGCCCCGGACCCGCCCCTGACCGCGGGCGCCGGACCCCGACGCAGCGCCGCGCTGGAGCCCCGCCCCGCCCCGCCCCGGCCCCCCCCGGCGCGGACGCCCCGCCCCGCCCAGCAGCCCCGCCCGCGGGCGGCGCCGGCGCGCAGGCGCACGGGCGGGCCGGCCGACGGCCCGGGCCCGGGGGCGCGCAGGTCTCGCGAGACTTGGCCCCGCCGCGAGCCGGCGCCATGGCGAGCCCGGCCGTCGCCGGCGAGCAGGAGCCGCTGCTGGGCGGCCGCGGCCCCGGAAGCAGGTGAGCGGGGCTGGGCGGGCCGCGGGGGCCGCCGGCTGCTGGGCCCGCCCCCCGCGCAGGCCCGGGGCGGGGCGGGGCCGGCCCGCCAGAGCGACCCCGGCTGCCCCGGCCCGGCTCCTCCGCGGCCCGGCGCCCCCCTCGGGGCCGGGGGGTCCCCCCCGCGGGGCGCGGGGCGCGGGCCCGGGAGTCGCCTCGCGCCCTGGGCGGAGCCCGGGACCCCCCCGAGCCCCGGAACCCTCGGGCGCCCGGGTTCGTCCCTGCGGAGGGGTCCCGGGCGCGCGGCGGCCCGAGGCCGTCAGGAGCGTGTCGCGGGCGCGAGGCCGGCGGTCCGCAGCTCCGAGCCGCGCGCGGGGCGGGGGCGGGGGCGGGCAGGGGGCGGGCAGGGGGGCGGCTCCCGCCCCGGGGCGCAGGCGGGTCTCCAGGAACTGAGTCCCGCGGGCGTCGCGCGTTGGTCACGCGCGGCTCCGTTCACCGTGACGCGGGGCGTGTCCGAGCGACGGCGGCGCGCGGTTCCTGCCTGGCCGGCCTGACCCCGTTGTCCGGACCCGCCGGGCGAGTCAAGGCAGGCCCCGGGGAGGACGCAGGGGCCAGGGGCCGGGGGCGCGCGAGGAGTGGACGCAAAGCCGGGACGGTTGCTGGTCTCATTCCTCAGGATGTGCGCGGGGCTGTGTAGGCTCAGAAGAGAGGGTCCCTCGTCACCTCGAGCAAGGCGAGGCAGCAGTACAAACCCCCACGAGCAGGCAGGGCCAGGGTTTGATCCTCGCAACAGGACACTTGAAACTGAGCTGGGGCTGCCATTCAGTAGCTGCTTCAGGCAAGAGCCCGGACGTTCAGGTCGGGGCCCCTGCACCCCATGAGTGGCCTGCATTGCTCGGTTCTATTTTATGGCCAGTTAGACCCATTACTCGGCTCCGCTGGGGCTGGCCGTCTGAGATCACACCAGAGTGGGGTGGGGGTCCTAAGCCCTCTTTGGAATGCAGGCTGTTTGGTCTTGAGTAAGCAAAACTGCAAATACTGCGATGGCGGTGATACACAGGATGGAGGAAGAGTGGCTAGGTCTCACAGCGGTCTCATGGGACGTGTCCCCGGAACATTCCCAGCTCGGTTCTTGCTTCCCAGCGCCCTGGCGCCGGCACCTTTGCTCCCTTTGCCCTCCCTGAATGTGGCGTCTTAGCTGGCGCCCACCCTCCATGCCGAGAGCTTGACTGCGGCTTTCTCTCCTCTTGGGTTTTGCCTGACGTGGGTGATCCAGTTCAGCCCAGAGGGTTCTGTGTTCCGCATAGTTTGAAAGCCACGCGTTGGTCAGGCGCGCTGCCTTGGAGGCCGTGTATTTGCAATGAAAGGTTGAGGCATAAAACCCTTGGCTTGACAGCGGCACTGAGGAGAATGTCGAGCAGAGAACAAATACCAGAACCAAGCAGCCGTCGTGGGCCCTAAAGCCCAGCATGGTGGTGGAAGGCGCGTCCCTTCTCGAGCTCCGCCGACTCGGGACAGCAGCCTCTGGAAGCCAAGTCTCAGCCGCCACTCGGCTCAGCCGCACGGTAAACAAACGTGATGGGCGCAGTGGCCTGAAGCGCCTGCTCGCCAGCAAGTGGAGAGATACATTTTTTTACCAAAGTTGCAGTTTCTGAAGGAAAAGGTATTTTTTTAAAAAAGTCAAATCCATAGAAACGTTTAAAAACACCACACAGTGAATAATACCATGTGCCCTAACACCGTCCCAGCGCCCACAGCCCCTACCCCGCCCGAAACAAAGCCACTCTGGAGCCGACCGCATGGCTGTCATCCCAGCAACTGGTGCAGTCCTCATTCCAAGCGGCACGTGCGTCTGTTCTTAAGTTTTCCCAGTTGTTCCGGAGACGTGCTCCATGACTCAGCACAGAATTTTAAAGTCCTCCAGCAAAAGCCCTCCCCGGCGTCTCCCTCTCCCGCCCAGCTTGCATTTTCTGCTCAGCGTCTAGCCCCTGGATTCGTGGGCTGAGACCTTCTGAGTAGGTGGTGGCCACCCCCCAGCCACAAGGGCTGTGGACGCTGCGGGGACGCCCACTCCAGTGCAGAGGCCCAAGGAGCAGGTGCGGGCTAAGGAGGGAGCTGCGGCTCCTTTCCCGCGGGGGCGCAGGCGCTGGGCCCTCCCTCTGGGCCTTGTCATGGAGGCTCTGCGCTCATCAGCCTTTCGCCCGTCCCCGAGGAGCGTGGAGGGCCCCTGCTTCCGCCCCATCCCCTGGATGGCGACTTGCCAACTGAGCTTTCCTCCCGTGCTTCGTAGCTGACATTAGAAGGAGAGATTTTTGACCAAGTTCCAAATGAAGCTGAAGCCACTCAAACATCTTTTCAGACTCCAGCTACTTCTTTTCTTGCTCCCTAACTTGGATAAGTTCTGAGCAGCATAGTTATTCACAAATTTTCAGACTTAGGTAATTAAATGTTTTTGAAAAAATACATATTTTTCAAATGTGTAGCGTCTTACGCATACAATCCTAACCCAGTGCCGACACTGATTCCAGCATCCAGAGCCGTGGCCCGAATGGGGCATAATTATCCGTATTCTGTATTTCAAGTTTCAGCGCAGGGGCGCAAAGTGCAGACTCTGGGCTCGGCTGCTCCGGGGCGCGCTGCAGGCGGGAAGGGCTGGCTCTGCGAGGGGCGGGCTCGGCCAGGACCGAGCGCGCCTGTCACATCATCCAGTAAAGGGTCTTTCTCTTCTTCCTTCCCTGCCTATCCCTCCCGGTCACCTCACACTTGGAAAAAGATGTCCCCCAGGCCCCGGGTCTGCACCCAGGATCCATGCGAGTTCCCAGAACTGACGCTCAGTCGTGGGTGACCCCGGGAAAGGCCAGTGTGTGTGAGGCCTCTCTGGGCCATCGTCTGCGTGGCTTCAGGACGGGAAGCTGTGGCTCAGGGTCATGGGCACGTGAAGTGAACCCCTCTGTTTTCCTTCTGCCTAGAGAGTGGGGCATGGTCGAGACCCCGGAGCACTTCAGGAGCCGGTGGCGGTCCATCAGGGTCTTGTACCTGACCATGTTCCTCAGCAGTGTAGGTAAGTGCTGGAAACCGTGCAGGATTTTGAACCTTCGGATCACATGTATTTTGAAGTCATTTATTTTTTTTAATTATTTTTTGGTCAGTGTTGAGTTTACCTGCCTGGTTGTGTCATCAGTCTCCAGAACTTTTTAATGTTGCAAAACTGAAGCTCTGTCCCCAGGAAACAAGAGCTCCTGCTTCCTGCTCCCCCGCGCCCGCAGCCACCCTCGCGCTTTCCGTTTCTGCAGATTTGACTCTTGTAGAGGCTCCGTTTAAATTGTCACACGATCCTTTCCTTTCTGTGACGGTTTATTCCCTGGGCACGATGTCCTCCAGGTTCGCCACATGGTCGCGTGTCAGACTTCCATTCTGAAGGCCGAGTGATGTTCTCTTGTGCATGTTGTAGGAAAGAAAACCTTTCCCTGCCTTTTTAGTTTCATAGCTAGGGCTGCAAAATTCACACAAGACAATGAACAGGAGAAAAACACGTTTATTTGATGTGAACGTGTTTATGTGGCACACAGCTGCGGAAGAACACGGTGGTTCCCCCAGGGTGGGGTTCCCCTTGCGGGGGCTCCCCACAGTGGAGTCTGGGGGACTGTGGCTGCAGGATGCCGGAGGCCCAGCGGCCGTGGCGTCGGCGAGGCCTAGTGAAATTCTGTTTCGAGTCGGCCTGCCGGAAGGAGGGGAGGCTTGAAGCAGGTGTTGTCGTGGCTGGATCGCAAAAGCTCTGCGCTAAGCAGGAAGCCAGACACAGAAGACCCCGCGTAATTCGGTTCTGTCCATGTCGTCCAGAACAGGAGCATCTGTGGGGACAGGGAGTAGGTTCGGGGCTGTTTAGGGCCGGCTTGGAGGCGCGCGGAGTCCAGGCTGGGACTGCAACGCTCTGGAGGCGCCGACGGTGCCGCCTGTGCCTGATCACGCCGAAGGCCATGAACTGTGCACTTCAGGTGGATCCCAGTTATAGCTTAGGGTTGTGTTTTGTTTTTTTTTTTAAATAAGTGACAGAATCCGGGTAGGCTGTGCCGCAGTCAGCGCTGACGAGTGGCTTGGCGCGCACTTGGCAGTGGGCAAGAGGCCGGCCGGCCGGCAGGGAGCAGACATTGCCTCGTGCGGTCCAGCCGCCCCAGAGGCCCTGCATCTGGTCAGCTGCTGCCCCCCGGGGGTCCTCTCCTCCCGAGTCTTCCCCGTGGTCCGTTTCCTTTCCCGACCAATGGGTGAGAAGCCTCTGCCACCACAGGGCCCCTTCCCGTTCGTTCTGCACGCAGAGCTTAACGAAACTGCCAGTCAGTTCCGTCGCGTGTGGGCCTGTGAGTGCGAAGTTGCTCCCTGCTTTTTGTATTCATTGACGTCAGGGACAATAGCTACACGTTCTTTCCTAGCCTTTAGTATTTATTTTCTTTTTGTTAAAGAAAACCTGTTGCTTAATAAGTTAGGCACTTGTGAACATCAAGCTGTAGGCGCACGTGGTTACTTTCAAGCCAGGCTGTGGGTGAATACGTGTGTCTGTGCTTAGCCCTGAAGTGGTGGCGAGTGTGAGTAACCAGTCTGCCTTTTCGCAGGGTTTTCCATCGTGATCATGTCCATATGGCCGTATCTCCAGAAGGTTTGTGCCCCCGTGCGTCCTTCCGAGGTAGCTGTAACCGTGACCCTTGTGTGCCGAGTGTCCCGGGGAGCCTCTCGGCCGTGCTGTGACTGCAGCTTTACTGGAGTAACTTGAGATGCTTCCTGAAAAGAGTCTTATAAGCAAAGCACTTCACTTTGCAGAGCAGAACAGCATGCTAGAGAAACGCCTGCCACGGCAGCCAATAGGGTCACACCCCCCAGTCCGGCACAGTGGATGCAGGGCTGCTGCCCGGGACCGGGGCCTGGCAGGAAGGAAGCAGCCCTGTAGCCCGAGTCACCAGCTACCTTTCTCAAGGGAGCTTGTGCCCGGCTGCCAGCCCCTCAAGCTGGCCCTTCCCTTCCCCGCCCCCCAAGCCGGCCCCTCTCTCTGCAGATTGACCGGACAGCCGACGCGGGCTTCCTGGGCTGGGTGATTGCTTCCTTCAGTCTTGGCCAGATGGTGGCTTCGCCTCTATTTGGTCTGTGGTCGAATCACAGGCCGAGGAGAGAGCCTCTCACGGTCTCCATCATCATCGCGGTGGCGGCCAACTGCCTCTACGCCTACGTGCACCTGCCCACGTCGCACAACAAGTACTACATGCTGGCGGCCCGCGCGCTGGTGGGCTTCGGCGCAGGTAAGGGGGCTGTGCCCGCCCGAAGGCCCCTGGCCCTCAGCCTCATGCCCACAGCTCCATGCATGGCTCACGCCTGCTACCAAACCCACGCCGTCGCCCGGCCTCTCCCGTGAGGCTCGCCCCCTGCGGCCCTCCTGTCCCCCGTCCCCCCTTCAGGGAAAGGCCAAGCACTGCCTCTCCGTGTGAACTCAGGCTCCCACGGCCCTCCGCGCGCCCAGCGTGTCTCTGGCGCTTGGTACAGGTTTTCATCCTTTACACCCCCTGCAGCAAACCTTTTGTAGTTAGAGACGGTTTATGTCTTTTTAAAACGTTCTGTGACTCCTGGAAGAGTCTCTTGGGAGAACTCAGGACACTTTTTGAATGATGAGCGGGCTTCTGTCTACTCTGCAGAGCAAGCACGCACACCGGTTAAAAACAGCCCTGGCAGTCGGGGCGCTGGCCTCTCAGTGCCTTCTCAGGCCCAACGCGCAGGTCCTTCACTGTCCACGTCGGGGAAGTCCCTCTCGACGCCGCACATGCTAATGAGCTGTGCATGTTGCAGAGGAAGTGGTGACGCTGCTCCGACTCTCCCGTTGTAAGCCCAGGTTCACGTTCTCCACCCGAGGGCGCCTCCTTTCACTCTGGGCTACTGTCTCTTAGGCAACGTCGCCGTGGTCCGCTCCTACATTGCCGGCGCCACTTCCCTGCAGGAACGGACCAGCTCCATGGCCAACACCAGCGCATGCCAGGCGCTGGGCTTCATCCTGGGCCCAGGTGGGTGCTCCTGCCATCGCCCGACTGGGGGACGTGTGAGGCTCAGGTGCTGAGTGAAGTCCGAGCATGAAGCGTCAGAGCTGAAGGGAAAGGGAGAGGAGGCCAGGCTTTGCCCTGGCCGGAGCCATCAGTCTGAGGCAGCTCTGCGTCCTCAGCGGGTGTGCGCCGGGCGGGGCTGACTGACTGCACTCGCCTGCCCAGCAGCGGCCTCCGGCCTCCTCCCCCACGGCCAACAGCTCTGGACACCCAGACAGCGCGGTCTAGGCCAAGGTGCTCAGGAAGCACCCGGGCTGCGAGCAGCACTGGGAAGACAGATTCACTTAGACGTTCTGTACGGATGAGCGAGCAAGGGTCTGAGGCGATTAGGCCCCATGTCCCAGGGCAACCATTGACCAGCGCAGAGGCCTGTGGGTGCCCGGTGTTGCTCTTCCGGGCAGCGCGGCGGCAGCTGGGCCCTCCCCAGGACATGTGCGGCACTGGCAGGGCCAGGAGGCGGGGGGCGGGGACCAGGAGAGCAGAGCAGCGGCTCCCGGCCTGACCCGTGTGCAGACCCTGTGACTGTCCTGCGTCGCCGGCGCGGGCTGTGGCTCTTCCTTTCTTTCTTACATCGAAATTGATGAAAGTTTTAAAATTTATTTCTGGAAGAAGTCGCATGATTTAAATTTCCTGGGAGATGTTTTGTCGAAAAGCAGGCCCCGCCAGGGCCTGAGCCTGCCTGTGGGCCGTGCACGCCAGTGCTCCGAGACCGTTCTTCCGTCGCCGTCTCCCTAAGATGCTAATTCCTCGCTGGGTGCTGGTCACGCCATCCCAGGAAGCCTCAGTACCGTGGCTGTGGGTGCAGGATGCATGGCCATGCTTTGAACAGAGCCAGTGAATTTTCTTGATTTTCCCAAACCAGTTTTCTTGATGTGGGGTGTGGATGGTGACTCCAGTTACTGCTCAGTGTCTGCCCCAGTTGTCTGCGCCTCCCGAGCGGCTCACCCTTGTACCTTTCGTCTTGTCCAGTTTTCCAGACTTGCTTCGCGCTCATCGGAGAGAGAGGCGTGACCTGGGACGCCATCAAGCTGCAGATAAACATGTATACAGCCCCGGTTTTGCTCAGTGCCTTCCTGGGAGTTATAAATATTATTCTGATCCTTACTGTATTAAGGTAAGCAGATTGAGATGAAAAAGCCACATTTTAGGTTGTGAAATTAACTAAGCATTATTATCTCCTTATTGGGGGATAGTGTTTTTCAAAGCCTTTGTTTGGTTTTCACGCCTGTACATGTTCACGTAGTACCGTGCCGAGCAGTGGCCATCTGAGAATTGAGACCAGGTACAAGGTCTTTGAAGACTGAGGTTAGTCCGGATGCACTGGCTGGCGTGTAGCAGAGGGTGGCAGCGGGCAACACCGAGCAGATGCATCAGTGCCAACCGGACACGCATAGGTTACTGGCGGTGAACGTCTCTCGCTGCCTGCGTGCTAGAAGGACTTGATAAAGCCATGGGAGTTTTGTTGCTTTGTCCTTCTCTGGGGCGCTTCATCGGCGGGCGGAGTGCGTAGTCGCTGGAACGTCAAGTGCTGAATAAGGTGCATCATGTGCTTTTTACTGAACTGAGGGGTGTTTTGTTTCATCTTATTACTTAGAAACCAGTGAAAGAAACTATGTCAGAATGTGAAAGGATGGAAGATGAGGGATAAATGTAAGTCGTTTATTTATTATAGTAAACCTTTTGTGGCTACGTTTGTGTTTTTCTTTTCAAGAGAGCACCGAGTGGATGAATCAGGACGACAGTATAAGAGCATTAACTCTGAAGAAGGTACCGCTGGCCTGTTTGGCTACATCACTCTCTCTTACCCCGTGTTCCCAATGTCCGTGGTGTCCGCCACGAGGACAGTGCGGTGGGCGGAGGGAAGATCTTCAGAGCTGAAAGTTCTCCGGGTTGATTCTTTCTGGAAGGCGTGTCAGCAGGTCGGAGCGCAGGGCCCAGAGGTTCAAGCCGCCGCTAGAAACCGCTTCCTGGTGTTTCTAAAGAGCCGGCATCCTGAGCCCTGCAGCTCCTGGGGCTGATCTCGCTGGCTTTGCTGCCAGATGTGCCTTTGTGTTTCAAGAAGTTCTTTGTTCCCTTAATCATGGGAATCGGGGTGGTTTCTCTGCTCAGTTTCTGTTCCTTTGGCAAATGTGCATTTCCCCCCTGTGACCTTCCTCCGACTCAGCAGCTGCCTGGTGGGCCCCCCCACCCTCACCAAGCTGGTGACCAGGTTCTAGCCCACGTCCCCCCGCCCTCTGCCCCAGCGCCCCCCCAGCCGAAGGACACCTCAGTCCTCTCACCCCCCCACCCCCCCACCCCGGTCTGTAAAGCCGTGGGACACGCTCGGTGTTATTCACCAAGTACTTCCCTAGCTGTTGTATTTCATTTTCACAAGAGAAGTGGACGGTCAATTTGGGGGGGGGGTGGCGGGGGCGCGAGGGCAGAGCCACAACGGGACCCAGGTGTGCTGTCCAGGCCTGACCAGCAGCAGCCGCAGCTGAGAGGGTGGGCTGAGGGGAAGAGGAAGATTCTTGGCGGAATGGGCAGGGAGCAGTGAGTAGTGGCGGGAGCTGCTGGTGTCTGCAGCTGATGCTTCCAGAGGGTGAGAGAGAGGAGAATTTAGGAGGGACATTGGCGAGGAGGTGCTTTGTTTCCCGCCTGGACGGAGCTGGTGAAACTGCTGCACGGAACAGCCGGAACGTCCCAGAGGCCCTGGTGACGCTGGCGCTGGAGCCACAGACGTGGGCGTCGCGGGGGGAAACAGAGGGATGGGGCGGGCTGGGTGGACCGCAGGGCAGGGTGGGATGTCTCTTCAAAATGCAAGACCGAGCAGCGAGGATGTGCGGGCGGCGGGTGGAGGATACCATCCTGGGGGGTAGAGGGGGGTGCTGACCGAAAGGGCCTGTGTGAAGGGGGTGAGAAGGGCAAGGTGGGGGTTGGGGGGAGAAGGAGGGGGGATGACCCCACACCAGCGCTCAGGGCGGCTGTGCTGGGAGCCTGGAGCCCTAGGTGCAGGCCCTGACTCTGACCTGGCCAGGAAGGCTGCCAGGACGCACGATGCCGGGTGCAGTTGAATCCTTCAGTAGAAATACGTCCCGCCCAGTTAAATTGGATTTTAGATAAACAAAAAATAGTTCTTTAATGTAAATATGACCTAAACAGTTCACGAAATACACGTGAATTTAATGCTGCGTGTCGTATACATAGAGTTTACTGTTCATCTCAAATTCGAATTTAACTGGGTTTCTGGCATTTCGTTCACTAAATCTTGCAAAGTCTGGTGAGACCCCGGACTCCCCACTGTGACAAGCTGCGCCGAGCGGGGCTGCTGGCCTGGGCGCCGCCCTCGGAGGGCACACAGACCCGGTGCCCCACGGCCAGGGGTGTGGTGCACGGTCGAGGGCTGGGGGGCAGGCGGGCGGCTGTGCCAGGCACACGGTGGGGCACCTCTGTGTCGTCAGGCTCTGGCGCAGGTGCTGATTTAGAAAGGACAGGTCTGTGTTTTCCTGAAGATTTCTGGGTGCTTCAAAGAAATTTCTGTGAAATTTAAGTTTCAGCAAAGAGATGAAACGTGTCAGGACTTTTCCCTGTTAAAGATGTTACCGGGGACGGGATCCTAACTTTGGTCACAGATAGGGGAACGGGGTGTTACGGAGGGTTAGGGTCCGGGTCCTCAGGCCCTGATGCGTTTCTGGCCCGTCCGGTTCAGGTCGGCCTCTCTCAGCCGGCCCTGGAGCCGGCCCTGGGCGGAGGCGGAGCAGTGAGCCCTGGCTTCCAGGCGTGGAGGGTTGAGTGTGTCTGCGTGGACAGGCCCTGAGCCGACCCTGCAAGAGCAGCTGGGACTAGAAAGGGCCCAGCCCGGTGCTGCCTGTCCAGGCGCGGAGCCGCGGCCCTTCCCGCTGGAGGGAGGTCGCAATGTGGGGCCCAGAGCGCCTGCAGGCCTCAGCACCCCAGGGAAGTAGGGCTCGGCGGCCCCCAAGACCCCCCCAGGGCACAGTGAGCGTGCTGGGCCCCAGCTGGCCAACCTGCGCGTGTGTGGCTGCGCGCTCTTCAGTGGGGTCCCGGCTCACTGCGCGAGTGTGGCTCTGGGCCTGCGCTCAGCGTCCGTCAGGCGCTCGCGCCTCCGCTCTGGAAGGCCAGCAGCGCCCGCCGGGCCTCTGTAACGTGTTTCCTTGCCAGGTGGAAATGATAGTGTAGACTTTTAAAAGGGATTTAAAAATTGGTAATAACAAGGATATTTAATCCTAACTTGAAATTCAAATTATGTGTCTCTGAAGTGAATCGTAGGGCTGGGAACAGATGCATAAACAGCTGCGAATGTAATATTCGGGTAGAAAAACCTGCGACTGAGGTTTAAAGCAAATGTCTCCGGTTGTGTCACCAGGCAGAGTCTGGCCCATCCACGCTCCTCTGTCCGGGCGGGAGAACGTCCCGCGGTCACGGAACCGGGGCCGAGTTTACTCTGAGAGGCTGTTGGGGGTTGCCAAGGGCCGAGCGGTCAGTGTCTCCGTGACGCCGCGTCTCAGGGGCGGCGGGGCGTGTGGGTGACGTGCCTGTCCTGCTCCCGCGCAGGTGCCGACGTGGCCAGTGCCCGCGGGGGCCCTGACCATCTCGCCGTCGTGGCCACCAACGTCCTGTTCTTCGTGGTTCTCTTCATATTCGCCCTCTTCGAGACGTGAGTCTCCTCCTCCACCTCTCGGAACTCCCAGAGCCCTTTTCCTAGAAGGGGCGGCAGGTGGGTGTTCTCGCAGCTTCCTGGGAAGCCTGTTTCCTCGTCGGCGTGGAGCCTGTGAACCTGACGCCTTCCGGCTCGAGGGTGGTCACGCCGCTGTCGTCCGTGGCCTTCCTCACTCCCGTGTGCAGGAGTCGCCGCGCGGCCTCCCCCTTCCTCGGAGCCTGCTGGCAAATGCAGCCGTAAAGCCTTTGGGCCGCGGCTCCCTGCTGTGCCCGCGGGGCTCGGTGTGCACACGGCCCCAGCAGGGGCTCTGCGGAGGCCGGAGAGGGCGCGGGGGCAGCGGCTGCCGGAGCCGCCGGTGTGTGGGCGACCGTGTCCCCTCCCACCTGTGTCCTGCCCGTCTCCCGTCCAAAGCCCAAAGGGACGTGCGGAAGAAATCAGTCCAGCAGAGCTTGTGACGTGACGCGCAGGCCGTCGCGGCTGTCACTGCTGGGTCACACAGCTCCTGCTTCACCCTGTCAGGACAGCGCGACTCGCACAGGGATAATAAAAGAGGACCCCCCCTCCCCAGCATCCTCACCCCGCTGACGATGGACATGTTCGCCTGGACGCGGGAGCAGGCCGTGCTGTATGACGGGATCACGCTGGCCGCCCTGGGCGTCGAGGCAGTGATCGTGTTCCTGGGGGTCAGATTTCTTTCCAAAAAGTGAGTGATGCGTCTTGGGCTGCAGTTCAAGCCTGTTTTTTAACGTGAACGCTCAAGCCCGTTTAAAGCGAAACTTGAAAGAACTAACGTTGGGAATGAACCGGGCGGTGAAATCTTTAAAGCTCTTCTCGGGTGCGTTCGGCCGAGCCCAGGCCCTGGTCTGCTCTGCCTCGCTGTCGGCCCCCGAGCCCGCTCCAGGCGCGCCTGTGTGCTCGCGCCGTGCGCTCACGCCCCGATGCCCGCGTGGTTTTCAGGGGTCCGGGTTCCACTTAGTGGGAGACTGTGGTCAGCGCCCGTATCGGCTGACACGTCACTGCAGGGTCAAGACAGCTTCTTTATGGTCGGTCTTCCGGCCCGTAGCTGACGCGCGGCTTTGCCGTGTGAGGCTCCCCATGGGACCCCTGCTTCTGTTCCAGGGTGGGCGAGCGCGCGATCCTGCTGGGCGGACTGGCCACCATCTGGGCCGGCTTCTTCGTCTTGTTGCCCTGGGGGCATCGGCTCCCCCGGATCCAGTGGCAAGGTACCAGCCCCGTTCTGTGAGCCGGCGCCGCATGCGCCCGGCGGCAGGTGACACCGCACTCCGTGTCTCACAGATTTGCATAACAACACTGTCCCCAACACCACGTTCGGGGAGGTTGTCCTCCCTCTCTGGAAGGCTCCCAGGGAAGACCACAGCGAGGAGCCCACGGGGTGCCCGATCCAGCAGGCCTGGTGCCTCTACACCCCCGCGGTCCACCTGGCCCAGTTCCTGGCCTCGGTGCTGCTCGTGGGGATGGGCTACCCGGCCTGCAATGTGATGTCCTACTCGCTGTACTCCAAGATCCTGGGACCAGAGCCGCAGGTGAGTGGTCACCCGGCCGCGGCCCCAGGGAGTGCCCCTGACGCGCACTTCTTTGCTGCCCCCCCCCCCCATGTTACAAAGGCTGTTGGTTTTCTGGGCGAGGCGGCCAGTCGGCCATGCTGGGCTCCGGCCTTCTCGGCCACTGAACGTGCTGAGTGTCAGTCTCATGCTGGCTAACTGGGGTGCACCTGGCTAGTGGGGGTCACGCTGGCTAGCTGGGGCAGAGCCACACGGGGACGCCCGGAACCTGCATGGCCTGCTGTGAGCGCCAGGCGTCTGCCCGAGGCCACTGCTGCTTTACGCTGCCCTCAGGGCCCGCAGATGCTAGGTCTGTCCCATGCCCCCCTTGATTACTTACGCCGACACGCATGTTTATTCTGCATCGTTTGCTGTATTTATAGGGGGGCATTTCCGTCTCATTTTTTTAAAAGACCGGAGCATGGCCCGTGAGCCTGCCCTCAGTGGCCTGGCCCGCGCGGCCCGCTGACCCATCTGTTGCCCGCAGGGCGTGTACATGGGCTGGCTGACGGCCGCCGGCAGCGGGGCGCGGATCCTGGGGCCCGTGTTCATCAGCCAGGCCTACACCGCCTGGGGCCCGCGCTGGGCCTTCAGCCTCGTGTGTGCCGTGGTGGCGCTGGCCCTCGCGCTGCTGGCCGCCGTCTACCGCAGGCTCGTGGCCTTCTCCGCCAGGCGGGGGGCGCCGCAGGAACCGCCCAGCTGAGGTGCCCCCACACACGCAGCTGTCAGGCCTGGCCGCACCTGAGCACCAGCGCGGGCCCGCCAAGGACCAGCAGGATGAACAGAGAGCACCCCAGGACTTCCTCCCTGAGGAGAGTGACCCCACTCCTGTAACGGGGTGCGGGAGGGTCTGGGGTGAGGGGGCCCCGAGCCCAGCAGCCCCTCCTCGCAGGCGGACACGGGTGGGCGGTACGGCCTTTCTAGGGGTCTGCACCGTGCTCGCCTGGCTGGAGGCTGCTTTTGTTTAAAGACACCCCCTTGCCTTTTATTTTAATTTGCAATTTATGATCATGTTTCCTCATGAAATGGAAAGTTCCCATCAGCCCCCTTGGCCCAGCCCAGCCCAGCCCTGACTCCAGCCCGGTGCCCCCAAGACCCGGGGCCCCAGGCAGTGCGAGTACCAGGACTGGGGCCGAGATGACTACGCGGGTTTGCTGCTCTCGGGCCCCTCTCCTGGGGGGTCGCCGACCTCACTTGCAGGTGCCAGGAAGGGTCCACCCCGACACCCGTGGCCGCTGCTCGTTACCGCGGTCCGCGGTTTTTGGTCCTTCGACGCGGGAGGCAAACCAGCGCGAGGAGCCGCCGCCCAGGAGGGAGGCCCGCCCGGGCTGTGCCCGCTTGGCCGTCGGGACCGCTCCGCCAGGCCAGGCCGGGCCTCGCTCCCGGGGCTGTGCGCCCCACCCACCCGCCGCGGTCCCGGGGCGCCCCGGCCTTGCGGGGCCAGCGACGCTCCGAGCCTCCCGGACGTTTCCCCCTCGAAGTTGTGAACACTAATCCGAGTAAACGGCCTCCCCGCGCTGCACGCGTTTCTCGGGCTTGTTTGGCGGAGGAAACGGAAGCCGGCGTGGGGCCAGGGTGTCCGAGGCCCCTCTCCCGGCGCGGTCTCCCCGGCTTTGCTGACCCCCACCCACCAGGACCCTGAGGGCGGGCCGGGCCAGTCCCCACCGGCTCGGGAGGGCACCCCAGGAGCCTGTCCTCCGCGGGGACCGGCCCTTGCTGTCAACACGGCGCGTGAGCCCAGCGTTTGCCCATCCGCCCCGCTCGCCCCCCAGGCCTCAAGGACGGGCAGAGCCCTCCCGTCCGCTCCCCTCAGTGCACTCGCCTTGTCTTGGGGTGCGAGGGCCTCCCTGGAGCTGCGATGCCAGCCCCTCCCGCTCGTCCTCGACACGCCCTCTCGGGGGCCACAGGGAGCCCGTGCGGCCCCCTCAGACCCCGGCCTCCGCGTGGATAAACACCCCAAGAGGGGGGGGTCCCGTTCTGAGGGGCCGCAGTTGCCCAGTGGCGCGGCCACACCCCCACTGCAGGCCCCCGGGGCCGTCCCCTCCCCGGCTCTCCCACAGCGGCTGCAGCAGCAGGTGTGCAGGGCCCCTGAGGGCCAGGGCGCCCCCACCCCAAGCCTGCTGGCAGAGCCCCCCAGCCTCAGCCCCTCCCTGTGCTTCCGGCCTGACCCGGGCAATATCCAGGGGCCACCCCAGGTCCAGGGAGCTTTCCGGGGTGGTGCCGACTTAGGAGACGAGCCACCCCCAGAGCAACAGGGCCGAGGGCCGCAGGGACGGGGAGCGTAGGGCAGGGCAGGGGTTGGCCACGGCCCCCCCCCCCCCCCGGCAGCGGAGGAAGCTCCCAGCCTCCCACCCACGCGGTGACCAGCGCCCCGGCCTCCCCTTACCTTCACGAGCGCAGCAGGGGTCCCGGGAGCATCGCTGGTCACAGGAGCCCCTCGCCAGCCAGCGCAGGGCCAGATCCGGCCTGCGAGCCCTGGGCGCAGCCACACGAGGGCCTGCGAGTCGCACCATCGCCCCGGTCCCGGGGAGGATCCTGGGCTCCCTGGAGACGTGGCCGGGGCCAGGCGTGGGCAGGGTCGGCCGGACGTCGGGGCAGAGCCAGGCGTGTTCAGCCCGCTGACCGCAGCCTTGCGCAGAGGACGCGGCCCAGGCCGGCTCCTGGTGGGAGGGCGCAGGGGGACGCCGGGCACAGCAGCGTCTGCTCCTGAGGGGCCGGTGGACGCGGCGGTCGCCTCTGGAGGTGGCTCTGCCCTGGAGCCGGGAGGGCACGGTCCCGCAGCCTTTCACCCCTGCAGCCTCGGGGAAGCTGCTCTCTGGGTCCCGCCGTGAAGTCGGCGGGGATGAGACTCGCTCGCTCCAGGGAGCCACGGGCCAGGTGGCCGATCCCCTGAGCAGGACACGCTGTCGGCAGCTGCGGGGGGCCCTGGGGGGGCCGTTTCGTCTGAACGCAAATGACCCAGGTCCTTTAAGTAAACGGCGTGTGAAGGGAGGCGGCCCAGGAGCTTGTGAGGACAGAACGGGGGGCGCCAAGTCTCCCCTGGGTGCTCCTGAGGCAGCGGAGAAGCGGGAGGCCGACTCGGTCTGTGGATGGACGTGGCCGCTGAGGCAGCAGAGCCGGGCGCTGTGGTGTCCGGCTCTGCAGGGGCGTCCCCTGGCCGTGGGCGGGGCTGCGCTGCAGGAGGCCGGAGGGGAAGGAGGACCCGAGGACCAGCCGCCTCCAGGGACCAGCCCCTCCCTGCAGGCCCCCACCCCCAGGCCTCCCGGGAGGGGCAGAGCTGGCGGGCGCGGGGGCACAGTGCCCCTGGATTCCTGGTGAGCCGCGGGGCAGCCCCGACCCGGGACTCGGTGGATCCTCCACGCAGCCCCTACCTCCAGACCCGCTGAGGCCCGGTGAGCTCAGGCCCTGACCTGCCGGCTCTGCGTGAGCTCATCGGGCTCTGGTGTTTGCCACTAAAACCCCTGATGAGGCGGCGGGGGGGCTGCTGAGCGGGAGGCGGAGCTGGCGCGGAGCGGCCGCGGGAAGGAACAAGGATGTCGGCAGGGCCAGGGCCAGGCAGGGCTAGGGCCAGGCCCGCAGCGTCACCGTCTGTCCTCGCGGAAGAGCAGCTCATTTTGGGGCCTTGGGTAGCTCCTTGCGGCCTTGAACGCTGGAGCGGGGGACAGACCAGCCTCCTCCCCGCGCACGCGGCTGTCGGGCCAGGTGTCCCCGCGCTCGGGCAGGTGCTGGCCATGGACGCTAATGGCCAGGGGCGGGAAAAGCCTGGCTTGTGCCTCATTCCCCTACCGGCACCGACTCGGAGCTCCTGAAAAGCGCCAGAGGACCAGAGAAGACAGGCCCCTGCCAAGAGGCGCTTCCCGGGAACAAATACCCGCGGACGCCGGGCGCCGGGGGCAGCTGGGGCCAATGAGGCAAACTGGCCCTGCAACAGGGTGGTCCCCAGGAAAGGGGGAGGTTCCCTGCCCCACCCAAGGGAGGGTGGAGCTGAGCAGGAAGAGAAGAAGCTGCAGAAGAGACTGAGGAAGGAAGCAGGATGGAGCAAGGAGCCCTGGAGGAGGCGCATGGAGCCTAGAGACACGTGAAGAAGCTGCGCTTGTCTTTTGGTCGTGGACGGGGTAACACAGATGTGGGTGAGACCCGTGGGGAGGTGACAATGGCAGCTTTTATCTTGATGTTGATGTTGCTCTTTTCCTTCCGGGCTTGTCTGGTTGTTTCTGGCCCTTTTCTGTGGGTCCCCACTGGAAGATGCTTTAGACTTGTGGCAGGCTTTGGGGCCTTGCTCTGGGCCAATCCCATATGGATGGACTTTTACCCACGAGGGGACGGGTCACTTTGGGTGCTTCATTTAGAAACTAGACTCTTTGCCTTTCCTGTATTGTTTCCGAGTTTTATTAAAGTTGCTTCCCATTAAAGTCTCCTATGTTTTGTGTTGACGCGGCGGATGGCAGAGCCCATGTAGAATAGGCAGGTTTGCGGGGTTTGGGCTGCCCCTCTCCCTGGCCTATAACAGCCCGAGGGCCGGCAGCACGGCCGGCAGCCGGGACGCAGGCGGAGGCCGGCAGCACCGTCTCCCCGCTGCGGGAGCAGACGCCGGGCGCGGCGCGTGGGAAGCACGTCCCGAGAGAGGCCGGGTCCGCAGCCCAGGGCGGGGCGCCCGGATGCCGCAGGGGGTCCCCGCAGCCAGCCGCGGCGCGGGGTCTCCGGGGAGGGGGCGGCGCGGCAGAGGGGAGCAGCCCCTGCTGTCTTGGAGGTTTTCCCCTAAGGCAGCGAGAGGAAAACATGCAACATAAATTGCAGCGTTAACAAGCAATGACAACCTAATAGGAAAATGGACGAAAGATATGCGTGGACAACGCGCAAAGTCCCTAGTGTGAAGCCGGGGACGTGTGCTCAACATTCTAACGGGGTGCGCTGCTCACGGGCGCCCCAGGCCGGCGGCAGCAACAGGCAGCGCCGCGGAGGCCCAGGAGCCGCAGGCTTGGCGCAGACAGCCCCGGTACGTTGAGGCAGCAAAGGGCGTCAGCCTTGGAAGCATGGCCAGGAACGCCTTGATTGCGTTTTTTTTTTTTAAATAGAGGCATGTTTTATTTATTTATTTATTTATTCATTCATTCATTTATTTATTTATTTATTTATCTATACAAGCACTGGGTACAGTCAGAAGCGCGGGAGGGTGAGAGAATTCACCAGAGCCAGAGCGGGGAGCAGAGCAGGCAGAAGGACCGAAGGACACTGCTGAGGGGAGCAGCGGGCGGCAGGAGAGGTCTGCGCGCCATGTGGGACCCTCCTCCGGTGGCCGGGGAGCAGCCGGGGATCGAACCTGCGTCGCAGAGGCCGCGGGCAGCTTCGCAACCCAGCGCTCAACCGCTGCGCCACCGGGGAGGCCCTTGATTGCGTTTTAATTTTCTGACTGTATTATTGTTCTCGGAGGAGTCACATAAACTTTACCCCGGGTGATGACCCACGCGCTGAACGTGTCCCTTCCAGCAGATGCCAGTCACTCTCCTACCCAGACTGTCCTGCGCGGGGAAACTGAGCAGTTTTATTTTTTGTTTTACTAATCTCTCCGTGAAGGGAAAGCATTTTCATGTCTTTCCACAATTTTTTTTCTAACATTTTATTTTTACGTAAATGAACTGGGGTGCAGGCCATTTATGCGGGGGTTAAAGGACTCCCCAAAGACAGCGTGGGGAGCAGAACAGGCGGATCCACTGAAACCCACTGCTGAGGGGAGCGGCGGGGACAGGCGAGGTCTGCTGCGCCGTGTGGGTAGCTCCCTGGCTGGGGATTGTACTCAGGGCTCAGCATGACGGCCTGAGACTCGGCCCCTAGGCACCAGGGAGGTCTTTAAAAAATCTTTTCAATGTACTTTTTTCTTACTTCATTGCATTTTCATGTCTTAGTTGTGCGTTTCTCCCGTTAGAATGTTGAACGCACGTCCCTGGCTTCACTCTAGGGACTTTGCGCGTTGTCCACTCCTATCTTTTGTCCATTTTCCTATTAGGTTGTCATTGCTTGTTAACGCTGCAATTTATGTTGCAAGTTATTTTTCGTCTCCCTGCCTTAGGGGAAAACCTCCAAGACAATGTAAAACCATCTCGAGACCAGCTGCCCCTACCTGCTCACTGGAAGGCGCCAGAATGTCCCCGGAGTGGCCCTTCTGCTCCACCGCCCCGGGCTCTCCAGTTCACCTCAGCGCCGTCTGGTTCTCGTGTCAAAATGCTTGCTACTAAAATACAGTTATTTTCAAATAAGGGTAGAAAAACATGTATTTATTATTTGCGAAATTGATTTTAAAAACTGAACTGACTCCACCTAAACAGGCAACAGAATTTGAAAACAAGTTTGCGGGCAGCTTGTCTTAAATAAGTCACAAAGATGAACTGACTTATCATTGTATTTATTATTTTTTATAAAATGCATTCGCAGAGGTGTTTCATTAGAAATTGGTGCTACAAAAATAAATATAAAACAAATGTACACGTTTACATTGATACTTGGAACACAAATACACACTATTTACACGTGCGCAGACTCCAGCAGGTCGTGCCCATGATTCTGCCCCTGGCCGTCTGGCACGGGTGGGCAGCAGCCGCAGGGTCCAGCGCAGGGTCCGGCGCGCCGGCCCGGGGCCACGCCATCTGCGTGGCTCACATGTCAGTCTCCTTGTTCTCACATCAGAAAACACTCATTATGGGACAGACTAACATTCTCTTACAGAAAGGCTTTCTGAGGAAGTTACACTGAATAAAGAGAGTCACTTTACTTGAAAGCCAACAGAAAAGCTATTTATTCAACTTATGTCTAAAAAGAGCTTTAATTAATGAAAAGTAGCCGCTGGATTAGAAAACATCACAAGGATGGAAGACAGGCACTGTAATTTCTGTCTGATGTATTCTGGCAATTTTGCATTCTCTCCATACCTAAGAGAAGCAAAGGGAAAAGAGACAGACCAGTCACAAGGGCTCCCGCTCCGTGACCCCCAAAGGCAGGAAGTGCCTCGGAGCACAAATGTCTGCGGAGCAGACGCGCAGGCCACGTGCGCACACCCTGGCTGCGTCACCCCGGAAGGCCAGGTTCTAAGTGTATTTAAATTAAAAAAAAAAAAGAGCCATCAGCCCCAACTGGCTTTAGAATTTCTACAGCAAACTGGAACCGCAAAGGCTGCAGTGGAAGGTCCCGACCTAGGAAAACACTAAGCTAAACAGGGGAACGTGTTTCTATTTCAGCGTCAACAATGTGCACGCGGCCCTGGCCAGGTGTGCCCGGGCGCCGGGCTTCAGAACAGCAGCTGTGCCCGCCACCACCCGGGCCCTTCTCCCGAGCCTCTGACCCAGGAGTGCTGGGGCGGACCTGCACGCGCCGCAGGAGGGCAGCAGGTCCAGCCAAGCGCCTGCACAGGGCACAGGAATGCCCGCCGGCCCCAGCCCAGCTCACCCCCCCCCCGCCCCCCACCCAGCTCAGCTCAGTGCTAGTCCAGCCCCAGCGAGCTTCGTGAGTCAGGATCTGAAGTGCGCAAACCAACGCGGACGTCCCGGCACGCGCTCTCACACGGGCCGGGCGCACACGCAGCAAGTCTGCCCAACACCAACCTCTCAGAGATGAGGGCGTGGAAGTGGCTTTTGAGGGAAAATAACTCAGTTAAGAGACTGTTTCCGTGTTGGTCCTGCAAACCGAACAGGTCATGACTCCAAAGCAGCAGCCCTACTTCTGAAAGGCCCCACCCGGCTGGGCCACGGGTGCAGGGGGCTACAAGGAGCCTCAGCGCCTCGCGAGCCCAGGCGGGCGCCTGCACTGTCCAGTCACGTGACGTGCACGGACAGGACTCAGCGCGTTAACAGGGGCCGTGACGGCGTTTACTGTCACCAGCGATGAAAACAGAAACTTGATTATTTACCTCAACAAACAGCACAAGCAAAGCGAGCGCAGAGGGCTGAGCGCGAGCCAGCACCGTGAGGACGCACCTGGTCGTCTGGCCGCCGGGGGACGTGTAGCTGATGGAGGACACGCCCGCCTGCACCACCAGCTGGGACCCGTCGTTAAACTGGACCCACACGGCTCCGCTGGTCAGCTGGGGAGTGAGCACCACCGAGGTCAGCCGCAGGGAGAGAGGGCCGGGCCCGCCAGGCTTTCCTGTGCTTAGACGTTCCCCACCACCCCCCTCCGGAGGGCCAGCCCCGGGCTGTGTGGACAGGCAGGCGCTGTGCTGTCGGGCTCGCTCTGCACGCGCCCTGTCCCCATTCCCCCCCGCGGGGACATCCGGCGCGGTCCCGTCGCGGCTGCGTTCACAGCGTTTCTGGCCACGAAGAACTTAAGGAGCCAGAGCCAGCTCTCCCCTCACTGCGCTTCCCTCTCCCGCCCAGGCCTCAGTCTCCCTCCCCCCGGGCTTGGCATCTGAGCACAGCGACAAGGGCCCAGGAGTCTGCTCCAGGTACCCCCTACCCCACCCCCACCTTCGAGGGCAGCCCTGTGACCGGCGAACACAGGCCTCGGGCCCAGCGGCGGGCGTCACTGGCAACGCTGAATTCCCCAACTGGACACAAGCCAACCCTGGATGGCTCCAGCGCCACACTGCGCGTGAAAAGGCACAGGGACGCTGCGGACAGGCTCTGTCAGGGCTAGTTTTTGGCAGGATCGCCGTGGAAGCGAATTCTGAGGAAATCCACTTCCTTACCGAATGCTCACCTGCGTAGCCCAACCGACGTTTTTCACAAAAACAGACTTCAGGGGCTGCGCCGACGGAGGGAGACTCTCCTGCAGGCTGCCAGGGGAGACGTCTGCTGCGGGCGCGGCGGCCGCCAAGCCAGGGCCCTCCCGTGGGCCCACCTGCGCACGGCGGGAGCGGACGTTATCCACAGCGTTTGTAAACATCCATCCTTGGCTCGGGTTACAGAAGTGACGGGGTTTCCACTAACTTAATTTTATGGTAACGAAACTGAACATTTGAAATACAACCACATTATGGAATTAGAAAGGCAGAGGCCAGGGAGAAAACACGCGGTGGCTCTTCTCACCTGGTGAGGTCGCCCCGAGCCCTCCCTCCCAGGCGCACTTTCCAAGCTGCCTTTCTGGGGCGTGTGCGTGAGCGTGGGCACCCACGCCTCCATTCCTCTGACCCTCGCCTCCACTACCCGCCCCTGCAGCCTTTGCTGGTGCTGCCTCCCTGGGGCCGAGGGGCCCCTGGCCCCCGGGTCTGCCGGGCCCGGGCCGCCGGCGAGGTGTGCGTGACTCGAGACAGTGACGGTGGCTGCTCTGCTCTGCGCGCGTCGGGCCGACCCTGCCAAGAGGAGGACGAGGGGGCCCAGCCGCAGAGGGGCGGGAAGGCGTCGTCAGGTGACCAGGTGTGGAGCCAGAGCCGCGTCCAGGCCTCGGAGGCTTCGGGGCTGAGGCCGGGGGCGGGCAGGGTCCCGCCACAGGAGGCCAGTCAGGCAGCCCCCCGGGGCTGGGCGCTGAGGCCACTTTACTCACAGGAGGGCTGAGGGCCCTCTGCGGGGGGGCAGCGCTGGGCCCCCCACTCCCCGCCAGTCCACTCCACGGCGGCCTGTCCCTCGCGGTGGGGTTTGGGTCTCCCGGGGCAGGAGATGAGGCCTTGGGTGAAGCGGTGCCACCCGGCTTTCTGAAGGAGAAAGAAAGGTCCAAAAATAGTCCCTCTTAAAGGTTTTAACGTACAGACAACTAAAGGGCAGTCGTGCCCTCGACGGCGGCGGGTGCCTGTCACCCCTCCTCCGCGGGCGGGCGGAGCCCCAGCCACTGACCTGCCTATGATGATGGGGAAGAAGGGCGAGCTCCCGCTTCTGCGCTCCTCCTCTGCGATCACGGACTCCAGGCCCACACAGACCCGATGGCTCTGTGCCACAAGGAGATGGCCCACGTCACTGCGCCCGCCCGAGGACGCCCGCCCCCCACGGCCGCACCACGCCCGCTGGCAGGGACGCACCTCGAGAGCGTGGTGCAGGTACACCTTCACCTCCTCCTGCAGGCGCTGGGCCTCGCTTTCACCTTTTAAGGTGTAGGATTTCCCGGTCCTTTCAATTACCTGAATTAAATCTTGGCTTTTGTGTATCTTTGCGCCTTAAAAATAAGCAAAAGATAGTTTATCATTCCTGTAACATTCTGAGATTTACTCATTATCACGCCCGCTCACCCCGCTCCCAAGACCCAGGGATCCCTGGCCTCGACTACGGCCCATTCAGGAACGACAGGCTGTTTCTTCCTTTTTTTTTTTTCTGTAGAAGCGGGGCCCAAGTCTGAGATGTCTGAGGTACTTTAAAGATCACTGCTCGCACCACGGGCGTGACGGGAAGGGGCAGTGGCCACACCGTGCTAGGCGCGTGTGTGGAGCCTGGACAGGAGGCGCCGTCGAGGCCAGCGGCCAAACACCCATTCTAAGAAGAGATTTAGAAAGTAAAGGTCTCTGGTTCGGTCATCTCCTGTGCACCTTTCTACCTCCCGTAATTTGGTATACGTCCCTTTGAGGGTGGGATAAACACTGGGTGCCATTTATTTCCTGTGATGTTCGCACGCCCGGCAGGAGTTCCGGAAGGGGCGCTAGGCCGGGCGAGGGAATCAGTACATGTATCAGAGGGCAAACCGCTAACTAGAAAGTTCAGTAAGTTTAGGTTAACAAGATGAGGTAGATGACATGAGTGCTGTATGAGTCATACCTGTATGTCTATACAAACACATCTTAAAAGCTTGTGACACTGAGCTATATGCAACCACTAAATTTCAGACAAAAGGAAGAAGATTCACATCTCGGAGCTGTACACACCGTCATAAAACCAGACCTCAAAGTCGGCACCCGGGGAATTCTCCATCAAAACGCATTTAGCGTATCTTGTGAAATAGGTTATTTTGGGAGACTTAGATCTCACAAGCTGTACAAATCTAGAAGCATACTGATATTTTCGCCAGTACTTTTCTAGGAGAGGAAAAGAAAAAAAAAATCCTTAATATCAGGGAACAAAATATTGAGATAGATACATTTTTAATATTTGCATGTTACACACACACACACACACACACGAGAGAGAGAGAGAGAGAGAGAGAGAGAGAGAGAGAGAGAGAGAGAGAGAATGTTCCAGAGTCACTTCTTAGGCAAACAGAATGTGGAGAGACGGCAGACACCGCATCAGCGAGGCAGCGCCTCGCCAGGTGCAAGAACAACGCGGCGGGGCCCCCACGGAGCCCGGGGCCCACACCCGTGCCGTCTGCCGGGCAGCCCGCTCAGCATGACCTGCCGCCCCAGGGAGCCGCGGCGGAGCCTACGCACCTGGCAAGCGGTCGAAGCTGTACCTGCTGACGCTGGCGGCGGGCGGGGGCGGTCTGTCTGTGAGCGGGGAGCCTCTCCCGTCGTCCGGGTAATACACGGCGATCTGGGGAGAGATCATGGGCTCTGACCACGCGCCATGGCTCGTCACCGACACGGTGAAAGCGCTCATGTGGACTAGCAAATGTATTTTACTGAAAATGCTAAATATTTTCTAAAAGCAGTTTTTTGTTTCTTAAACTTTCAAGTGAACATTTTGTTGCCAGTTACATAATTATTTCTTAACCCACACGCAATTACGCAAAGATACATAGCATGCTATTTTGGTTTTTGAAATCCAGAGCCACGATCATGAGAAAAATGGATTTGAAAAACGTCAGGCTGTCACCAGAGAAGGCGCAGGAGCGCCACATGCTTAAGAGAAGGGCGAAGTTCAGGGTCAGGAAGCCAGGCCGCTCACCGTGTTTCCATCCCGAGATATCTGCAGAACTTCTTTCACGTACTCCTGAGACGCGTGCTCCCTGAGAAGCTCCACGCACACCTCCTCCGAGTCAAGGATGCTCACCTGGAAAGACACAACAGCCGCCGTCAACACCGCGCCTTGGCCGGCGCGGCCCCGAGCAGCACACGGCGCAGACAGAACCTAACCATGGCAGAGACGACACTGAGGGCACAGCCGGCCCTGCCTCAGCCCAGGGCACAGCCGGGCGGCTCAGGCCGAGCAGGCGGGGCCGGCAGGGCGGGGCGTGAGGCGGCCACACAAAGGCCAGGCTGGGTGATGCGGGAACAAGACAAACAGGATGAAGACTGAAAAAAAAAAACCAAAAACCACTCCCATTCGTGTGATGTTCTAAAACTCTAAACTTCATTTGTCAATAGTCCTTTTTTAAATAGTTTCAGATGTTAAAAAAAAGTTCTATTTTCTGATTTACCTTTTGGGAACTGGATTAAACGGCAGACAATAAAACAGAAGCAAATGGTATTAAACATGATTAACTTAGTGACTTGCGTGAATAAAAAAACACCTACCATAGTACATACTGGATTATTTTTACATGTTTTTATTGTCAACAACATTGAAAACTCAGAGTATCATGCCACTATTCTTATTCCCCCCCCCATAAACATCCAGTCTCTTTTCTCTTAAATAAGTTTCTCACGTAACACCTCCAAGTATAGGGGCACTTTAGAGAACTAACAAATGTCCGGGCAGTAAGCAGCACAAACCCCAGCTGCAGGGCCAGTCCCCAGGCGGGCATCGCACATACCACAGCCTTCCGGGTCTTCTGTCTGATGGGCTTTAACCGGCACGCGGTCAGTGGCGGCGTGAGGCTCCGTAAGCTGCGGGGCTGGCGACCCGGCGGGGGCTCCGCGCCTCTGGGCTGTCTTTGTTCAGAAAGAGGATCGAAGGCAAAAGCAGGCTCTGGCTGCGCGACCTCAGGTCTCTTGTGAAGCGCGGCGACCGGCTGCTCGGTGGGACACCTGATGTCAGACACGTCAGGGCTCTTCTTGGCCCTGGCCTCCGTCCAGGCGTTTCCTGCCGGGCCCTGCCAAGGCGCACAGCCCCGGAGAGGCCCGTGCGGGCCTGCGCTGCTGTGCTCAGCAGTCTCTCCCGCAGTTGCTGGAACACCGCAGAGCAGAGCGAGGCAGCACACAAGAAAGCAGGTGGAGCCGTCACATTGTGTTCATGAGGAACAAAGGAAAAGTAGTAAAACAAAGAAAAAGGATCTCCTAATTTTTCTAAGAAAACAAGCAGTTTAAGATAGGACTAAATCAAAGTGACTTAAAAAAGGAGATTTTAAGCCATACTGCAAAGGAATACCTTGAGTATTAAGGAAAAAAGGAAAGGAAAACATTAATGTGAAATTCATTTTTTCAATTAAGGCCAAAGCCGGTCACCCAGGACACCTATTTCTCAGCAAGCAACCGGCCGGTGTGCCAGCAGGCAGGTGTGACGGGAATTCCCAGCGACCCTTCTCCATGAGATGGAACTTACTCTCTTTAAGGACCACCCGCTCCATGCGTACTCACAAAACATGCCAAAGGGGGAAAAAGCAGCATCACATACGAAACAGCTTTAACTTACTAGTAACTAATGTCATCAACGTATTTGCACCCACTGTTACAAATATTTTCATGATGAAATTTACCCACTGATTTGATTTTAGAATTCACAAGGGAACTCTTTTTTTAATGTCCATAAAGTGATCAGACCATGTGAAAACCCCGCAAGGCAATTTTTTTTTTTTTTTTTTTTTTTTTTTGTGGGCCCCTCGCTGGCGGCTGGGGATTGAACCAGCGCTGCAGAGGCTGCGGGCAGCCTCGCAACCCAGCGCTCAACCGCTGCGCCACCAGGGGAGGCCCTGCAAGGCAATTTTTAATATGCCAGCCTCTAAAAATTTGTCCAATTTTTCCCCCTTAAATGACCTTTTAATGTTTTTGACTCATTAATGCTTTTAATTCTTTTGGCCCATTACGACAGAAAATATTTCGTGTCAAACAATGTACTTTAAGACTGCAGCAGCCCTACAAGATTATGAAGATCGTTTCCCCATGTCCATGTTACCCAATAAAAGTATCTGAAAACACAACGGGACCAGCAGGATCAGGTGCAGGGCAGCTTTATAGGGTTAAAAAAAAAAAACCAGACTTGAATTATCTAGTATACATGAAGATTCTCTTTTGGGCTCCTGAAAACAACATACATTAACAAAAGAAAAAAAGGGGACCGCCCCCAGGCGCCGTCAAACTCTGCTTAAGTTACGGCCCTGGGCGCTCAGGCTGGGTAAGGTGATACGAGGTGAGACGCAGCCTCCTCCTCCCCGTATGTTTCTTTCTTACTCTCTTCTTTAAATCTTTAATTTCATTTCCACTGTCTTTGAAATCCGCCATGCCCCTTAATGAGAAACGCTCACCCGCCCCACTCAGCATCTGTAATTAACACCCCCTGAGTGACAGCTGCTCACCCCGGGGCTGGCTCCTGGCCTTCGCACTGGGGTGCACCCCAGGGCCCGCTGGGAAGCCCGAGCTCACATCAGTGCCCCTCTCCTGATGCCGTTGTGGATACTGACAGCAGATGTCAGCGCAGATGGGTCAGAGGGCTCTGAGCCCTGCAGGGCGGGGTGCGGGGGGGAGTGGGGGGGCTCTGGCCTACTGCGGCAGCGTCGGCCAACAGGTGCAGCTTCTGTGAGGTGGGGCTAATAGCAGCCCCTTATTTCATGAGGATTTAGTGAGCTGTCTTCACTAACCATTAAAGACAGTGGATAACAGTGACCCCTCAAAGTGAGTCAACAGCTGTTACTATGGCCAAGTACTGAAAATGCATTGTTTCCTTAAGAATACCCCGATAAAGTGTGAAAGTCATTCGTTTTTACTAAATACTTCATCAGAAACTCACCATTTACTTGCAGATTCCCAAACCACTGTTGCATCACTTCAGCCTGAGATGTCTGGGCTGGGAACGGAAAAGGATTTTTTCCTGGACAAAGCTGATTGGTGCTAAACAAAGAAAAAAAAGTTTCTGTAAGCTAAAAAAAAAATAATTACTAGGTAATACCGTTCCAAGGTATTACCAAGGTAAATCATTCCGAGGTAAAGTCATTTGAAAAAGGTGGTATCTGGGGCCTCCCGGGTGACGCAGCGGATTGAGCACAGCGCAGTGAAGCTGTCCGCAGCAGACTGTGCAGCGCGGGTTTGATTCCCAGCAGGCCAGGGAGATTCCCACATGGCACGGCAGACCTCTGCTGTCTCCCCTGCTCCCCTCAGCAGTGCTTTCGTCTGCCTGTTCTGTTCCCCGCTCTGTCTCTGGTGAATCCTCTCGCCCTCCTGGGCCTCTGGCCTGTACCCCAGCTATTGTATAAATAAAAAATAAATCTTTAAAAAAAAAGAAAGAAAGAAAGAGAAAAAGGAGGTATCTGCTGGTCTGGCTAACACTGCAGAGTGACTGAAGAAACCACCACCTGCACAGTGAGCAGCCCGACGCGGCAGCGCCAGGGCATAGGACAGTGGCTCTGCCTCTTGCAGCTTAAGTGCAAAAATCTAAGATCAGAAAAAATACAAACTACAATGACTAGACACTGGCTTATGAGCAGCAGTCAGGAGTATGATCACTGAGGTCCACCTTCCCTTCATCTGCGTGCGCACGTGTGCACGTGCATGTGTGTTGATTATGATTTTGCTACACAATACCTTGGCACTAGAGGCCTGCTTCAGATAAAATAAAAAAGTGAAACCAGTAATACCCAATCATTAAACACATCCATTCATTTTAGGAAATTTGGAACCTCAATTCAGAACTTCATACTCTTCCTCCCCAGCACAGAAATCCCAGCTGAGGAGGACCCAGCTTCATATTTGTGCCTTTGATGTTTGTCATACGGTAAAACGCCCCCGCCAAGGTGCCAAGATTCTTACAGCACTTGCTGGTCATCGGGTCTCTCCAAACACCCGGGGCCGCCGGACGTCCTGGCTTTAAGGAAGTGAAAGACACCGCCGCGGTCGCTGGCAGGAGCGCATCTTTCCGCATCGTCGCTCGCTCCCGACTGACTGGGTCTGGAGAGCGTCTCTGCTGAGTGACAGCGCTCCATTGGGGAGGTTTTCGCTCGAGATGGACGACTGGAGGCGCCGGACCTGTCGGAGGAGTGGGCTCTGCGGAGGTAGCGAGAGTGTGGCCTCTCCTCGGCATCCTGGGCCCTCCGCCCCCGCCTACTGCTACTGGCTTCTTGCTCTTGAATGCCCCACTGAGTATAAAAACTGCTCCCCTCTCCTAAAGAAGAAAAACCACTTGAATTTTTATTCTTTGGAAATATAGTCATTTTACTTGGGAGTGGCTGACCAATCAAAAGTCTTCTTCTGTCAGAGAAACTACCACTTACACTGGTACTGGAAGAAGCCGTCACTGCAGTTGAAATCGTGGCATGTCCACTATCAATGGAGTCTTCCACGGTTCTTAAATCTTTACTTTTAGTGGAAGAATTCCGGGACATAAAGGGGTGATCAAACACCGAAGACAGACTTAAACGATCCGCTGGATTTCTACGAAGTAACTGGTGGATGAGGTCCTTGGCTTCTCTTGACAAAAAAGTTGGCATTTCATAATCTGCCAACACCACTTTATTCAATGTGTTCTTGACCGTGTCTGTGTCAAAGGGTGGCCTCCCGATGAGCAGCGTGTAGAACATGCAGCCCAAGGACCAAACGTCAGACTCGAGCCCGTGTGCGCTCCGAGTGGCGATCTCCGGGGAGATGTAGTTGGGGGTCCCGCACAGCGTGTAGTGCTTCTCGTGCGGCATCTGCAGCTGCGTGGCCAGCCCGAAGTCGGCGATCTTGACATTCATGCTGCGGGTGAGCAGCAGGTTGGACAGCGTGAGGTCCCGGTGCAATATGCCGTGGGAGTGGAGGTACAGCAGCCCGGTGGTGATCTGGTGCATGAAGTGTCGCGCTGTTAGAGGGAAAAACTGAAACTTACAATCCGGAAAATCCGGAAGATCGGCATGTAGAACACATCATGAAACTGCAGGAGGCGTGCCAGAGCACCCCGCGAGAACGCGGCTCGTGACCAGGACGCCAGCCTGAGAATGCCGTCAACACCCCCCCATCTTCATCCTTCCCCGGAGCTCAGTCTGTATGCAGTTAATTTTATTAGCGACAGGGAGCAACTAGGGAAACCAGGGAGAGCAGAAGTCCATGGCAATTGAGAAAGTATTTGCAACTGCAATATAGTCAGCTGTAAAAAAAAAGCTCAGGTTCCTTTGATGTCCTCCCAAATCCTCTCCACAAGGAACCACCATGAACGGTTTGTGCATGTTCTCTGAGGCTTTCCTTCCGCATCTAAGACTATAGAAGAACATTCTAATACTTTTTAAATATAAAAATACACAGTTTCATTACTATTCCTCCAACCCAAATATTTGTTGGAGATATTTATATGTCAGCATACACAGATTCTCATTTTATTTAATTGCAACTGAGAAACATTTGGGTCATTTTTGGTATTTTAAGGTTACAAAATATATAACCAATAAACATTCTCATACATGCTTGGTTTCCTGTGCATATGTATTATGGGGTGCTTCTCTATGGTAAATTCAAGAAATACAACCACTTGGATAAATTTAACATTTTTATACTTAGCCACACTATCCTCCAAAAGGCTGTATTTTCATGCACGTCTGGTTAATATTAGGTAATCTCAATCTAATGAGTCAAAGATAGAGCTCTTTGTCATTTTGATGATTCCTAGTGAGTTTGAGGATCTTTCATATGATTGTTGGCTGTCTGTACTTTCTCTTCTGCGGACCATCTGCTTATAGGTCCTGTTCATTTTTTATGATCTTTTTTTAAAGCATGCCTAAAGATTTTTAAATATTAGTCATACATTTTATAAAATCTTTCCTAAATCTTTCAAATTTGTTGATGATTTTTTTTATAATACACATTCTTAGGTTAAATTAAGTAAACCTGGTAATTCTTTTCCTTCACGGCAGGGTCTACCTTATTTAAGGCTTGCTGTTTCATAGTGTTACCAAAAATGCAGTGGTCACCAATATGTGCAACGTTTTTATTTTCAATTTGAGTCATTACCATAACTTTTGAGCATTTCCGTAACTCTCCATATGATCAAACTTTTCCAAAAGGGTTATACAGACTCCCATGTACAGAAGTCAATCAGCAACCACCCATCCTGGCGTATATGCCATCACAGAGCAGGGAAAGGCCTTTTGCACATCTGTTTGTATGATGATGATGGGCATTATGATTTGATTCTGAGCTGAACTGTAGAAAGTTACTTATGAGAAACTGGGAAGTTGAAAGTGATTACGTAAATGATTGTAGGGAATGATTTCATGTCTTTCTGATTATGAGATTTAGAAGTTGCCCTTTAAAGACACACAGCAGATCACAGAGCACCCCTTTTCATCAGTGCAGGTTTGTTATAACATTGATGGGAAAAAAAAAAAAAAAAGGATCCTGGCCAATGCTGAACAAAAAGATGATGTCGGGCCTCCCCTGGTGGCGCAGCAGTTGAGCGCTGGGCTGTGAAGCTGCCCGCAGCCTCTGCAGCACCGGTTCCATCCCCGGCTGCCGGGTGAGGGTCCCACATGGTGCGCAGACCTCTCCTGCCACGCCCACTGCTCCCCTCAGCAGTGTCCTCCGTCTGTCTGCCTGTTCTGCTCCCCGCTCTGGCTCTGGTGATTTCTCTCACCATCCCGCGCTTCTGACTGTACCCAGTGCTTGTATAAATAAATAAATAAATCTTAAAAAAAAAAAAAAAAAAAAAGATGATGTCATCTGAAGATCTGGTTTCTAGACATTGTTTCACTTAAAGTTGCTTTCTAAGAACCTACCAATGACATTGACTGAGGCCTTACTTCTGCAATGCACTGGAGTTACTTACAGAAACTTATAACTTTGTAATTTGGGGGAGAGGATCTCCTTTTCTAGTCCAAAGTAATAATTAAAGAGTTTCCAAAATATCCTACAATAGCATATTCTTCAAAACTACATGCTGATGAGTAAAATTTATACCTTCCAAAAAAAAAAAAAAAAAAACCAAAACCAACCCACCTTCGTTTTCTGAGAATGGTTTCTTTCTATTCTTTAGGTATCTGTTCATCTCTCCATTATGGCACATTTCTAATACCAGGTACACGTAATTGCTATCCTCAAAGTAATTATAGAGCTGAAATGTAAAAGGACATAATAAATTGTAACATACAGACATTCACTGCCCTTAAGCGCAGGTAAAAAATTTGTGTCTTACCTCCAAAATAGAAGGATGTTTCAATTGACAATGTATTTTCACCTCGTTCTGGACTCTCTGAACCATCCCAGCTTTGTACATGGCTTTCTTATCTATCTACAAATAGCAGAAGGTTTAAATGTCGATGGTAAACTTTCAAATGTCACATCAAACGTTTTCTTTGGAAAGAGACAGTATACTTTAAAATATCCTTTCATCTACTTATGAGCGCCTTCTGCTGTCTACTTTCTCCATGCACCCTGCAGAGTGCTAGGCAGAGTGGACCTTCAGTAAGTTTGCCCAATGCATTCTAACACCATCTCCCAACTTAAAGAATTTAACAGGACAAGTATCATGTCTGTAATAAAAACCACAAAAATTTAGCTAAGTTTTAAAATGACACTTCTCTTACCTTTCCCTACTGATTTAGATAAGTGATTCTTAATTAGCTTAGGTTACTCCTTAGACTGACTTCCAACAGCCAAGAACAGGATGTTAGATGTACACACACTTGTATTTTCACTATTATAAGAACAACTTGCTGTTTGATTTCTACCAGTTAGTCCAATATGTGTAATTAGAACAGATACAAAGTCTAATCATAAAGATGAAAACTCTAACTGGGCCAAGGATCTCCTAAGATATCCTCAGGTTTAACTTAATTAGAAAAGAATCATAGGATCAGTGGATAATTTAATATCTTAACACCTTGCCTCACTGCCCTTCAAAAGGCTGTTTTCATGCACATGCCCTTTACATCAGGCGGTGTCAACAGCCAAGTCTCAGGGCTTGGGACTGCGGTGATGGGGGCTCCACTGCACACCCCGGGAAAAGCCCTGGTGGGAGAGGTGTCCCTGACATTTCCAGAAGCCGCTTCCTCTAGTCCCCTCAAAGCCCGCGGGAGGCGCGGGCTGGTATGTTCTTACCATTTTGATGGCAACTTCCAGACCAGTGTGGATGGACTCGGCTCTGTAGACACCAGCAAACGATCCTTTCCCAAGCAGATTCCCAACTTTAAAATCCTTAAAAGTTAAAAATCAAAGAAGATGGTGGTGACTTGCTGGGACAGAGGAAGAAAGCTAGGACGGGGCTGGACAGGGCCGACAGGATGGACGGAAGGAAGGGGGGTGCATCCCAAAGCCAGGCCGGTCGCGCACCTCGATCCGGCAGGTGTCCGGGGCCGGGAGCATGCTGACGCGCGCGGGGTCCCCGAGCTGGCAGGCGGGGTGCGGGCAGACACCCCAACGCCCCGGGCGCTCCAGTCTGTGCGGCCTCGGGCGCGCCCCGCCCCAGCGCCCCCTGCGAGCGGCCGGCCGCTCCCGCCGCGGCTCCCGCCGGAGTAACCGCCACCGGGCCAGGGGCGGACGCGGGCGGCGCGGCGGGCCCGGCGGGAGGGCGGCGGGGCGCGCCCGGGACAGGCGCCCGCCCCGGCCCCAGGGGAGGGGCGCCCCGCCGCGCCCCGCCCCGCCGCGCCCGGCCCCGCCCGGGCCGCGCCCCCCGCCCCGCCCGCCCCGCAGGGCGACTCCCCCGGCTCGCCCCCCGCCGCCCGCCCGGGCCCTCCCGCCCCGGGGTCCCCCGAGGGCCCGGGGCCGCCCCCGGGACCCTGCCGCCCCTCCCGGCCGCGCGCGCCGCCGCCCACCTCGATCTTCTCCCCGATGCACGTCGCCATGGCCGCCGGCGCGGCGCGGCCCCTTCGCGGCAGCGCTCCGAGCAGCAGCCGGCGTCGGCGCCCATCGGCCCGCGCTAGGCCGCGCGCCCGGCGACGACCGCGCCGCCGCCGCAGGGGCGCCCGGGCACCCGCCGAGGCCGGGCCGGCGCCGCCGCGCTCCCATTTTGAAAATCGCCCGCCCGGGGCGCCCGCCCTGACGTCACGCGGGGACGCTCTGCGCAGGCGCGGGCGCCCTTCCGGCCACCTGACCGGAAGTGCCGCGGCGCCCGCGCTGCGCTCGCCAGGCAGGCCGGGTCCGGCGGCGCCGCGGCGGGAAGGTCGGCCGGGCCCGCGGGCCTCGAGGACGGCGCCTCCCGCCGGGCGCCCCGCCCCGCCCCGCCCCGCCGCGGGGTCTCGCGGGGTCCGGGGCGCCGAGGAGAGGCGCCGTCTCGGGGCGCTGCGGCCTCGCGGGCCCCGCGTCCGGGCGCCTCCCCCGCGCCCGCAGGCCCCGCGGCCCGCCGCCGCCCGGGAGGGAGGCCCGAGCCGGGGCTCCGGGCGGCGGGGGCGGGGCCGGGCGCGCAGGCCCAGGGGTTCGGCCCCGCCGCCCCGACCGCGGGCGCCGGGAGGGCGGAGCGAGCGCGGCCCCGGGCGGGGCGGGGGGCGGGGGCGCGGGCGGCCCGGCCTGTGGTCAGGCGCCCGGAGCCGCGCGCCCGGCCGGGGAGGCCGCGGCGGCCCCGGGGTCGGCGGGCCCGGCGTGTCCCGCCGCGGGGAGGGCGGCGGCGGCGCCTGCTCGGGACGCGGCGCGGGTCGGGAGCCCCGGAGGGCGCGGCGCTCGCCACGGGACGGGCCCTCGGCCCGCGGTGGCCCGCGGTGGGCGCGGCCGGGCGGGCGCCCTGGCGTCGGGGCCGCGCGGCTCCGGGGGCCCGACGCTCCGGGGCGGCGGGTGACCGCGAGTCGGACCCCCGGCCCGGCCGGCCGTGGAGCAGCAGCCGGGGGCGGCGAGCGCCGCCGCGTGACGAAGGCGCTGAAGTTGTTCCCCAGACGCCGCCGACACCGCCCGCGCCTCAGCCACCGCGAGGGTGAAAAGCGGGTGGGGCGGAGGCGAACGCGCGCCGGCGGGGCGGGCGCGCAGGGTCCCAGCCGCGCCCGCGCCGGGCCCAGCGCCCTCCCCGCGTCCTCCGATGCGCTTCGGAGTGAGCCGGAAATCTCCAGGCGCGCAGCAACCCGGGGGGGGCACCCCGGGGCGGCCGGCGGCGGGGGGAGCCCGCACCTGGGGCGGTGGGCGCGGGCCGGTGGGCGCTGCAGCTCTCCCGGGCGGCCCGCGACATTCTTCGGGCACCGGGCGCGCTCGCACCTGCGGGAAACGAACCCGCGCCAGTGGGCAGGAAAAGCAGAACTTAGGAAGAACCTGGGCGTGTTTAACCTTAAGGCTGCTTGGAAGAACACTCCCTTCAGTGCATTTTAAACTAGAAGGTGAAAGTAAAACAGCTTTTTTTTTTTTTTGGCTTGTTTTGGTTAATAAGAATCTTGGTCTTTGATCTACATTAAAATTTTGTTACGTTTCATCAAAAGGGGGGACTGTGCTTCCTAGGAATTTTAAAATCACACTTTGGGCTCAATGAGACAGTAATAAAGTTTTTCTTCTTTGATTCAAAAAGCCCGTCTTCTGCCCCCGAGTGCCTTAGTTGCTAAGTGAGGGTGGATTTGAGCGCACAGGACGGTTACCCAGCCCAGGCTTCGCGAACAGCCCTCGGTCTGTCTTGGAAAGCCGTCGGGGGCGCCCAGTGTCGTCAGATTCTGCGTGTCCGTATGTCAACCCGTTAGCTTTGCTTCTCATTAAGTTTTACAGATTCAAATACCATAAAACCAAATTCCAATTTTCAACTCAAAATAACTTGAGAACTGAACTTTTTTCTTGTAAGAGTCTTAAAGAGGAAATTATATTTTTCTAGTCATTTAAGAATCACGTCTAACTCTAACTATGTAACACGTAAAGTCAATGCCGAGGCTTTCTTCGCTGTGGATTAACAATTGCCAACTGTTAAAAGCCAAACCAAACCCCAATGGGTAATGTCTACAGGCTTATTACTGCACTTCAAATGTTTGGAAGTGACTGCATGGTTACATTATATGTTGGGTTATTTATAATCTGATCGCTGCATTCAAAGGTCTACTGCCTTAAAATGTGGGTAACATTTTTCAAAGTAGTGGACTGTGCTCACTTGGGTAGAATGTTTTGACACTTTTCCATTTTACCTTACTGCTGAGCTCCAAGATTCACTTTAAATAGTAACTTCTGTCTGGGAAATAATCATAAATACAGTAAAGACTAAGAAAAAAGCTGAATAAATTGTTCTTCTTTAGTGAAAGTCTGAATACCTTTTAAAACGGACGAGCTGTAACTCCAACAGCCTGATGCTGGTGTGCTGTTTCTAGCTGTTTTAAAACGTAAGAATTGTACATACTGATGAGGAATTAAACATCACAAGCTCTCTTTTGTCATATTATTTAGCAATCTTTGTTTTTATTATCACAGTATAACTGGCCATCAAGATGTGGTTTCTGAAACCAATTTATACTTTTACAGTCAAACTGCACACACATTTTAACCCCCCTCGGTATTTCCTTAACCTAGTTATTTGCTTATTGCATAGGAAAACATTCTGTCTTGCTACTATCTTTTAAAATAACTTTTCTAAAATAGTGTTTTTACTTTCAAAAAACAAAACAAAACAAAGTCTTGTCTAGTGCTCCGTATTTAGTGCAGATTCAAATTAAGCCGCATCCCATCTTCCGGCCACAACTGCATTCAGCCGAGCGTCTTCGCTCTCGTTAATGTTTTCACCGGAGAGCCAGGCTGCAAGACCACAGGGCTCTGGCCACAGGCGGGAGGAAAAGGGCGCACGTTCTCTTGGGACGCGCTAGCGTCTGGCTGAAGCGCTCCACGGCTGACGGGCCAGGACACAAAGCTGCGCACAGTGTCCTGGGAGCGGGAGCTGTGGGGACGCGCCAGACACCCGAAGCGCAGCTGGGCTGACGAGCAGGCCCTGAAGTGCGGCTCCCTGCCAGGCGGGGGGTTCTTTCAGCCCGGGAGGCACGACCGCGGGCACCCCGTCCTTTGATGCGCCTCCAAGAGCGAGTCTCTACGTTCAACATACAAATGAGGAGTGGTACATGCTTTTCAGGAAGGTATTTTTATCAGTTATTGATGGACAGAACTACTTCGCTCTAAGAGTCGTAAGACAAGGCTAGTTGCAAGACTACAAGACGGAAATATCCTGGGTCTCTCTGACTTCCAGGGCCCAAAGGGCCAGCTCCTGCCGAGAAGGTGAGCGGGAGCCCCGCAAGCGCCGCTCTGCAGCCCTGGCTGCCAACCACATGGTAGAGACAAACTCTCTCTCAGAGACCGGCTGAGAGAAACGCCACTACCCCTGGAGATACTCAACTCTCAAATTTTGCCATTTAAGAAAAGTCCGTGTCAATTCTTCTCAGCATAAAGGTCTCGCTTTGGGGAGAAGTGAGCCTGAATTTTAACTGAGGTCTGGCCCATGGGGGCACTGAGAGACAGAGGGGGCGTTGCTGCCTCCTGGGGGGCCTGCCGCCTGGCCCCCCCCGCCCCCACAACAGCGCCGGCATCTGCACAGCGCTGACGGGCGAGCGCCAGCTGGGGATGTGCACGGAGGCCCTGGAGATGCCTCAGGTCACGCGTCCTTGTCCCCCAGACGAGCAGCACCGGAGAGGGGCTGACTCTGCACTGCGGTCAGGGTGGGCGCCATGCGGCGGGCAGCTGCCTGGGGCGGGGGCAGCGGCCAGGGAGCCGCACGGTGCAGCGCACAGGCCGGCTCGCCCTACTCTGCGCCAAGCCACGGCGACACTGGTCGGGCCCGAGACAACGCCTCAGCGGCGCGAGGCCGCAGCGTGCCTGGGCGAGTCTGAGCAGCCGCCGCACCCCTGCGCGGAGCCTGCTCCGGGGCACCTCCTGCTCACAGCGGGCACGGCCCGCGCAGCCGTCCTCAGCACAAGCGGGCCTCGAGCCTCCAGTGAGAGACCCGGAGCGCCTCAGACAACATCCATCCTCGTCACCGATGGAACCAGCCAGCCTCGGGCGCCTGAGCTACCAGCGCGGGGCTCCCTTCAGCGTGAGTCCGTCACCTGCGGACGACAGCAAAGCGCTGCGTCCTCGTGGCGCCCCAGTGAGACGGACCAGCGTGGCGAGGAGCCGCTTACTTGTTTTAATATTTAAATTAGAACAATACAATAACTAGAAAAAGGTCAGTGCCTCGGTGGCCGTAAACCACATCCATTTCATTATGTGTTTCTCAAAATAATGATGCAAGTGCAGCGACGCCTGTGAGCAGCAGGGCGCCCCCGCCTCCCTGCCCGCGTGGAGCGCGGAGGCCTCTCCGGGAGGGGCTCTAGGGAGGCAGGTTGTCGCCGGCTACGGGCCAGTCTTGCGCGCGTGACAGGAAAGACTGGGAAAGCGTAAACTGACGCGTCAATCTAGACTCGGCTACAGCTTCACGCAAGCAGCGGTGGAAAGGAACGAGGTGCAGCACTCGGCACAGGACACTTTTCAGGACTCCTCCAAAAAACACGACAAAAACTGGTTACGAACAACGGAGCACGTGTTGCCTGGGCAGATGCCAAGCAGCGCGGACCGCGTGGTGACGTGGCTGTCGGGAGGCGCGGGGCGCCGCTAGTCCACTTCCATCTCGCCCGAGGCCTTCGGGTGTGGGGCGTCCCTCGCCGCGTCGCCTCTGCTCTCTGCGCCGCCCTGCCCGCCCGCCGGCCCGTTGTGCTCGGGGTCAGCTCTCGCTTTGTCCTCCGCGACCTCCACGTGCGGCTTGGGCTTGTAGACGACGGGGTTGCAGAAGTTATCCAGTTCCTAGAAACACCAAAGACACGGGTTACATGGAAACTGGTAGGCAACACGCCTCCACTCAGGCGGCGCCCCCGGGGTGGGTGCCAGCTCAGCGAGATGACCGCCAGTGCCCTCTGGGAGGCCGCTGACCTCTGTGACAGCCGCCTGCCCACTCTTTGTTCTGTGTGTGGATCTTCCTAAAATGTGTTCCTTCCCGGTTCACACTTCACAGGGTCATTTATAACTTCATTCTTTAACTTGTGCCTCAGGCGCTATGACGAGTGTCGGATAACGCCTATTCAGCACTGATGTGGAAACAACTTTAAGTGGAATTACATGCACATCTCCACCAACAACCGAATTCTTACAAAATAGCCGCCTTTACTAGAAAGCGAAAGACCAAGCCACGAAACGAAATGCAACCTGAGAACTGAAAAGAAACACAATGTAGATTCTAGTATCTTTGCCTTTTGGTTTTCACAGTCAAAACAGAGAACACTCGTAGATGCTTCTGCAACCTGAAGATCTTCCGAGACCAGGCATAGGCTGGGATGGGGGCAGAGACAGCACCCCGGGGTGTTTCAGAGCGAAAGTCACCCACGGGTCGTGCGCAGCGGTGTCCCTGCGTGTGTGGCCACCGCCGGGCCAAGCCCCTGCAGCTCTGACGCTGGGTTGAAGGATGCAGTGTCCCGGAGAAGCCACAATTGTCCCCCCAAGCTGCGCGGGGGCCATCTGTCCCTGCACGCCAGGGCAGTGGGCACGGACCAGCGGGCATCTCTCAGGGACGGAGGCGGGGCCTCCCCTCACGCTCACCAGACACGCGCGCCCCCTCCCGCGCCTACTCTATCCACCTGGATGCTGACCTTCGTCACAGCCTGTCCCTGGTCTCCACGGCGTTCTCTCTGACCCGTGACATCTTTGTTAGTAACGTCTTTAAGCTGAGAAGTTCCTCTCAGAAACACAAGCTGGCCGTGGCATCTCACACATTTCAAACTCCGTCCAGGGCAGCCCCAGAGGCAGATGCGCCCGCGAAGACGCAGCCCTCTCAGTCAGAGTCGAAAGCCAGCGACACCAAGGCGGAGCCGGAGCCCTGCCCCATCTCTGCGTCACCCTGGAAGCCCAGAGCCCCCGCGTGCCAGTCACACCCAGACGAGGCACTGTTCCAGCAGGTGGCCTAGTTTCTACTTTTCTAGTTTCTTCTGCGAGTTGCTGATTCCTCAAACAATGGCCCCCCTCAGTGTTTCGCGCTGGAGCCCGCGACAGAGCACACAGCTCCTCACCTTGGCCTTGGCAGCGATCTCTGCCACCCGCACTGCGGGGTCCTGAGTGGGGCCCAGCTTGTTCTGCGCGTTCATCCTGCTGTTCAGCCAGCTCATGGCCTCGCCCACGTGCTTCTCCACTCTGTCCACGTCGGCGGGGTCCAGGTGATCGTATCGTTCGTCCTGTTCAAAGAGACACTCCTGAAGGGACAGCTGACAGCCGCGCGCCTCAGTCTGGTGATGATCTGCAGGAAATGCTGGGACACGCTGATCCTGCTGTTCCCAAAGCACGCGGGACGGAGGACACGGGGCAGGGACAGAGGTCGGGGTGGCTTCCAAGACATTGGGTTGGAAAAGAACGACGAGCAGAGGACATTTAGGGCCGAAGTACAAGCCAAGCAAGAGCCATAGGGAAGTGAGGCCACGGGTGCCGGGCAGCCACTGACAAGGAGCGGTGCGCCCCAGCCCTGCCCCCCACCCCAGCCCCGGCGCCCCCTCTGCCCCCTGGCCCTGGCCCCAACTCGCACCTTGGCCCGAAAAGCCTCGATCACCTTCATGACCAGCTGGATCTTTCTGCCCAGGTCGTTGAGCGCCTTCGGCCGCTCCTCGTGCTCCTCAAAGCGTGTCTGGATGGGCTGCCCGTGTCTCTGAGGGGTGGGGGGAGGCTCGTCAGGGGGCGTAACTGGCCCGCAGGCTCAGGTGACCACACTGCCCGTCCAGAGCATCTGCAGAGGCATGGGGTACACAGCCGGCACCCTCCCCGCAGAGGGGCCACCCGCAGTAACAGCCACCCCCTGGAACTTGATTTGTTTATAATTTGTAATTTCAAGGACAGGTGGTGCCGCCCACCCCCACCTGCTTCAGAGTGGGCAGGTCAGGGCACCTGCCAGTCGCTTCTCGCCTGCATACCAGGGACAGGCCAAGCTCCCCAGGGCCCCCAGCGGGCTGCACGACTCACCTTGAGTTCCTGAAGCTTGTCCACGTAAATCTGTTTAGGCTGATCCTCCCCTTCTTCATACAGCCAATTCTCGGTGTCGTCCAGGATGGCGGACAGCTTCTTCAGCTCCTTGTCAGACGTTTAAAAGACATTGTCAGAAATACTCTCCTTAGAAATAAAAACCATCAGAGAAGACAATATTTAAGAATAAAAGATGACATTTCAGATGTTTGTGAACTTATACACCTGTGTTCGCCACACTCCGGATTCCTCCGTGTGCTGGAGACACAGCAGTGACCACAGTCACGGCCGCGGGTCAACAGTTCTAAGCACACAGGGCGGCGCTGACACTTACTTCCTGAGTGACGAATTTCTCGTACACGGAGCCCAGCCTGTCCCGCAGGTCGTACACGTACTCCTCCACGGCGTTCTTGGAGTCGTTTCTCTCCTTCTCCAGCTTATCTTGCATGATCATCTTCCCCTATTCGACGAGTTTCAGGTCATTTGCGCCGCAGAAAGCGCGGCAGGGAAACAAAGACAAGGCGCACGGCAGGCCGGCGCCCGCTCGGCTTAGAAGCAAAGAAACGGACACCGGCGGCGGCGAGGAGGGCGAGCGTCGGAAACCCCCGTCACTGCTGCCGGGAACGTCAAACACCGCAGCTCTCAGCAGAACCAGCTTGGTGGTTCCCCCGAAAGCTCAGCAAAGATCAACGCGACCCGAGGGTGTCGCCCGGACGGCGCTGCGCTGTCAGGCGAGGGGGGTGAGGCCGCGGGACAGCAGCAGACGCTCGGGCCCGCTCCCATAAGCAGGCCGTGCCATTATCTAGTGAGGAACCCCGGAGGGTACAGGCCGCTTCCCCCAACCGCGGGGGGGGCTGGGCACCCCTGACTTCTGCCGAATTTCACGACACGCCAGCACGACGCCTGCATCACCGCAGGTTCCCGTACCTCGTTTTCAATGTAGCTGTTGAGGAGCTCCTGGCCCAGCTGCCGACACAGGCTGCTCTGGATGGGCAGGTCGATGCTCTTGACTTTCCCCTTCTTGGTGGCCTGGTTTGATCGGTCTGGCTTGTCGGAGGGAGCTGACTGCACAGGACATTTGAGAGAGGCGTGAATTTCTAAAGCTGGCGCAGAAACAGGTCTCAGATGAAAGAAAGACCACACGCCAAACCACCACCGCCGACGCAGGCGTCGAGGGCCGCACCTGGGGCCGCGCCGCACACGCCTGCTTCCTCCACCCGCTCACTCCACCTCTTACTTCAGAGACTGCATCGTTTTTCATGAGAAAAAAGTTCATGAAAAACCCTTTTCCTACCAAACAGATAACTTCATGCCATTAGGGCTCATTGAAAAAAAAATCCAGTTTTTAAAACAAATCACTGAAGGGCACTGATCCTGGCTACAGGCTCCCCCTCGGCGCCAGACCGACGGCCGAGCGCACCAGGAATGCACGGCGAAGCCCTAACTGGAAACGCCGTCCTCTGAAAGACAAGCACAGAAGAGCGCCAGAACCTTCGTGCGGGTCCCCGCGTGGTCCAGCTCCTCCTCGGGGGCGGGCTCCGCCTGGCCCTTCCGGTGGCCGTCCTCCTGCTCCGCCTGCGTCCTGCCCTGGGGAGAGTCAGTGCGCAATGACGTGCCGCGTCCCTCCTCGCCAAGCATTTATTCTTAATAAATTGCATCTTAGAGGCCAAGCCTGTTTTGAAACGCGAAGACAGTAAAGCAGGAGCTTGGAAATAAACACACAGATCATCACCTAAGTAAAATGAGCCGCCCGAAGTCCCGTGAGTGAGTCACGGGCGATGCACTCCCTGGAGCCAGAGCCGCGCAGTAAGCGGAAATTGTGCTCTTGCCAGATTCACAAACCAAGAGCTACAAGCGAGAACCCCAGTACTCAATTGGCATGAAAATGCTTTTACAAGGAACTTACTGTGAGCAAGTGATGTGGAAAACAGACGGTATTTATGTATCATATAAACTCAACTCTACTTTCTAAACAGTACTCGGGACATACGGACACGGTCAAAGCAGACGTCTCGTCAGCCCTCCAGCACTCAGAAAAGACCTGAAAGATTTTACAGCCAGGAAGGCGGCCCGCACAGACTCACTGGGTCCTCCCGCCTCTTGCTCTCCTGCGGAACCCCTCGAGAGGCAGAGCTGGGGGCCTCGGAGCGTCTGGGGCTGAGGGACCCGCAGAACCCTGAAGGCAACACAGACAGACGCCGCTTCTGTGCCAGAGGGAAACGCGCGCGCCCATCCACACACGTTCCGCGCAGTTAAACACGTCACTCTTCTGACACGTCAGCCGTTCCCAAGCCAGCAGGGGAGGGGGCCGGGCCGGGCCGGGGCAGGCAGGCAGGCTCGGGTGGCCAGCGCTGTTTTCAGGCAGCTCTGAGAAAAATGCTGCCAGTTAAATGGGCAAAAAGCTTTATCACTTTCAATTTTCAGTTTCCTGAAAACACTCTCCTGTTGTGCTCGCCCCGTGCGTGAACATCCTCACATTCAGAATTCAGCGCTTCTCAATCATTCCTGCGACTCTCATCGCCGGCACTTTCCTACCCAACACTGTTCCCTGTGCCATGACTCCAGCAATTGCTTAAAAATTGCCCCTGTGTGGCCACAGCCTTTTCTTCCAAGCCCGGACGCCTGTTCTCAAGCGCCTGCACTCGCCGGGCTCCTGCGCCTGCTTGGGCCTCCCTCGGGGCGCTCGCTCAGCTGTCCCCACAGCAGGGCTAGAAGACCCCCCAGCTGCAGGCTCAGTGACAGGCAGAGACTGCAGCCCGTCAAAGTGCTGTCAGAGGCTCCACGACCCGGTGGCACGCTCGAGGGTCAACTTCTCTGACTTTGAACTCGACATGGGACGAGACCGGGCGAGACCCGTCACCCTGGACCGACTGCTCTGCACACGGAGCGCTCGCCAGCCCAACACACTAACACCCGCTTCCAGGGGGAACGAGGCCTCGAGCAAAGACGTTCGGGCACACGCCTGCTCACGTGTGCACGACGCTGACAAAGCCCCGGCCGGAGGAGCCGTCCCCAGGGCGGCATGTGCGCCCGTCTCCCGGGGCAGATCCTCAGGGGAAGCTCAGGGGTCACTGTTTTGGGTGTCAGGCAGCGGCTGTCACGACTCTGGGCGTGGGGCGGGGGGACCGAGGGGGGACGGCACCCACCACGTCTTCTCTGCTCTCGTTCTTCAGCGAAGCTTCTGTCTCCATGGGCACGTCGCTGTGGCCCCCCTCCATGCTCTGCTTCTCGATCGCCGCGGCGCTGGCCACGCTGAAGACACCGTGGATGTCCACGCGCACCTTGACCTTCACTTTGGAGCTGTCGCCATCAGACTGTGGAAAAACATTCTGAATAGTGAAGCTCCCTGAGGAAAGAGGAGCTTCCGTTAGTGCAGGGCCTCCGCCACCTCCGCAGGCCGCGCGACCCCGCCGGCGCCGTTGGGGCTGCAGGAGGTCGTGGCTGGCGGCAGGCGTGGCCTCAGGCCACCCCTCCTCACACCTTCCAAGCCCGGCACTAAGACTCAGAAAAGCGAAGCAACATGCCCTAAATCATCAGTGCTGCGGGAGGAGCTGGGATTTCAACCAAGAACACCAGACTAAAGGCAACAGAACTTTGAAGGACTTTAAAGTATTTCCCCAAAGCCCAGATAGCAAAATTCAATTTCTGAGGTTGAAAACCAAATTCTAGTCATCCTGGTAATTTATAAGTAAAGCAAGTTTAAAACTTCTGGATTTCTCCTACAGCAAAATTGCTAAGTTATAGTTACTGAACTCACACACATCATATTAAATTAAATTTTAAGAAGTCTAGATTGTGCTTCTCAAAAAAAAAAAAAAATCTCAAATATAAAACGAGCAGGAGTGGCAGAAGCACTGTGCAGTAGGAAGCCTTGCTCCCCTCGCCGTGGGCTAACACCCCCATGCTGGGCGGCTCGGAGCCGGGTCTCAAGGACAAAGTTTCGCATCTTCTCAGCTACCACGAGCCCTGCTCTCCCGACTGTCACGTCGCTGTCCCCAGAGCCACTCCAGCTGCTGCCGGCACCCGGGGCCTGACCCAGCACGCAGCCGGCACCTCCCCACCTTTGCAGTCAGTGTTTCCATAAAAAAAAAATCCTCGAGCAAACTTTCCGGGCCAAGGACAGGACATTTTAAACATGGAAATCTAAGTGAATTAAAAATACTCAAAGCTGTTACTCTAGAAATAAATGCTGAGCGCTAAATAGACCGAGTCTAGAAATAAACATGAACGTCTTTCTTCAAAAACTCCATGCTGGCTTAGCCGGGACAGTCACTTATGTTTCCTTGATTCAAGTGTTAACATTATTTACCAAGGGCAAAACTGTATGCGTGTTCTCTCACCAATGTGTGGGTCGGGATAAGGCACTTCATGTAAATTAGTATAAAACGCTTCTAGTTCAAACGGTTCCTTCTTGTGGAAAGTAATGACCTTTGAGAACGGGGCGGGATGGTTCTTCGAGAACACTTCACATTCCCTGAAACACAACGGGAGGCGCAGTGAGCGGCCGCAGACAGAACCCACCTCCCCGCAGCGCAGGAGCACGCCGGCCAGGCCTCTGGCACACGGGGAGAAGAACCCACTGCTTTAGTTAGAAACATACATCTGACAGGTTTCTGGCTCGAAGTGCTGTCCTTCAAAGAGAAAAATTCCTTGAAAATAGGTATATTTTAAGGCCAACCCACAGGGATTATTTTTTATTCATGTCTGAGGACCAAACCCGTTCGTTTCCAACATACTTGTCATACGTGACCCTTCTTTTTCCAGGTCTCTTAAAAGAAGTTTTTTTTTTTTTTAATTTGGAAATACTGTCCAACTTACAGGAACAAAATAAAAAGAGCAGGACAGGGCCCCTGCACCCCCCGCCAGCCCTGCCACGAGCCCTCGCCGGCGCCCGCCCCCGCCCCAGAGGTCGGCCGGTGCGTTTCCCGGCGTGTCCCAGCAGGGGCGGCCTCAGCACCACAGCACAGCCGCTCCCGCGGCCCTGCCCGCCTCTCAGCGGATGGGGTGCTGCCCCATGTGGCCTCCGCTCCAGGACAGGACTTTACAAGACCTACAACTCGTACTGCGACAGAGCTGGCTCACAGAGGCCACCACGCTGCCGTGTCACCATGTGAGGTGAAAACCTCACAGTCGAGGACCCTCCATGCAGCTCCAGGGGCCAGAGCTGCGCTGTCCAGCGTGGGCCTGGGACACGCCGCCTCACGTTTTCCTCGAGATCTCCGATTCCCTTAACTGATGTTAAACATAGTGTTTCCTGACTCAAAATGGACGTTGCCACATGCCCCTTGGACACTCTGCCAGCCAGTCAGGTCAGGGTCACCATGCCAGTTTTTGAAATTTGTGCAAAAATTCAATTTCTCGGGGGTACGATGTATCCCTTCTGCAAGTAGTCAGACAGAGCACTGGACACACAGACTGTGACCTCAGCTACGAGGCCCGCTAGGCCGGGCCAGCAGGCCGCGGGACAGGAGTGTGGATGCTAATAACGGCAAGAGAACGCAGCTCAGACGGGTCCGAGACACGGACGCAGCAACAAAGGGGTGTTTTGTTTTCTCACTATTAGAACATTAAATTTGAAAGTACAGGAGAAAATGACCTGAAACAGGTGACCTCGTGCAACGTCAGCAGGACCATAAATCGATAAACTTTTCAGTGGCTCCCTGGTCATCTCACATAAGAACAATTCCCAGCCCTCAGCTCCATTCCTCTCCCACATCGTAATGCTCCAAGCACAGCCCCGCGGGGGCAGGCGCCCAGGCCGCGGCTGACGCGCGAGTGAGGAAGCACCGACACAGACCTGGAGCTACACAGACGAGCGTGCATGTGTCAAAAACGCACGCGTTTGCATTTTTGGTTCTTCAAAGAGAAAGACCGACCCCCCCCCACACACCCACGCGCCGCTGTCCCCAACGGCCTGTCCATGTTTCTTTTTTTCAAACGTTTTATTTAAAAGCCCTTGAGAATTTTTAGTGTCAATTCCTCCAATCTAGAATAGAAAAGCAGGTGTGCTTGTTCACGACCCCCTCCGGCCAAGGTGGTGAAAGTAACTCACCCAGCTCCATCTTCCAAAGAGGTCTTCCACCTTAGAGTGATCGAATACGGAACAAGGTCTGTTATGGAAAATTCACGCACTTTAAATGCTGGTGAGAGAATCGCACACTGAAAATAGAAGATACACCACACGTCTCAGCAAACAAAACCTACCCAAATGACCCTGGTTGAACCACTTAATAATAGTGACATTTAAAAATTACTGCTTCTGGGTAACAGCTAGTTAAAAGCGAGAAAGTAACTCTCCCTGTAATCTTTCGAAAACTTGTAAAAAATATTTAAAAATTGTAAATAAAAACTTCAAATGCGAATAACTGAGAGAATTTATAAATGTTTCACTATAGCTACATGTTATCCTGCGGTAATTTAAAAACAGAAAAGGAAAGACACAAGGCTTCATTGCCGGGAATAACTTCAACTCCCTTTTCGCCTACTGACAAGTGGGGGCCCCAGAGCACTCACGCCCCTGTCGGCCTCTCGCCCTGTTTCTGGCAAGATACACATTCTAGGGACACAGAGGCTCCCGCCACACCTGCAGCGCGCAGCCCCTGGCGACGGCCTCGTCGGCGTTCAGCGTGGTGCTTATGTCCTTGAGGAAGAACCTGGAGATCTGCTCCTTCACTGCGGGGATCCGTGTGGCGCCCCCCACAATCTCAATGCTGCTGATGTCTTCCCGCTGCAAGTCTGGCGAGCACAAAGTTCTCCACTGAGGACTGCAAGACAGGCTTTATGTCCGCAGCAGACCCCAGGAAGGGCTGCTTTAAAACACGCACTTTACTTGCTCAATAGAAGACACAGTGAAAAGAAGAGGGAAACAAATTTTGTAAAAAAAGGCAAAATTTAAGTAGCAGCAGCTGCGCCTGGCCTACACCTGGGACAGACGAGCCCCCAGGGCTTTGAAGGGACACTCCAGAGACCTGCGATCCTCAAGCTCCCCAGCAGCTGTGCTCAGCGGCTCAACCAAAGCCTTGGGAGAAGCGACCGTGCCCCACCTCCGCCCCCCTTCCACCTGCGCCGCGTCTCCGCGGTCACGTACGAACACGCGCAAACACGGGCCGCAGCCACCCGGCCAGCCCCGGCGCCCCGCCCTCACGAGCCACCACCTCCGGCGGCCGAGCCCCACTCACTCGACTGCTCCATGACGGCCTTCAGCGGGGGCTCCACCCTGGCCAGGAGGGACGCACACAGCTGCTCGAACTGGGCCCTGAGAGGAGAGCAGAGAAGGCCCGTCACTCGGGACAGAGCAGCAAACACACCTAAAACAACACGGAAACACAGACACAGCCCGGGCGCGCGGCACCTGTTCATCTTGCTGGACACGTCCAGGTCGTTCATGAAGCACTCAATGTTGAGCGGCAGGTCCGAGGCGTTGGCGCTCATCAGCTTTTTCAGCTTCTCGCACTCCTGATACAGGCGCAGCAGGGCACGCGAGTTTTCCTTCACGCTGATCTTGTACTTGGCCTGGAACTCGTCGCAGAAGTAGTCCACCAGCGCCTCGTCGAAGTTCCTGCCTCCCAAATAGGGGTCAAAGGTCGTGGCCAAGACCTGTCCAATCGTAAGGTCGGAACTGAATTTTCAGAAACAGAGGCTTTCCAAAAGCCCAACTTTTAACATTGAAAATCAAAGCCAACGAACGGGTCAGAGTCACGGGGTGCTAAATTTTGGAGCCACTTGCAGCAGCACATCCACCCACTCGGGATTATTTGCTGTAGGTGACAGATTCTGATACCGTGACTCAAAGCAGAATCTCATTTTGAAACAGCTAAGTCGGGACCATCAAAGCTCAGCCTCTCAGACCCTCCGGTCCAGAGCCCCACACGCGGGCCCACACCCACGCGGCAGAAACCAGCGCCCCAGGCATGCAACGCCAGCCCAACAGCTTGAGCCAGCGGCCTGGAAGCGCGCGCCAGTCGGTCGGCCGGCTGGGAGGGCAGGATTAGACCTTCTGACTGTGGTTAAAAAGAAGACTTTTCAGAAGAACACAGAAGGGGCCTCCCTGGTGGCACAAAGGGTTGAGCACCACACTATGAAGCTGTCCCCAGCCTCTGCAGCACGAGTTTGATCCCCAGCCGGCCAGGGAGCGACCCACATGGCAGAGAGACCTCTCCTTTCTTGCCCGCTGCTCCCCTCAGCAGTGTGTCTCAGTGGATCTGCCTGTTCTGCTCCCCGCTCTGTCTCTGGTGAATCCTCTCACCCCCCCGCACCTCTGGCCTGTGCCCCAGCTCCTGTATGCATCAATAAATAAATCTGGAAAAAAAAAAAAACCTACTGTTAAAAAAAAAAGAGAACACGGAAGAACACAAAAGAATATGCGGGAGCCCGAAAAAGGAGAGCAGAACGTGGCGGCGACGCCAGGACACCTCAGCTTGCTGAGAGACAGCCTGTGGCCAAGGACACAGGGGCAGCTGCCCACGGCCCGGGGCGGACGTCACACTGGACACCCCCTGCAGAGCTGAGCTGGTGGCCGGGGCCGGGGACAGTGGTGCTGGCGGGGGCCTGAGTGTCTGAGGCGCCCCCGCAGGCCACGCGGGGAACGGCGACAGCCCTGCCAGGGTCGGGCCTGCCCTAACCAATCGCCACGTCCGGCCCGTAGGTGACCAGCGCCAACGTCCATCCCCCGGGGAGGAAGGCCAGAGTTTCCTCGGGCTCTCGAAGGGGCCCAGGACATCAAAGTCACAGACAGCTTGAAGGATCTACCGGGGAAGGAAGGAAAACGTCCTTTTCTGATTAAACGAAAATTCAAGACTAAAGAGCAAGGGTGAAACCAACTTATCGAAAACGACTCTATGTTCAGAACGCGATGTCCCCCTTCAACTCCCCGGCGACGAGGGTGTCGTCACCAACACAGCACGAGGCCTCCGAAGTGCTGGGCGCCAGCGCCTCACCCCCCGCCAGCCCAGGCACGCGTGTGACGGGCGAGGAGCCGCCGTCACGGTGCGCACACGCCCACCAGGCTCTGGGGGGCCGGCGCCGGCAGCCGGGCAGGCACTCAGGGTGCGGGCCCGCCCTGCGGACCCTGCTCCCACGCGTGCTGGGGGAGGCGGCGCGCGCTCCCGGGGGCTGACTCGGCACCTTGGGGACAGCAGCAGCTCCCACACGACGGCACTCCCCGGTGGCGCGCCAGCACCGCATTCCAGCGGCTCACTTGCTCCGGCCCGGTTCCCAGTGGGCGCTGGGATGGCCCCAGGCGGGGACCCTCAGGATGGGGAGGGCGGGGGAGGGGCGGGTCCAGGTCACAGTCTTCCGTGCAGACCACGGTCTGACCGCACACCCTCATGTGTCGCTAACCCGAAGCGCGGCAGAGCGCTGACCGACTTACTTTGAGCTTCCCCTTGTTGAAAGCACACACGGAGACCTGGTAGGCAGAATGGCCCATGTCGATAAAGACCACGTTCCTCGGCCTCTCATCTAAGGAGGGCAGGTCCTGCTTGTAGATCCCATAGGCCAGCGCGACTGCAAGGACAGGCAGGCAGGTGAGCGCCGGCACGGCGGGCACTCGGGAGCGAGCGAGAAGCCACCCAGAGCCACGCTGCAGTGTAGACGCAGCGGAGCCGCCGCCATTGTCAGGCCAAAGCACGCGGTGTCATTTGGCTGACGGTCCGTCTTACTTCCCCTCCCCGCCAACCCTCCATGTTCGCACTTCTCAGGCGAGGGCAGCCAGCACATCGGGCTGAGCCGCCGGGCACTGGCCAGGAGAGGACTGGGCGGCATTTTCCTGGCGGAGGCTGGGGGCGGGCGCTCACCGGCCGTGGTTTCGTTCATCAGCCTCAGACAGTTCAGCCCCGCGACCTGGGCCGCGGCCATCACGGACCTGCGCTCGGCGTCGGTGAAGAAGCTCGGGATCTGGGGTGGGAACAAGCGAGCACGGCGGTCTGGGTCTGAGGGCAGCTTCGCCCAGACACGCATAGTGGGCCAGTGCAGGGCAGCTGCGCTTGAACGTGTAGCTTAAGGCCAAGCAGCAGCATTGGGGGGCGGGGGGAGTCCCGGTCCCGCTGGGCGGCGCTGGCCCTGGCACCTGCCGGAGCAGGGGGCAGGGGAGCGCGTGGCTCCCCAAGTGCGCGGCTGCAGCAGGAGGGGTGCGGACCGCTGCGGTCAGTAGTCCAGGCCAGGCCACAAGCATGGTGTCTGTCCCAAATTTTTTTTCCCCAAAGATTTATTTATTTATACAAGAACTGGGTACAGGCGGAGAACGCGGTGCGGGCTGGCGCTCCTGGGTCCACACCCGTGGGAGTTCCCACGAGGAACGTCTGACTCATCGTTTAAGAACAGGCCTTTCTTTCTGATCCAGAACACACACCGTTGTGAGTTCCCAACTGGGAACTTTCAACCTTGGTCATAAAATGAAGGTCCCGGGGGCGGGACACCAAGTGTCACCGAGGGGCCAGGGCGCAGCCGGCCCGCCCTCCGACGCCGCACACGCCGGCTTACAGCAGCCCTTCGCAGGAGGCCCAACCCTGACTTCACCCAACGCGGTGACCTTTGTAAACCGTGAAGCCGGGCCTGGCTGCACGCCCGCTGAGGGCAGAGAGGAAAGACGCGTGGCGGGAACGGCCACCTACGGAGATGACACAGTCGGCCACCGGCTTCTTCAGGGCGTTCTCTGAGGTCTCCTTGAGCTTGGCCAGCAGCATCCCAGTGACCTGCTCGATGGCAAACGGCCTCTCCTCCTCGAGGTACCGCACCTGTGGCACAAGGGAGGCCTTTTCGGGGGGCCGCCGCCTTGGCCGCCCCAGGAACCCTGCCTGGGATGGAGCAGGCCCCAGCTGGGCCCCCGCCCTCGTCAGGGCCAGAGCGGGCTCCAGGCGCGGCCGCCTGCCCAGCAGCAGGCGTGCTCACTCGCTGCCCAGGCGAGCACCAGGGACTCGGAGCGAAAGTCTTTCTTTCGGAAGTTAGGGCCCTTCCTGGGTTTCAAGTGAGCGCCCAGTGATATAATTTTGGGGGACGGAAACAAGATCAGGGGAGAAAAAGGCAAATCTTCTGAGAATGCAGCTGGCCCACACTGCCCGGTGTCCCCAGGGGCAGCTGAGTGAACACGAGGGGCTCACAGGCCATTTCAACACCGTGCTGAGGCCAGTGGCCACTCCCCGGGCTGGGGCCCGCGGCTCAGGACGTGACGTGTCAGCGCATCTAACCGAGGACATGGGCTGTGGTGTGGGCCGGGGCAGCGCCCACCCCAGGCGGACATACTGGGGAGAAGAATACGTGTCCCCCGGCCCCAGGAGCAGGTCCTGGACTCGGTGGCACTCAACCCCGGAGGAGCTTCAGGGGCATCCGTCTCCAGGGGCGCTTGCGCGCGCGCGTGCCCACACGCACCTGAACGGCTTTGATCATTCTAAGATGGACTTTGAGACAGATCTGAAATGGATACTCATCTATTTCTGATACACGCTGAGTCACGATCAGGTGTGATACGGAGCCGCTGCTCGTAAGCACGCGGAGAAGGGCAGGTGCACAGAACGGGGGCGGAGACTCCAACGCTGCGGCCTCAGCCCGAGCAGCGGCCGCGGGCCTGGCTGGTGCGCGCGCGCACAAATAGGTGACGCAACCATGGAGGGAAGCCCCAGCGCACGTCCCGGGACACGGAGCTAAAACCCCAGCCCATCCCTTGCCCGGAGCAAGAGCCGCGCCAGGATGTCACCCCGTCCTTCCACACAGGGGACCTGCGTCGGGGTGGCTGGCAAACCCGGGGCCTGCTCTTTCCACATTGCATCTGCCTCTGGCCCTTAAAAGCGGGCAACCTTCAAGCTCTCCAGGCGGTCACCTTTCCTTGAACACACCGGCGACCGCCGGGCGAGCCGCCCCTCCCCGCGCCACGGCTCACCTTCACGCCCGCGCTGCCGTTGGGCATCTTCTGCAGCTCGTAGGGGAGCCGGATCCGCTCCGTCTGCACGATGGGATCATCGAACGATCGTCCGTGCAGCTTCTTGAAGCCATGGAGGGTGTTTCTGACATTTGTGACTATCTGTTGGCAGGAAACGCCGCTGAGCTCTTCATGAGCGCAAAGAACACACGGCCCCAGCGCCGAGAGCCCCGCCCGCCCGCCGCGTCCCCTCGGCCTCCCGCTCTGACGCAGCACCGAGGCCGCCACCTTCCCAGGAGCGAGGCCGACACGGCTCATGTTCCCACGCAACGCCGGGCACCGCGTCTCTTTGGTTTTGCTCCACAATCCTGTTCTAGCGAGTTCGTGTTGTTCTCTGATTTCTTTCCACCGTCATTCCTGTGCGTGTTACTGAAACTATGGCTTTTACCGTCCTGCTTCCTTTCCCCGTCACCATCTAATTCCTTGTGACATTTCTCGCCCACGAACCTCAGTGCTCCCTGCGCAGCCGAGAGGCTCCGAGGCCGGGTGAGGGCCCTTCCCCGCGGCCTGCAGCTGTCAGGGTTTTAAAGCCGAGGCCTGCATGCTTTGGGACAGCAGTATTTCTTGTAGCTACAACACGCTCAGACTGCGGAGCCGGACGGGGCTGGCGCCCTCGGGACCTCTAAAGCCGAGCAGCCCCTGCTCTTGACTAATGACACGGAAGCGGCAGGGACGGCCAATTCCCTCGTGGTCTCTAGCGCGTCAGGAAGCATCCCTTCACCGCCTGCTGTGCGCAGACGCCCGGAAGCCCCACCAGGGAGGCGCGCCCTCTGGGGTGACTGCTGACATCAGGGCCCGCGCAGAGCGGACCCGGGAGAGGAGGCCGACACGCTCGCTCACAGGCCAGTGACAGCTGAAGAGAAAATCCCGGGGTGAAGGACTCGGCTATCCCCACAGAGTCAGGAGAACAGGCCCCCTGCAGAGCGACTTTGGGAAACACCAGCCTCTGCACTTATGAGGAAAAGCAGCAAAAAGAAAGTAACTTCGTAAAGAAAAGGGACCGAGAAACACTGGGGTGTGGTTCAGAGCCCAGCCCGGGAAGGCAGAGCCCGCCCTCCGCTGTCCGAGGCCCAGCCGGAGCCGCCCTGGGGGCCGGGAGCTGCTCCTTCCTCTCCCCGGGCGCCGCTGGCCCCTGGACGAGACGGGAGGTCCCCACAGGAAGGGGCCCGGCAGGGGAAAGCCCAGGTCACGCGGCGGCGCCCCCCGACCAGGAACGTCCTCAGTCAATGCTTCACAAGCCGAAGCCAGCCGTGCAGCCTGCCAGAGACCGCGGGACCTTCCCGCCGGGGCCGCCGGCCGCTCACCTGGCTCTTGGCCGCGTTCCCGATGGCGCGCGTCCTGGACCCCAGGGAGATGCAGGCCCTGCGGGGGAGACACACGCTCGTCAGAACCCCGCTTCTCCTCGTACGGGATGAATTTACAAGAATCATATGTTGTTCTTAAAATGGGTCACTGATGACCAAGACTTGACAACTTTTAAGCTGGGAAGTGTCAGAATTAAGTCACAGGGGCTGCCCGTGGCGACGGGGCCGGCCGGTCACTGTTCTCAAACTGGCCTGGCCTGGGGACTGCAGCCGTCGCCCACACTCGGTGAGGTCAGGCTGCTCGGCCTCACACAGCAGCTGGGCAGCCTCGTGGACATTCCTGGCTGAACCTGCCCCGGGGGCGATGGGGAAAGGTGACTGCTCTGGACGCAGGGCTGCCCTTGTCATTACTGCCGTCAGCAGAACTCTGCTTCTAACAGCAGGTGGGCAGCAGCCCTTGCACCAAGCTGCCACTTCAGACCATGAACGAGCGCTCCCGTGGCCTCCGCAGGCGCTGCGGTGACTGCGCCCGGCAAGCGTTTGCGGGCACTGCCCGCGTGCTGGTTACCCGCACCGGCCTTGGCATCTACAGGAGAAACGAGCACAGAACACAGGATGGCGAACGCTACTGCCAGGACAACAACCACCAGAGCGCACAGGGCTTGAGAACAGCCAGCAGCAGAGGCGGCCTCCACGTCAAGGCTCGGAAGGGAGCGCACTGATCTGCGCCTGCTCTGGCGAACAGCACCACGTCCCTGACACGCAGGTGTGTCTGCCCTCAGCGCCAGCCCCGGCGAGCCTCCTGGACGCCCAGCTCCTCCGCTGAGCCTCCGACGGGTGCTGTGGCATCCTCAGGAAAGACCCAACCCCACCCCTACAAGGAGGCCCTTCCTTGTCTTCGCCGCTGCCCTGCCCTGAGGCTTCCACCTCAGCTCACTGACTTGTCTCTGGAACGCACAAGCACGCTGCTGCCTCGGGGCCTTTGCACAGGCACCTCTCCCTTCCTGCGGCGCTTCCAATCCAGCCACATGGCCTGAGCCCTCCCCGCGTGCGCCGCTCAAATGCTGGCCCGTCGGGGGCACCTCCGTGGTCTCCACAGACCCCTGCTCCTCCCCAGCATAGCCATCTCCAGGGGCGATGCCTCGATGGCTGCGCAGCATGCGTGAGCTGATGCGCTGCACGCCAGGGTGGAGCTCCCCAGGGCAGATGATGCACCCCCATATCCACACCCCCACCCTGTGCTGTCCGACATGGAAAGCACCAGCAGCGTGCGGTGTGCACAGTCAAATAACTCAACAAATGCTGCCCCTGAGCGTCCTCCCGGCAACACGTGGCCCAGAGAGGACTGAGAGCAGCGGCGCGGGGGCGGGGGCACCGTCCCGGGGGGCCTGGTTCTCGGGAAGGGGCTCCCTGCAGGCAGGACAGTGGCTCCTGAGTCCAGCCGTCTGCGAGCCCGAGGGGCCCAGCTGACAGACAGCGGCCCGGACCGTGCAGGCCTCGGGGGATGGGCTGAAGCTGAAGTCCGCGTTGGTGGTCACGGCCCCTCCAAGCCTCTGAAGGCGGAGAGAACACACGCCGCCTCCCAGCAGCACCAACTGGCGAGGAAGGAGCCCGCGAGTGAGCTTTGTGGGGGCTGGACAGACACCACAGGGCCCGGGAAGGCTAGCAGAGGGTTCGGGCCGTCAGTCCGGCGGGCACGGCCGGCCACACGGTCAGGGTGCGCTCACGGCGCAGAGACCTGGAGGGGGTAGGTGGCCCCGGTGCAGTGCAGAGTTTGGGGCGTCATCTTGGCCACGGTGTGAACTGCTGGCAAGAGGGCCCCGAAAGATCAGTGACCGAAGTCGGGACGGGCAGCTGAGACAGGAAGAGACCAAGGCAAGACACGGGGGTGGGAGGGGGGCCAGGGCGCTGCTCCACTCCCCGCGGGGCGTCCCAGTGGCAAGACCAGGCGCTGGCTCTGGCTGCTGTCACTCAGCGGAGCTGGGATGGGGAGGGGAAAGTGGGGGGGACCCGGAGTGGGGGGCCCCCATACAGGGCAGGTGGACCGAGGCACCTGGCAGGCACCCGCAGGGCGTGGGTGAGCTGGGACGTGAATGTGATGGGGCAGGAGGGACGGCACCGACCTCCAGCAGTGACCTGGTGAGACGGGCGAACAGGACGCAGCAGGATCGGGGTGCAGGTGACAGCCTCCCCGCTCCTGCAAAGAGCCCCGATTCCGCAGAGTCTGCGGGTGCAGCTTTGCGCTCCCGGCTGAATCTCAGGGCTCCCCTTCTCAGAGCCCCAGGTCCAAGGACACCGACTCGGCGGTCACCACACCCAGGTTCTCGGGACCCTGCACCGTCACTTCACAGGAGCAGCTGCGGAGGTGCCACCTCACTCGGTCACGCCGGGCGCGTCCGCGGCGACAGCCAGCGCGGGACGCCTGGCGACACCCAGGTCTGGCCCACAGAGAAGCCAACTCGCAGAGCGAGGCCTCTCAGCGCCCGCCCGGCTTCTGCTTTCTTTCCGCAAGATTCTAGAGAAATACCTGCCGGGCCTCGGGAGAATCTAAGCAAACACCCGTTCTCTCTCCAGCTCGTCCCTGTCTTAGTCCTCGCAAGGGGCTCACAGACACGCGCAACACGCCTTGACACGCCACTCGGAGGACTCCCGGGCAAGGCCGCGCTCACCCGCAGACGCCCCCGAGCCACCCCCAGCGCGGGGTTCAGCTGCGGCCGCAGGCGCCGCCGTGTCTCAACCCCCCAAACACACTGCGGCGGTGCCCGAGACCCACAGGCGGCTCAGAGGCCCGGAGAGGCCCGGGCTCCGGACCAGCGCGCGACTGTCCAGGCCGCTGCAGGGGGAAGACGAGCCCAGAGACCCACGGCCGGGCGCGGGAGCAGCGCGCCTGTGGGGGGACGGCCTCTCTCATCGGGCTGAGCGCGTCGGGCCAGAAAACACGCAGGGCGGCCGGCGGGACCCCACCCCCGAGAGCCGCCCCTAAGTCCGTGAGCTGCTCCCCGTCTCCGGGGAGGGCGCGGGCCTGTCCCAGCAGCCCCGTCCAGCGCCCGGCTCTCCCGGCTGGCGGCCACGCGCTCCTGACCGCCCGGCAGCCGAACGGCGCCCCAGGAGCGCGGCCCCGGCGCCCACCACGGTCAGCCCCTTGGCCAGCTGGACTCAGCCAGCGGGGGCTGGGGGCTGGGGGAGGGCAGGCCCTGGGGCGCGCCCAGCTCCCCCGCTAGAGGCCCAGGGCGCCCCACCCCGCAGGCCGCGGCCGGAGCGTCTGCGGGCGGCGCTGGCGTGGACACGCCTTGGCCAGGGCCCTGCTGCCCACACGGCACGGGGCGCAGAGCCCGCAGCCCAGCCGGCGGGGCCCAGGGGGGCCCGGGCCCCGGGGCAGCGCAGATGCCGAGCCGCGGGGCCGCCTCGGGGCGAGGCTCCAGCGCAGAGGGGCGGCCCCCGCGGCCCCGCGGCCCGGGAGGGGCGGCAGCTCCGGCCCGCTCCGGCCCCCCCCAGGATGTCGCCCCCGCCCGGGCCCCAAGTCACGAGTCCTCACGGCCACCCGCGGGGGACACGGGCTCCAAGAGAAGGCGGGACGGCCTGACCCGCACCCCCTTCCGCGCAGACACCCCGAACTCCAAGAGACCCCGGGGCCGCCCAGGCTTCCGGGACGGAACCGAGCAGCGCACAGACCCGCCGCCCGCAGCCGGCCCGGCGCCCCCGCCGCCCCTCGCCCCCGCGCCCGCACTCACGGGGTGCACCTGTCGCTGTACTCGTTGGCGACCGTCTCGATGCCGCCGCTGCGCGCCACGGCCACGTAGCAGGTGAGGAAGCCCAGGTCGATGCCCACCACCGACATGCCCGCGGGGGCCGGGGCGCCGCGCCGCGCCCGCGAGTCCTGGGGGTCGGAGAGTGGGCGCCGGCCGCCGGACCCCCGCCGCCGCCCGCCGCCCGCCCGCCGCCCGCCCGCCCGGCGGTTACCCGCCCGCCGCCCGCGCGCGCAACGGCCGCCGAAGGATCTGGAAGCCGGCGGGGCGGGCGGGGCGGGCGCGGGGCGGGCGCGGGGCGGGGCGCGGGCGGGCGGGCGGGGCGGGCGGGGCGGCGCGGGGGCGGGCGCGGGCGGGGGCGGGGCGGGCGGGGCGGGGCGGGCGGGCGGCGCGGGGCGGGGCGCGGGGCGGGCGGGCGGGGCGCGGGCGGGGCGCGGGGCGGGGCGCGGGGCGGGGCGGGCGGGGCGGGCGCGGGGCGGGGCGCGGGCGGCGGCGGGCGGGCGCGGGCGGGGCGCGGGGCGGGCGGGGCGGGGCGGGCGGGGCGGGGCGGGGCGGCGGGCGGGGCGGGGCGCGGGGCGGGGCGGGGCGGGCGCGGGGGGGCGGCGCTGGCGCACTGCGGAGGGGGGCCCGGCCCGCGGCACCTCGGGGCGCTGGGGGGTGCGCGCGGCCGCCGCCGGGCTGCACTACGGCCGGTCGCCCGCGGCATCCGGCGCCCCCCGTCCCCCCCCAGCAGCGCCCCCCCCCCAGCGCCCGGCCACCCACCCCAGCCCGACCCCGCGCGGCGCCCCCGGCCAGCGCCCCCCGCCCGCCCCGCGTGCCCCCCGCGCCCGCTCTGCGCGGTGGTGGCGCCCTTCGTGGGGCCGCGCCCGGGGAGGCGCCCTGCGCGCCGGGCCGTCCGGGACGGGGCCGCGGAGCCCATCCGAGGGCCCCCGCCCCCCCCCCCCCCCGCCGGAGCAGGAAACGCGGGGTGCGGGCGGTCTGCGCCTCCCCGCGCCCCGCCCGCCCGGCGCGTCCTCGCCCACTCACCGCGGCCCGCGCCCCGCGCCCCGCGCCCGGGTCCTCGCGGGGCTCCCGGTCCTCGCGGGGCTCCCGGTCCTCCTGGGGCTCCCGGCTGCCCGCGCTCTGGTCCTCCTGGGGGTCCCGGGTCCTCGCGCCCCGGTCCTCGCGGGGCTCCCGGGTGCCCGCGCCCCGGTCCTCCTGGGGGTCGCGGCTCCCAGTCGTGGTGGCCGCCAAGCGGACCCGGCCCCCCGCTTGGCCCGGCCGGCCGCTCCGGGCGCGCGTCCACCTCTTCAGGGAGCGCAGGCCGCTGACCACCACCAGGGCGGCCAGCGCGGCCGCCGCCAGCGTGGCCAGGGCCCTCGCGGCCGCCGCCACGAGCAGCAGGAGGTCCATGTCCTGCGGGGAACCCGCTCGGCTCGGTGCGCGGCCGCGGCGGGGCCTCTGTGCCCCGGGCCCGGCCGCACCTCCGCTCGCGCCCGCCGGCCCGACAGCCGAACACCGCGGCGCCAGGGGCCACGGGGGCGCGCGGCGGGGTGCGGCGCCGGCGACTCCTCCCGGGCAGGCCACTCGCCCGCGCCCGGTTCGGCGCGGCGCGGGGGCGCGGGGCGCGGGGCAGCGGGCAGCGGGGCAGCGGGGCGCGGGGGCAGCGGGCAGCGGGGCAGCGGGGCAGCGGGGCAGCGGGGCGCGGGGCAGCGGGGCAGCGGGCAGCGGCAGCGGGGGCAGGGGCAGCGGGGCAGCGGGGCAGCGGGGGCGGGCAGCGGGCAGCGGGCAGCGGGGCAGCGGGGCAGCGGGCAGCGGGGCAGCGGGCACGGGGCAGCGGGCAGCGGGCAGCGGGGCAGCGGGCGCGGGGCAGCGGGCGCGGGGCAGCGGGCAGCGGGCAGCGGGGCAGCGGGGCAGCGGGGCAGCGGGGGCGGGGGCAGCGGGGCAGGGGGCAGCGGGCAGCGGGGCAGCGGGCAGCGGGCAGCGGGCATTGGGCAGCGGGCGGGCAGCGGGCAGCGGGCAGCGGGCAGCGGGGCGCGGGGCAGCGGGCAGCGGGGCAGCGGGCAGCGGGGCAGCGGGGCAGCGGGGCGCGGGCAGCGGGGCAGCGGGCAGCGGGGCAGCGGGCAGCGGCAGCGGGCCAGCGGGGCAGCGGGCAGCGGGCAGCGGGGCAGCGGGGCAGCGGGGGCAGCGGCAGGGGGCAGCGGGCAGCGGGGCAGCGGGCAGCGGGCAGCGCCGCGGGGCCGGGACGCAGCACTTACCCGGCGAGGCCGTGCTGGCGCCGGACAGCCGCGTCCCCCGCGCCGCGGACAGCCCCGCGCGGCCCCCGGGCGTGTCCCGCCCGCCGCTTGTGATGCAGGACGCCCCGGCCCCGCGCCGACGGCGAAACCACGGTCTCCGCGCCGTGGACGCGCCCCGGGCCGGCGCCCGCTTCGTGCCTGAATCGCCGCGGCGCCCGGGCCCGTCCTGCGCCGCGTCCAGTTTCCCGAGGCGCAGACCCTCGCGCGGCGCGGCCCGCGTTCCCGTCTCACTTTTTCCTGACTGTTGCGACATCGGCTCCCGGAGTCCCCTGCAGGGGCGGCCTGAGAGGCGGCGCAGGGCCCCCGGGGCGCCCCCCCGCCCCGCCCCCGCGGCGCCCCCTCGCCCGGCTGTGCGCCCGCGTCCTCGCGCCCCCGGGGGGGGGCAGCCGGGGCCGCCTTTTCTTCCGCGCGTCGTGTGGTTTCAGTCGGGCTGCTGGACATGAAGTGGCCCGACCGGGTTTGGCTGCTGGGCGGGAAAATCCACGAGTCTACTATTTGATCCTGGTGGCTGGTAATGCCGAGCTTCAAAAATTCCCACTTCTACCTTTGATTTTTAAAATGTTTCATTTTCCACGGAAAGGAAGGCGCCCCGTGACTTGTTTCAGGGCGCGCTGACGCGCACATGCCATCCAAGCGCGGTGTCCAGGTGTTCCCTAGCCGTCCACCTGCGAGGGCCTGTGGCGTCTGCTCCTCCTCCTGACTCGTGCCCTGGCTGCAACGCCCTCGAGGGCCGTCGTGTTGCGCTCGGCGGGGCTGTCCTTCCGCCCAGGGCACCCCACCGCGCAGACCACAGCTCCCCCATGGGCTCCTCTGCCGAGGGGCGTCGCCCACCGGGCGCTGGGCCTTTGGGAAGGATGCTGCCGAGCGGAGGGCGGCGGGGCTCTTGGAATTGCTGTTTCCGGTTTCTCTGCCTTCCCCGCACCTGGTCCGGGAGGGCCCGCAGCCCGTCTCCTTCGCCCCCATCCACCGCCTCCAGAATTGCCGTTTCTGAAACAACACTCGGAGGCGGGACGGCTGGACTCTCAACTGCCTGAGCAATCTCCCGTCTCCCATAACCTGCCCCGACCTGCGGCCCCGCGGCGGGCGGCTGCCACGCGCCCCTCCACACCAGGGCCACCGTCCGCCCCTCCCGAAGTCCTCCCACGGGTGTCGGGAGCTCCTTGGGGTCTTGACTGGCGTTCCCGGGGCGGCAAGGGGCGAACACCTTCTCCCGCCCCGGTCACCTGTCTCCTGAAGACCCGCCTGCTTAGATGCAGGGCCCGCCGCTTCAGGCTGCTGGCGAACTCTGAGCTCTTCACGCGTCCTGGGCGCGAGCCTCCTACCTGGAGTGTGACCTGCACACACCTCCTCGCGGTCGGGTGGCCTTTTCGCCGTGACAAGGGCTCCTTCTGCACTTCCGGCTGATGTGGTCTCGTGTTTTCTCGTGCTTGTCTGGCTGGAGACGTCTGCAGAGAGGCCGCGCCAGGCCGCCGCCGGAGCTTCCCATGCAGGCCTCTGCCGGCGCCCGCATCCGCAGCCCGCGTTCAGGGGACGTGCTGGCGGCGGAGGGCGGCGGGGACTGGCTTCCCTCTTCGTCCTGCAGCCGCTCGGCCTTCCCAGCGCCAGCCACCGAGCCCTTCCCTTACTCCAGGGGCCGCGCGGCTCGTTTCTCATGAGCGCGTTTTTCGTCACTGCAGGTGCTTGCTGCTCCACCCCCGGGCGGTGACGCGTACTGGCAGGTTGTCCACTTCTCTCGCTTGATTTCCAGCTTCACACCATCATCAGAAAGCCCGCTGTTTGCATCCGTACAGCCCACTCAGACTACCTTTTGGTCTCACCGCCTCTATCCTCAACAGCGTCCCCTTTGCCCTGAAGAACGCCGTCTGCATCTGCCGCCATTGAAGGCCGCTCAGGCCAACACCGGTAACTTCTGCCACGCTGGTCTCTCGCCCTTAGGGCCTCGCCGCCGCGTCCCGCACTCAGCGCTCCCACGCTGCTTACGCCCGGGCGAGTGTTCTCGTCTCAACGTACTGAGCCTTTTACTCCAGAGGGACGAGGCCGAGGCCCTCGTGAGTACAGCGGCCTCCCTTCTCCTACGGTTCCTGTGGCATCTCTCTCTGCCCTCGCACTCTGCGTCTATTTAGAAGTGCTCCGGTCAGCAGCGTATTTGGGTTCTACTTTTAATCCTGGGGATCCAGCCACTCTGCCTCGCGGGGAGCCGAGTTTACATCCAGGGCCACGTGGCCTCCCGACTGGCTGCGCCCGCTCTGCGCTGTTCCTTCTCTCCTGTGCCGCCACGTCCCCTCACGGGGGTGGTTTCCCACGGTGGCTGAGTCTCTTCCCCTTGTACACTTGGTGTGCCGCGCAGGGGTCCTCCCTGTACACCAGGACCAGGCCCTGTTCTGTGGGCACAGCCTGCCGCTGTCCCCCAATTTGGGCTGCAGGTCTCGGGTGCGGCCAGCCTGTCCTCTGCTCTGGGGCTCCCTGCAGTCGGGGCACGGGGTCCTCGCCGTCTCTGCCTTCCCCGCGCCCGGCCCAGGGAGGGTCCCCAGCCTCACTGTCTCCTCCGCCCCAATCCACCGCCTCCAGAAGCAGACAGCCGGGTGTCTGGGCATCCTGCCGTGGAAGCAGCGCCTGCTTGAGCGCTAACTGCTCCTCCGGCGGTTGCTCAAAGGGGAGGAGGGACGGCAGCTGCTGCGGCCACCCCCACGCTCTCATCCTTAACATCGCCGGCGGTTTGTTACGAGAACCTGCTTTTCAGTTTTGTGTTCTTTATTATGTTAGTCTTTGATTTCCTGGGGATTCCAAGCAGCAGTGCTAGTTCCACAACATTCTGAACAGACGCCTGTGTCCCTGCAACTTTAAGCCAGTTCCTAATTCTGACAAAAATTTTGTTACTCTCTGCTTGGTAATAAAGTTTGAATCGAGGAAAAAGCCTCATATGTAACTGTTTTAAACTTACTTTATTATCACTAGAATACATGAACTAATCTTTTTTTGTTGTTGTTCTAAGATAGATTCACATAGGCAGAACTTTATTTTTGAGACAAAAGCTAGATAATTATCACTTTAACTTTTATTTTCCAACTATAGGTTTACAGAGACGTAAGAGTCATGATCCACTTTTTATGATCAGGTCTAGCATCCACAATGAAAAACTACATCCCAGCAGCACTGTAAACGTACTCCGAGCAGGCGGGCAGGATGTGGCAGGAGAGAGCCGACGGAGCCCACAGACAGGACAGCGTCCCCAGACACACCTGCAGCGGCACGGCACGCTGGCAGATGCGAGGACGGCCACGCGAAAGCAGTAGCTTTAAAAGAAGACACTTTCATTTTGGATTTTAGCACACATTTTATTTTTTCATCACAAAAGTAAGAAAAGGATTTTAAACTAATAGAAATAACACAATGTCTCATTAAAGTGAGTTTGAGTCTAAGTAGAAAGAGAGCCTACTTAGCAGTTATCTGATTTTTAGTATTTAAAACCTTGAAAACAGTCTGTGCTTTATAGCGGAATTAGCACTTAGAAGATACTGAGTAATAAACACAATATATTAAAATGTACACACATGGCAGCTATGAAACTTATATTTAACAAGCTAGATGCATTTCTCAATCTCCTGAGGAATGACCTCCGATATCAAGATTAAGCAAGTATTTAATTTTGTCATATAACACCAACACCAAAGCACCCCCTGTCCCACGGAGGATATTAGAGAAGGCGCCACGGAAAAACGCACCGACCCCCCCTCCTGCTGGTATATCTTCAGAAAGCAGTCCCAGGTTCCTTTATACTGCCGTTCAGTCTCGCCGCTCTAGAGAAAGACAGACTTTGTCATCATCATCCCAGTATCTTACCTTTTTTTTAAGTTTGTTTTCTCAAATCGCTGCTCATTCTGTGTGGGATCTGATGTCCCCCCCCGCCCCCCCCCCCCCCCCCCCCGTGCAGCCCCCCGGTGCTCCACCACCACAGCCCGCGACTGTCCCCACCGGTCCGGGCTCGTCCTGCCCATGAGGTCCGGCCCTTCCCCTCCAACATCTTATCTTAAAATAGATTTCATTCAGCACTGAGGGCAGCTAAAATTCACACTGTATTAGTAAGTGTTTTGAGTTAACAGAGATATACTGAATTTTGTACCTAGTGGTTGGAGAAAACACACTTTTTTCAGGGACACTTGAAAACTGGTCATCTACTGGGTTTCAACAAATTTCAAAAGACGGCATCGCACACCAAGGGAGTGAGTCCATGGGTCATTTACTGGCCTTGACTGCATCGCAAGTAAGTGAGAAATCAACAGTAAAGAAAGATAACTAGAAAAATGTGCCAAATATTGAAAAAATCCATCTACATAACATTTAAAACCTAATAGCCACAAACTCAACAACATTGTTAAGATGCAGTTTAAGTGGCAACTTGTAAGAAAATTAATGACCATGAAATATTAGAAAGGAAAGGCTGAAAATGTGAGCAACCTTAACATCTTTAGAGAAAGAATAAACCAAAAAGCAGAAATTAGAAAGTAACTAGCAGACATAAAGTGAATACAAAATAAACACCAGAAAGCACATCAAGTTGAATGTTATTAGAGGTTTAAAATACTTTATCGGGCCTCCCCGGTGGCGCAGCGGTTGATCACTGGGTTGCGAAGCTGCCCGCGGCCTCTGCGGTGCCGGTTCGATCCCCGGCTGCTCCCCGGCCACCGGAGGAGGGTCCCGCATGGCGCGCAGACCTCTCCGGCCGCCCGCTGCTCCCCTCAGCGGTGTACTTCGGTCCTTCTGCCTGCTCTGCTCCCTGCTCTGGCGAATTCTCTCACCCTCCCGCGCTTCTGACTGTACCCAGTGCATGTATAAACAAAAACAAAACAAAACAAAACCAGCAAAACAAATAAATAAAAAGCATGCCTCTAAAAAAAAAAAATAAAATAAAATAAAATACTTTATCGACAGATTTCTGGAATATTTAAGGAAACACAAAAGAGGCCCAAGTTACCAGAGACGCCGAAGGTGACCTCAGGGCAGCTGTCACCCCAGAGGAAGAGGCGGTGTCGCACAGCTGCCCGAGATCGTCGTGACGACGCAGAAGAAATGGGTGCGTTTTGAAACAAGATGCGATTTACCCAGAGAAAAGAAACGCTGGGCCGCTGCTATAGCCATTAAAGACACGCTCTCACCTGAGGAAAACCCTCTCATCAAGAAAGCCACGTGTCCAACCGCTCTACCTGTGAGTCCGAGAGGACACTCAACTGGAGCTGACCCTGTTTACTTTCATTAAAATATACAACGACGACCTGTCAATTCGACCGGCTGCTTTTCTACCACGTCGTCAAGAGTCCCGCTCGCCCGGCCCTGGCCCCACCCTTCGCACGCCTCGGGCGACAGGACGCTTCTTTCCCAGCTGCAGACACGGGAGAGGCCACTGGGTGAGCCCTGGTTTGGCCCTGGAGAGGATTCTTGGCAGACGCACTGGCAGATTAGTAAGCAGAGTGGAGGCAGAGGCTGCTCCTTCAGCCAGAACCTCTCTAAACTGTGAGTAAGCAGCACCGAGCCCCACAGACAGCAGGACACCCAACAGAGCTCCGAGTGCCCCTGCACACACCTGCATCATCATGCGCCGCCTCACCGTGTCGAAGGGGTAGGACAGGAACCCAGAGCACGTGGTCACCACTTGGGCGATGAAAAACGACACAAGAAACGGGGTTTCCTTAGGTTTGGGGAGTAAGCCCTAAAGAAGAAAAATGTATAAAGTAACCACCGAAATTTCTGAAACATCTTAAATCCTTACGTCAAATATATGAAATATGAAAAGGATTAAATTATACGTAAAATGCAATAAAAACAGTTGGATTTCATGTGGAAAGAACAAAATACTGACAGGAGACCCTCAGAGAGCAGAGCGGCGGCACGTGTGGCTGCACAGCACGCGCAGAACAGAGAACTGCGTCTGCTTCCAGAGACCGGCGGTGACCGCACAGGGCGCGCGGGGGGTGGGGGGTGGGGGGCAGGGTTCTGCTTGGCTCCTCCTCAGAGTTGGAGAAATGAAAGAATTCCCGCTATTTTCTTTAAAAGGGGACTCTGCAAAGCTCCCCTAGAACACCGTGAAGATGTAAAGAAATTCACAAGGCTGCTCCGAAATGGTAGCCAGCGCTGCAACTGTTCCTGTGCCAGCACAGACTTCGGGAGACAAGGACGTGTCTTTCCAGCTGCAGACGCAGGAGCGGGGACACCACGAACCCTGGAACCTGCAGAGGGCCAACTGCAGTGCTCAGCATCGCAGCCTGGGCCCCGAGGCGCCCATTCAGCGTCTGAGCTGGGCGGGTTCATCACACCCACTCCAGGTCTGCGACGCCTCCTCTCCACAGTGAGACAATCGACATTATTTGCAAGTAAAAGAGCGATAATAAAGTGAGTACAAGATCAGAAACGTTACAAGAAGTCTACTTGAGTATGATGAAAGCCCAACCGGCACGCTTTCGACTGGCAGCACGACGCGGAGCGTCTCCTTCATGCAAACAGCTCAAAAGCTCTGGCTTATGCTTTAGACCCAAAGTCAGATCCGTTAACAGTCGTGATTTAATCAGGTTATCGTGCAGCCGTGACTAAAGTTTTATTTCTCTTTTCATTTATTTTGATACTGTAATTAAAAGTAAACGCACCTGCTGAACATATTCCTAATTAGAACAGAAACCAATCATTTCATTTAAACACACTAGTTAGAGCCCCGAATTACCTTAACTGTGTCATAAGCTCCAAAGTAAGAGGCTCGGTACACAATGATGCCCTGGACGGAGACACCGAACCCCCGGTACAAGCCAACGACTCCATCTGATTTGGCTATTTTTATTATGCAGTCACCCAAGCCCTTGAATTGCCGCTCTTCCGGACCTGGAATAAAAAAGTCGTTGAAGGTTTATCAACAGCCTTTTCTATCCGAGAAACACTTTAATCAAAGTAAACTTAATTAAACGTTGTACAGTTTAACTGTTTGGAACAGACTCTCAGAAATCTTTCCAACAAGGCGCCCAAATCAAAACCCCCCATTTGTTTAAAGACAGTTAAGATTCAAGTAGTCTTTGAAATGATTTACCCAAAACAATCCCTTGGAGCAGCCATCTACTCGAACCTAACTCCAGTAATCTGACAGGCCTAAAACAGTCCATAAAATTATCAGATGCTACCAGCTGGGGCTCGGAAGATACTTAGGAATGAAAAACACAGATGGCTTCCCCTGAAGAGCAGAAAGACAAAGCTGAAAGACTAGGTCGAGGTCGCACACCCCAGAGAGAAAGTACTCCAGGTTTGGGCCCAGACCTGCAAGTCGGGTCACACGCGTGTGGCTTCCTAGTCACAGGAAAGCTAGGCTTGCGCTGTTCCGAAATCTGTGAAGTGTGCGATGTCATCGTGTGTACGGCAAGCCTACACATACGTTAAAATACTGTATTGCTAAAAGATGCTAACGATCCCCTGGGCCTTGAGTAGTGAACACTTTTTGAGGTGGGGGGTCTTGAAACAGCATCTGAGAAGCGCAACAGTGCAAAGGGCAGTAGGACGAGGAGGGCCTCGAGCTTCAAGGATGGCTAATGTTCTAGATGACTCACGCTACTCTAGTTGTTGTTTTTATTTTCCCTTGATTCCGAACTCCTTTATTGTACATGGGATGTCTTTCAAAATAAGCTAAATTCTCCCAATTTAAAGTAAAGAGAAAACTGTAGAACTGAACTGAAGATGCAAGAGTTTTCACTTTGTGGTCGGTACCAAGAACACCTGGACTGCCGGGCAGACACGACACAGAACTTGGGCATTTCCCCTGATCCTGCATCTAAAATCGTGGTCACCCGGTCCCCAAGTCCCCTTTCTGGCGCGGCTGCTGCGCGGCAGCGTACTGCAGGCGCCGGGTCACTCCTCTTTTCACGGCATCCTCCATGACTGGCAAGGGACAGGAGGCAGAAGCGGGGCTCCACGGCGCATGCGAGGGACAGGCACCCTGCACTGAGGGCAGGCACCCGACGGCACCCCGCTGACTGAGCCTCTGCTCCCGTAGGAAGTCCTATTATGGTGCCAGTAAAGGGATAAGACAGAGTGGAAGCATCTAGACCAAGAATCACACACGAGAATGAAACCCACCAATTTCAGGAAGCTGCAAGGAGGTGGAAGAGCGGGTGACCATGCGGAGCAGGGAGCCCCACATGGACACCTGTTTTGCAGAGGGAAGTACTGTGGAGAGCTAACCCATTTGACCCCCGAACCTCAGGAAGACAGCAAACAAGGGCACAGCACACGGGAGATGTGACAGTAAGATAGAGGCAGACGGGCCACGGGGGAGGGCGCTGGGCCCAACCGAGAGCGAGAGCCCAGCGCACGGGGATGGGCCTGGAGGGGAGGCTGTGCTGGGGCCATCCCCGGGGGAGCAGGAAAAGGAGCCCCCTTCAGTGTGCACCACAGCGCGCCCGGCGAGAAGATCTCCGGACTGCGCCAGCACTGCGGTCACAGCCCATCTCTCCAGAAACAACACAGCGGGAAAGCACAAAGACGGGCGGCTGCACGTCAGAAGCGCCGTACCTTTCCCGACGTCGGCGCCCAGCCGGGTGCGGGCAAAGTCCAGCGGGTACACCACACATAGGGACGTCGCTCCGGCCGCGCCGCCAGAAGCCAGGTTTGCCAAAAACCACCTCCAGAACTGCAACGTAGCGAGTAAACAAAGTGTTTGTTACACTACAGACTCTGACTGCTTGAAATTCTTATTTCCATAAAGGTAAACAAATTGCTTTACAAAGTGGGCACCTACCGCAAGGCCGGTCAGTGCCGCAAGCCCGCTTCCTCCCCGCAGCCAGCCCTCTCAGCTGGCAGTCTAGATGCCCACACACAAAATTCCAAAACGTTCTTTTTGTGTAAAGATTTTTTATTTATTTATGCATATGAGAACTGGGGTACAGGCCAGAGATGTGGCGGGGGCCGGGGGAGGTGAGAGGATTCACCAGAGACAGAGCGGGGAACAGAAAAGGCAGACTGACCGAAAGCACTGCTGAGGGGAGCAGCGGGAGGGACAGGTCTGCCGTGCCATGTGGGCAGCTCCCTGGCCGGGGATCGAACTCGTGCTTCAGTGGCTGCAGACAGCCTCACAGTGCTGAGACTAACCCCTTGTGCCACCAGGGAGGCCCAAAATTCCAAAATGTTCTAACGGCCCCCACCAAAAGCAGTCCATATGAGGAGGAGAGGCCACGCGAGCTAACCCTCTCTCCAGACCACATGTTCCCCGCCACTAGTCAGGTTAGGACTGAAACGCGGCATCTGTGCAAGCTTCGGCTGTGCCCTTCTGTGGCGAGGATGGGCAGTGATACTTCATCACGTTGCAATTTTATTTTGTAATTTTAATAGAACGAAATTTAAAAAGCCCCCAAGCGAATATTATGTTCAAGCGCTGACGTGAAAATTGGCAGAGGCCAGCTGTGAGCACCGAAGGCCGTGAATAGGGCCTCACTGGCCTACAGTGCACATGGCGGGTTCTGTGGACAACAGCTGGCATGTCCGCTGCCCTGGTCAGTGGAGCGGCGCCTGGCAGCTGGAGCTCCCGCAAGCCCGCGCTAGGCATTGCCCCGGGCACGTGTGTGTTCCGGTCACTCGCCCACTCGGGCCGTGTTCTCTGGCTCTCAGAGCTGACAGGACTGCTGTCTCAGTAACTTCGGAGCTCTCAATTTTCTCTTGGCCTGGAATGCCCTTATTTTTCCAAATGACAAATTAGTGATTTATATTCTAATGCAATGCCTCTTTTTCCATGAAATCTGATTTTCAACCCATCTGAAACTGTGTGTGATGTGCCTCTTCCCAGAAGTGTTTCCTCGCAGAGAACTAGAGGGGCACACGTGTCCAACGTGTCAACGAGCTCCAGATCCTCGCTCTCAACACTGCTCACAGGCACTTCCTGGGACATAAGTACGCCTGATCTTGCCGCCACAGATGACACATTTCTGGAGGTCGGAATAATTATTCTTATTTGGATTCCAGCACCACGTAACTTACCCATCTACAGCGCGCCAGTCAACGGGTTTAGTGTGGTCAGCGCTGTGTAACCACCACCACGGTCAGAAAGTCTTGACCCGCGAGAAGCCCCGGCCCGCCTGCGCAGTGCTCCTCGGCGCCCCACCGTGGAACGGCGGCACGAGAGCTCTGGCTCCCATGCAGCGCCACGTCTCAAGGGTCATCTAAACTGCAATAGGGGTCAGCACTTTACTCCTGTCCATGCCAACTATGTCCCACTATGTGGATTTCCCACTTTCTATGTGGCCGCTTGGCAGCTCGTGGGTATCCTGGCTGCCAGACTCCCGGCTCACCCGCTGCTCCACAAGGCGGGGTGAGCCGTGTCTGGTGACGGTATCAGGCGTGCGCGCGCCGTCCTCAGACTCCCCTGGCAACTGTAAAGTGACACTCCTAAGTTCTGTGGGGCCACCAGGCCTCAGCGCCCAGTGAGATCGGCAGATCACACCTGACCCCAGGGCAGTGCATCTGTGAGCTGGCAGGAAAGGTGGGCCTGAGTATTCCTTGGGAATTTGACTCCAGAAATTCTACGCGGGTTAGTGGTGCAGACAGACCTGGGAGAGGGATTAAGTAACATTGAACGGGGTCAGTCTACCCTGAGGCTGCTGTAGGCAACAGGCCTTCTTCCCACAGAAACTGTGCATGCAGGACAGCAGCCCTCACAATAAACGCATGAGGTAGGGACAGTCATACCCGATTCTCACCCAGGGAAACGGCAGAGCACCGGGATCCAAATCCATACCTTCCGGTTCTAAGGCTACAGAATTTCCTTCGTTACTTTCATACCTTCCACTACCTACGGGCAGTGCAAAGTACTCATAGCAGCTTGTAAACGAAATGCAAATTGTGAAAAGGATAAAAAAGGAAATTAAAGGACAGAACGAGGAAGAAATATTCTATGCAGCTTGGTTGGGGGGAAGAGGACAAGAGACCAGCCCCAGGAGGCAGGAGACCAGGAGAGTGAAGCAACCCAAGATGCGCACCTGGAGGCGCAGAAGCAGAGACCAGACCTGGGCATAGCTCCTGAGTGGGCTGTTCTGACACTGAGATTTTGTAGCCAAGGGCATGACTGACTACCTTGAAAAGACAAATCACCTCTGCCATAAAAAAAGAATCCTTTAGGCCTCCCCAGTGGCACAGTGGGTTGAGCACCGTGCTGTGAAGCTGTCTGCAGCCTCTGCAGCGTGGGTCGATCCCAGCCAGCCAGCCTGGTTGCTACCCACATGGCACGGCAGACCTCTCCTGTCTCGCCTGCTGCTTTCCTCAGCAGTGCTTTTGGTCCATCTGCCTGTTCTGCTCCCTGCTCTGTCTCTGGTGAATCCTCTCACCCTCCTGTGCCTCTGACCTGTACCCCAGCTCTTGTGTAAAAATAAAAAATGAGCAAAAGAGATTCCTTTAGCCTAAATTTATTATTTTCCTTTTTTGAATGATTTGCTCTTCCCACATACATCAATTTCAGATAAATAGACTCTTAGTCATAAAAAAAAAAATTCACTTCTTTAGGGAGCAAAAGATCTCAGTGATATGACTACGTATCTTAATAAAAGCCGATAAAATGCCAAATTTTCCTAGTGTCGTAGACTAATGATCATAAAATAAGTCAGACTGGGCCTCCCCGGCGGTGCAGCGGTTGAGCGCTGGGTTGCGAAGCTGCCCGCAGCCTCTGCAGCGCCGGGTGGATCCCTGGCAGCTCCCCGGCCACCGGAGGAGGGTCCCACACCCACATGGTGCACAGACCTCTCCTGCCACCTGCTGCTCCCCTCAGCAGTGTACTTCTGTCCTTCTGCCTGCTCTGCTCCCCGCTCTGGCTCTGGTGAATTCTCTCACCTTCCCGCACTTCTGACTGTGCCCAGTGCTTGTATAAATAAATAATAAATAAATAAATAAATAAATAAATAAATAAATAAACAAACAAACAAATAAATAAATAAATCTTAAAAAATTAGATTAAAACTTTAATTAAAAGAAATGTTGCCTTCAGATAAAACATCTCAGTTACTAAAACTACGTTGAGGTTTAAAAAAAATTTAATTGTTTTACATATGCAATTTCTATGATTTCTATGACTCAACACAAACTATGTCAACATTACTATTTTTGATCATTAACTTTTTACTGTGTTTAGATCATGTAATTTTCCCCACTACTGGAGCACCTTCTCCCCAAATACCACAGGTAGGATAAATGCAATTATTTCTTAGAAAATCTTAGAATTACTAAAATAAACTTACCTGCTTTTCTTTATTAACTCCAGACATGAAAAGTTGTTTGTATTTGTCCTTAAAAGCAAAGTTTAGAGCTTGTGTTGGAAAATACCGGATAACATTTGCCAAATTGCCACGCCAAAAGCTGAAGAAACCTACAAAATAAAACACAGTAATATAAATTTATATTGTCGGTAACAAGCTTAGCTATTTGAACTACCTAAAACTTTTTATCTTTTCTCATGAAGAAAAATGAAGTTCATGTGTCTCTTCTGGGGGAAAAAAAGTGTCCAGTCCATGTACCACATTCCAAGTTTGTTGATTTCCAATAAAAAACCTTTAATACCTAAAGACCTATGGAAAACACTGTCAGCTAAGTATAGGGCTCTTTAGTTGCAGAACAACAGAATTTGTCAAAGCAGCTAGTAACCCCCTCCTCACTTGCAGATTGAGATGGACAATTGTGATGGTGATAAAGCTGTTAGAAAAAGCTGGTTTTGTATTTGTACTTAGAACAAGAACGGGATCAAAGCATCCCGTTCTAAAGCATCATGTTTATAGTCTAGAACCTAGCCAGAAAAGGAGTCAATTCATAATACAATCTCCAGAGGCCTGATGGAGTTCAGTAATCACCCCACTGCTAATCTCCAGGGACTGACCCCCTCACACCCCCCGCCACGGTGTTGACAGCCTTATGGTTCAGCCTTCAAGATCCAGCTGCCCAAGAATTCAGCAGGCTGGCGCTTCACTAGCCAGAGTCGCTCTCACTAGACTGAACGTTGCCCAATGGCTTGACCCTGCTGCTCGGATGGGACACCCCCAGGCCCAGTTTGGAGAAGGCTGGGAACCGTCTTGTAAAGACAAAGAGACTGAAATGAAAACAATCTCCACCGACTGGGCTGCTGGCGCTCGGGCACTGAGAACGTGGGACAGAGGGAAAGGCAGTTGATAAATGCCTGTGTGGGGAAAGCAGAACCTTGGAGACTCCCAAGCTGACTATCAGCAGACACACAAGGGCAATTTAAAAATAGACTTCAGAGCTGAGAAATAATCTCAGTACTCAGCTGGTACTCAAGGGACTGAGTTTTTAAGAGTTTTGTTTTTTAATGATGCAGGTAAGGACGATTCACATTGCATGAAAGTGGATGACGGGCTCTAAAATGAAGGGAGCAGCCACTGCCACGGGCACTGACCCAGCTTCAGAACCAGCACAGCCCACGCGACCCCTTCAGAGCGCACGTCTCCTGACGGCAGCGACAGGGAGGCCTGCTGACACTCGTAACATGGTTTAAAGCGTGCAGGTTCCCTTGTACACAGATTTTTTAAAAACAGTAATAAATTACCACATTTTGGAATCACTGACGAGTATATGAATTTACAAACATTGATGTTCAATTTCCAAATATTTACTGCGGTATTTTCACGTGCACTGGTTCCACGCTGGCACTCCATAGGCATATGGCATAATTAGCTTATTTTTAAGAAATGAATTAATTTTTGGATTTTTTAATTTTTGGACAGCAGAGGCTTCTCTCCCCTTCAGTGCGCTCGCCACAGTCCACCAGCGCGCCAGGGCGCATCACACCATCTTCCCTTGGGCCCTCCCCCCAGCCCCCACCAGACGCCCCATGAATAGGGTCCGTTTTCAAGCCTGTCTTTATCTGGTTTTTCTGTATTGGTTCCCCACATAAGCGAAACCATCTGATATTATCTTTTTTCTTCTGACTTATTTTGCTTAGCACCAACTTTTCCAGCTCCTTCCATGTAGCCACAGATGGCCCGAGCTTCTCTTCTGTGACGAGTGAGTGGTGGCGACACCCCATCTTCCTGAGGCTCTCGTGTGTTTTGGGGCTTTAGGTTGTTTTCCTGTCCTGGCTCTTGTCAACAGTGCTGCAATAAGCACAGAGGGTCGGTTTCCTTCCACATTAGTGTTTTTGTGTTTTCCGGGTAAATCCCGAGGCCTGGGACAGCTGGGTCCTGTGGCAGCCCCATCCCCAGCGCTCCGGGGCGCGGCCGGACTCGCGGCCACTCCGCGGCAGCGTGAGGGGCTGGCGAGGGCGCCGGGAGGCTGCGCAACAGCGCGGGGCAGCCGCGGCCCCGAGGTGAGCGGGGCTCAAGCAGCCCGTTGGCGGCCGCGAAGCCCAGGAACGGCCGGGTCTGGCGCTGGAGCGCGTCAGCGCCCACGGAGAAGCCCTTCTGGAGCGCAGCCGCGCGCGTCCTTCCGGGCGAACGGAGCAGGGAAAGCCGACGCCAAGGAGGGCATCTGACTCGGCCGCTCTCGGCCGACGGCCGACCGGCGTTCTTTCACGTGCCAGAAAAAGTACCGGCCTCAGAACCGAGGGCGCCGAGAACCGCCGGCGCTCAGCTCCGGCGCGGGGGACCCGCCGGGACGCGGCGCGCTCGGGGCTCCTTCACAGGTCGGCGGCCCCGGGGCCAGCGGGAGGCGCGGCCCGGCGGGGCGTCAGGGGACCCGGGTGTCGCCAGGGGGACGCCCGCGCCCGCCGAGGTGCCCGCACGCCCCGCCCGCGGCCCCTGACAAGCCCGGGGCGCCGCAGGCCCGTGGGGCGTGGGTGGGGGGTGGGGGTGGGGGGTGGGCGGCCTCGGGGCGCCGCTGCCCGCGGTGGGGGCTGGGGGCGGCCCCGGCGCCCGCCCCGAGGGAGCACCGGGCCGGGCAGACTCGCGCGGGGGCCTGGTCCCAGCAGCCGCCCTTGGCCTCCTCGCGCCCGAGCGGCGGCCCCGGAGGCGCCCTGCCCGCGCGCCCCCGCCCGCCGCCCGCCCGGGACGAGCCCCCGCGCCCCCCGCACGCACCCTGCTCGCGCGGGATGCGCAGGAGGCAGTCGGCCATGCCCTTGTAGCGCCGCTCGGCGCGGATCTGGCGGGACGAGCCCTGCACCTGCAGCAGCAGCTTCACGCGCTCGATGGGCGCCACCGCCGTCTTGGACACGGCCGCCGCCACGCCGCCCGCCAGCAGGTCCTTCCCGAAGGACGCGGCGTCGAACAGCCGCGGGCCCTTCCTCTCCGCCTTCCGCTTGGCGTCGCGCTGCATGGCGGCTGCGGGCGGGCGGGCGCAACCGCCGGGCGTCCTGGCGGGAAAGCGACGCGGGGCACGCCGGGAGCGCCGCCGGCCCAGTGCGCACGCGCCCCCAACCGCCCCACGCCCCGCACGCGTGACGCCCCGACGCCCCGACGTCTCGCCGCCCCGACGCCCCGGCGCCCCGACGCCCGCGCGTGGCTGCGCTGGCCCGGCGCGCCCTCTCGCGCTTCCGGGGGCGGCGCGGGGGTGACGTGCGCTGCGTGGCGGGGCGGGCGGGGGCAGCGAGGCCCGGCGGGGCGGGGGCGGGGGGCGGGTCGAGGTTTCGGGGCCCTGATGGGGGCCGGGGGCGCGGCGGCGGGGGCGAGCCCGCGAGCTGCTCACGCCCCCGGCCCGGGCCGCGGGAGCCCGGCTGGACACGCGAACTCGGGGTGGGGGGGGGTGGGGGGGGCGGGGCTCGAGCCTTGGCCGCCCGCCCCCTCCCCCCCCCCCGCAGCCGAGGCCGCAGCTCGGAGGCGTCGGGCCCCCAGCCGCCTCCCCGGCCGGCCGGAGCGGAGCAGACGGGCGCCGCCAGGACGCCGGGCGCGCTCGTGTAGAGAGCGTTTAGTCACACACGAACCGGGCGCGGGCGGGGGCGCGGGGGCCGCGCACGCGGATCTGAGCCCCCGGCTGCGGGCCCGCGCGTGGGGCGTCCGCGCGCCGCGGGGGCCCCTGCGGCCGGGGTCGGGCCCGGGTGCGCCCGGCGCTGCGGGCAGCTGCCCAGGGCCGCGCCGCCTGCGCCCGGGCGCCGGGCGAGGGGCTCCGACGCCGACTACAGTGTCCGGCCAGTCCCGGGCATCAGCCCCGCCGCCGGGCGCGGCCCCTCCCGGCTTCGGCCGTCTGCGCGGGCGGCCGGCTCGCCGCTGCCTGGAGGGCGGGCCCGTGGGCGGCGGGGCGCGGCTGGCGCTTCCTTCGAGGGGACGCTGTTCACAGCCCCAGCCGCTCGCGGCGGTTCTCTCGGGGGCTCCGCGCGGCGGGACTTGACTTCAGGTCCCAGTATCAGAGATTCGGAGCAGCCGCCCCGCGCAGCCCCGCAGCCCCGCAGCCCCGCGACTCGCGCCCTCCTGGCAGGCGGGAGCTCTCCCTGCTTTGTTCTCTCATCTGAGGAAAGGACACAGAGGGGCTGCGGGCGGGGAGGACGCGTGTGGGTGCTGGGCCGGGGCTGGTGTTCGCAGTGCGCGGCCCGGGAGTGGGAGCGCTGCTGGCTGCACACACCGTCCAGGTTCTGGTTCTGCATCTGCCGAGCTCGCCCCCGGCGCCTCTGCGCAGAGCCCGCGCCCCGTTAGAAAAGTGGCAGAGGCAGGCGCTGGGGTCACTAGCCAGTGGTTCACTGCCAGACGCGGGTCAGGACACCCTTGCCCGAGGGCGGCCAAGCTGGCCTGCAGGGCCCGCTTCAGCATCCACCTGGGGCTGAAGACCAAGAGAACGTTTGCTGTATCTGGACAGCGCAGCACCTGGGCCACATGGGCCTGGAGGTTTGCACCTACAACAGAGCGCGTGGCTTTCGCCCGAATTAAGATTCGTAGTTCTTTTGTCTTTTATTTCTCTTGATTCTTTGCCACCAGATCAAAGTCTCATTAAATGAAACTCATACGGAAAAACTCTAAATTCTTAGTTCAGCCTGTTTGAAAGTCTGAAATGGTCAATAGATCCATTATTCCTTAAAAATACTCAGTACCACAACTAGGCAATCGTGTTTTGGGGACGTCTAGGACATCTAATAAAAACTTAAAGTGCTTAATGCCCGCGTGCGCCCCTGAGCAGCCCGAGGCAGCGTGAACAGCAGGCGACACTTCAGGACCCCACGCGCCCAAGGGGAGGCTGTTCTAACCATTTCCACAGCTCAAGAACCAACTTTGCTGCCCTGGTGTGGAAGTTGTCATTAAGGCCCACAAGTCCCTAATGGGGTGGAGTTAGTCTGCTAGGCTGGAAGCCCCCAGGGGAGGACAGGCCTTTCCCAAGACCCACCTTCAAAGGGTGTGGCCCATTTGGTCTGACTGAGCGGGTCTGACTCATGTTTGAGGTGGGAAAAGCAGAGGCTGACCTCAGGCTGGAGTAATTTGCCCTCCAAAGCTTTCTTCTTTCTGAAGAAGAAAGAACCCAGTTTGTAAAGTCTTGGGGGGGGCAGCGGGCAGGGGGAGGTATCTGTATCCCGGGGAAGACCCACCGCCTGAGTGAAGGTGCAAACTTGTCACGTTCTTCTTCCTCCTCTGTGCAGCAAAGTCTGAGCCAAAGCAAAGTCTCCCCCCACTGGTTCCCTTTCTCTGCTAAAGGTCAAGCAAACTATTATTCATTAAAATGTCCCCCTTTGGGAAAACCTATACATGACAGAATTGTCAGCAATAATCAGCATTTAACAAAATAAGTCATCTACGGATTTCTTTAGCCAACTTTCTCCGTGCTTTTAACATAATTAGTTTTTAAAAAAGATTGACAGAGAACTCTCCAGCAATTCCTGAACGGTATAAGCTGTGCGTGACTGACGATATTTCAACAAAAAGTAAAACAAAGTTTATGGACAAATAGTTTAAAAAATATATCCCAGTCAAAACCGCTGACGTGAAAGAGTAGAGAAAATCAAATAAATAAGTTGAAATTTTAACTCTTCGCTCTCTCTGCAGTGAGGTAGCTGCTAAGACTCTTGCTTGACCTCGTGAGGAGCTGGCGCGTGGACATCACAAAGTGCCGCTGAGCCCGAGGAAAGGACACGAGATACACTGCTTGAGCTGAGAAAATACACAACAAATCGGGTATTTTTTCAAGACAAAGATTTCCTGTGCTAGTTTTACATAGAGCACTTCACGTTATTTCAGACTACTCGTAAAGCAACGCTGTACGCCAACGTGGAAGTAAGCTGGCAAGCCCGGCCTCCTCTGCTGACCAAGCGTCTTCTCCAAAGTCTCACAAAACCACCAAAGGCGGTGCGCATCTGACCCAGCGGCTTCCAGCTCCATGTTCAGCATCACGCGGAGGAAAGACACCGGCCGCCCCTGCTTGGCCGCGGCGCCTGCTGCCTCAAGGAGACGCGGCTACAGGGTTAACCCAAAGAACAGCTTGAAAGCCATTTCCATGGCGATTTCTGTGACTGAGTCATGGAAACAGACGTAGAGTTCCTGCAGTTTGGGGTGAAGAAAGAGTCTCCTGTGGAGGAAAAGAACACATTTCTGGGACACAAAAACAAGAGAAAAGGTCTTGCCTTTCAATGTATCTTTTTGTTCTGAAAGAACCAGTAGTAAATTAAAAACCACTCATCTAAATCTATAATGGGGGAAATGCAGCTAGATTTATTTTTAAATGAGATATGCCTTTGGACAATTATTTTTTATTTTCCCAGAGTATAAAGAGCCTATTTTATCAACCTGCATTACTCAGTCTCAAATGGTCAGTGTGGTCAGTGCCGTCCGGCCGTCCCGGCAGCTCCAGTGTTTCAGGTACACCCCCTGTCCACACCACGTACCCCCCACAGGCAGTGGTGGTTAAAACCTTAAAGTGTAACAGCTGTTCTCTGCCAATAGTACTGAATAGGGATGAACATGGAAAACTTTAGTTTTCTGACTTAAAGTTTTAATCTGTATTGAATCAAATACAAAAGATTATACAGGTGAAAATTAGCATCTAACAAAAGCCACCTATGGATTTCTTCAGCCAACTTTCTCCACCACCCAGTAGGGCAGCAAGGCAGGGCTGTGCGCCCCAGTCACTCACCCCGCCGCCCAGGAGGCCAGGCCCCGGCCACTCACCCCGCCGCCCAGGAGGCCAGGCTCCGGTTACTCACCCCACCACCCAGTAGGCCAGCACGGGAGGGGCTTTGCGCGGGTCAGCCCAGGGCTCAGGGGAGCACTCGAACAGCACACCATGCTCCTTCACGGGGGTAAGAGAAGACCCAGAATTGGCAGCGCCGGCGGAATCTCCACCATCTAGTGCCTTCCTTTTCTGTAAGGTAGCAGGTATCAGACCCAGCAGCGTGACTTCCCAGCGCTTCCACGCAGACGCGCGCCGCTGGCGCTAACCGCGCAGCACTGCGGTGCCTTCGCCACCCTGGAGCTTGCTACCCCCTCGCTGACTTGCTCCCTTAAGCCTGGAGTCCTCTGTCTGAGCCGTTCTTCACAAATGCGTTGTTCCCTGCACTGAAATGCACAGAAGCTTCCTGCTTTTGTCATTTCTTTTGAGTCCCAGACTCTCACGGGACTCACCTATGCGAAATTAAGTGTTTTTCTCCTGTTTGTTTGTTCTATGTCAACTGAATTGTCAGACCTGCCAAAGGACCTACAAGGGAGAAGGGAACAGTCCCCCTGCCCTACAAGCCTTTGCTTTCTCTCACAGTCCTCATGGAGTTCGCCAAGCACCCTGTGGTCCACCCTCTAGAACACATCCAGAACCCAGTCACCCGCCCATCTCTTGCCTTGAGCCGCCCTCCTGCCTGGCCTCCGCCCCCCGCTGCTCCACACAGCAGCCCGGTGGGCCTGCGGATACGAGGATGGGTGTCCAGCCCCTCGCAGAACTGCCCCCCCCACAGCTCCTCCCATGTGCGCCCACACCCCCCCGGGCAGGACTCCAGGATGCCAGGCTCGGGGTTATGAAGCGGAGCTGCGAGGCCAGGGACAGTGGGGACAGTCCTTTGCCCCTCAAGTTAGGTTGGGTGACCATAAGAAACACGTTAGGTGGAATAGTCGCGGCCCGGCAGACTGAGGAGAGGGCTCGCGGCGAGACCACGTAGGGAAGGGAGTGCGGGCAGAGCCGCGCCGGTCAGGCCCACCTGCGCCCGCAGCGTCTGCTGGAAGACGGCTCGGATGGAGAGGCAGCAGCGGTGGAAGTTCCGTATCAGCTGCGGGTGGATGGAGCCGCTGAGCTGCGCCACCTCCTCGTGGGTCGGCGTGATGAGGATGCCTTGCACCGTTTCTAAGGCCACGTAGTGGAAAAGTGTGTTCTCAGGGCCCGACGTCAGCCTGGAAAAGAAAGAAAACGAGGCGTGAAGTCAACTTGGAAGCACTGCTTCACGTTGAATGGTTAGGCTCCGCGTAAGCCTCGTCCACCGCATCATGTCCGGGGTGCAGCGTGATGGGCCCAGGAGCTGGGCAAACACTTGGTCCCCTGCTCCTTGGCCGAGGGACAGCCCCAGCGCCCGCGGGCCCGTGACAGGAAACAGCCCGGGGGCCGAGAGGGTGAACCACACGGACGGGGCAGCCTGGCCATCCGGGTTGGCCAGCACCCCTGCAGTCCTGAGTCACAGCCTGTGCCCAACTCAGGTGTGAGCCCAGAGAGGGCTCAGACAGGGACCAGACCAGACGGCTGAACGCAGCCCGCAGCCGCGTCAGCTCCAGCGTGGAGCCTGCGACCACGACGCTCAGGCAGGACCGCCATTAACAAGGGCGAAGCTGCGTCCAGAGCCGGAAAGCCCGAACACGGCGGCCGGCCCGGCTGCGCCCTGGCCTCCCGCCCTCCCCGCGCTGCCCCTCTGTCACGTCTTTGCTATTCCACTCTCCACGCGCCCCTTGCCGGCCCTTCCTTCCTTGCCTCTTCAGGCCCGCCTGCGGGCCCCAACAGGCCAACAGAACCTCTCAGCGCTGCTGCCGCCACCAATGGTGAGCACGGCCGAGGAGAGGTCCACTGTGAGCCGCGGCCCCTCGCCCGCACGCACAGAGGAGCTGAGGGGTGCCGGGGAGCCCCTCGGCATCCGCCAGCGTCTGGGGTGTGAGCGCAATTCAAACGTCAGCTGTACGAGGGGGAGGCCATCGTGGAGGCCAGAGGCAGGGGCGCTCACATTTTGAAATAGCACTTTGTAGATGTTCTACCCCTTCCTGGGGTTCCTCGAAACCAAGCGCTCTAGGGAAGTAGCACAGCATCGCCTGCAAAGTGTAAGGCACGTCACGCCCCTGACTGCCAGCACGGACCTGGCCTTTCTCGCAGAAAGCTGCCAGAGGGCATGGGGTTTGGGTGGAAGGGGCACGCGGGGAGAGCCTTACTTCACCGTGTTGTACGCGTCCAGGTCTTTCTCTGAAGCGCCCTTCTTCGAGCTGCCCAAGTTAAAAGGACTGGGAAGGGCAGGCTTCTTCTTAGTGACCTGGAAGCACAGCAGAGGCGCTCGTGTCCGAGGGCGGAAACCAGCGGCAGAAATCCCATGAACACGTCCAGGTGCGCGCCGGCCTCCGCAGCGCCGCCTCCAGACATCCACATGCTGGCCTTCCTGTGCGGCCGGCTGGGCAACCCCCGGAGGACGCGTATGTCCCCCGCCTGCTCACAGAGCTGCATGGGGGTGCTGAGTGCACCCCTCAAAGGGGGGGCCGCATCTCACTTATCTTTGGACCCGCTCTGTGCCACACAGCGCTCGGCACACAGTAGGCGTTCAGGCAGCATCTGCTGCCGCCGGGTCTTAGTGTTTATTCAACCTCTCGTGGGAGCCGCCCGCCCCTTCCTCCGAAGCCACGTTTCCTGCTCGGCTCCTCAGCGGGGCCAGGACAGCAGGACCAGCCCGGGGCCTCCGGCAGACGCTGGCGGGTGCGGGGAAGCAGGAGCTGGCTCTATGGCTGTGCCATCCGGCCCACAGCCGGGACTGAGCCCGCTGCTCCTCCACGCTCGCTCCCGGGGGCGCCTCCGGCAGCAAAGGCACGACTCGGCCGTTTCAGAGCGCGGCTGCGCACAGTCACTACAGGCTGCTACTCTGCCGCCCACGCGGGTGTCACGGCTTTTTTCATGGGGAAAAACCACAGAAAGGTGACAATCAATCTGGAGAACGAGCACCTTCTTTGCTTTGCTGTCACATGTTAGATTCCTGAGTATAGAGTCCAGACCTTCACAGGGGCAGGCAAGGGAAAAATCTATAAAACAGAATCTCTAAAAATTTATGAAAAATAGAGTAGGGCCTCCCCTGGTGGCGCAGAGGTTAAGTGCTGGGCTGCGAGGCTGCCCGCAGCACCGGTTCGTTCCCCAGCCGCCGGCGAGGGGCCCACCAAAAAAAAAAAAAAAAAAAAAAATAGAGTCAGACACAAATATCCACGTATATATACTTTTGTTTTAAGTTTATGAGTCACTTTTTGTGTCTGCTGAACATTTTAGGGCCTATTTTGCCCAGTCGGCCCCCAGACGGGATGCACTGTCAGCCGCGAGTGGAGGCGGGGCGGGGGGAGCAGGCTGGGTTCTCCCCACTTGCCATCGGTGCGGGGCAGCAGCCTGCGGCGGGAGAGTCCCTGGTATCTTGTTCTGCCACCCAGACCACCGCCAGTGCATTTGCACAGTGCTCTGCCGCGGAGCTGCCCTGCGGCTCCCCGAGGGGACAAGGAGGCAGCGAGGCCTGATGGGCACTGGGCCCAGACAGACACTCACCTGCAGCGAGGCCCCGCCGTCCTCTGGACCCTCGGAGCCCTGAGCTTCTCTGGGCTTCCAGCCCCCATCAGAGGCGGGGTGGGGGCTCAGAACACCGCCTTCTCCATTTTCACAGCCACTGTCGGAGCCGCCGCTGCCCCGAGGAGGACTGGGCTTCCGCGTCCTCAAGGAGGCGTCCCCGAAGAGGGCCCTTCTGCAGGCCGGGGAGGCGGCCGCCCTGGAAGCTCCCTGCAGCCTGCCGAGGATGGGGGAGCTCGTCAGGCCGTCTGGCTTCTCCTGTGACCCCACGAGGAACCAGTCAGCACAGGACAAGCTGGGGCTGGGGGGAGCAGCCAGCCGCGCCTCCAGCCGGGCCTCCGCCCCTCTCAGCTGCTGCAGCGTGGCCCGGACCTGGTCCACGTAGACGCAGTCTGGGCCGGGACTCCCGATGGCCGTGGACGCACAGCCCCCGGCCTCCAGCAGGACGCACAGCATGTAGTGCCTCTGGAGGAAGGAAACGCACACTGTGGGGCTCGCGGCACGAAGGCGCCTGAGTGTGACGCGTGTGCACACGTCCGTGAACATGCCGGCCTGGGCACGCGCGAGTACGTGGTCACTACCAGCGCTGCCCTCACTTGCCTTCTTTGTTACTCTCGGTGCCCTTGAACACCCTTGGAAACAAAACCTCCTGACACCCCCTCAGAGGCCACTCCCAGCGTGTGGAGACTGAGCAGCTTTGAAGGGTCAATGGTGGGGCCCTCCCGCCCACACGTCTCCGTGCCCCCATAATTTCTCACAACAACCCAGCAATGAGAGCACCACAGAAGCGGGGGGGCAGGCCCGAGGCCCCACTAATCTCATGGGGCTTCAGGGTGGCATTGCCTAGTGTCAGAGGGTGTCAAGGAGAGGGGACCAGTGGCAGGACTTTCTGGATACTGGTGTTGGGAGTGCTCCCATTTTAAACTGACTTGTTAGTTTCTATTTAGTCAGGAAGTGGCAAAAAAAAAAAAAAAAAAAAAAAAAAAAAAAACCAAGAGAGAAGCGCAGAGACTCACCAGGCCAACGATGAGCAAAAAGTACCTGCCGTCGGGGCCCTGGAAGGCCGCGCTGTCGGAGGGCACAGGCGGCGTCGGGTGGTGTCCGGGGAAGACCTCCCGCCACACCAGCAGCTGGCCGACCCGCCGCTGGGCCGCCAGGGGCTGCAGGCCACGGTGGCGGCAATAGGCGGCAACGTCGGCGAGGTCGTCCACGGGCAGGTGGCTGCAGAGCAGGTAGCCCTGGGAGGGACCGGGCGGCAGGCAGCGAGCGTGAGACGCGGCGTCACCAGGTGTGTGGGAGTCCCCTGGGCCTTCTTTGGGGCCGTAAAGTTTCCCGTTTCAAAGGGGACGAGTGGAGACATGCTAGGAATAAGTGCTCCCCTGAGATCCAGCTAGAGGGCAGAGACTGACACCCCACGCCGGCAGATGGGGGTGGCACTAGCCTGCGGGTTTGCCAGAGTCACTTCCCCCACTCCTGGGGGAAGTGCAGAGGCAGCAGTCGAGGCAGGAAAAGCCTCACCACGCACCCTGGCTGCGCCAATGAAAATATTTCAATTCAGTGGACGCTTAACTTGCTTCACGTGCAGCCAGGGACCGAGCGGCAGGAGGGCACTGCGGCAGGGGCACTGCGGCAGGAGGGCCTGCCCCGCACTCGGCGCTGGAGGAGCGAGTCTCCTCAAGGCGCCTGCCAGGCCCGGGTGGCATGAACCAGAGACGCGCTGGGCGGCAGAGGCGGAGTGTCCACGCCCAGAGCAGGGTCGCGGCGGCCTCGCTTCTGTGAGCGTCTGCGGAGTGTGCGTTAGGCGGCGCAGTGGCGAGCACTGCTCAGCACCAAGGCTGCTGCTTACCTTGTAAAACAGAGACGACCCCACGATGGTGTACAGCCGCCTCCGGTCACAGTGGTCCTCGGACTGGGGGACAGACAGACGGGGGGGAGGGGTCAGAGAACGCCCAGTCTACCGCCTCTGAGACATTCAATCCGCAGTAACGGGCTCTCCATGAGGCCTCCCTTAGGGGCCAGGGCACAGGCGCGCGGGGAAAGACAACATGCACGCATGTCTACTCCGGACCGAGGACAACTCTGCCACTGGTTCTCAGCGGCTCCGAGGACAGAAGAGCCCAGAAGAGCCGTGACCCCAGGAGAAGCTGCAGTGAAGCTACCTGACTTAGCATCAGCGCACGTGGCCCACACACCGGGCCTGTGGATCCCTCCGGGAGCCACGTCCTGACTCTGACGGTCACTGCCAAGATTCCCCAGTTCTCTGGACGGCGACACCCCCATGCTGCCGCTTCTGTGAGCACGACCCAGTCCCCCCAGCTAACCCCGGGGAGGTGTGCGGGGAGGCGGGTGAACGCGGCGGCCCCTCCTCCGCATCAGGTCTCTCAAGTGTTGCTCCTCCTGGGTGGATGCCCGGCCCCCTGGGGCTGGCGAAAGCTGCCAGGTTGTGACACGAGCATACGCTGCCAGGGGCATCTGGTACGTTTCTAGCCCCGACTCCGCCCCCCGTCACTGCCCTGAGGAGCCCTGGCTTCTCTGCTTGAGCTGCTATGTACACAGGCAGGTGCCGGGGCCTCACGGCCCGGCCACCCCTCTTCTTGGCCTCTCTGCTGGATGGAGCCGGGACACTTCTTTACAAAGCACATCCTTACTGGCACACGCACACCCCCTCGAAGCCGCGAGGTGGCACTAATGCACCCCACTGCAGAGCTCCGGTGGCCACCGCCCCTGAGCAGAAGGGCTTGGGGGAGCAAGGGGACTGAGCCCATGTGGCGAGAGCCCCAGGGCTGCGGCTCTCCGTGGGACGCGCCCGAGGGCTGAAGGCAGCAGCAGCAGGGCCCGCCCTCGCCCATGCTCACCAGCTCTGCAAAGTCCGCAGCCTCCAAGTCGCTCAGCGCCATGTCCAGTTCAGTCTACAGCAACAAAGTGACACAGGATTTAACTCCCGTTAGTAAGTTTTTAGTAAAAAAGCATTTCACAATATCTTAAGACACGAATACGTCTCTTTCTCTTGTGTTATTCAAGAAATGTCTCAACATGGAACACCTTGTTTTAAGCTGTGCAGTGACCAAAAAACGGGTCCTTGCAGCCACAGGCATTTCTCAGTCAAATCTCAAGTCTTGACAAATCGGCGTCTCCCTGGAGCCAGTGCGAACCACCCGCGAGGTTAGGAGACTGTTACCCAACTTCAGTTAGAAAAAAATATTAATCTATTAAAATTCTTAGAGTGACAAAATGGCAGTGCAGCCAACCGACTTCGCTGCTCTTGCTTCTCTGCGTCCTGTTTCCCCATAGTTGGGTCCTGGCAACCACCAGCGGTCTCTGCTCTCTCTCGCCTGTGTTCTGCATGAAGTGCCCGTGTGAAAGGATTGTTCATCTTTGTCTGGGGATTAAAACACGGAGGCAAGCCTGCCCTGGGAGCTGGCGGCGGGAGACTGCCCCCCAGGGTCGTCAGGAAATCCCTCACTCGGGCTGTGGCCTTTGTTTCCATGGAAATACCCAAAGGCTTCCCCGTTCTTGTTCCTCTCTGAAGCATTCACCATTTTTAAATAGCCTGAATTTAATCTGCGGTTTCATCTGTGACCACGTACTTCCCCTGAAAGTGACTGGCGGCAGGAGCGCGCGGCGTGGACCACAGACGTGAGGAAGAACCTCCCTGCCAGAGGCCAGGCACCCGGTGGGCGCCCCAGAGGGTGCCAGTCACACCCCAGTGCCCCGTGGCCTGACTTATCCCCCTGTGACCCACAGCCTCAGCTTCTAGCAAATTCTTCATGTTCTGCTGTTGGGGCGCTGGCTTCTCTTGTGAGAAACCACAGGACAAGCGAAAGCCGCCCCTTGGGGTGTCTGCTCTGGGGCAGCTGGGGGGCTCAGTGGGCTGCCCCCTCCCCAAGGGAAAGGGAAGGGGTGCCCCTCTTATTCCAGCAAACCTAGGAAAGGTGACCAGGGAGAGGAAGAACAAAGCAAGTAGCTTTAAACAGCTGGGGACAGCCGGAGACTGCAGCAAGAACAGGGAAGTTTTCATCCAAGTTAAAAAATAACCATTTCCACTCAGTTTATGTGGCACCAGTTACTCCACACACGCTTCTCACTAGATTTCTTAGGCATGAAATTTCATGAGAAGCTACATTGTCAACAGGCCCTATGATTTTTAACACAGCAAGGAATAGCAGAGAGAGAGCGCGAGCGAGCGGGCGGGCGAGCGAGTTCTTTGACTTTGCTAAAAAATCAAACACACAAACTCGAGGGGCGACTGTGTTTCAAGGTCACACTCATCAGCGATGCGACTCACTCTCCGGGGCGGCTCCCAGCTCCCCTGCAAAGACGCTGTCACGACCCCCCCAGATGACAGAGCCCTGGACACAGCCGAGCCACAGCCTCACAGCCCCCCGCGGGCCTGCCCCTGCTATGAGGGAGCAGACGACCCTGGCCCACAGCCGAGCGCGGGGCGAGTCCCCTCCGAGGCCGCTGTCCACATGGCGTGCGCCCGCCCAGGGATGGGGCAGCCACGGCCTCGGCGAGGGCCCCGCGGCGCCTCCGGTGGGACGCGTTTTTCGGCTGAAATGTGTAAAAGTGACGAGGCGCCAGGACGAGGCCTCCTGCTGAGCCACCCTGCTGAGCCAGCCGGGACGGGGCAGCGGACCCCGATGTTCCCGTGAAGGAAGACTCTGCCGTCACCCGCCGGGCCGGCTCCAGGTCGTGGCTGTCACCGCCGTTGACCGCTGGCGTCTGTCCAGCGGCGCCGCCCCAGCACCATCGGCTCGCGATACACAGAGTCACAGGACTCAAAGCAAGACACACCGTCTGGTCGCGATTCCTAAAAAGGCTGTGGACCAGGCGACGTGCTCAGGTGAGGGGAGACGGTTCCTAGCAAGGACGAACAATGTGTATGCGGCCAGTGCCCCTGGCCCCCCTCAGCCACCGACTCTCACCGTGACCCCGAGAGCAGTGAGGCGTGCAGGGAGGAGGACCCAGTGAGGGTCCTGCTGGTCTCTGAGAGCCTCAGTACCTTGAGGTCCCGGGGGAGCATCAGCCACCGGACGCCGGGCAGCGTGTCCAGCAGCGGGGTGCTGGCCGCCTCGTACCACTGCGCGCAGGGGCCCACGCCGCCCTGCAGCCTCAGGGGTCGCAGCACTCTTTGAAAGAAGGAGCTGAAGAAGTGGTCCAGGTGCGGAACGTGGTCGGCCTGGCAGAAGGCACTGGAGGCAGGGGCTGGAGTCAGCACCGGAGCCTCCGCGAGCCCCCAACCCCCGAGCAGGAGCCGCCGCCCTCACGCTCCTGAGGCACCGGGGCAGGAGCCCCCTCGCGTTGTCACCCCACACCCTACTCCGAACTGCACGGTGGGTGTCCCGTGAGGGGCCCATGGGGCCTGGGCGGTGGCTTGTCTGCCACAGAAAAGGCCCAAGTAGGGGGCTACAAAGCCACAAAGCCACTGCTTGGGAGCAGGAGCCCGCGCCTATCCACGGCCCTCACCTGTCCACAGAGCCTGCACCTGTCCACAGAGCCTCACCTGTCCACAGAGCCGTACAGGAACGTCAAGGTTCGGGCAACATCTTGGATCATGTCTCGCTGCTGAGGAAGAGGGACTCTAAAAAGAGCAGACACGGCTGTGTCTGTGACACAGTCACGGGCGCCTCGCTAGGGAGCCCGATGCCCCCTCACACCTGGGGTGGGCGTGCGGGGTGTCTGCCAGCTGCGGAAGGCGGCTGTCTATCACACCAGTGGCGGCGGAGTCTGCAGTCTAGACTTGGGGCCAAGCAGGGAAACGCTCTATCACTATTTCTATGCCAAGGAATTGACCCTCTTTGGGGTTCAGGCTCCCCTTGTTAAATGCACTGATAACCACCAGCCCCTTCTCAGGCCCGCACTAAAGGCAGAGCTGGATGGGGCCAGGGAGCAGGCCTCTGGGGGCCTGTCCAGCGGCATGTGGACAGCAGCCCCAGGGACACCCTGAGCCTTCGGCGCGAGGGCTCCTGACCGTGGGATCCTCATGAGCACCGGCGCTGCGTCTCGTCCCTACGTCTGGGCGGCTAGTTATGTGGGAACAGGTAACTGCTGCCTAACGCAGGGGCTGGTTCCCAGTCACTGGTCACAGCAAACAGCCCGGCCGTGCTCACACAGGCTGGCTAATGGTGCGGGTAGTTTGGTGCAGAATCAAAAGAAAATTCATCCGATAGGGAGTTCTACAAGCTTTGTCAGGCACACCCTCTAGCATTTGTTCTGCCATATGATTGTTATCTGGGGCCTCCCTGGTGGCACACGGGGTTAAGTCCCAGCACTATGAAGCTATCTGCAGCCTCTGCAGCCTGAGTTCATCCCCGGCCAGGAAGCTGCCCACAGGGCCCAGCAGCCCTCTCCTGTCTCCCCGCTGCTCCCCTCAGCAGTGGATTTCAGTGGATCCACCTGATCTGCTCCCCACTCTGTCTCTGGTGAATCCTCTCACCCTCCCACACACCTCTGGCCTGCACCCCAGTTCTTGTATCCGTAAATAAATAAAATAAATCTTTATTTGGTCATTACTCGGTAGACAAGATGTGATCAAACAGAAGATGCAAGCGTGTTTAACAGTATAACGGGGCCAGCCCAGTTACTATTTAAAAGAGGCGAGAGCTCAAACTTGGGGTCTGAAAAGTCCTAGGACAAGGCCGGAAGCCTCGCCCATGTCCCTGGGCTGCCCCTGGTGCCTGCCTGCCCCCGGCTCTCAACATCCCAAGACAAAGCACCGGGAAAGCCGGACCATGGCCAACCCAGTCAGAGGCGCTCTGCGGGGACAGATGCCTTTCCGCAGAACCTTCATTCTCCAAAATCCCCACGGAGAGGAGCCCCACAGAGACTCAGAGCCCGGTGCTGCAGGAGCGGGGCGAGAGGCGGGCGCCTTCCCCCGAGGTGTGGCTACGGCCTGGCTCGTGACCTGGACCCCCGGCACTGATGAAGGAGGAGGCCTTGGCTGCCAAATGTCATATTTTAGGGGAACAGACTTTGTTTTGGAAACGACTTTAAGGGAAACAACGACAAAAGGTCTTGACTCACTCTTCGGCAGGCAGGCCCATTAACAGCAGCTTGTGAGATTCTTTCCAGTACGTCACGTGGATTTGTTTTCCATCTACAAGGAGGGACGAGCTGCGGAAAAGCAGAGGCAGAGGTGAGCTGTGACCCCCACGGCACAGCCCAGGCGGCCGCAGCCCCTCCAGGCGCCGCAGCCGCTCATGCGGGAGGCCTGAGGCCTGACTGAGAACTGAGAGCCACAGAAACCGCACAGGACTGTGTGGTGACAAGGATTCTTCTGGAACGTTAAAAATAAACAAAAACCTCTAAGTCAAACAAAAGTAGATCCATGGCAGAAAAAAGATATGCTGACTTCTTTGCTTACATTTTTTTCTCCTAAAAAGCTCCCGCTGCAGGGCATTAATTTAAACATATTTCCTGGTTGCCTGTTAACGAGCATCAACAAATGTTCATCACTAAAGGAGAGGCCCAAGAAAGGAAGACGCAGTCCCAGCTCACGGGACGACACTGAATACGGGTCACGGGTGTGTCAACGAGTGACCGGGAGACAGGTCAGGCTGGAGGGCGGGTCTACACAGCGGGGACCACGCAGGGTCACATCAGTGCTGCTCAGACTGAGCCCCCACCCTGCAGCTTCTCCTGCCTCAGCTAAACGAAGGGGAAGAGACAGTTGTGTTCTGGGGAAGGCGGGGGGCTGCGACTTCTGCCGGTGACTGTCGGCGTGGGAGGAAGAGGAAAGAAAACAGACTGACCGTTTTCCTTCCCTGAATGAAAACCTGTGCCTCGGCATCTACCGGCTGGATCCTCAGGGCCTAGAGTCTGCATGGAGGTCGGGGGGGGGGGGGGCGGGGGGGCTTCTGAATATGAATTGCTAAATAGGATTTTTCAAAAGGGATAGTACTTTTGCCTTAACAGAGTTGAAACACGTCCATTTTTCTAGAAATATTTCTAGTCAGACAGTACAACTTGTACTGGGTATTAAAACTGTGACAAAAGACAGGTTACTAAGAAACCCCTGAAATAATTAATGTCATATTTGTTGTCTCGCAGATTTTACTTTCAGCCTGCACTTAACTATTTTCCACATGTTTCATTCACATCTTATGAATAATAAGATCCAAATATCAAATAACATCTATCCTCAGGAGTAAAAGAAAAAGATCCAACCCATATGGAGAATCTTAAAATAAATTTTCTGTCTTTCTAGTAGGGTTAGAAAGGAGGCCGTGCCTTGGAAGTTGCCCCGTGGAAGACAGCCCTCCCAGCAGCGTCTCAGCTGCCGCCCTCGGGGACTCGCTGAAGCAGGGAAATCCACGAGACAGAGAGGAGCGAGCAGAAGCCACGAACTCACATACCCGCGGGCTTTACACGGGTTAATTTTGTGATACTATGAACTATATTCTGCAAAGTCATTAAAAAAATAAAAGGCGTGCAGCCTGCTTTTGGGACTGCACACTCCACCGAAGCGGGCCCGGCCCCTGTGCCCCAGGAGGTGCTCGCGCGACTGCGACCCGACCCACCCAGGCCCACCGAGCCAGGAAAGCAAGGCGGCTGGGATCTGGGCTCCGGGGTTGGCTCCACGAGGCACTTTCTCTCTCAAGAAACCACTGGGCATCGCAGTAATTGCCCCAGGCCGTGTGGGCGCCTCCCCCTTCCCCCCGCAGGGGGCGCCCCACCCGTGTCTCCCCCTTCTTTGTGTGTCTTCCCCTTCTTTGCGTTGTGGGAACCGGAGGTTCTGAGCGAAGCGCTCCCCTGGCTCAGTCTCCACAGCCTGGGGCCTGGCAGGCTGGCGGCCAGGATCCCAGCAGGAGGCGCCAGACACCTCAGGACCTTGCCCCCAGAGCGCTCACTGCCTCTGCTTCCAAGCGGACTGGACACCAGGCCCCCGCTGCCCTGAGACCCGGGCCAACCCCCGCTGCCACGGTGTGGACGGCACGGAACCCCGAGTCTCAGATGCTGGCTGGCGTTCTGTTGCTCGGGACCGCGCGGCAGAGGACGGCGGACAGCTGATGACAGGGCTCGCTACCTGGTCACGCGGGTCCCGGTCACGCTCTCCAGCATGTCGCAGAGCGTGAGGAAGATCCCCCGCACGGCCCGCAGCCTCTGAGACGCAGCAGACACTGGGTAATGGTAAAGAATTTCCTGCTGGGGAATGAAAAGAAGCCAAAGATCAAACTCCTCAAATTTCCCAACTTTTCTTTTTCGGTCCTGGGGAATTCAGGCTTTGTAGTAAGGAAAGAACAGAACAAAACAAAAAGAATCCTTTCGGCCTCATGAGGGTTTGGTGCAAACTTAAGACTGCGTGGAATTTTGAGCACACTTCGCATTTAAAATACCGCATCTGAAAATCAGTTACAGTCAAATGTGGTCACGACACCAAACTACATGCCGGGCGGGGCCATGATTAGCTGGAACACTTTCAAGTCATTTCAGACAATGTTTTACATTTTAATATCCTTTACAATAAATCCAGACACTGCTATTTTTTTTTCCTGTTTAATGATGGATAGCGATTTGCTATCTACACGAACACCACATGCAGCTGCCAGGAGTCTTTACAGTCAATTGTGTTCATGCTGACACTGAAAAGAAAATCTTCCCCATCTTTGGTGAAATCACTAAGTCTTTCAACCCCAAACAAGACTAATCACAAAGCGAGAATGTGAAACCAAACAGGAAGAGAGAAGGACCTCCACGTTATAAAATCTTCTGTCTTAAGTTTGAGAGGCTTTGCTCACCAGAAATCAACCGGCATCAAACCCTAAAAGGAAGCTTATTTTAAATCAGGGAAAATACTAGATACAGCAGGTGATTCACAGACTGCGTGAGGTTCCCAGGAGCCAGGTAGTGCCGGCAGGTGCCTGGTGCTGGCTGGAGCGTCCCCACGGCGGGGGTGCACCGTCTCCCCTCACTTTTTGGCTGGCATTTAAAGCAACATGCTATTTTTCTCACAAGGCACATTAAAAACAGGCAAAATAAACATTTCTAGAAATAAAATTTGGAATTCAGAGTAAGCTCCAGCTACGCTGTTTATTTTATTTTTATTTTTTTAGATTTATTTATTTATGCATATAAGAACTGGGGTACAGGCCAGAGGTGCAGGGGGGTGGTGGTGAGAGGATTCACCAGAGAGAGAGTGGGGAGCAGAACAGGCAGATCCACTGAAATCCACGGCTGAGGGGAGCAGCAGGGAGACAGGAGCAGTCTGCTGCGCCCTGTGGGTCGCTCCCTGGCCAGGGATCGAACTCCTGCTGCAGAGGCTGCGGACAGCTTTACAGCACATGATTAATCCCTTGCACCACCGGGGGGGGGGGGGCGGGGGATGACGTTCACTGACCATATCAGTGAACTATTAACACAGCCACATGGAAGCCCCAACACCTAGAAGCTAGGTTCTTCCTTGATCGCCTGCCTGCTACAGCTTGCTGTAAGCCTTGCATGGGCTCTCGACAGGAAACGATCATGTGACATGGCACATCTTGGCAACTTTCACATTTGGACCAATTGTAACTAATAATAAAAGGGACATCCACGTTTTTTATAATTTTTTATACTCACTGAGCCCATACAATATATGCAAATTGCTACGGAATAAGCTGGCCAAGTACACGCTGCCTATCGATGATCTTTCTTGTTATATTTCCAGTGTAAAAGCAGTTACAGGCATTTCATTCTAGAGCTTAAGACACATAGGGGCTGAGATCTGCTGCGTCTGCTAAATAGGTTTAAACCTTGACCAGGACATGATCTCATTATATTCAGCCAAATATCAAATACTACTTTTTTTTTCCTTCTCTCTTTCATTTATTAGTTTTATATTACAAGATCTGGAAGGGTCAGTTTACAATTTATCAAATGCTACTTTCAAGGGATAAAGGTAAGCTTGTTGATTAGTTTTCTCCAGGTCCGAATCTTGTGGCCGGAAGAACACCAGCTTTTATTAAATATGTGACTGACAAGAAAGCAAAAGGTGCCCTCGCTTGTAAAGTCACAGTGGTCACGACAGTGGTCTGAGAAGCCTCTGTTCTGCCTCAGCAGCGGGAGGCGGAGGCCTGCAAAAGCCCGGCAGGCTGTGGTTCCCACCGACCTAATTAGCTGCCTAAGCCCTTGTTAGCAGCGGCTACGCCTCTCTGGGGCCAACGAAATCCTCTCCTAATTAAAATGTCGGCACAGAAGTGTCACGAGACAGAACCTGTTCCTTTGAGCAGCGGCGACGCGCTTTCCCAAGGAAAGAAAGGAGGCAGTGAAAGGCCTCTGTGGAGCCCCCACCAGACGGGCGCCCCGGGCTGCGCATAATGGGTGCTTAAGTGTCTCGCTCCTCTCAGACAGAAAGGATCAGTGATACGTGCAAGACATCAGAATCGCCGGCTCGGAGGCGGCGGGGTGTTTCTGGACGCAGAGACATACCTCCCAGCGAGTCCCTCTTCCATTTCAGTCCCTGACCCCGTGTTGGCATCTGCAGCAACACAGGGACGGGGCAGCTGGTGAAAGGCGCGGCATGGAGGGGGCTGCACAGGCCCCGGAGCCATGAGATGAGGCTGAATGAAGCCTCCAGACCACACTGGGGACACGGGGGGCCAGGCGGCCAGACACCGGGCAAAGCGCGCTGAGCTGTGTGAGAGGTCGAGGGGCTCCCGCTCCTGAGCACCCCTTCCCACCACGGCAGGGCAGCTGGACGTGGCTGGCAATGGGGGTGGGCAGGAGGGCAGGGCAGGCACCTCCGAGGACCCCATCCCAGGCTTTGGTGGTGAGCCGAGGTGAGCGGCGCCTCCCGCCCCGGGGTTGGGCCGGCCAGCCCCAGCAAAGACCTCTTCGGGAGGATGCGAGCTCGCCAGGTGAAGCAGCGGATTCTCCGAGAGGAGAGCTGGGGGGCCTCCCTGGGGGCGCAGGGTGAAGTCTCGGCACTATGAAGGTGTCCGCAGCCACTGCGGCCTGAGTTGGATCCCTGGCTCCCGTCTCCCCTCTGCTCCCCTCAGCAGTGCATTTCAGTGGATCCGCCTGTTCTGCTCCCCGCTGTCTCTGGTGAATCCCCTCAGCCCCGCACCTCTGGCCTGCACCCCAGTTTTTGTACAAATAAATAAAATAAATCTTTTTTTAAAAAGGGGGAGAGCTGGAGTCAGTCACCCCAAGGAACACATGGAGAGCCCCAGGACCGGGGTGGGGTGCGTGGGGTGCACAGGACAGTGAGGTGAGGGGTGCTGCAGAGGCCGCAGCTCTCTGCCCTCTGGGCCGCTCACCTCTTCCCTCGATGTCTCGGAGTCGAGCTGCAGGGTCAGGTACATGACGACGTGGGGGGGCTCGGGGCCTCCTGCGGACCCCCCGCCGCTGCCCCTCCCCACAGAATTCTCGCCAGCTCAGTAGTGCTCGTCTGCGCCTTTCTCTGTCGGGGTGGCGACACCTCCTTTTTCACAGCATATGCATTTTCGAAGGTGAGTTTCACCTTTAAAGATGAAAACAGGGTGATTTTCACAAAGAAGGGTCCGCCTGTGCGCCTCCCCCCAGGGCCCGGAGGGCGGCTCCACACACCGGCCGAGCTATTACTCGGAAAGTGTCTGTGTGGGCGAGGCCGGCAGAGGCACTGGACGTCCTCGCTGTGCTCTCGGCCACCGGGACAGGCAATGGCCGGAGCCGCGCTGGCGCGGGCGGCAAAACAACAAGAAGCTGGAAGGACAGGAGCGGCTGTGCGGGGCGCGGAGGCCGGACCCACCACCCGAGTGAGCTCCCGGCTGACACCCAGGGGCCCTTATCACAAGTAAAACACCCACTTGACGCGATGGCGGCCGTTCTGAGTTCCGAGAGGCGGTCACTGAGCAAGGCTGGGCCCTCCCCTGCGCCTGGAGCGGCAGCCTGTCCGCTCTGACCGGGCAAAACCCCAAACACGGATTTCCTTTTCTGAGCAGGTGGGGAGGGAGCTGAGGTCCGAGCTCCTCAGTGCAGGCAAGGTCTGAGTTCAGCAGGTTGGGGCGGAGCGGGCGGCCTGCGTGGAGGGGGGCGCTGAGCAAACGCACTGGCCACGCGGGGGGCCACGCCTGGACGGTCGTTTCTTCGCAAAGCTGTCAGTCACCCCAGTGAGAGCCGCCTTTCCCGGGCTTGCTCTCTGGCCGGCGAACCTGACGCCCAAGGACGTGCCCGGGGAATCAGAGCACGGCGTCCACGGCCGGCACGGAAGGGCAGTTGCGGGGGGAACGTCAAGCAGGAGGAAAAAGAAGCAAAGAGCCGGCGCGCTGTGGAGGCGTCTGCAGCCCCCTCGCTCGTTCAAGCGCCCCGGCCCGCCAGCGCGGCCGGCCGGCCCCTCACACACGCCGGCTCTGAGCACTTATCAGAGGAGACGGCGCCAGATGCACCCATTGGGAGCTTCTCAGAAATGCACCCACCTGTGCTGGCCCCGGGACGCAAGACAGGACCCTCTCCACGCTCTCTGCGGTGACCTCGACGTCGTTCACAGCCACGAGGACGTCACCTGGAGAGAGAGTCATGTGGACGACGGCCCTGGGGCCCCAGAAGCTCTCCAGCGGGGGGTGGGGGGCCACCAGGGGCCTGCCCGGGGGCCTAGCTCAGCGCGCTGCTGCGCCTGCTCAGCCCCGCACCGGGCACCGCCCGAGGCGTCAGAGGGGAGCGCCCCACAGGTGGGAGAAGCACAGAACTCCAGAGAACAAAAACCAGGTACCTCACCCAACAAAAGTGGCCTGAGCCACGGACACGCTGGATGAGGGCGAGCAGAAGAGGCCTCACAGAGGCGCAGGTGGGGGAGCCAGCACGGGACAGAGCGAGCATAGGGGCATAGGAGAGCCAAGGGGCTGCCCCTCCCCGCCTTCTGCCCCAGGGAGGTTGGCAGCCTGCCCCAGGCTGGGCGCTCGGGCTGGACACCCGGCCTCGTGCCGGTCACTCATCACAGCACGTGAGCAGCCTGGTGACTCTTCAAGCAAGAACTGGCAAAGGACGACAAATTGCCAATTTCAGATCAACTTGGAAAAAAGTAACATTCCCTTTACTTCTTTTTAAGTAAGTGATTAAACACGTGTGTGCATCAAATTCTTTACAGCTGCGAAGATCATGAAAAAGGATCAGCGAGCCCAGTTTGTTTCATACAAGCCCCTTCGAGACCGTTCTAACTTAGAACATTGAGAATGTTCCACAACCTTGACCTTCCAAGTAAAACTCCATGACTGTCGGAGGCTCCCCCGGCCCTCCGTTCTCCCTCAACGCTGGGGGCCCAGTTCAGCCGCGAGTGTCCGGAGTGTCCGGCAGGCGCCTCCAGAGCCAGCAGCCCGGAGGCGAGTCTGAGAGCGAGCCCAGGGCAGGCGCCAGGGAGGGAGCCGGAGACGTTTTCTCTGCTATGAAAGAGCTGTTGGATCCCACTTCTCTCTGTCCCAGAGTTTGTTCCCTTGCTACGGGCGCCCCCCTGGGGAGACAGGGACAGACTCTGAGCCCACACGGGGAGCCTGTCCAGACGGAGAGGGGCGGGGCCCAGCTTGGATCTTTGAGGGAAGACGGGGCCTGGGGACTGAGGGGCAGAGAAATGGGGGCGCTTCTTCTATCAAGACAGGCGTCAGGACCCAATACAGGAAGAGGCTGATCACGGCGCTGGGCTCCACCCCTCACCGTGGCTGGTCACTGGAGAACACCCGCCCTTCTCCTCCGGGCTGGGAGGTGGACGTGCTCGGGCAGGGCTGGGGCCGCTGCTCTGCCCACCGTGCGGCCAACGCCCAGGCTCACAAAGTGCTTCCGAAATGAGGTCCTGACTGCTGACCGTAGGAGCAAGGACTGCGTGAAAATACAGCACTGGGGAATGCGCTTTATCTTTTTTGCACAATTGTATTTTCCAAACTGTCTGCAACAAGCATATACGATTACTGTTTCACTGAGAAAAAAATTTAAACTCACGTTTTTAGTAAAAGAAACCCACCGCCATGGCAGGCCGCGTGGCGGACGAAGGGACCTTGCAGCTGTGGGTGAGGATCGTGAGCTGGGAGGCCCCAGGAGACCCGATGGGACACAAGGGTCTCTGGGGGGCGTGCTATCAGCCGGAGGCTGGGCCCGGTGGGGACCGGCAGCCTCTACAGCCGCCCAGGGAGGTACCTGCCCCGCGTCCACCTTGTGCAGGACGGCCCGGACACCCTGAGGTCCTGCTGAGCCCTGGGGCAGCGCTGACCTCCACTCTGTGAGGTGGTCAATGTGTCGTTCTGGTTTGGTTTTTGCTTTTGATTTACTTTTTTGTGTTGGGGGAGATTTTTATTTTGTGTGTGTGCGTGTTTCCCTTTAAAGGGTGTTGTTTTAAACCACTGAATTTTGGGAAATTTCATGGCAGTGAAAGAATAGGCATCCCCAGCCCACCAGTGCCAGGGCGTGCCAAGGCGGGGAGCAGGTGGGGCTGGCGCAGGAGCCGTAGCTGGGGACAGGGGGGAGGCCTTGGGAGCAATAAACGGGGGGTGCACAGCACTGGGAAGTGTGTGGGGAACGGGGTGAGGTCAGACCGTGATCTACTGCGTCAGGTCAACTGAGTCAACCTTGACGTCAGGGCAGAGGCCCGGATTCCTTACAGCTACCTCGTGCCGTTCTATACGCACAAGCCAGCGCCCCTGCTGACACAGCCCTGAGCGCTGAGAGAATGAATTTTATTTACCTTTTGAGCTCTAGTCTGGGTCTCATCCACAGCATGCAGACTCCACACCAGAGACAATCCAGGCCCTCCCAGCCTGGAGCCCTAGGAGTCCCGGCTGGGGCCCGGGCACCGGACTCTCACTCAGAAGCCCTGGTGGACGGAAGTCCCTGACCCTCTCCCTGATGGTGGGGGGGGGGCGGGGGGGGGGGACATGCACCATTGTGGTTCTCGTGAGATGGAAAACAAAACAATAAGGGTGCTGGAGAAATCGCTGGGGACCCCAGCACTGGCCTTAGTCTCAGTCATTACAAACCTTCACACAAGTGAGGCATGAAGGCCTTTTATCCTTGGAAGACTCACAAATAATAGGGATTTTTATGCTGGTAGGTAGTTTTTAGAATTGGAATTTTAATCACCAATAAATAATTAATTTTATGGAGATAAACACAATTTCATTAACATACATTTACATTTAATAAATAATTATGATGTAATTGTTTCAATAATTAAAACGATGAACATGCTTAATTTATGAGTACTTTCTACTTAATAAATGATCAAACATGAACTTATTAAATTTAAATGACCATATTTCTGCCTGAAATGTTCATGCTTTTAATTTTTCATTACTACTGAAAAAGCCTTCAAGGAGTGTTTCCCTCCTGGCCCGTGGGGCAGCGCCTTGCCATGAAGGGCCAGCGAGTCAGCGCCCTCCAGGTGGTCTCGCTGCCCCACGCCCTGCTCGGCTTGGAAGCGCTGGACGCCAGCCAGCTCCAGCTTCTGGCTGAGGCCCGACCACCACGGGATCTGCTCGTCAAACATCACGCCATCAGTTCCTCTAACCACAGAAAAAGGTCCAGGCCACTCGGGGCTGGCAGGGGCACAGAGGGCGTCTGACCGGCTTGGCCCACTTCTTTAGGGTGAAGGCCTCAGAGCGGATGACTGGGTGGAGTGGCACACTGAGCAGGCTGATGCCACTGCGGTTACTGGCTGAAAGGACGCAGCCACTTCCTCTCGTTGCTGCAGGGAGGGGCGCTCTGTTCCCCTCCCCCACCCAGGGAGCATGAGGCAGGAGCACGGTGTGGCCAGGCCCAGCATGGCCAGCGCAGCATCCCCACCAGCCCACACAGGGTTCTGTGGGGAGCCACAGACAGGTGGGGGTGGCTATAATTACCTGGAAGCGTCACTGCCCTGGTCTGTGGGGGTGCCACGGGGTGGCCGTGGGCTAAGGTGGGCCTCCATGTGGCCGTGGGGTTCCGAGGGCACAGCAGAAGCCGCATCACCCCGTGAGCCCACCTCTCCAGCCGCTCCGGCCACCGCAGCAGGCCCGCCCACCCGGCTCTGGACCCGGCTCGCAGCTTCCAGCCAGCCCCGGTGCCCAAGAGGAGCCGCCCACCAGTTTTGGACCCGTCTGTCCCCGCAACTCGACTACTTTCTCCAAGTAACTACACCTGGCGTGGTCTTTGTCATCCTAGAACTGAGCAGGTGCTCAATAAAGCATTTGTTGAACGAACGAACACACACGAAATTCAGATGTCAAGTAAGATCTATTCTTAAGTGTTTGGAAAGTCTCCATCAAAATTCCTTTATCACAACTCGCAGGCGGGGTCGGCCTGAGACTCAGCTTTTAGGATAGTTGATAACACGTGAGCGTCATCACTAACAGCCTCACTTATGACTAGTGTATCTTTGAGCAAAAGCTGCCTCGCCCCGGTCCAGGCCCTCCCACAAGTGACCGAAGACATCAACACGTTTTCTAAGCAACTCAAGCATTCTTCCGGCAGCGTAAGGCGCGCCGGGCAAACGATATGCTCGTCTGAGCACACGCTCTGACTGGCGCGTGGGTTTACCGTCCCCTCAACACAGAGATGTCCGTGATAAGCACCTGTGAGAGGAGATTTCCATCCCACACCACCACGGCTCGGCCGACGGGAAAGCTCAAAGCCATGTAAGAACAGTGTCCTCCAGGGCAAGGCTGCAATTTAAAAGTATTTCTAAATATCTTTAAATCACATCTTTTTGTACCATGGTATTGGACACGGGCCCCCAGACCTCGAACATCACTGTGCCGTCAGCTCACGTCCCAAAATGAAGGCGATGTCTGAAATTCATAGCCCAGAAGGCGCAGGTTCCCCCGGCCTGCCAGATGCCCGGCCCCGCACGGTGGCCTGCCTGAGGAGTGCCAGCCCCCAGCGGCCCTGTGCGGAGCTCCAAGCGGCCCTCGCGCCCTGCCTGCCCACCCCTCCAAGGCGGGGACCCCACATCTGGGGCACCAGGCCGGGAGAGCACGGCCACACTTACCGATGACGACCTGGCCGCTCTTCATGGCAGGGCCCCCGGGTCGCAGGCCGTGCACCGCCAGCCCGGCCCCTGCGCCCGGCCGCCCCGGCCTCCTCCAGCTCCACTTGGTCTGGTGGATGATCCCCAGCAGGGCCTCCAGCAGCCTGGGCGCCTCCTTGGCCTTGGTGGCAGCCAACGTCCGGGGGTTCACGTAGACACTCACGTCTTTGTATCGCTGCTGGACCACGACCCCCGCCCTCGGGTGGGACTGATGCTTCAGGATGGACACTGGGCCCTGGGCGCAGCTATTTTTCTTCTTGGAGTGCTTGGGCAAAAGCTTTTTGCTTTTCAAAATTTTGGTGAAGCGCTTGAGCGTGGGTTCACACTTCTGCCCCGCCTCCAGGTCGCCCTCGATGATGACCTCCTTCTCGCTGAACCTGACGCGGGTCCCGGCGGGCGACTCGGGGAGCAGGCTTTCCTCCTCCTCCTCGCTCAGCTCCAAGTAAAACAGCTCCCCGTTCTGCTGCACGCAGTCCAGCCACTCGGGCTCGAGGTCACTGTGGAGAGGAGCAGACAGTCTGACGGCAGCCGGGCCTGAGGAAACGGCGGTGTCTCCCTGGGGGGGCGGGGGCCGGGGGCAGGGGTGGAAGCGCCCTGATTATTTCCGTCTCCTTCCCATTTCTAATTTATCGTGCGCCTCCACTTTGTTTCCCACTATACAACCTGGAGGAACGGGGAGCGGAGGAGACGGAATCCTCTCCTGGGAGCTACGGCGACAGAGGAGAAAGCAATAAAGGAAGAGACGGCCCCTTCTACAAGCTGCGGTTTTGCTGGACTTCTGTCAATTAACTCAGCCCGTTAGCTAATGTCACCGGACAGTAATTTACATCGGGACTCAAGCGTGCGAGTCTATCCAGACGTAAGTCCTTGGAAACTGCACGTGCAAACCCCTCCTTCCACTGTCAGGTGGATGGACGCTCACCCACCGCCCCCAGCGGCCTTTGTGCGCACAATAAAGTTCCGGAAAAGAAACGTTCCCCTTCACGAACCGACACCCCTGCTGAAAACCGGTTCATAACCACGTTAACAGCGGCCGCGCCTGCAGCCCGGGATTTCCGGGACGCCCCTTGCGCGCAGCTGCCGCGGGAGAGGCCAGCCGCGCCCAACCCATTCCTCACAGGGCTGTTAAATGCCTTTTAACTGGTAAGCAGCCCATGAAAAAACAAAATTATTGTTACTAACTGCCCGCAACGGCATTAAACGGACGCGTCCTCGGATAACCAACTCGTGTGACCCTCGACCCGACCCCACGCTGTGGCCTTGCTGGCTGCAGAGGAAAGACGGGCGCGGACAGACTTCAGAAACGCGAGCTGGATTCTGGTGGGAAGGTCTGATCTGTGTGCGAATCACGGGATCCGATGGGAGGCATTTCTCTTTTCTGCAATTTTTTTTAGCAACTCTGGTTCTTTTAACCGAGAATCCAAGGGCTCTTCTAAATACCGCGAAGATTAAGCCTGAAACCACGCTGTCCTATTACTCGCCCTGGCACTGACCACGCCTTTGCCTGAAGGTGACCCGGACGCATCCTGAGCGCCAGGAGCGGCGCTTTGACGGCCTGACGACTGGCGTTCCCTGCCCTCGCCGGCTCGGGGGCGCCATGTGGACCTGGGCACTGAGGTCCCATAGAGAACAGCAGCCCCGAGCCAGCTGCCCAAGCCCGCCCCGCCCGGGACCAGGACCAGGCCACAGTTCTACACGGTCACGTGTGAGGACATCTGCCCACGGAAAGAGTGAGCGGACCCGCTTGCTGTGCAGCTCCCTCTGCGCCTGCGGTGCCCCAGGGACGGGCGCTGAGACACAGCTTCCTCCTGCGAACGTGAGGCTCGTCTCAGCCTCTCAGACCTGAAGGGGAAACACTGGGCCCAGGCCAGCACTGGCGGTGGAGCCCAGGCAGTGTCCGGCAGGATCACTGGGTCAACACGTCGCTTCCTCCAGTGGGAAGTCACCAGAAGGAATCAGGACAGCCCCTGGCAGTGGGGGCAGAGGAGACCCTAAGGGAGGTTCAAGAGGATAAGCGGCCAGGAGGGGGCTGTGAGCTGACGGGGAGAGGGCAGGGTTCCAAGAGGCACCAGCAGTGGAGGCCTGAGGGGCCACGTCCAGGGCTCCATGGACATCCAGCGCTTCGCTGGTCAATACACCGCGTCTGTGTCGCGCGACATGAATGTCTACGCCAGGGTCAGGTCTCTGCCGGAGCCACGCCAGTAACGACCCTCCCTGACCGTTCGCCCCTCAGCCAGGGGTCCGATCTAACCCTGGCAGAAGCAAATCAGAGGCCGGCAGACATTTTGTTGCAGCACTTCAAGGCACTTTTGAAAACATGGATGGGCAGAGAGCTCTCTGCGGAGCGTAGGAGTGAGGCACAGAGGTGCCAAAGGGGGGCCGAGAAAGGAGAAGTTAAGGCCAAGGGGGATGACAAGGGGTCGGGTCGAGGAAGGGGCGGCACTTCAGTGGTGGCCAGAAGAAAGGGTGCGCACGCCAGGCCTGCGTGTGCAGGTGTGGGGTGGGAAGGAAGACGGGAGAACAGACGCACTCTTGCTGCCCTGGGGACCTGGTCTGAATGTCTTTGCCCCCCACCCCCAACCTTCCCCGCCAGGTGATGGAGTCAGGAGGCGGAGCCTTTGGGGGGTGATCAGGTCTAGGTGAGATCATGGGGGTGGAGCCCCCAGGAACAGGTTCCTGCCCGGTGAGATGGGAGCGGGGGAGTCTGCCCCTCCTCGCCCTGCAGATGTGGGAGACCAGGAGTCAGCAGTCTGCATGCCAGCCCGGCCCTCGCAGAGCCTGGACTCAGCATCCCAGCTACGGCTCCTTCGGACTGTGAGAAATAAACGGTGGTGTACACGTCACCCAGTCGGTATTTTTAAAAATAGCGGCTGAGCTAAGACAAGAAGGAATACGGTGGCTGGGAAGAGGAAGCTGTCAGAGGGGAGGTCAGCAGGGCCGGCCGACACAGGGCGTCGCAGCACCCTCAGGCTTCTCGTGCGAGTGGAGCAGAAAAACTATGTTGTTAGAGAACCTTTAGGTTCACAGAAAAAAAAGGCATTTTCCATGGACTCCAAGGCCTCAGGCGCACAGCCCCTCCATGATCCGCCCCCCCCCCCCCAGCCCCAGCGGTTTCCGTCCAGGGACCACCCCCTGCTGCCCGCTGCCCACCGCCCTGCCCACAGCCCAGTTCCCACCGGGGTTGGGGGGCTGGGGGGGGTCTGGGCTCGGACAAAGGTGGATGACACGTCCCCACGGGGCGCCGTGGGCTGACGGCGGCTCTGGACCCGAGCTCTCCCACCACTAGGCACCTCGAGCTGCCACTGGCTCCAGAAAGGCGCTGGGCCCGCAGGGTCAGGGAGAGGCTGCCCCGGGCCGCGGGCGCGACCACGGGAGACGGGCCTGGCACTCGCCCCGCCCGGGTTCAGAGACGGCACTGGGGTGCCACGGGGCACCCCGGGGTGCTGGGGGACGCAGGACACCGGCCGGGCCGTCGGTCCCGGGACCGGCACAGCCCTCCGGGCGCGAGCCCGCGGGGACCTGGACGCGCGCGGGGGCCCCGAGGGCCGGGCCGGGCCGGGCCCGCGAGCGCAGCCGACGGAGCCGGGCACTGTCCGCCCCCCGGGACAGCCGGGCGCCCCTCAGCCCCATCTCTGGCCCAGGTCCGCGTCGCGAGGCGCAGCCCGCTCCAGGGCCCGTCGCGACGCCCTCGGGCCACGCCCACAGGCGCCCCGCGGCCAGCTCCGGGCCCGGCCCGCTTCGCGCCGGCGGCGATTGTCCCTCCGCGCGACCCTTACTCGCCGCTGCTCGCGGAGCCGTCGGACGCGGAGTCGCTGGCCCGGTCCCCGGCACCGTCCTCCCCCTCTTCCCCGGGGGCCCGGTGGGCGGGGAGCGCCTCCGGGCTCCCAGGAGAGCCGCCCGTCGCGGGTGACGCCACCCCGCGCCCCCGCGGCTGCCACAACGGGACCCCGGAGCCGCCGCGCCCGCGCGCCGGGGCCGCCATGTTGCCGCCACGCGCAGGCCGGCCACGTGACCGCCTCCCTTCGCCGTGATTGGCTGGCCCTGGTTGCCGGGCGACGGGGAAGCGTCGGGGAGCTCTGGGAACACGGAACCGAGAGGAGTCGAGTTGCCCGAGGGCGTCTCGGTGGGCGGGAGGGGCGGGCGCACCGGTCGGTTTCCGCAGACGCTGTGCCCGGGCCAGGGCTGCCCTGGAGAAGAGAAACGGCCTGTCCGCCTCCCGGGGCTCTGCCTGGGGGAGGGGTCTGGGGGTGCGCGTCCAGGTCGGGGTGTGGGTCAGAGCCTGCGTGGGGTGTGGGGTGGGGCACTCGCCAGGCTCGCCCTTTAGGTGCTAATGTAAACGCCACCCGTTGCTGCTGGTTTCCACGAGTGTTTCCCAAATGCCGGAACACATGACAGAGCTCCGAGCAGATGCTGGAAAGCGCTTCGATATTGCTAAGTCAAGCGTCTGCTCATTTTCTAAGGCGGCATTTTATAATCGGATGAAGCGTTCTCTTTCCTGAAGTAGGTAAAACCACCTGTCATCTGCAATACCTACTGTAAGTGGTTTTTAAGTACAAAACAGTAACATTTCTTGAGAGTCAGCCGCTCCTCCAACTACTTGTTCTCTTTCTATACACTAAGTGTCAGCCACAAACTCCAGGAGGGCACCAGAGAAGTAAAATATGATTGTTTGAACTCAAAGAGTTGTAATTCAGGGTGCACTGATTCAGATAGAAACCTAAAATATGCCCCAAAGAGGAGTAAATGTCAGGGTAGTTTTAGAGAAGGGGGGAAAGGTGGGGGCAATGGGGTGAGGTCATGGTGAAACAAGGTCAGGTTGGAGGGGCCCCTGGTAAAATGGGCAGTGCCTGGGTCACAAGGTGAAGTGATCAGACACGAGATCTCTACCCCAGTCCTTTCAAGGAGGATATTATTCTTGCTGGCTTGTCAGACAGTTGGGCCTTTGGCCCAGCCCACGTAAGCAAATTCCTCTGGAAATGGCTCCATTTTTAAACAACCCCACTTATGTTAACTTATTGCATAAGTATTCTCATGCTATGAAATAAGAAGCCCTGCACTAAAGTAAGGAAACTGGTGCTTAGAGGGTATCTGGCTGCTTAATGCTCACGTGGTTACCAGGCAAAATTTAGGTTAGAACTGAACTGAAACAGGTTAGATTTGAACCTGAGCGATTAACCATGAGATTATATTTTCTTGGTGGAAATAAGATTTATCTGAAGTTATCTTGTTCTTTCAGGGTATTATGTTCTAACAGCCAGGGTCTGGGGAGAGGCAGCACCCGGAGGCTCAGTGCCACAGGTGGGGACTCAAAGGAACCTGGGCACTAGAAACAAAACTGACACTTTGAAGCTGCAGTTTCATTTCCTACATCACATTACATGTTCAGTTTGCAAGTAACTGTGCCTGTTCCGGAAGCCATCGTCTCCGTGAAGGACAGGGCTGTCCAGGAGCCTGGAGAAGGACGTGGGAACCTCTAGTTCACATGCCCTAGGGAGACTTAGGTTCAAGCAAACTTGGGAAACAGCGCTAAGCCACCCCCAGTTCTGTGCCTGCAGGCACCAGCCATGGCCCCACCAGATGGCCCATCCCCCCACCTGGCTTAGAACCTGGCATAGAGACCTCGCATCTTCGCAGCCCTGGGCAAATCCAGCTTTCCAAGCCATCTTATTTCCTCGTGAATTCAGAGAGTGTGCCAAACACACACTGCTTGGAATCCAAGGGGTTAATGAGCATAGATGACTTGGCAGTGAGACCTCACTGCTTATGGCTCCCCCATGCACAAGGCTCTGCCCCGTGGAGTGCTCGCATCCGAATACTACACTTCAGGACCTGATTCAAATAGAACCTGCCAAGAAGCATTCCCAGACTCTTCCTGCTTAGTAAGAATTCTTTCCATTCTTTTTTTCAAAAATTTATTTTAGTTATTTAGGCATATAAGAACTGGGGTGCAGGCCAGAGATGCAGGGGGTGAGAGGGTTCACCAGAGACAGAGTGGGGAGCAGAACAGGCGGATCCACTGAAACCCACTGCTGAGGGGAGCAGTGGGGAGACAGGAGAGGTCTGCTGAGCCAAGTGGGTCAGCTCCCTGGCGGGGGATTTAACTTGATGGGGGAAAGGATGTCCTGAGCAAACTCCATACAGGCTTTGTGGACCCCACCCCCAAGACACTGGGAACTACAAATCCCGTGATCACCAAAGGGAGGGTTGTGAGGACCTGAGGGCGGAGTTAGGCAACTAGGCTCTCTCAGTTTGGGTATTTAACTGGCCATTTTGGGGGGCGGGGTGTCACTGGCTTGGCCAGGAGGTGTGCTAGGTTTTTGCCAGCTGGGAGGGTCATTGGGATTCCAGGTCAGCAGAACCGGCAGGACGCATTAACGCACTTAATCTCCCTCTTTTTCCCCCTGAGTTATTCATTTCCCCAGTTCTTCCCTTGTAAATAAACCTTTTATCAACCTTTTGTGTGTGTCTGCAGTTTAGCGTTCATAAGTCCCCTTTAAGCACGCGGATGAGGACCCACAGTCAGGCAACCCCATTTTATATCAGGGTTTGCCCTGTAACACAGTCAGGCCAAATGGCTGGTGATAGCTTGATGATGCTGAGACTTAACCCCTGTGCCACCAGGGAGGCCCTCTTCTTTGCACTCTTATCTCATGAAGTTCTAATATCAGTCTCTCTAGTATCCAAATTATTTATGAAGATATCTGTCTCTGCCAGCCAGTGACAAGCTCCTCCAAGGCAAGCCTAGGTACCCCCCCAATCCTTCACCATCTACACAACTGAACCTGAGCAAGAAAAGCCACACACAAACCTGCCTGTCATCGATGAAATGTTCCATCCCACCAGCCAGTTCTTTGTTGTCATCTTCCTTGGCTAATTTATTTCTATTTGTTAGTTTAATGAACCATCTTAACTCCCTCTCCCCGCACCCAAAGTTACCACTTTACTTGGCCTTTCACAAAAGAGGACCCAACTGCAAGCATTTTAGGTCATTAGTTCAATTTTTAGGATGTAGCATCAGCCAGTCAGATTTCGAACTTTATCTTTCATTTTCATGCTAATATTTAATAATATTTAACAACCTTACATGTATGGGGAGAATGAAGAAAGGAAAAGGTAAGATACCATTTCAGGGCATATAGAAGAATGCTCTGTCTCACAATTAGCGATTTCTGGAAGACATAAAAGACTTAAACTGAGGTGGTTCTCATTTTATTTCCATAGATTACCATCTCTGCTGGCAAACAACACAATCCCGACAGAAAATGCACCAGATAAGGAGGCAGTTAAGTATTTAGTATCCTCAGCCGGCCAGAGGGCTCTGTCCCTAGCAGTGGTAACAGAAGCCGGCAGAGGACACCTGAGCAGGGAGGGCATGGCCACTGACAATGTTAAACTGCAAGGCCAAACTTCATGTAGGAGTGCCCTGTCAGGAGCTGTAACTGTAACCATGGAAATAATTTGTGAATGATGTGGTAAACGAATGGCCACCGTCATTTTTAAAATCACAAATAAGTCATTTGCAGAACAGCACAATAGCATTTTAAGAATTGAGACCATGATGTGGAATGTTTAAAAAATTGGCATGGAGGGGCCTCCCCTGGTGGCGCAGCGGTTGAACACTGGGTTGCAAAGCTGCCCGCAGCCTCTGCAGCGCCGGTTTGATCCCCGGCCACCAGGCACGGGTCCCACATGGCACGCAGATCTCTCCTGCTGCCCGCTGCTCCCCTCAGCAGTGTACTTTGTCAGTTTGCCTGTTCTGCTCTCCGCTCTGGCTCTGGTGAATTCTCTCACCCTCCCGCGCTTCTGACTGTACCCAGTGCTTGTATAAATAAATAAATAAATCTTTAAAAAAAAAAAATTGGCATGGAGCCATAACGTATAAGAACAATTTGTTTATGGACTAACATCTAACCCGCCTCTATGAAATTCGACCTTGTCCTCAGGCCACCGGCTCTTCACGTGAGTAACACTGGGGCGCAGACGAGAACCGCAAGGAAGAGGAAGCGTGACCGCGCGTGAAATTCAACCCAAGCCCTAGTTGGTTCTCTCCTGCTTGTCGAGGGCCACCGGGGAGAGGGACAGACAGGCCCGACTGTCAAGGAGCATCCGGTGCCTCATGAGAATCACAGCGTCCGCGCCACGGTCATCTGACAACGACACGAGAATGCTGGGGGTCTGAGCACCAGGTGTGCCCCTCAGAGCAGCGGGCTCCCCCTACTCCTGCAGTGAGTGAGGAGGGAGCCACGTCTCCCTGTGGACAGCAGACACCCGCCTCCGCCCTGCTCTTCCAAGGAGAGGGCGCCAAGCCAAGCCTTTGCCTGTAGGCCTGGGCGGCTGAGAGAGGCTGCACTTCCATGATTGTAGTAGTCACTGGCAGAGCTCACAGGGCATTCCGTTCATCAGGAATACGCCCTCAGGGTGTTGTTTAGCCCCAAGGTCTGGAAGGTGAGACTAGTTCTTATATTTTGCTGTTGACCAAAATAAGGACTCCAGGCCATCAAGCATTCTCAGGGTGCCTCCTGGCCGAGCTGGCCTGGGGCAGCGGCGCCCTCAGGAGAGCCAAGTCTCCTTACGGGTTTCCCCAGAGGCGTGGGACTAGCTCTTTTTGTGTGTTTTAATTTTTTAAAGGCATTTGTTAATGTCACTCCTCATATTTGATGAGGTCCATCATCTGAAGCGGCTGGGCGCTGCCCTGTGAGGAGGGGAGAGGCCCTTCTCCCGCAGAGGGGTGGTAAAATAGAGTCAAGTTCAAAGTCCTGCCGAGTCTGCCTGCCGAGAAACGGATCGTGGCTGATTAGATCGGCTAAAATCCTGCAAATATTAACAAGCACTAATAGGACAATTTTGATACTTCTTTTAATGGAGATTCCAGGATTTGTTCATTCACTTATGTGAACTTGATTGAGAAATGCGAGGCTGCATTTTCCTGGGCTCAGACATGTCTAAGTGACTTTCTCCGAAAGGATGGCTGAATATTTTTTGCTGAGTGACTGTTACTTGAACATGTTTTGAAGTTACCACCTCACACTGAGAAGTTTGCTGCAATTTTGGTTTGGCTGACTTATTTTCAAAAGCACAACCACTCACGCTCTGCAGTCTGAAAACCATATTTGCAATGAAAAATATACAATTTAAAAAATAAACACAAGACCTACCCTTTAAAATAAGATGTAAAAATACAATAGAATCATCGGCTATTTTTTCTTGTCTATACATTTTTCTATGACTCAAGGGTTTTTTGATGCAGTTGCCAAAACCATGTGGCTACCTCACACGGGATGTTTTAAAGGAAAAACAGCATTTTATAAAGCTGATATCAAACATAAGCCACACACTGGTTTAGTTCATGAGAATGGAGGCGTGGAGACACTTGAAAGACTATCAATTTCTTTGACACTGTGTCTAAACAAATCTCCATATAGGTCAGCAGAAGACATTCGATTAAATACAAACTTGTATGAAAAAACAGCTTTCAGTGTAAAAAGAGCCACTAATGAAAATCATACGTTGCAAAAACGAGAGGGTTTTCCTGTGAGGCTGGAAACCTGGCGCTGGCAGCGTGACCGGCAGCGTGACCGGCAGCGGCCACCAGAGTCCGGCGCCGCTCCGGGCGCCCCTGGCTGTGGGAGCACCTCCTTGTCCTTCCGGAGAAGTAGCTTTTCCTACTCTTGATACCGGAATTGTCAGGCCTAGTCTCCCAGCCAGGAACGGATTCCAGGCTGCAGGGCAGCGCTGAGTCCCAGCCACTAGACCCCCCAGGGTGGGTGTCTCACGAAGCCGCAGCAGGAACTTCGCAGACGCTCAGGCAAGCAAGCGAGAAGAGGCAGGTTCGTTTAGAGAAAGAAAAAGTTTATTGAGGAGGAAAAGAGCAGAAATAAAGTGGGACTCCCAGGCCAGGGAACCAGGCCTGGGAGGGGCAAGGAAGCCAAAGTAGAGTCGTGTCTTAGGGAATATAGACCTTTTTTTCCTCATTATTCTAAAGCTGCCCCCGTCTCTTTGTGGTTGGTCAGTTCTCTGCTGTCTCACTTCATCTGCTGCTGAGTGGGGATCTTCACATTCCTCATCTAACAGCTTTCTCTTTCCCCATTTGTTGCATCTTTAAATTTATGGCCCAGTCCTCCGGATGGACATCCCTGAATTGAAGCTAAACAGCTGCCCTTCTAATGGGACCATAAATGAAACCACTCTCCATTTCTCCAATCTCCGCCTCCCTTTACCACCTGAAGGAAACCGGGACCAGCGTTAACAATGTTGTCCTTGGTCCTGGCATGTTTGTTTTTCCTAATGGAATGGGTTACTTTCCCTTGCTCGTCCTTATCTCTGAAGCCTCCCTAAATTCTTCAGAGGTCCCTCCTGCACTGTCCCTAAAACTGCCTAATAACCCTAGCTTGCCCTGTCTCCCTCTGAGCAGGCCTGTTCCAGAAACACTCTGCTGCTGGCTTCCCGACAGTCTCCAGCGCGGTGGAAACACATCCTCTCGCCCTGGGCGGGTCACTGGGCGGATTCGCGCTGTGGATTTAAGGCCCCGCAGCAGGAATCAGTCTGGAAGTTCTGGGCACCCGGAGTCCAGCAGGAGGCGGTCCGCAGAGCCTGCCAACACCTCAAGCAGCTGGCACAGTGCCGGGTGCGAGTGTTTCCAGCTCTGGCTCGGGGACTGCTCCCAGGCTACCATTTCACCACACGCGGGGGGAGGTCTCGGGTTGGCGGAAGCCCCTTGCGCGCCCCCCGCGCGGGGCTCTGGGGAGTGGACCAAACCAGGGTGGAGGACTCAGCCTTGGGAGGGGGCTGGGGGCTGGGGCCGTCCCAAGGGCTTGCCCCTCAGGCCTCCGGCGGCGGCGTTGGGGACCGGCTCCTGCGGCTTCCGGGGCTCACAGGGCCCCCCAAGGCTGGCAGGTGACGGGTTGCCCCGAGACTCAGCCAGCCACACTGGCGCCTCACCCGCCGTGTCCCTCCCCCAGAGGCTTTGCCCCCCGCGGGTCTGGGCTCCAGGCTCCCGCCGCCCGCCGCTGTCCCGGCGCTGCTGTCCCCTCTGGCCGCGCCGCGCCGCCCTGTGCTGACCAGCCGCCCTCCCTGGGCGCCGCCGGCCAAAGCGCAGCCGCGCCGGGCGGAGGGGGCTTCTCAGCCTCGCCCGGAAACCCTCAAATTCCTCTCGTGTGTGTGCGGCATGTCCGCGGGGAGCCGAGGGGCCCCCCAACCCCGCACCACCAAGTCCAGCACCGACCCGCGGCCCCCCCTGGGAAGCGCTCGCGCCCTCAGGGCGGCCCGACGCGAGGGATCTTGGGGTTCTGGGGCCCGACGCGAGGGGTCTTGGGGTTCTGGGACACGCTGTCCCTCCACCTTGCAGGCTGCGCGGCCTAGAGGGAGCCGGAGCCAGACGCTTCCCGCTGGACCCCCGTCAGGCGCCCCCCCCCCCCCCCGCCCCGCGGGCACTGACCTGTGCAGGAGGACGCGCTGCACCGAGTCCAGGTCCTGCAGGCTCCGGGGCGCGCGCTTGGGGAGGCCGGGACGGCTCCCCCGAAACATGCCCGCGGGGCCGCCCCGCCCAGGCGCGCAGCGGGGCGCGGAGTGCGGGGCGAGCCGGGCCGGGGCGACCCGCGGGGTCCCCTCCTCCCCGGGCCGGGCGGGGCGGGGCGCTCTGGCGGGGCTCGCGGGGTCCGCGGTCCCGGGGCCCCACCGCCGGCTCCCGGCGCCCCAGCCCCGACCGCGCGCTCCGCCGCCTGGTGCCGGCGTCGGGCGGCCGGGCAGGGAGAGGCGCGGGCGCCGCCCCCCCCCCCCCCCGCCGGGGCCACCTGCCGCCGGGAGGAGCCGCCCGGGACACCCCGCCGCGGGGCGGGCGTCGGTCCTGCCCGCCTGCGCCTGTCCGGGCGCAGCGCGGGAGCAGCGGACTTGGGGACCCCAGGGTGGGGAAAGGTGGGGCCGCCCCGGTTGGCGTGGACCGGTCACTCGGTGGCGCAGCTGAGTGCTCTGACAGCACCCGGGGCCCGGTGGGGCGACGGGACACTGGGGGGACGGGGGGGCCTTTAAACAGCGCCCAGAGCGCGTCCTGGGGGCAGCGGGGGGTCTGCGGCGCCTCCGTGCGCGCGGGGGTGGGGGGGCGGCGCTGAGGACCCCGAGGCTCCCCGCGGGGCTCGCCCCCAGGAGCTGCGGACGCGCGTGGCTCACAGGGGCCCCGGGGGTCCCCGGCCGCCCCGTCGCGGCTCCCGGCGCCCGCCGCAGAGGGACCGCCGATGCCACCCGCTGCCCCGGGGCAGCCGCGCCCGTGGGTGGGGAGTGGGTCGGGGAGCGCAGCAAGACTCGGCGCCGGCGAGGCCCGCCGCCGGGCACGGGCGGACCCAGCTCAGGCCCCGCGGGACCGCGCCCCCCGCGCCCGGCGCCCCCCGCAGGGGCAGCCCCCGCCCTGCCCCGCGGCGGACGCGTCCGGGGGTCCTGACCGAGCGGCCCCTCCTGCGCCCCGGGCTCCGCGCCCGTCTCAGGGCCCTGCTGGGCCGGGGCGCGCGGGGCGGCGCGGGGCTGGGGGGTGCCCGCCGCCCCAGGATGCCCCGCCCGGCGAGCCGCGGCCGGTCCGCAGGCGGCCGGAGCCCAGACCCGCCCCGACCCGCCCCGACCCGGCCGGACCCGCCGCGCAGCCCGCGGGCGGCCCCTGGTGGCGGCGGCGCCTCCCCCCAGCCGCGCTGCGCCCCCGCTGGAGGCTCCCCGGGACGCGAGCCCCCCGCGGGCGCCCGGCCGCCCCCCCCCCGCCCTCGTGGGCCGCGGGGAGCCCTGCCGGGGCGCACCGGGGTGGGGGGCGCGGTCCCGGGGCGCCCGCAGCTCCCGAGCAGGCTCCGGCTTCGCTCGTCCCGCACGACGTGCGCGCCTCGACGGTCCGGGGTGCAGCCCCCGCCGCGTCCCCGGGGCAGCGCATGTCCAGACCCGGTCACCGGCGGCCCGCGCGGGTCCAGCGGGCCAGAGCCTCCTCCCGCGCCTGAGGCACCGGCGCCCTTGGCTTGTCAGCCCGGGCAACGAGACATTTTTGCTCTGATCCTCTTTCCATTGTGGTCTTCTGGAAGTTTCTGGGAAGCGCATTAACAGTGTGACGTACCCCCAAATTCTGGCTCGAGCTGCAGCCGCGGAGCTGCTGTTGGAGGCGACGCGGCGCTGCCCTGAATTGTTCACCTGCGGCTGCAGCCCCCATGCCCGGCCCGCCGCCTCCTGCAGGGCCGCAGTGTGAGGGCCCCGGGGCTGG